GACAACGTCCAGGCGTGACGCTATTTCGACCCGAGACGAGCAGACAGTAATTGGCAGCTTAGCGCCGACTGACTCCGTCCTCGTCGCTCTAGCGTCCGGTCGCGAAGCGACACAGGCCCACTCTCCGTCACCTTCAACCAGTACGACCCATTTGTATGTGTTTGCTAGGAGCGCGGCACAGCCGCACCACGCGAGAAGACCATCGTCCCTCGACCCTTTCTACTACGACTTTGAAGACGATAGCGCGTCCTCGGAGGTCGAAGAGGAAGTCATTCGCTTCGACAGCGGTCTCGCAGAAATGGTCCGCAGAGCAAGCTGCTCTTCAAACTGGACCAGCCCCTCAGCCGTAGATAGCCCTGAAAGCGAGGGCTGGCGAACCTTAGACGAAGAAGGTGCATGAGGAGAGTCCGATAAAGGAACCCTTGCGCGCCCACCATCTGGGTCTGGCGAGTACAGCAGATGCCCTCGCGACACACCCCAAAAAGCAACAACAGAGGATTAGCGGCCTCCTCCAGGAAGACGTACTTTGCACGCCATCGAGCCTGTTCATACATGTCTTCACTCGATCTCACCCAGCCCCTACCACCTTGCCTTCGTCTTTCTTACCTTCATCTTCGTCAAAAGCGCTTCAGTAATCTCGTTGGCGACCAAGCTTTTTCTGTGCATGTTCGTTTGTTTTCCCCATCGCCGCTTCTCCCCCTTCGTTGCCACCTTCTCCCCCTTCTCTATTACAGTCTGGTCGTGGCAAGCGTGGCAATGCAATGCGTCTGGTGGGTGCAAGCACACCCAGCAGCTGGCTTCCGTCCATTAGTCGTGCAAAGGGTGACTCCTTCATTGGATGCATGGCGCTTCGAAGAGTTCGCGCTGTGATATGATGAATTTGCCATCGACATGCTGTACACTAGACTACAAAGGAATTAGGAGGATCTCGAGAGTGGCCTGCCCAGAGCGTCGGATGGATGGCATGCTTTAACAGAATCTGAAGCAGATGCGGAGTGGACGCATCAGTATCAGAGTCGGAAGCTTTGGCTCGACCGGTGTGGTTTTGACTCACTTCCACTTGTTATTGCAAACCACACATGTGACAAAGGTGGTCCTGATAGGCCGCAGCGAAGCGCCGAACATGCGTAAGTAGTCCACTCAGCGCAAAGCATCCACGTCTCATCTTGAGCAGCAGATTTGACTCACATGGGCTCATCAGCGCTTCTAGTCTGTTTCTGATAATACCTGGTCTTTCTCTGTTTGCACCTCCCACACTCGAAAGCGTCCGTCTCTGCAGCCTGATCTTCTGCCGCCTTGCTTCCGAACAAGTTCTGGACCTGTAACTTCTCCCTTTCCGCTTTGACCTCGTCTGAAGCCATTTCTTCGGGCTTCATCTGGATCAACACGTCTGCCGGTAATATCCCTTCCACGACCCTTTGACGTAAAGATGGGTTCTTTGCATCTTTCAGGTTGAGAGACAAGGATCGGATTTTAGACCTGTAATCGCCGGAGACTTCCTCCTTTCCCACAATGGTGAATGTTGCTCGCTCAATGGCCAAAGCTCGCTGGAAGATGATAGCCGGATCTGAAAGAGGATACTGATGTCAGGCTGGGCTATCAGGAGCTCCAGAGAAGAAGGCAGACCTTCTCACCTGCATCAGATCCAATCTCCAGCGCATCGTACAGAAGCTTCAGACACGCATTTCTCGTCTTGTCTCCGAGCTTCTGGAAGTCCAAAGAAGCTTTGCTCGTCTTGCCAGCGCTACTTGCGTCCTTGACAACGGGAGTGGCGGGGGATGCAGGAGTCTTGGGTGCGCTTGCGGCTCGATCGCTCGCAGCAGGAGTCTTTGGCGTGGAAGGTGTCTGCGGAGAGGCTGTGCGCGGGACATTGGCGCAACGTTGTGGAAGCAGTGAGCCAAGGTGCGTGTAGCGTATTGAGCAGATAAACAGCAGCTCTTCAGTACTGCTAGGCTGCTGGGCCTCTGCCAAATCAAATCGTCGACGTCTAATGAGCACTTTACTCACAAGCCTTCTTTTTGACTGAGCCATTCGCCCCTCCACGTTGCTTTTCTACTTGTGCTTTCCAGCCGGTGACCAGTTCCTTTGCAGCCTGACTAGTCGCCTTGTCCGTGCTGTTTCTCAACTTCCCGACTGCTTGTCCGATCTTTGTTTGCTGTTGCGTGGCACCATCGTCGTGTAGAAAAAGAGTCAGTAGCTTGGCGTGAGATCGATGAGCAAGATGTTTCCACATACATGGCGCACTCACCCTGATCACGTCTTCTGATGCAGCCACGCCAGCTTTCAGCTTCGACAAGATTGCTCCGACATCTTTGAAGCGCGACTCTGCCGCCGCACTGACTACCTCCTCTCTCAGCTTGACGATCTCAGGTGTCGACAGAGGCATGGCGCAGGTTCCTGATCGGCACTTTTTGCAGCAGGCTAAATGGACGCCCTGGTGACGTACGCATGAACGCGGCGCTTCCGCCCCTCTGAAAGCTGGTAGGAAGGCTAATTAGATGCGCTCCTCGCCGAATTCGAGCAGGAGGGGGGAGGACACCACTTAATGCTGTGGTCACCAGTGTGGTGGAGGAGCTGCTTGGAACGATGTGCGATGGCACAAGCCGTGATGGGATAGCGTGAGAAGTGAAGAGGGAAACGATGCGGTGGTGCAGGAAGGTGTGGAGCACATCGTAGATGGAAAGTCAGCCGGGTTCTTACATCTTCGAGGGAAGCCGCTACGCGGGTGGCTCTGGCGACGCAAGAACGAAGGTTCAATTTCAACATTCGCGCAATTTGAAGCCGCCTGGGGTGCGCCGATTGACGCGCTGCCATACGCGCTCACACGACCATGCAGGTGAGTTTAAAGCAACAAGACTCTTGAACCAAAATAATTTCAAGACTTTTGCCATACTGGTAGCAAGATCACGTGACTGCAATTGAGTCAAGACACAAATAACCTGACGCCGAAGGATTCAAGATTTCAGATGACTCTTGACTCTTTGGCCCGAACCACTTCGCGACGCGAGTTTGGTATTCTGAGAGGTGTCATGGCCGCTTTCTCGGACGATCTGGCAGCGACCCTCCGTGAAAGACGCCGGCTGCGCAAAATTTGGACGAGAAAGCAGGCAGCAGGCGGATCAGACGCGCATGCAACCCAGTGATAAATCTCCACTTGGAATCTCTGCGCCCCAAAGGATTCTGCGACGATCAAGTGAGTGTATTGACGAGCCGGCTCAGGACGAGATTTTTGCGCCCTGAAGCTGGGTATCCTGTGCAGGCTTGTCGATGTCGGCCGGAGCAGTAACGCTCTGAGGACTGGCCTGGATCGCCGCTTGGGCAACAGCCGCTTTCTCCGCCCTGGTCTTCGCCGACTCCAGAGACTCGACATAGCTGGAGGTGGTTAGGCGGGAATGGAATTGATGAATGTCAGCGCTTGAGGCGGTAAATTGTACTCGACTCGTACTCACGTGTTGGGGAACCATCCAATGCGGCCATCCCTCGTCCTACCTCGCCACCAACTGCTTTCCGCACCTGTCTGCGGATCGTTGCGACTAAGCACAGCGACAATGTCGTTGGGCTTGAGCGCGAGTTCTAGAGGATCAGCAGGCTCATACGAATACAACGCCCGCACAAACTCCAGCTTGCTGGGATCCAGGGCTGCGCCGTCGGCTCCGGGCAAGAGTTTCCCTTCCGCAGCCAGTCGTGCTCTCTCCGCTTCTTGTCTCTGAGTGATGAGCTTGACGAGCTTGCCCATGAGGTATGGTAGGCCAATGACGGCGAGGAAGAAGACAACCAGAGGCCTTTTGCTCGGGCGAGCGGTAGATCCCTTGCCCTTTGAATTCGATTGGGCAAATTCCTGAAACTCTCGTCTATCCAATTCGATCGCTGGAGCTCGACCGGTGAGCCTCCGCACGAGATTTCTCAAGTACCGCGCAAGGGCAAAGATGCTCAGCACTTGGCCGAGGTAATTCCTAAGGGTGGCGAACTGATCTGCGACGCCCACCATAGCGAAGAAGCTGCTGTGGGTGGCCATGAACGTGCTTTCCAACATTTGGGCAAACCCTCCAAACGCTCCCACAATGCTGCTAATGAGCTCGAAAGTCGCTTGCGTTCCCGACTCCATGCGCTGGGTCAAGGAAGGATTTTCCGGTCCTCCAGGTGGCATCATCCCTCCGTATCCGCCCATACCATATCCGCCCATGCCACCATACCCACCCATGCCGTAGCCTCCCATGCCACCGTAGCCCATGCTTCCATAACCGCCCATGCCTCCGTACGATCCCATTCCACCCCCATATCCACCATATCCCATTCGGCTGTAAGGAGATGAATAGCTGGATCCATAGCCGCCCATACCGCCGTAGCTGCTGCCGTAGCCACCCATACCACCATATCCGCCGCCGTAGCCTGACATACATGTTAGATACGCGGGCACTTGCCGTCAATAGATGTACAAGACCTGGTCGACAATGAGACCTGACTCACCTCCCATACCGGTGCTACCCAGTCCACCCGCACCAAGCGTGCTATTAGCAGCTCCAAGCGTCGACGGCCTCTCTGGCAGAGCTGGAGTCGAAGTCCCTACGGCGGAGGTTGACGCAGGCGAGGTCGAGGTCGCACTACCTGCGGAGCCGGAGCCTCCTTGCTCCCAGGGTTTGGGAGGTGCGGCTGGCATCCTGGCTTTCGAAGGAAAAGTGTGGAGCGACTGGGACGTGCCGCTGATGCCGTTCGAATGATTGCCGGTGGACGCTGGACACACGCCACCGGTCTTTCCCGACACCGGACACGACACGATGAGGCGAGGACCAGGAGGTGATGAGCTGAGAGTCTTTTCTCGTGGAAGTCAAGGTTCAGGACCTGAGCTTTGTTCCGCTGCTGAGTCGAATGCAGCGCCGATTGCGCAGTGGCGCGCTATTATTGACCGAGAGATTAGGCCTGGCTGGGGCGTTCTAGGTGCCGTTCTTCCGACGTAGCAGATTGGTGTGCCTCATCCGGGAGCAGTGATAGCTTCAAGCGGTGATGGACGAGATCGTTGAGGTCGTGCGCCATGAGAATGCCTCTTAAATGCGGGGACGACTGAGCCCTGAGGTGATTCTGACAATGTGAATCGTGAATCGGTATAAGTGCCTTTGCCCGCGTCTGCATGCATGCAAGGACCGATGAACAGACCGACAGCCGGCTAGGCGGGCGTCGCGCCCACGTGGGCTCACGCGGGTGCATTGACCTCCTGAATGAGCAACGAGATGCACTTTGACTTCACTCACACTGAGCGAGTCAAGAGCATGGTGCTGCACCTAGCTGTTGCACGGATGGATGCTTTCGCAACCCACGTCATTCGTGATCCACTCTCATACTTGGCCTCCATCCATGCAGATCTGCAGGCGCGCACCATTGCCAGCGATAGAAATTCGCTCAGCTTCCTCTTGACACTCAATTCGAATCCGTCTGCTTCCCAAGGCAGCAAGCGACTCAAAGCAACTAACGCTCATCCGAGCGCCCTAGCAATATGCCGACCGATGGAACGTATTGGCTCATCTCGGTGCCGCTTCAAGATGGCGATCCGCATCGAATGCACACAGAGCTGGCCAACGCGGTATCCAAAGAATCTCAACAAGGTGCATCCATTGGAGACGTGTCTCTACCACCTTTGAAAGCCGGCACGCTCTCTTCCCTCGTCAGCCTTGCAGACACCCTGCCCAAAGCGGTATCTGCGGGCGAGACGACTCTAAACAAGCTTTTGGAAACGCTGCGAGCGTTGCTCAATGACGATCAGGCCGCTCTTGCGCAGCACACGCTCGTCAGGGAAGGAGCTGTGGACAATTACGTCGTGGGCGGTTGGGCTTGGAATGCGGCCAAGTATAGAGTGGATCAGGATTTGCACGATGTTGTAGAAGTCATCAACAGGGAATTGACCTCGATCGATGCAATCAACAAGGCCAAAGTGAATGCATACAACGCTGCGAAGGGCCAATTGACTCAGCTGCAGAGAAAGAAGACGTGAGTCACTGTCAGAGCGTCGCTTCGAGGTCGTTTGGAGAATGAAGGCGACCCACCTTGCTCATGCTATACCACCTTTCGGCAGCGGTAACTTGAGCGTGCGGTCTTTGGCGGACGTCGTGCATCGGGACGATTTTGCAGATCCTCAGTCGGAATTCTTGGATACTTTACTGGTGGCGGTGCCGAAGTGAGCAAGCCTTAGGAGGTGTGGCGGCATGCGGGATTGTTCTCGCAGGCTGACTAGCGATATGTATATCAGGAACAACATCAAGGACTGGCAATCCAAGTACGAGAGGCTGGCGCCTATGGTCGTACCTAGATCCTCCAAGTGAGCTGCACATGGTCACCGACTGATCTCGGCGTTCGACTTACGCGCAAGTGCCTAATCACAGAAAATTGGCAGCAGACGAGGAATTTGCCCTTTTCAATGTCACTGTCTTCAAAAAGACAAGAGACGAGTACATTCAGAAAGCCAGAGAAAACAAGTGAGGATCTTTGATTGGGCAGAAGTGGGCAAAGATTGGGTCTGACTCGATCTCTCCTGTCATGCACAGATTCACAGTGAGGGAATTTGAATGGGATGAAGAGGTGGTCGAGCGGGAAAGACAGGAGCTGGAGGACGCCGGAGTATCAGAAAAGGAGCTCTGGGTGAGTGGCACCATGCGTTGCTGTAGTCTCTCGATGCTGCTCACCCTGGCTAACTGCGGATGTATGCTGTTCGCTAGACTGAAGTGCTCCGATTGACACGAACAAACTTCAGCGAGGCGTACCAGGCTTTGACTCACCTCAAGGTGGTACGATCATTCGTGGAGAGTGTGCTGCGCTTTGGTCTACCAGCAGATTACTTCGTGGCTGCAATCAAAGTATGTAGCGCATGGGCTTATTGCTGCGGCCATGCTCATCTGATCGGAATCTTCCCTGTCTTTGCTTCTTCGACCGGTTCGACAGCCGAACCCAAAGAGGTCAAAAGCTTTGGTAGGCACACTCGCTTCCCACTACGCCCACCTTGCCGCGTACGACAAGAGGCAGTCAAAGAGCAAAAGCGGGGGAGGTGGTGTGAACGACGGAGAAGTCCCCGGAGAGTTCGCTTCTCTCGTCGAGGCGGAGTACTACCCCTTCGTGCTCGAGGAGCTGCCGATCGTTGCCGGTTCGACTTGAGGTATGAAAGTTGGCTCTGCATGCAGCACTATTCGCCACTCTTCCCTGTTGATTCCTGCGCAAATGCATCAGTGTCATCCTTTTTACGAACCCAGAACAAGGGCAAGCTGGGAGTCATGCGAGCAGGAAGACGTGGAGGCGCACATGAGCGCATGCGTGACCCATCAAAATACTCATGAACCTGACCCAAAATCTCTCGCGTACAGCAGGCAGGTCTCACGCTTCAAATTGTCCACAAGTATCCGGACAGCATGCAAGGCCAGCAACATGTGCCTAGCTTCAGTCTTGAGCTATGACTCAGCGAAGCAGGTCGATCTCGTGCCGCACAAAGCGCTCCGAACGACTCAACCGTGAATTTCCTGCTGACGCTATATATGCTTCTTCAGGTGCCTCGCGACTTGCATCAGCTAGCAAAGGGCATCTTATCATGCAGGTCGCATTAGAACCACGATGGCGCGGGACTGGATGAAGGAGCACCGCGTACCTTTAGGGTAACTCACTCACGACTCGTGACTATCGATGCACGTATTCATGACCCAAGATCATGGAGCTCAACGGAGACCACATCGCTCCACGTGCATCTGCGAAAGCGCGATCTTGAGTCAAAGTTGTGCTAACAGCGGAGGGGGCCGTATTGGGACATTGGACAGCATACAATCTATCTGCAGGCGTACAGCGGAGGAACAGCTAGGCAAGACGGTGCTTGGTCGATGCCGCACTCAAACCTTGGCGAGTCGGGACCTGCAGCGAATCGCACCCTGTGTCAGACAGAGCCAGGGTGGACGCCCGCGGCGCGCGCGGACCCTTCCGTTCCGTCTCACTCACGCGACTGGCAGCCGCCCATGCATGCACCATCAAGCATCATCGCAGCCTCATCAGCCTCTTCGTATGAGCTCCTCATCACACATTACTCAACTGACGCAGAGCAGGCATGCAGCTGCGGAAAGGAAGCGCTGGCGGCATTTACTCTGCCAAAGCATTGAGCGTACTCACGACTTGACACCATCCTCTAGTTTAAACAAGGCTGCTCCTCCAAGGACTCGATGTATAGACCCGAGCCACATCAGCGCGTCTCAGGCCATCACACCTCCGGGATGGCGAGGACGAAGCGCTGATAGGCTCGCTCATGTCCGCGTCACTGCAGCTGCAATCAAGAATTCGTGAGTCACGGTCATTTTGAGTGAGAGCACTTCATCAACCAAGACCAGCACCTTGTCGCGCAGGAGTCAGGAGTCAAAATTTTGCTTTCGACTACCCTGGCTCGTATATGCATATGTGCTGCGTCGATCTGTGCGGATGCTATGTATACGGCCATACTACTCAAGACTCAAGATTATCACCACTCTGCCAGTAGTGCTACCACTACCACTGCTCTGATACTCCTGAAATACTCCTGACTACATCCATCTTGTTTCTGATGCTTGTCAATATGACGCCAAATTCAGGGACCGGGTCCAGGCCGTCGTCGCGTCCATGCGCCATCAACTGATTGACCCGCGGATCCGCGCGGGTGCGCCCGTCGAATCGAAGAGGAGCTTTAGGCCAGCAGTTCCCGACGTGCTCAATCGAGCAAGCATCACACGCGCCCACAATAAGCAAGCAGCAGGGACCGCCCTCGCATCCCATGCCAGCACTCATTTCATTCGGCTTGTATTCATGATGCACGACTTGTATAGCCGCCGCGACGATTCCGGCGAACAACTCTCCACGCAGTCACGAGTGCACGCGCCATTCACCACTGACTAGATTCACGTTCTTGGAAGGTCAGAGGAGTATCATCGTCCGCGCTCCAATGCGTTCGCCGTCATTGCCCACGAGACGCGCGCAAAACAAGGTTCTCGTCGGCCAACGCGCTAGGATTAGTCTGCGCACCTCCGACTGCACATTGATCGCGGTACAAGTCGTGATTGTGTTGATGTCGCATATGCTGTCACGAAGTACGAACTCTGACAAATCTTACAGTAGCGCGGCAGGGTTCTCAAGATGCAATAGCTGATCCATGCCAGCAGCTGCGGTGCATATGGGTAGACGGGATCGAGCACCATGCAGTCATTTCGCAGTGATGGTGGAGCTGATCCGCGCGATTCGGATGTGAGTAAGACTTTATCGCGCCCACCTTGATTGACACCGAATGGGAGGATGTATGCGAAGGCGGCCTCAGAGTGACCCCAAAATGCGCGGGTACCCTCCTCCGGCGCCGCTACATAGCGGACACTTGTCCGTGCTTACCAATCACGATCAAGAACGCGACTTGCGTGGACGGACGAATGCAGGTGGATACCAGCTGGCTCGCGAGTCACGAATGCCTGGAGGAGATCCGCGCTCAGGCTCGCGGAGAGCAATCCGTTAGAGCCGTGAGACAAATGGATGCCCCACATCCGCACCGGTCACTCGACAATTTGTATGGGGAACGCATCCCATAAAGCCTTGCGACAATAATGCGTTGCGCGGCATACGGCTGCAATAATCGAGTTTTGCAAGTCCTGGATGCTGGGTCCTGGATGCAATTAAGCTCCGCTATTCCCGCAGGTGGTCGAATTAACATGGAACATGCATTCGCAATTCGCAGTTCGGACTCACGACTCACATTTAAAATCGTCAAGTTCGCAATACTGAATGAACAAGAGCAGCAGCGTGCACACCCAAATCCAAGATTACCGTGCATGCATAGCGCAGTCGCAGCAAACAAGGGGTTGTGCCAGAGTCAGGGTAGCCAATCACGATCGAACATCAAGTCAAAGTCAAATGACCTCTCACGCACGACTTGCCCCATCCAAAAATCATCCTTGGTTCTCACGTTTTGGTGTCGCTCGGCTCAGACGTCAGATTCAGCCGATCGATCGCGATGTCGAGGCGACTGATCAGACTATTTTAGACTCGTGACTCTCTTTCGTGCCTGGATGGCGCGTAGTCTTGCCACCCAAAACATCAAGTCGGGGGGCGTAATGCTTGCGGTGCAACTTTCCGCCGCCCGCGTTCATAGCCGTGTGTCGTGCACGAACTCTGCTTTCGGCTCACTCGACAACCTCAGCGCTCAGCCTCTTCTCAAGGTTTTGCGCGCCCATCGCGCGGAGAGGCCGCTCGAGCGCTGCCGTGCAACATCCTCTTGATATAAAGACGGTTGCCTTGTCATGAATTCATCGTGTCAGGGCCCATTCCCGATCCACACATCGCCAATCCAGCCCTCCGATCCGGTTTCGTCATCACCCCGTGTCCTCGCTCCAGTCACCAGCTGAGCCCCATGTGGACGTGAGCGTGCCAACATCCCACCGGTCGACCACATGCTCATGAGTCCGAACCGGGCAGTGGGGTGGGGCATCGTCCTCACCCTTTTGCTCAACATCGTAGGCGTGGCTCTGGGCTTGCGCTGGCTCTATGCTGCTAGTCCATCGAGCAACAACTCATCGTCCAACGGGTGTGTTGATCGGCGCGTCGGCCAATCGAGGTCAAGTTCGCGCTCGCTGACCGTCGCAAAGCTCGGCTCTCTCAGCTACGCCGCTTCACGCGCAACGTACACCAGGGCCAACAAGTGGTTGGTGAGCCCCGCGTCGCGCTGCTTCAAGGGACTTGCCAAAGCGTTCTGACGTAAACCTTTGCTATTGGCTGATCAGGTGATCACCATGATGGTCATCGTGTAAGTGTCGCTCACAAAATCTCCTTGCATTCACGACCTACGACTCACTTGGGTACCAATGCAGCACCGCGGACACCGTTCAGCTCAGCATCTTGTTGGATCGCCTGTTCGTGACGACTGTGCCCTTTGATCATCATGGCATGCCGTAAGTATTTTGCAGCCTCGAAGACCTTTTTCTGAGCTGATTTCGCCCCTCTGGTCGCTGGTCAGTTTCAGCATTCCTGTAGGCTCGTGGCTCTCCGCCTGCTGCTCTCTCTGTGGTCAAATCTACTACATCCAACTTTGCGTCCTCGTCTGCAAGGCTGGCCGCATGTGGCGCGTCCTCGGCTGTAAGCACAACCCGGGATTCAACGAGTAGCATGGCACGCTGACATGTCGATTTCTGCTGTTGCCATTGCCGCACCACGCCAGTGTCCTGGGCTTGCCTGACCTTCATCTTCCAGTCCCTCCTATCAATCCTCGTATATCTTGACCGACGCACACCAGAATTCTACTACAGTCGAATGGTCAGAGGTGCGAAGAGGCTGTCACCATCCTCCACGCGACGGCGAGGCGACATGCGAGCTGACACCCTCGTGCATATCCTCTAGCCCTGGCGTGCCTTTATTGCTCTTCCAAAGCCGCTCAAGATGTTCTTCTTGCGGTGACGTTGGCGGTCAGGATTCTGTGAGTGGCTCAGAGACCGATGTGTAGTCGGTCTTTACGCTCAGCAGACTCGTACATCCCCACCCCAGTGCTCTGCACAGAGAGCTAGTACCTAGTCACGGCTTGCATTGCCCAACGCCAGTTCGGCGCTTTGCCAAGTGGTTCGTGCTGGCATTTGAGATGTCCCTCATCACCGCCTTGTGGTCGGTGGCTGGAATGGCCATGTAAGTCAAAGAGGTCAGTGGCGGCGGGAAGAGGTCTGTTGCGCTCATTCGGCTCGTCATGCATCTGCAGGTTCTTGGCCCCTGCCTACCTAGTCGAGTGTATTCTCGTCTTCTCGCACGGGGCGATGATGTTGCTAGCTGTAGTGAGCGCTGGCGCGTACGTCGCGAGGGGCAGCATTTGATGCTGACTGGTTCCAGGTGTGGCGCATCAACAGCTGTCCTCGCTCATTTCGAGACAGTGAGTGCTCTTGCATCGTGAAGTGACCAGGCGCTGAGGTCTACAGCTCGATCCATTCAGGATCATTGTTCTGCTCTTGCGAGCCGACTCGATGCCGCAGGACATCCCCACCTATTTCGTGACAGCCGTCAATTCAGCTGGCCAGATTCGGCAGCTTTCACACCCAAGATTGGCACCGTCTCAAGCCTTGCCGATCTTGGAGGGATGGATCGAGAATGTCGGACTGGACAAAGCAGACAGCCTCGCGGAGCGCTCGAAAAAGAATTCGTACGAAAATTTCACAGACAGAGACGAGACGTGTTGCTGGCGCAAGTGCTGTCTGCGAAGCGCTAGACGGAGAGCTGAAATCACATCCATGCCGTTGTGCCATGTGGTAAGAAGATTTCCGTCTGTCCGAATCGGGTCGAAATGCAAGACTGACGATGCGTCGTTCGTGGCTGCACTGCAGCGCTCAAAAGGGCTGGAAATGGACAAGCCGAGCCAAGCGCGGCCAGTAAGGTCACGTTCGCTGGACGAGCCTCGCTTCGGACACCGACATGCCTAGAGCAACACATGAAGATCCGAGAGAGCATCGTGCCGCTCGCATGAGCTCCATCGCGCACACCCGTTGCGCGCAAAGTGCCAAGGTGACAAGGTGTCGAGCGCTACGTGTCTTGCATCATGATGCACGCCAAGAGATAGACGCCCCCGCAAGATTTCAAGACATACCTTTGTCAACGCCCAGTCCATTCTTATCCTCTGGAAGAATGCTATTGCTCAGTGACGTGACTAGCGTGGTATCTACAGCTGAGCCTATATGCCCTCGATCAGCTTTCTGCGAGTGGACAATGCGAGATTGTACTATATGCTCTTCGACGTGCCAGATGCGGCAATCTAAGTCGAAATCGGGAACCATACAGTCTCTCCCTGATGAGAGACGAGGAAAATATCTTCCTCCTTCCCCTTTGATCTCTCGAAAGCTCCTTCTCGAGTGCGGATGAAGCGCATGTCGACGATGTTGGTCGGGTCGATGAGCACGTTGGCGCTGCTGCTTTTTGTGCGCGCGAGGTCCCCCTGTGCTGTGCCGTTTGTTCGTCCAGTGGCAGCCGTTGCGGTAGAAAGGTTGTGTCTATGCAGATGAGGTCGGTGTGGATGTGTGATGGAGCTTGCCGAGCCGTTGGATGCTGCCTTGGCACACGCTTGAGCCAGGTCTCGAAGATCGTCCATAGTCTGCGACGAATTGCGTACGAACGTGCCATCTGTACACATGGTGTGTTAGACAAAAGCAAGGCAGGAGGGGCAATCGTACAGTGAGCAAACAGCCGGGGGAGTATTTGCATCTAGCGAATGGCGAACCCTGAGCGCCTCTACAAACTCACAATGCACTGCCAAACAAGTAACGCCATTCTTTGGACCCAAAGCGCGAGCTCTATCTTCTCTCCTCGACACCTCCTCGTCGTCTTCTCGCGACGCGCTCTTGGAAGCTTCTTGTCCAGCTCTGATTCGCAAAGCCATGATCCTAGCACAGTCGACGGCATCAAAAGCATCCATGTGTATCGCGCTGGTCAAGGGAGACTCGACGCGAGGGAATGGCGAGTAGCGTCTAGGCAGAGGGTCCCACGATCTAAAGTACGACAAAGAAGAGCCAACGCTGATAGGCAGCAGCAGAACGTGCGGCACACCGTACCGCAGGGAAATGTCTGAATTCGCAAGCGTGGATCGAGCGTCAGTCGGAGCGTTTGACGAAGTTGGCCAGCCATTCGATCGCTTGCTCACCTCTGAATGCTGGGCAAGCCGGGTATCGTTCTCTTGGTTTTCGACTCTCGTTGTGGGCTCGCAAGCCAGTATCACCCGCAAAGTATATCCTGTACCTCCGCTTGGCTTCCACTTCTAGATCATCAAACGTGGACACGATAGGTAGTGTTGAGACTTTGGGGCTCGTCGTGACTTCATCGGCTGCTTTTTCAGTGGACTCTGAAACGCCTTTGGCAATTTGGCGGCCAGCGACAACGTTGTTCGCGGCGGTGAAAGCCGTGTTGATTGTCGTCGTAACCTTGTTCAGGACGCCTGTTGGAGCGGTCGTGGTGGTTGGCTCCTTTGGAAGTACGCGCTCGATGAGCCAGCTGGACCAAAGCGTGGAGTCCTTGTCGCCAGGTCCTCGTCCTGTGGCCAGATTCGGCGCGCATTTGGAGATCCGTGAGCATACGATCTAGCCGAATGTGTGTGATGTGAATGTCCCACGACTCACCACTACCATGCTGTGCTGGTGTGCAAATAATCCTGTAACCTGCATTACCCTCTTTCGAGATCGAAAACCAAGCCTCATCCCACCAATCGAGTTCGCTGACTTGTTCCTTCTTGAACCCATTGGCCTCGAACCAAGCCTTGTTGCCGAGAGGAACGAGGACATGTAAAGCTTTACCGCGAGTCTTGAGAAGCTCCTGTATGCTGCCTAGATCAAGATGATCATAGTGCGAGTGACTGATGAGAATAACATCGATGGGAGGGAGATCCGACGCTCCGCATGGCGTCGGTGTATGGCGAATGGGACCGGCGACTTGCGACGGCGAGCAGCGCTCGCTGAATACAGGATCGATGAGAATATTGAAAGGCCGACGAGTTGCGCGGATCTTCTCTTCGTCGGAAGCATCGTCAATCGCTCCGCTTACAGCTTCCTCTTGCTCCTCAGCGCGTGGCCGGGGCACCTGCGGCAGCTGCACCAATATGCTAGCGTGACCCAACCAAGTGATGCGAGCCTGGACCTGCAGATCTGTCTCCTCGTCCTCAACTCGTCTCTCGCCCCAATCAGGTTTTATCACCTCGATGTTGGGCCCAACATCATTTGCGCTCTCCGCTCCTGGACCTTTGCGCCTCCTACCTCCGCCTCTGTACCTTGAGCGACCTCCACCCTGTTCATAACCTCTTGGCAGACCCCACTTGAGCCCTCCATTGAGCGCATCGGCAACGCTGGGCTTCCTAAAGCTGTCCCATGGGTTCTCAAAAGTGAGCGATGCTAGAGCTCCGGAATTGGCATTGACCAGATCCACAGTGCCGGCATCCGGAGCCGTTGTGGAGGGAGCCACTTTGCCAACAGCTGAGCGCACCACGCGAGTGATGCGTTTGGAAGTCTTTCGATCTCTAGTTCTTTCCGAAACGGCATCCCATGCAGCTGGCAGAGCAGCCTTTTCATCCGCATCTGCTTTCAAAGGATGAATGCTTCTAGCCGCTCTCTTGAGAACTTGATCCGATGCAAGCGCAGCTCGAGAGACGAGTGTAGGCACGTGATGAGAGGGCAGCTTGGAACGGGGCAATGTTGCGGCATCTTTGGCCGGGTCGACGGAGCGCAGCTTGAGGGTGAGCGTGTAAGGATACAGCTCCTTGGTTTGCCGTTGAGCTGCATCGTCCGAGTCCGAAGAGGTGTCCCTCACCGCAGAATTTCCACGGCGCCACAGAGTCCGCTTTTGCTTGCCCTGGCTCGGAGCGGCATCGTAGCAGCTGCTCGAGTCACCCTTCGCATGTCCCTCTTCAGCTTGCTGCGTGACCACACTCGCCACCGCTTTGCTCTCTGATGCCTGGCTCCTGGGCTCTTCCCCCGGTGTACCGATCTCAGTGGGCTCGGGATCTCTACCCAGCACGCGAGACGCACCTCTTGGTTCTCCTGGATGTTCCAATCCGGAGGTGGTTGCATCGCTCTTCGTGTTGCTAGCAGCTCCACTTGCTTCTTGCGAGACCCGGCCGTTGAGCACCGTGTCGGGCATGTTTGCAAGTCCTTCGGCTGCTGCTCTCGGGGACAAGGCGATTGCCTCCTCGCGAGGCTCTGCTACTGCTGTTCAGGATTTGCGTTGTTGATGCGCAAACAGCAGCCTTTCTCCAGAGGAACGTGAATGGGGGCGGATCGTTAGATTGTTCGAAGCGTGAGCGGAAGCGATGTTGCGAATGGCAGTCGAGAAGGTGTCACTCAGCAGTGTGAGTATGACAATCAGCCGCCGGCGGAAGGAGGTGAGGTGAGTGTGAATCATGAATGCGGCTCTCATCGTAACTCGTGACCCGTGACTGCAGCAGTCGCGTGAGCGCGCCGTTGAGAAGCTTGCATGCATGCCTGGCATTCGTATACAGTCATCAGTTGCCCGAGTCTTGAGTCACAAGTCACAAGTATCCTCTACATGGACGCGCGCATGCACATGCACAAACAGCAACAGATGATCGTCACGGTGCATGAAACATCAAATTCACTAACAATTAGGAATTTGAATTCGTGATTCTTGATCCGAAATTCAATCCTGTATCACGTGAATGGTCAGCCAGCGCGGAGGCGATGCAGTTTTCGAGAAGTCCAAAGAGTAAAATTCACCACCGTCAAGTCGACTCACAGTCACGAATGGGCAAGTCGAATTGACACGAATCGCTTGAGATTCGCAAGTCACGAATGTCTGTGCAAAAGGTCCTCCTTCGGGATGCGTCGAATCCATCGCAAGTGTCATCAACCAGAAGCGCAAGCCCCGGTGCTCCAGCTTTGGACTTCTACGGGAGGCTATCTGCACTGATGGTCATTGTGCCAGCCAACCCGAGCATACTTGAAGTCGGCAAAGCCCATCCGGGCCCTGCCATTCACGCTCTCTTTTCATCTTGGACAAGTCAACATCACACTCAAGGCGGTGCGAGCCCTGCGCTCTTCGCTCCGTCAGCCTGAATCGAAATGGCTGTGACATTTGACTGGAAGAGCCTGTACCAGAGCAAAAGGCAAGTGCGATCAATGAAAGTGTGCAGAACGAGTGCTTTGTCGTATGGCGGGCAGGCATGCTAGAATGAGTCAATGCTGTGGGGTCATCAAGAGTCGTCCTTGTGATCCTCTCTTCTCCTCGCCATATCGGACCGAGGCGATCCAGATCCAGCATGCCGCGCTGAACCGGTCAGTACACGCCTGTTCCAGCTGCCCCTCTTCACCTCCTCCCACTCCACTCTGAGGAAAACCCAAGCGCAGCGTCTGACAATCTCCAATCCCTCCAGGAAGAACACGCCGGCTTCTAGCTCCACAATGTGGTGCAGATGACTACTGAGCTTCAGTGACCAGGTGAAACGCAGAAGCAGGTCCAGCAGTATGGACAGATGATACACCCATGGGTGGAATAGCATCGGTTTGGAAGCCGGTCGTAACATCGAAGATCTCCTCCGATGGTGACCGGCCTGCGACGAGCTACTCAAGCTGGGCGGCCGGAGAAAGTTTTTCTGGGAGGTGTTCGATCCGCTCACAGAGCGATGAAGCGTCGTGCTGCTGTTGCTAGGTGACACCGAGACGCTGGACTGGTGATCTATCGCCATCTCTTTGGGCTGAAGGTCTGACGACAGGTCGCTCTCGTTTGGCGAGGGTACTGTGCCAACCGGCAGCGAGCTCAATCCTCTCCGGTGGAAGGTTGGTGCGCTACGCGTGCTTCCTGTGCCCGGCAGCAACGAGTAACCGCTGGTCGAAAATTGAACTCCTTGTCCGCCGAGCGCTCTGGGTAGAGGCCACGCGCTAGGCCTGAGCATGTCTAGCCCCCAATCGTTTGTGACATCCCACCAGAATGAGAAGAAACTGTTCACGAAAACGGCAAGCAGCCTGTATGCGCCGAGGCAACGATCAAAAGCATGAGCATGTGCAAAAGCTACCAGACAGAGCTCGCTACTGCCTTTGCTCACCACAGACCGTATACACCCTTGACCCCATCCGGCGAGCTCTCTGTGCCAGCTGTTGAATCTTGCAGCGCAGACAACCAGATAACGGGGAACGCTGAAGCGTACTTCAAGGCGTTGGCCAAGGGTCGCGTGGACCTGCCCGAGCTGGCATTCGACCCCGGTACGGGTGCCGAGACGAGATACTCTGCTATGCATTGCCGAAATCGAATCAGGTAAGGCAGCCTGTCGCGCAAAGGTTCGAGAAGGGCTCAGCTTCGCTCTGTTTACGATCGCATCGCGCCGACTTGCAGTTCATAGGCACAGCCAAGTAGGGATACACTCACGTAGCCAAGCAGGGCACTATCAAACTTCCCCTTCCATTCCACCACTCGTGATGATTTCGTCGCGGTAAGAGGAAGCAAGCAGTCAACCACACATCCCCTAGCACCTTTGCAAAAGATGTCAAAATGTCTGCCAATAGCACGTCTGGAAACGTGGGACCTTGTGCGAGCGTCGGTCTGAGCAGGTGGAGAAGGTGTCTAGGAAGTACAGTTTGGCAAGGAAAGCATGATTGGTCAGCAATATTGCTCGACGAACCCAGGCTCAATGGCCCTGCCTGCGGCTGGCATCGCGCGGCCTGAATCACTGTACCACCCACGATCGAGATGAGGATCCTACTAACCTCCCAAAGTCCACTCTTGTCCACTTGGCTGCAAATTCGCCAGGCCAAACGGCAAGCGCAACGGCACCCAGAACAGTGATGCCCTGCAGCACCTGCGCATGTCTACCCTTCGGATCGCCAGCCAAGAGGTCCACATATATCCTGTATGTCAACCAGCCAGCCATCGCCCAGAGAAAGTATATGAGCGCGAATGAGAGCACCCTACGCTCAAGCGCTGGGGATGATGACGATGTGGAGACAGAAGTTTGTGCTGCAGGACGTCCTGCACTAGAGGTGAAGGGCTCCACGGACGCTGAAGTCATGTGACTTCCAGCAGGAAGGGGGGGCGAGGTTGCGCTGGAGCTGAGAGCGCCCACGCTGGAAGACAGGTTGCTCATCGGCACCGCTGACCTGTCCTCTGCGCTTGAGCTTGCTGTATTTCTGGAGGATGACGAAGCTGGGCTGATCTCGAGTCCAAGCCTCCTCAGTCCTCTAAGGTTTGCCCACCAGCAGAATAAGCCCAAGGCGACGAGCAACAAAACTCTGTGAGGAGGGGGCAATGTGCGACTGAACGAATGCACCGCTGTCGATGAAGATGATGACGTGGCGTGGTCGCCAATGGTTGACCCGCCGTAGACTAGGTCTGAGCCCGCCGCCAGGCCGCTCCCAACGGCAGCGATGAAAGGATTCCTATCCCACGTCTCTGGCAGCAAACCTCTTCCATGCGCAGCATGTCTGACCGACACAGGAGCAATAGGTCTGAGCCAGCTGAACTTGAGCGCCCACCGATTGTAAGGGTTGACTGCTGATCCGGCCACCGCCAAAGGAGCCATACTTGCTCTGTTGCCCATCGACCTCACTGCTTTCCGAACAGAGTCTGGTGAGAGTGCTTCGTCGAAGGTGAGCGAGACGGAGCGTATCCGCGAAAGAATGCCATCTGTCAAAGGCTCCTTCGTCAAGGGCGTGTCCCAGCTATAGGATGGTCCGATTAGCTCAGGAAGCGCAGCGGCAACCATGTTGAATTGCGAATCAGAGGCCGTCGCTGTACTGGATCGACGGGTGTGCAATGGGCTCAACGACAGTCCTGATGCGGCTAGACTTCCGGAAAGACGTCTTGAAGAGAGCCTTCAGAGCTGAGTGCCCCTCCTGCCAAATTGCTGAGGGAACTCAAACCGGCGATGAGGTAGCTTGATGCTAGATATGTTTTCACCTAACGGTTCGCGCTAGCCTAGCTGTGCCGCGCCTCGAGGCCCGCAGTCTTCGGGGAGCCAAGTACGGGGTCGAGCGAGTTGAAGACTGACCACAGAGCGTCAGTTGGGGTGCAGTTCTGACGGTAAAGAAGGAGGTTAGAATCGAATCTGTGAAGTCCACGAATCTGGAATTTTGGTCATGATGTGCTGTACGCTGCAAGCTAACGAGAGGTTGTTGGGCAGAGGAGTTGAGGAGAAGCAACGTGCTGCAGGCAGGCCGGCATGCAGCAATTAAGCACCTGCAACAATCACCAGCATCATCATCGCGATCTTGGTCGATTGCAGCAACAAGCGTAGATAGATACCTATACCGGTACAAGCAAGCAAAAAAGCAGCTCGGCGCACGGAAGCGTCACGCTCACGCAGCATGCACGGAAGGCCGAGCGCTTGCTGGGTGGCTGATGCACGCGCGATGCATGAGCAGCAGCAGCAGCAGCAGCAGCAGCATACACTCACCACTCACCACTCACCACTCACCACTCACCACTCACCACTCACCACTCACCACTGTGATGTGTCTACCGTATTCCGACAGTCGAAGAATCAAGCTCGATCTGCATGCTACTTTGATTCTTGATCCACAATCCCTTGGAAGGTCTGCCTGATTGCTCCCATATGTGCGAAAGTGGCGCAGCGCAAAGGTTCGAGCTGCTACGACGGCGGTAGTGGAAGCTTTGAACTCGAGCTCGAAACGGCAGCAGATCTCGAGAGGAAGAGAGACAGATCAGTTGGTGCTGGTGCTGGCCCTGGTGTTGGTGGGGGCGGAGGTGAAGGCGCAGGCGAGGATGAAGGTGTGCCAAGCATACCGGCGTGTCAGCCTCCCGGAATCTGAAACGGTCCCGAGGTCGCACGTCGTGAGTAAAAGCAAGAATGCTGTGATCATCAAGGACTGTGACGGTTGTGATGACTGTGATGAGTCTAGACGCAATGAGTCGCAAGTGCACGACTCCACTCGAGCCACGTATTCATTCGGCAAAGCACCGATGCGATCCCGAGGTACGACGAAGGATGGTGAATGCGCCATCTCTCCTGCGATGCAATCGTGGCATTCAAGAATCTCATTCTTGACTGTTGATTCAGAACTCGCACTCACACTGCCAAGATGACCAGACCATTCGTGACTGCCAAGTACCGTACAGCCCGCTCAGACGTTTTGCCAAGCGATTAGTCGGGCATTTGCATCCTCCAGATCTCGCCCGTGCAGCAAATACGGATCTCTGCAGCTTGGTAGTCCAGCTCTCCACTGTGATTCTGATAGACAGAATGACACTCGAACTTCAAGCATTCAGACCAGCAGGGCCGGATAAAGGGATTCGTGGTTGCATGTCTTTGCTAGCTGCGTCTCTCTCTCTCTCTCGAAGGCGAGACACACAATCGAGTCGTGAGTGACAAAGGCGACCGCATTCAGAGCCCAGGCGTACAAACGCGCACACAAGGCATATACCGTATACCTATACATGGCGACCGCGACCGCAACCACGATTCCGCGCGCAGCATGTATTTGCCCACACGTGGTGTGATGCCCACGAGATCCGATGGAAGCCTCACTCACGACTTTTTCCCGAATCTCTACCCTAGCTGCTCTGGACCCCTGCCATTCAGCAACACAGCGCTGAGTGAACAGTGACTCTACAAGCTCACAATCTTTGACTGACAGGCTGGGCATGTTCAGCCGCAACTGGATCCACATTCAGATTCTTCCTCTCTTCTGATTGTATACTACAGCAGCAGCCTATAGCTGCTGAGAGTTGAGGCTGCTTGATTCACTTGCTGATTGCTATGCACGGACCCTGCATCTGCATCACCGCTGCGTGCTGCTGGTGTGGCGCCTCTGCGCGGCTGCTGCATGAGGAGGGCAGCGAAAGCACATGCAGGCATGCTGCGTGGATGGGGTGGGGCAGCAAAAGACACGTATAGGTTAGAGTCTAAGTCAATGATGCCCTGCGTAGGATTGCACACTCATCGCTCGTCACTCTACACTCACTACACACTCTTCACCACTCATTCGTCACTCTCCCTACACCCGCAGCGTCGGAAGCACACCCATGCAGCTCTGAGGGTCAACGCAAGCAGCTGAGCTGCCTGTCTAAAGCGCGGTGCGTCGAGCTCGCCAAGGCTTAGGTATCACAAACATGCTGTCACCAAATGCACCACGCCAGCATACTCCTCTATCTCCCTCTCCTTCTCCCGAGCCACCTGGTGGAGCGGCTAATGGTACAGCAGCAGGCAATGGGCACTCATCAGGCCAAGCTCTATCCGCAGCGACTCATCTAGGTCAAGCTCAGAACGATGTCTCGAGCACAGTGTCATCCCCCCACGAGCAAGCAAGGCAGACGCTGGAGAATTGCGCGAAAAACGCCATTGCAGAGCTGTACCAATTGGCCGTATGCACTGCTGATGTTCAGCCTGGACAGGAGCACGTGGTCGGTGCTAGAATGTGAGTGAGAGTAGGTCTTGTGTTCGCTTTGCGGCGTGCCGTTATCGGTACCAAATGTCCGAAGTGGCTTGAGTGCCAAGCGAGCATGAGAGCTGGTCCCTTCCTTTTTCCCGAACTCATTCCAAACAATCGGCTCTCGCTTTGCAATATCGATCTCGCTCCAATCCAGAAATCAAGTCATCGCTTCACTCTCGTGTCTCTCCGAAGCTGGCTCCAATCAAGATCTCTCCATGCTGATCGAGCCGGATGTGATGAACATGCTAGACAGGGGTCGCAATCCCGATCTGCACACTCGCACCTTCATGAGCGAGCTCATCATTCACAATCAAATCGTAGCTTCCACGACTATGGCTCTTGATGTGAGTCTCGGTGTTCTGCCTTGCAGTCCAAGCCTACTCTTGGTCCGCCGTTCTCGCGTCGCTGATGTCTTGGCCCTGCATCGTTTGACAGTCCTACTACGACCGGCTGGCCGATTCTGTGGCGGAAAGTTTTCCTGAGCTCGCGGAGGATATCGAGCGCCTCAGACAGGTCCCTGAACAATCGCAAGCGCCCGTTGAAGGGCAAGACTTGGCGCACGATGGCGAAGGGAACCGGCCGGCATAAGGAAGGCATAGCTCCTACGCCAAGCTTCCTCAGCATGCTCTTCGTCTTGGCATAGCAATCTAGTCATGCTGAAGCGTCAACCTCAGGAGAGAGGCGGAGAGGGAGCAGACAGATCTCACCCAGCGTGGCTGAAACATGTTGCTGAGTGATCAGATGATCCAACTGCTTTATCCGTCTCCACCATCACAAGCCTTTGGCTCTGGATTAGGCCTCGCTCGGAGCCCATGCATCTCCGACCGCGCATGCAGACCGCCGCTTGCGATCCGCAGCAGCCCCGCAAGCACCTGCTTACGCGGTCACAGTCACCTCTGTTGACACTCAACAACAGGCAGCAGTCCCTATACCGATGCCGCCGAGCAGCTCGTACTTCTAAGACATTCACTGTCCACTTCAATGGCAATCTGTGCGGCAGCGAGGCAAAGCAACCAGCACGGCAGCGATTGCCATCATTGCGAATTGCATGTTGATGTAAAGTACAAGAGCCGCGAGATGGTGACATGTCAATTCTCAATTGCGAGCACATTAGGGGGGATAGGGACTGCCAAGATGTGCACTGTGTTGCAACAAATTCGAGCAAGGTTGCCAATGGGCTAGCTTTTCCCCGAGACCTAGGCTCCAAAAGCCATTTCTTTTCCGCGCTCCAAGACTTTCCGTCAACATCAGCTGCTACCTGCGGCAGCAGATGCGTCATTATGATCGACGATGTCGCCCAGTCCTTTTCCGAGCACTTCTAGCCAGTCGCCCAAATCTTGCACGATGCGAGAGAGCTCGATGCGCAGAGCGTCAGAGGTTCCATTCGCGCTCAGAGAAGGTGATGCACTTCCAGTGACCGCAGCCAGGTCCAGAGGTTTCAGGCTCGGACCACGGGGTGCCTGAGTTGTGGTCAGAACACGTCCACGATCAAGCAAATCGTTGCCGCCGTGTTGCGAATGGCTGTGCAGTGAGTCCGAGTTTACATGTTGAGAGGCGAGGGCTAGTTCAGCACTGCCGTCGGCTGCCTGTCGAAGAGCTTGACCTCCCCACTGAGGCACTCTTCGCGGTCCGAAAGGACCAACGGGCGTACCTGCGCCTGACTGCCCATTCAGATGAGCGAAGAATGCGCTCGATGAAGGACTGGGAGAAGGTGGCAGCCCTTCGGTGGAGAATTCGTGCCCAGCGCCCAACGCATCTCTAAAAGTTGAAGTCGAGGATGCAGCAGAAAAGCTCCTGCCGTAAGCGTGCGCTTGCCCAGTAAAGGATGCCGCTCCATCCTGGTTCAAGGCGAGTGGACGAGTGCGCGAACCGCTCCGACTGCGCGACCCGTAGTTGGGCGTCTGTGCTGCATATCGTTGGGCGGTAATCAAGGCGGCTGTGGCTGCTTGGGCTGGCGTCCGCTCTACATGACTGCCAGGCCCTGCACCCATCCCCACGCCGACCGGTGCGGAGGCTGGGACGTCTCGTCCAGCGCCCATGCCGACGGATCTGCTACCGATCATCACATCTTGCGCCGCGCCCGGCGTCTTGTGCCCACTTGCGACTTGCTCGGGCGCTTGCTGATCACTTTGCGAGCGTGCGAGGTGACGACTTTGGTATGACGAGTCTGACCCGGGGCTTTCGTGCCCTTCCATTGTAGTGTAAAGGTCGATCTGGGCGGAGCCCGAGGGCAGCACGAATCCGTTGCGGTTCTTGGCAGGACTCATGCTGAGACCAGAGGTCGACGTGGCAGCTGTGTTGCTTTGAGAAATATCCTGCTCGACGGGTGTGGTTGTGGACTTCGCGGACATGCTCGAGAGGCTGCTTTTCGCCCTGCGATGAATGATGCTAGCCAAGCTCGGTCGCTTCTCGTGCGCATGGGCAAAGCTCGGCGAGTTTCTGTGCTCTCCAGCCACGCTGCCACTGCTTCCTGGCTTCCGCGCGCCAGCTTTAGCGGCTCCAAACTTGGCCAATTCTGGAGCAACCTCCTCCATGGATGACGTGGACCGCTGTTGGTCGCGATGTCGACGTGTGTCTATCATGGCTGCCCGCGCATTCGCATTCGCGCTCATTGGTGCACCTCCACCCCCAAAGCGAAAAGGGGTCATACCCGTCCCAGCAAAGCTTGCTTTTTGCTCCACTGGCTCTGCTGTCGCAGCGATGGGCTGGGCCACGGTGCTAGCAGCATTGGGATTTGGCAATTCGCTCGCGCTGCTCCCCTTGGTTGTATTTGATGCTACCGGCTGAGGAGGCGGTGGTGCCGGTCGGTGATCCGCAGCGGCTGCTCGCAACGTTGATACTGAGGGTGCCGAGTCTCTACCTGACCGGGCACGACTCAACGACTCAAGCATGTTTGCTGGTACCATGGAGCTGTTGGCAGGTACGGTCTCCACTGCAGGCGTTCCATCCTCGCTGTCGAACAAGCGAAGGAGCGGGTGATCGCGAACAGGACCATGCGCTGTTGCCGAAGCTTCTGAGCTGCCAAACACTGGAGAGGACGTTCCTCGAAAAGTACCAAACTCCCAACCATCTGCGCTGTCGTGCGCATCGAATGCAAACGAGTCTCGATGCCTTCGTCACGATAGAGGCCAGAAGAGGTTAGCAAACGAAGCCGCTAAGTCGTGAGCGTGGCTGACTCACCCGTGATCGCTCAAGTCCGCTGTCTCCGCGCCTAATAGACTCATGCGCATTCCACCAGTCTTGGTCCACGCGTTGTAGTTGGCAATCAAGTCCTTGATCGTAGCAGTCGACGTCTTTGCGAAGCTCTTGATCCACTTGGCCTTGGCCAGCTCATCCGCATTGGGGCGCTCCTTGGGTTCCTCGTTCAGACAAGCAGCCAGGAAGTCCCGCATAAGTTGGGAAAATTGGCCATCGCTCGGGAATCGAGGAGGCTTCGACTTTGGTATGAGCATGATGGCTCGCATTTGCTCTTGGTCGGCATGAGGAGGGTTGCCGCAAGCCATTTCGTAGAGCGTGATGCCCAAGCTCCAGATGTCAGCGCTCTGATCGTACGTCTTGCCCTCTGTGATGACCTCCGGTGCCATCCAATACGGTGTGCCCACAAACGTGCTTCTCTTGCTGTGGACGCTGCTCGAGACAAGCGTGGCCGCCACGCCAAAATCGCAAAGCATGACCCGGCCGGAGTCGGTGAGCAAGATATTTGCAGCTTTGATGTCGCGGTGGATGATACCAGCTTTGTGCAGATAAGCAAGTGCGACCAGTGACTCGCGCATAATCACTCCGCAATATTTTTCTGCCACATGGCCAGCTTTCATCTGTGCACGGCAAACGCGAAGCGTAAGAAGCGGGCCTGACATGCGCGTTTGAGGAAGCGACACATACCACAGTGCGCACGGAGCCTCCTTCCGCAAGGTCCATGACAATCCAAAGCTCGGGACCCTTGAGCCAGCAGCCCCAATACTTGATGACATTCTTGCTATCGGTCTCTTTGAGCTGCGACAAGAGCGCGACTTCTCTCTGAATGTCACTGACGTCATCTTCCGGAGTGTCTAGGTTGACGACTTTCAAAGCAACAGCAGACCCGGTCGACAGATGGATGCCTCGATAGACAGCTCCATAGGCGCCTCTGCCTATCAGCTCTTGGCGTTTGAAGATGGCATGGACTGGTGGTGACTGCGATCGCGGTATCCCGTTTCTGCCGCCACCACCTGGTGGTGGTCGCCCGCTACCTCCACCCGCATTGTCGCCACTGCCTCCCGAACCACCGCCCCATCCCGCAGTCCCAGCTCCAGTGTTGCCAGTGCCCGGCCGTCTTTGCTCGGTGTGTCTAGCCCCATTACTGTGTGGCTGACCTACTCCTGCGTTCCCCGCACCTCCACCACTTGTCGACACTTCGCGAGCTGCTCCATCAATAGCGCTAGGTCCCGCAGCACGACCTGGCGTTGCAGGATTCCCGTTCGGTCTTGCAAAGCTAGCCTTGTGACGTTGCTCAATCGGAGCCAGGCCTTTGTCGTGAGTCGCTGCTGTAGCTTCGCGCTGCACTCGCCGCCAAGCAGCTACTGCTGGGCCCAACGGGCCACCCTTTGCTCTCGCTGCCTGAGGCTCAGGGTGACTAGCTTGGCTGACGAAACCAGCTGTACCGCTACTGGCCGCATCAACATTCCTGGGGCCATCGAGACCTGGCGACAAATTCTGGCGCGCATTCGTCGGTGTCGTGCCTTCCCGCTCCTCGTGGTGGGCAAAAGGCGGCAGAAGCTGCCTCTCAGCGCGAGGTGTGCGCGACTCCGCGCCATCTCTGCGACTTTGTCCTGGCGCCAGAGGCGTCGTCTCGCTCAGCGAGGCATCTGCTGCCCTGCCTTGTATCGTATTCATCGAGATGGTGCTGGGCTCCACGTCGTTGCTCGGCGATATCAGCCCTCCAGCAGAGTTGAGGCTGGTCATGCTTGCCCGCCGCAATGCGCCGCCAGACAGGCTCTTGATGTTCCTAAGCGCTTTACTCGCTCGCCTGCCTGCACTGCCGAGCGGGCCAGGCGATGCCTGTGGATCTGGCGCGAATTCGAAGATATGCTCCGCTGCATGAGAGCCGCCGCCTGGCTGGCTATCGTACACTTCGCTCCTCGATAGTCGATGCCTAGAACTCGTCTTGGAAATCGTTGCGCTGTCGCCCTCGTGTTCTAAAGTTGGCTGCAGTCGGGGAGAACTGATCTTTGCGGAGAGCACAGATAGACGTTTGCCAGACTGCGAATTGGAAGGACTAGGTGTCCGACTAGGACTCCACCAGCTCGGATGAGGCTTCTCCAGTGCGCCTTCCCGCACTAGGGACGCATTTTCTCCACCATCGCCATTTCGAAGCCATGGCGGTACCCATGCATCTTGAGGTTGCCATCGAGCTGATGGAGCACCAAGATCGACGCTACCACTTTCACGCCGCCTGCTGGGTGTGGGAGGCCCATTTGAAAAGGACGAACCGCTGGCCGGACTTACAATGCCAGCGAACTTCAGTTTGAAATCGGCCGAAGCGCGCCTCATGCTACTCCCAGTCTTTCGTACCAAGCTTCCAACATTGATGCCGTTCTCAGCTTGTGCTATCTCCGCATCCCTGCCTTGCTTGAGCGCCTGCAGCATCTCGCTCTCACCGCGGGTCACTTGCCTCCGATGCGATGCATTGTTCGATTGCCTTTGACCTTCAATGCTGGTCTGCCAGCCTGGCAATACCTCTTCAAGCGAAGTCGAGGGAGTGTCCCACGCTGCCTGTTTTGAACCCCATGTACCGCCTCCGCTACTCCCACTGCTACTGCTTGGCGGTTTGAGTGTCTTGACAGGCTGTGGCGGCAATGCCCCGGGCGCTGATGGTCTTCTGATGTCGCGCGGATAGGCACCGCCCAGAGAGTCTTCGATATCGCCGTGGGATATCGCGTTGCTGGTCTGAAACAGAGGCTGAGTCTCTGATCTTGTCAATTTGGCCGGCATGGCGTGATCGGCAGTTGAGTAGGAAGGTCCAGCTAGCCTTGCAAATGTGTCTGCTCTACTGGGCTCGCGATGGCTATCCTCGCGATTTCGGAACGCAGGACCGAGCTGCCTGCGTGGCGTGTTGGCTTGTGAGCTCGGACCAGCTGACATCCCGAAGTGGTCGTCCCGGAAAGGTGCTGCATGACGGCTGCCGCTTGCAACATTTTGATGTGGATAGAAGTGTTGCGCGTCGGGTTCCCTTCTCCAGGGCTGCGTTGCGTTGTGCTCGTCTGCGCCGGGACGTAGCAGAGGGCCATCAGTCCTGGGCACACGTCGAGCGCTAGGGGGTGAGAAGTACGACGTTGTACTGGAAGATAGAGCATCTATTTGCAGGTCCTGTGTGTGGAAACCTGCCATTCTCTGCGGATCGATCACCCTGGCACCGATCGACATTGAGATCGTGTGTGAATGTGGCGGGCGTGATGCGAAGTCCAGAGAGCGCCAAGGATGAGGATCTTGCGCAGAGCTACCCCTTACGGTGAGGTCTTCGGTCAAGACGCGACGGCGAGGTGTCAGCAGGTAGTGGACGATTCAAAGCACCGTATCGTATCTCCGGGACGAAGGGCGAGTGCGACGCTCAGCAACTACAGATGCCGGGGCTTTGCAGAGTGGTAGATGTCTAGGGAAGCTGGACGTCGGATATGACAGTCGTTGCTTCGCGTGCGGGGCAAGAAGTGATCGATAACGAATGATGAACAAGTGGTACGGCAGGGGCTCAGGCTCGCTGATGCTCCTCGTCCACAGCAGGCGTGGCAATCGATGGCTGTGCGTGAAACTCTAGGAGGAGGCGCTGCTTGCAGCAGACTCGATCGAAACGGTCGAGTTGTTGTCGAGACAGGTGCTGGTAGGCCCGCCGCAACCACCCTGCATGCATGATGAGCAGCATATTATACACGGCATCACGCACGCAACCTGCAAAAAGAGACGCGGGCCCGGCTCATAAGCGGGGGGCTGTTCGAATTCTTGTTTGTGAATCAAATAAAAATTTGGCACGAAAATATGCTCCTTTAACAAAACTTGGAGCTCCCCTGAATTCGGGTCGAATTTAGGACAAAGACCTTCTAAGCCCATATGTAGCTTTGGTCTTGTAGTGCTCAGCCTGCGACCTCTTCTTCAGATTGAAATTCGACCAAGCGCTCGCATTGATGCCATTTCACGTGACTCGTCGCACATTGATTTTGGAGTTTTTCCGAGCAGCGTTGCGGTTTCGACATCCCTGCGTGCCCGACGAGAGATTGCTGACTGCTCGAAGGCATCCATGCTCACCACCTCTCTCCGAAGCGATCACTCGGTATTTGTTGTAACACGTCGAGCCAGTGGAAAGCGGATCAGGGCGACGCCTTTTCTGATTCTCCCACAACACGCTCTTCTCTTGCCTCAGTCAGCTCAGCCTGAGATTGACGATTGCGAGCTCCTCCATTGGACAAAGTAAGGCCATCGAGCAAGCCCCTCCATCTCAACGCCTCCGAGGGAATGCCTATAGATCTCGGGCGCCTAGCATCGCATCTACTCCAGCGCTCGCTCGCTGTTGATCGCTTGCCTTCGATCACTAATCGTGTGACAGCGCGCCATTCATCGGCTTTCCAGTCGATCATGGCTCCTTCTGTGGGAAACCTTTCGCCATCTCGCACGCTCAGTGGTAGCGACCATCCTGCAAAGCGGCAAAAGCTAGGTCTTAGCACTGGCAGCGTCGCGATCACAACCTCAAATATGGGTGCAGTGACTGAAAAGGACCTGGCAGCTCTTGATGACGACGACCTTGCTAATTCTTCTTCTACGGATGGCAAGAAGAAGAAGGACGAAGAGAGGGCAGCAAGAAGCGCCGCTCTAGAGATTCCGGGTGTGGTGCCGGAGTCGGAATGGGCAGATTTGCCAAGCGTGCTGAATGCGCGACCCAAGCCGCCCAGGGTAGATTTCAGGACTGGTCTCTTTCTTGCGCCCATGGTAAGGTCTGGACACTTGCCCACGCGATTGCTATCCCTGCAGTACGGCGCTGATTTGGTTTGGGGACCAGAAATCGTCGATCGAGCCATCATGGGCTGTGAAAGGGTTGTCAATGGTAAGTAAGCCTGCAGCTACGGTAGTGGTACTCAGGGGGCTCACACGCACTACATTATGGACTGTATGCGAGCAGAAACGACTGGCATCGTAGCCTTCATCAAGGACGACAAGGAGGTTTTCACCACGCATCCCATCGAGAAAGCACGCGTCATCTTTCAGCTTGGCAGTGCCAATCCGCAGTGGGCTTACGCAGCGATCAAGCGTCTAACGGCGCATAATGACGTGGCAGGCGTGGACCTCAATTGCGGGTGTCCAAAGCCATTCTCTACGATTGGAGGCATGGGCGCACATCTCCTGTCCACACCCGATCTGCTCTGCGATGTGCTTCGAGCTATGCGCAGAGCTGCTCCGCCACACGTCACTGTGAGCTGCAAAATCAGGCTACTGCCAACCAAGGAGGCGACGCAAGCGCTGGTCAGGCAGATCATCAGGACAGGCTGCATCGAGAATCTGACCGTACACTGCCGCACCAAGGAGATGCGACCCAGAGAAGCGGCTCTCCCGAACAGGTTGCAAGAGGTTGCTGAGGTCGTAGCTGAAGAGACGGGAGGCGCGCTGCCTCTTTGCTGTAATGGAGATGCTTGGGATGCCAAGGAAGCTCAAAGCTTGATGCAACTCACGGGAGTCAAGAGCATCATGATTGCCCGGGGAGCAGAAGCCAATCCTTCTTGCTTTCACCCTGACGGGGTAAGAAGTATTACGTCCGAGGTCGCACCACAGATGGTCCGGTATGCTGCAGCGGTGGAGAACGCGTTCCCGAACACCAAATTCTGCCTGTCGCAATTGGCGTACAAGTCGACCTCTTCTTTCAATCCCAAAGCCAAGCCCCTCAAGAACAGTCCCAACAAAAGAGAGATGATCAACTTTAGGGAGGCACTGGCCAAGTCCAAGAGCGATGAGGACCTGGCTCTGGTGTTTGGTGTGGACTTGCACCAAGTCAAGAATACATCTATGGATGACATTCTCAGGCCTGTCAAAGAAGCGCTGGAGAAGAAGCAGATCGCAAGACCTGCAGAGGAGCCAGCAAGCACCATGAAGAGGGACGCGATCGATATAGCGCATGTCCAAGCGGCGAGCGCGAAAGAATCCATCAGGCACACGGAGAACGACACGGAACGCAGCGCCGAGGCTTTGGGTGCTGAAGGAAGCCATCGGACGCTTGAGCACTCTGCTGCTGCCTGATGGACAGAAGCCCTTTTGAGCTAAGACGGTCCACACAAATGTTCAACTTTTGATTTCGAGTTGTATCTTCAGAGCCACCACGCCTCCGCGCCAACTACATCATTGACAAGTCGGGCAACAGGAGGCTCACAAATGTGAATGTAGAAACATGGCTTCCACTTGCAAGTTGCGAGAATGAAGGCGCTCCTCTTGGCCAATTGACTTCGGCAAGAGCCAAGTGCACGAGGGAGACAGCGGCCAGCTCATGTTCACGCACATCATTCTGGTCGAGGTTTCACCTCACGAATGATGTTCACTACTGCATGGAGGTGCTGCTTGCCTGTGTTTGCATCAGCCCTGCTGTGTTCATGATTGCGATTCGCGATTCACATCAAGCAGGGTAATTTACGAATCTTATTCGTGATTATTCACGCGATTGCATGACGGAACAGATCCGTGGACACCGCGGAGAGCTGCCTATTGGCAGAAAAAAGTCTGCATGCACGCGCATCCGCCATTCATCACATTGTGATTGCAAGCTTCGCTGCTTGCCTTTTCGCGATTTCGCATGAATGTCGTTGTCGTGCGTGGGTTGGGTGTTGTGCATCGTTGTGTTCCGGACGGTCATGCCCACTGTTCTTCGTGACTCACAGCTAATCGACGAGTGGCAACTGAGCCCCATTGACGCCTTTGACCCACCCAAAGTGCAGTCCGTTCCCCACCGGCAGGATGGCGAGCAACACACAACACGAGCCTACCCCGGTGGAGCAGTCCTTCCTGAATTGGTTCGAGTCCACAGGCGGATATTTGTCTCCCGATGTTTCCCTGCACGACTTTACGCTGCAGGGCATGGGCAGGGGCATGAAGAGCAACAAGAGGTTGGAAAGGGATGCATTGCTGTTCAGTATTCCCAGGTACATGTTGCTGGGTACCCGAACTTCGACTCTTCCTTCACGAGCTATAGCAGCGGACGAAAAGGCGGCCAGTCTGGTGGGTGCGCAGGCAGAAGGTGCGGCAGGAGCTTCATCAGCATCGTACGGGGTGGAAGAGGCTGCTCGCAAAGCGCAAGCTTGGAGATCCGTTCCTGGCAACGAGGCAAAGGACATTTTGCAACTCTCGCAAGCTCTCTGCGAGGAAGCGCAGACCAATCCTCATCTCTTCACCTGGCAATCGCTTTCCGGCGGCTGGACACAACTGCTGCTCGTCATGCTATGGGAGCATTTCAGATCCACTGCAGAGGGAGGTGCAGCTTTGAATGACTCACTTGCGCCTAGAGGGAGCATGGACGATGAGCAGGATAATGCGGGCGGTAGCGTCGGGCCTTCTTGGGGACCTTACTTTGACATTTTGCCACGAAACTTTGATACGCCCATGTTCTGGGATCGGCAAGAGCTGCAAGACCTCGAGGGCACGACTGTTCGGGGTGAGTCTGGCCTAGGCCCTTGCGCATATACTCACAAGCTCGACACCGAGGATCGTCGCGCTCTACTGCATTTGTGCTGTGTTGCGCTGGGCTGATTATTGTGATCTTCCTCGGTTTCTTTCTCATCTCTAGAGAAGATCGGCTTGGCGGAAGCTCAGCTGGCGTACAGAACGCAACTTCTGCCCTACATTCACGCGCATCCCGATCTCTTTGTCGGATCCAAAGCAAGCGCAAACGCTAGACAAGTGGAGTCGCTGATTTCGACGTACTACAGTGAAGAGTTGTTCCATCGGATGGGCTCTGCGGTGCTATCGAGATCTTTCCATGTCAACTTGCCGGGTCAAGGTGGGCTCGAAGAGGTCGGCGAGGCAGAAGATGGGATGGAAGTGGAGGATGATGAGGATGAGGTGAGCACAACTAAGATGGAGGGAAAATAATCTCTGAGTTTGTCGATGTTTTTCGCCTATCAACGCTCAAGCCCGCTTCTCATCATTGCAGGACGAGGAAGATGGGGAAGGAGAAGGCGAAGAGAATATAAATGACGTATGCATGGTGCCCATGGCAGACATGCTCAATGCGTAAGTGGAAGCTTCGCGTTGATGACGTGATGGTTCGCACGACTGGTTGAGTCTCCTCCTTGCTACGTCCCTCTTCCGGCCCCTTGACCCTTCGCCAGGCGCTTTGAATCAGACAATGTGAGAGCAACATCGACGGAATTGACCCTTGGTGTACTGCTCACACGATCCACTCTGCAGGCGCGGACGTTTTATCATCAAGATGTTCTTGAGATGAGGACCACTCAGGTGGTTGAAGCAGGAGAACAGCTGCTGAACACCTATGTAAGTCTCCCTCAGGCTGTCGAGGAGCGTTTTTTGCGCGTGACAAATGAGAAGACCTTTGCACTTGCTACCTCGGACAGGGCGATCCTCCTAACTGCGATCTGATCCGAAGGTATGGATATGTCGATGAACCCAATGGCGCGGACGTCGGTAAGTGGTGCTCGGCCTGGTTGGTTTGGATGCTCACGGTAATATCGCGCGCAAGACATGCTAACAGCCCTTAGTATGTCTCTGCGCATCGTGTTGTGCAGCTGAGCTACCTGCGACGACGTTGGTTGATGCCTTGCTGTCGCTTGAAGGACTCACGTCGACGACTGCCGTACACGAAACAAGACGCGCAGATTTGCTCTCGCGCCTGGGCTGGACCATCTCCATCGGTTTTGACGAGGTGCACGCGTTGGCGTATTTGTTCCCTCTTTCGCAAGAAGCGCCCTTTGAGCCTACTCCCCTCTCGCCCACCGAGAGGGAGCTGCGATCAGCAGCAGCTTCCATTTCTGACGAGCTCTTGGCTCAGGCTAGAGTGTTGATCATGTCACCAGAGACGCTAGAGAAGCTGAAGAAGAAGGATAAGCTACCTAGCTCGAGGATCGAAGCTAGAGAATTTGTCGATGGGCAGAGCAGGGGCGTCGCAGAGATCATCGCGAGGGCGATCGAGCTGCGCCTCGAGGTGTACCCTACTACGCTGCAGGATAATCGCGCGACGCTCTATGCTTCGCTTTCGACGCACAAGAGACTTGGTACAGATGGAGATATGGCCATAGATCACGATCAGGTTCAAGCTCGACATCAGGTGGAAACGCGAGCGCCTCTCTCTGCTAGGAGGAGGAATGCACTGGTGGTCAGATCCGGAGAGCAGAGCGTATTGATGGATAATCTGAGAGTGCTGAAAGCCGCTGATGAAGCTTCTCGCAAGTTGGAAAAGGGACAAGGCGTGACTTCGGAGAAGAGAAAAGATGCGTCGGAAAGCGCAGGGCACAAGAAGAGCAAGAGGTAGAAGCGCTCTGCTGAAATGAATTGTTCAAACACCTTTTGAGGCTTTGAAGCAGCGCATTGTCTGTGTCTGTCCTGTGCGAAATCTTCACTTGGCTTGCTGCTGTCCGACGGCTGCGCGTGCGCACACACGATCGCCATCACACTCAGCCCAGTGGTGGAGCGACCAGACTGCAGCATTCATTCGAAAGGAGTTTCCCGCTCAATGCAAACCTTGCCACGTTCTGCCCGTGATCCTCTCGTACGCCTCCTGGTATTTGTCCCTGGTATCCAACGCTACCCTATCAGGCAATCTTACACTCTGCCCATCCTTTCCCTTTTCTTTGCCATCCAATCCCTCTTCGATCAACCAATCCCTGACAAATTGTTTATCAAAGCTCTGCTGAGGTTTGCCCACTTGATATTCCTTCGCCGACCAGAACCGCGAAGAGTCTGGAGTCAAGACCTCATCCACCAAGATCAGCTGTTGGGTCGCCTGACCAGTCGAAGGAGAGGTGCTAGAGATCAGACCGAATTCAAATTTTGTGTCGGCCAAAATGATGCCGCGTGATTTGGCGTGTGCTGAGGCTTGTTTGAAAAGCGACAACGCTGCGCTTTCGACCTCCTTGGCTAGGTGTGCACCTATCAGATCCGCGACTGATGCGCGGGCAAGAGACAAAGTTGCGAGCGAATGTTAGAGGAATGTACGTGTGACCCGGAAAGAGCGAGCGTGGAACCCGTCAGGGAGATTGGCAACCTGCCCCGTCACGACCGATACTCACCTTTGTCGGGATGAATATTTTCATCGTGCGATCCCTGCTCAGCTTTGGTGCTGGGTGTGAAGATGGCTTGGGGAAACTCCTGGCTCTCCACCAGTCCTTCCTGCACCTTGATCCCGTGCACCGTCCCGCTCTTCTTGTACTCCTTCCACGCGCTGCCCGTAATGTATCCCCTCACAATCGCCTCGATGGGCAACACTCTGGCTCGTCTGACCAGCATGCTGCGATTTGCTACTTGAGAGGATACGGAGGAGAGCGCGGATTGGAGTGCGGCGGGAAAGGAATGAAAGGAATTCGATAGAACGTGAGATGGAAGGATGGAAGGTGTGAGCAGGTCGAACCAAAAAGTGGAGAGGGCGTGCAGTAGCGGGCCTTTGGATGGGATGCCCTGTCGGCCGGTGTTGCGATTGCGCAGATTTGGGCCAAGCAGAATGGTCAGGACACACCGCTGCCTTTCGCTCTCACCCAACACTCACATTTTCCAGGATCACATCGAATGCGCTGATGCGATCCGTTGCTACGAAGAGTATGGCATCTCTGTACTCTTCGCCCAACCTTCCAGCATCGACTTCGGAAGACAGGACGGGTCCAGCATCGTACAAATCTCGCACTTTGCCTTTTGCGAGCAGGGGCAAAGGTAAAGAGGTGCTGATCAGACTTGCGGGAGCGGCTGATGACATCTTGTGCAGCGTGTGGTGGAGTAAGAGGATGGAGTGTGCAGGCGCATGGCATGCCAGTCCTGTGCAGCTCGGAATCACAATTTTGAATCAATCTGGTGACTCGCAGTCAAAAAGCAGCTTCGAAGTGTGCACATTCAAAGCACGTGATTTTGCATTCAAGTGGCTGTCATTCAATTTGAGGATATTCACGATTCTTGATTTGGGGTATAGGTAAAGTACCTACCGTATGCATGCAGTTAACCGTGTAGTAAAGTTTTGAGTGGACCTCCACCCGGCACGGACAACCACATCAGCGGCACAAGCCCACTCCCCTTTACCGGGCACTCCCGACGTTCACACGACATTCGCCATTCTTTTTGATCCTACCCTGTCAATACATCTCGGCTGACTTCTGGGCAGCATAAGCGCCAATCATTTGACCTGAGCCGCGTCTATCCCCTCTCTTTCGTCAAAGTGAAGCTGCCAGCACTGTTGGCGCGCGTCATGTCCCGCAACGGCTCGAGCGATCAGTCGAAGCTGGGGCCCTTCTCACACCTGGTCGCGCAAGGTGCATTGCCCACTTTCGACACGTTCTTAGACCTCTTCAGCAGCAGCAGCAGCAGCAGCGCTTCCTCCACATTTCCCGAAACATCCCACGCATCTGCTTCCTCATCTCAGAGCTCCAAAGCGACTCAGAGCGCGGGTCAAACGTGGTCTGCGAGCAAACCTCCATTCAAAAACATCCTCATCCTCTCCGGAGCTGGCACCTCCACTTCTGCTGGCATACCAGATTTCAGATCGCCAGGAACCGGATTGTATGACAATTTGAAAAAGTACGATTTGGCTTACCCCGAAGAGATTTTTGGGCTCGATCTGCTCAGAAGCAGACCTGAAGGTGAGCTGTGTGCTGGGTTCTGCTGCGGGTGAAAGGGCCTCGCTGGGTAGACTTGATTCTTGAATTTACACGCACGAAGAAGCGCTCACTGGCCACATCCCACCATCGCGCTTATTCCAATTGCAGCCTTTTTCACCCTCTCGCGAGAACTGTACCCTGGGAAATACGCACCAACCTTGTCTCACACTTTTTACAAGCTGCTGGCCGATGCAGACGTGCTCCTTCGCATCTTCACCCAGAACATCGACACGCTCGAAAGGTTGGCAGGTCTAGATGACGACAAGATCGTGGAGGCTCATGGCAGCTTTGCTAGCGCCAAATGTATCGAGTGCGAAAAGAGCGTGGAGGAGGAGTGGATGAGGCAGCATTGCTTGGAAGGAAAGGTGGCGAGGTGCGAGGCTTGCGGAGGCGTTTGCAAGCCAGACATTGTCTGTGAGTAGGGGGAGAGGCAAAGCGAGCTTTGCAAGGCGAGGTAGTCAGCGCTGATATTGTATTTGCATCATCCGCTGCTGCTCCACCAAGTCTTTGGTGAAGCTTTACCTGAACGCTTCATCGATCGGCTCCAGGACTTGCAGAAAGCCGATTGTCTTTTGATTCTCGGTACCTCACTTAAAGTGAGGAGGTGGCCTAGTCGCGTTCGACTGTGCATTTTTACGAGCTCATACTGAACCTTTGCGCTCCTGCTCGCACCTCACAGGTGCATCCGTTCGCCTCGCTCATTACCCGCGTGCCGCGACACATTCCGAGAATTCTCATCAACCTCGAAAAGGTGGGCGATGATCAGTGGGGCGGATTGGACTTTGACGGCGATTATGTTGAAGAGCCGGAAAGAGTCAGGGATGTTTGGAGCGGGGAAAAGAAGATCGACGAGGTGGTGAGGCAAATTTGCAAGAGGCTCGGATGGGAGGTGAGTGGAGAGGGAGAAGCATCGAATAGTGTGCTTGCGCCGAATGTCGGGCCTCACGCGGACGACCAACTCGTCTCGACCAGGATGAGCTCCTACGACGGAACGCGGAGACGCGGCGAAAGATTCTGGGTGGCGATGAAGTATTTGCCGAGGATGGAAAGGCCGCATCGACGGACAAAGCCGCCGAGACGACAGGCGAAGCGACCACTGATCTCTCTGCAGCAAAGGAGAGCGCGCAGCACATCGCCAAAGATGTGGCCGACCAGTCTGTCGCCGGGCGAGAGGCACCTACGGCGGGCGCACACTTGGCGAAGGAGAAGACAGGCGAAGGCTTGGGAGATGATCTTAGCCAGGGCATCAAGCAGCTGGACATTGAGAAGAGGGAGGCTGAAGAGAAAGACAGAAGAGCTGGACTCTGAAGCGAGCGTCGCTCATCTTGAGGCGGCCACAGCCACGAAATTTGGTGCATCTGAAGGAAGGGCGGAGTGGCACCCTCTGCTCTGCAGCTGCCCTCGTGTCGCACACTCCCATTCTGTGACTGTGTGCCGCATATGTGCATTCATGCCGCCCCCTCCCATCTCCCGGCTCCTTTTGAAAGTTTCTTGCCGATACTAGGCTTGATCCAGATGCATTGCCTACTACCCACGTGTCGTGAGCTCTTGGTCTCGCGATGCTCCTTCTCTTCTTTCACAAAGTTCATCGCTTGCTGTAGAGAATGCACGAATTTCGGAGATCTATCGCTCACCTCGCTGTGGTGATGAGAAGCTGCTCGGACTTTCCAGCGCTTTGCGAATCGCGATAAATGTGAATGTCCCTGGAGTCGGTGGCATCATTCATTCACCAGTCGTCATGCTCCCTCCTCCCCTCCACCTTGCCAGCTGCGAAGTCAAAGCCGGCTATTTGCTTTAGTGTCTTCCCGGCCCGGCACGCATGTGCACGCATACGTGCGCGTCTTTATCCATGCAGCAGACTCGGCTGGTCGGAAACGTGAGTGCCGCACCAGCGCGAGAGGCAACACAAATCTTGCACACGCGTACCTACCATACATGCAGCCACTAACATCGACCCTCGTGTCTGTCTCTCTCTCTCTCTCTCTTCATCCATCGCTGATCCCATCAGTTCGCACCGATTCGACCTCGCTTTGATCTTGGCATTTCCCCAAACACAGCATGCCATTCTTTATCCCACCATGACCACCTCCGTCTCAAGTTCATCGACCATCAAGCGTCTTCTCAAAGAGTACTCTATCATTCGTTCCGAACAAGCCAAACTCGAAGCGAGCGGATCGGAATGGCAAAGAGAAGAGGGAATCGGGAAGAATTCTTGTCTGTTGGAATTGAGACCTTGGGATTCGGAAGAGGAAGATCTGTTCGAATGGACCGCTACCATTTTGGGACCCGAGGGTGGATGTTACGAAGGTAAGTGACGAGCATCGGATATGAGCACAGCAGGCTCGGAGTGTGTGGAGAAAGGGAGAAGGACAGAGAGAGAGAAAGAGGCTGCTGACTGAGTGTTTCGGCATTTCGATTTCCCTCGCTGCGCGTTGCTTGCTCTTACTAGGAGGCCTCTTTAGGCTCTCTATCGTCATCCCACCCGCTTATCCCACTCGACCACCCAGCATGTCCTTCAAGACCAAAATTTGGCATCCCAATGTTCACTGGAAGGTACGTACATTGCCATCTCAGCAGCATGATATCGAAGCATTTGCATCTTGCACAAGCCGAGGCTCAGAGCTCGAACTCCCGCAGCACGAAAAGGGAGAGGTTTCCGACAGAAAGAAAAACTTTTTGACTGACAAGCCCTCTCTCTCCCTCTCTGCGTCCCTTTCTGGCACGTGCTCACTTATCACAGACAGGAGAGATCTGTTTGGATGTGCTCTCTTCTCAATGGACGCCAGCTTGGACGCTCACGTCGGCCTGCACGGCCGTCATAGCTCTGCTAGACGCACCAGAAGCCGATTCTCCTCTCAATGTGGATGCGGGTAAGTTCGGTGTGCGTCTGGTCTCCTCTCATCTCTTGTGCTGCCGAGCGCACGCTTCGCCGTGCACATTGGCGAGGCTGCAAAAGTCTTCATCTTGCACCTTGACCAACTTCCCAAATACAAACAAAAGCTGATCTCATCTCACAATCCGCTTTCCGCATCCCTTGCGTTGCCTCCATGTGCAGCGACTGTGCTGCGCACCGGAGATCGCAGCGCTTACGTCTCTGCGGCGCGCATGTACACCCTCCTGCACGCCTATGACACCTAAACATCCAAAAAGATCAGGCTGCGACGGGGTTCGGGAGGATCACAGCGCTGGCTGCAGCTTGGTGATGCTGAACTGGGCATCTCGCGCCTGGAGGATGTCGGCTTAGACCAGCGCACTTGCTCCCAGTGCGTTGCCATTGAGCGGCTGTGTGCGTCTATGAGAGGACCGCAAAGTGCCGTCGCAGGTGCAAGATATTAGCGCAAGAAAGCTTCATAGACGGCAAGACACAGTTGGAGAGAAGGTCGTCATGCGTGGCATTACAGGGCAGGTGGTGCATCTTCCCGCTTCCCGAGTCAAAGTAAAAGATGAAGAAAAGGTGGCAAGGAATAGAAAGAAAAGGGGAAAACTTTGCGAACAAGTGCAGTCCGAAAGGAGAGAGAATGCAGCACGAAATCGAACCGTGAAAGACAGGAATCGTGCTTTGGGTGCTTAGAGCGACTCCAGAGTGGCAGCTGGTGCGAGCACGCCCGGTGCATGCGTCGACTGCAACGCATACTTAGTCTGTATCGACCAGTCTAGCTTCTTGAGGATTTTGGCCCTTCGAAATGGCCCGCTCGTTCGGGTCCACAGCCTCGTCCGGCTTGGCGGGGAGCTTCCTGCCCGCCTCCTTCTCCTCTGGATACATCGGTCTTGTAGATTCGAGATCCTCCAGAATGTCCCAGAAACACCACTCTACCGCATCGCAAGCCCAAAAGTGGTCGCAATGTTCAGCTTCTTCCTGCCTCTTTGCTCTGATAAGCTTGACATCCTTCTCCACCGTCTCTAGGCGTTCCAGCAGAGGGTCTGTCAAGACCAAAAAGTCCATTCCTCCCGAGTATATGGCAAGAGGAGGGAATCGCTTGTCGTACCACTTTCCAGACGTAGGATCCAGAGTGCAGCCTCTTGACGCGAACCCGCCTTTGCCTGCCCACCAGTAGATCGAGGCAGAAGAGACTGGCTGTGGTGTGAACCTGAACATCTTTGGCTTGCGCCTCTCCAACCAATTGGCATCCGTCCAAGCAAACAGGAAGGCGAACATTTGATATCCGAGCAGAGCATAGGGATACGCTGGCGTCCAGTCGTACGACTGCTTCATGAGGGGAATGAAATCAAGCACTCCAAAGAATCGCTTCCACGTCTTCCACTCCAAATTTCTGAGCGTCGTGAATGGAAAGCAGCTGGTCAATGGTCCTGCGTAGACTGCAGGTGCGAGTGCTCCAAAGTAGGTGAGCCTCTCGCCGAGCTCAGGTACCATGCCCCTGCTCAAGCTGATGAAAGCTGTGCCATTGCCCTGAGAGTGGCCGATGAAGCCAATCTAGAGGTGTGGAGAGGGGCCAGGGTGGATTGGTCAATTTCGTTCCGGACACTTGGAAGGACGCGTGTGAGCACTCACCTTTTCGTAGCCTGTCTCTTTGCATACAAAATCCACAAGTGCTGGCAGGTCGTAGATCGCAAGCTCACGAATGTTATAGTCTTTGGTACGCGACGAGTGAAACACACCATTAGCATACGTTCCGTGCTCTTGAAGGTGCGCCATTAGGTTAGTCGCATTGACTCACCCCAGAATCGCGGGTCACTCCTGGAGAAGCTCTTGTGGCCCATGTCGAAGACGCCGCGATTGTTGCCCAGAAACACTTGATAACCTCCTTGCCTAGCAAGCCAGAACGCCAAGCTGCGCTCTTCGGAGGTCACGAAGGAGCCGCTGGATTGGAAGAGGCCGTGCATGATCAAGACTGGAAAGCCGCCTGGCGGCGCCGCAGAAGGAGCAGAGCATCATTGATTCGTGGTTAGAATTGAAAGTGCGTGCTACGGCAGCTCAGAAGCAGACCACCGACTCACCTCTGCCATCACTATGCCTCTCGTGCGCCCTGGTAGGATCCACTACGCGATGCACCCTCAGGTAGTATCCGTCAGCAGTCTCTACAGTCTCATTGACGATTTCGAATCCAGCAGACTTCGCATAGTACCTGACGTCCTTGACCAAAGCTTCCTGTTTCCATCTATGGGGATCGTCCCATCCTCTAGGTTCGTACTTGTTCTGACCCGTGAGGTATCGGGGTATGGCAGCTAGGACACGAACGCTCAGCGCCCATATAACTACGAGGATGAGGAAAACGGACGAGAGAGTATTGGCAATCGTCTGGCTGATGAGGATCCGCGTCCTCGAGTACAACGTCGGCTGCGCGTATGCTGCCGGCCAGGCACCGCCTCGCCTGGCGAAGATATTTCCTTGATCCCCCATTTGAAGTGTAGGTCCTGCGAGGGGGCGTGGGTGGTTGAGATGCGAGTGATAAGCACCTGTGTCTGAGCAAAGCGGGAAGTTGCATTCTCACGCCGCTCCCTGGAGGTGAGGAAGCGGCGCGAGACTTGCTCGTGTGCGCCACAGCTCGTACTTACTCTCATAGCCCGTGGGCGGATGTGTGAACAAGCTGGCATTTTCAGCCGCTTCCACCGAAGGTTTGTCCACTCTCACTCTGACGCTAGCAGCGCTAGCAGGTCTAGAGATAGCACTACCAGAACCGCCGGTCGGATTTAAATCGATACCAGTGGACTCTGCGGACTCTCTGCCGATGGGTGAAAAGGTGCCTACGTTGAGAGAGGAGAGCGTGTTGCTGCCGCTGCCGCTGGCAGGGTTGCTGGAACCGTGGATTGCGGGTGAAGAACCGCCGGAAGAAGCAGTGCCGAATTGAAACGACGTAGGAGAAGTGGCTTTGGAAAGATGTGAGCTGGTGGTCGCTGAGGAACCATTTCGCGAAGATGCCTGATTGGCTATCCCTCCCGTATCGAAATGTGTCGGCTGCGTAGAGCCAGAAGTGGATGAAGGCGGCATCTCTCGCGGCCGACCCTCTTGTATGAGTGCGCAGGGTACGTGTTGGCGGGCTTGTAAATCGCTTTGTGGATGATCGTGACAATCTTGGTATGACAGTCTGCGCCAAAGGGAGTCTGATTGAATGAAGATGGACGTGAGTGCGACCGAAAGCAAGTCGCGGGTTACGTGCGTGACTGCGTGGAGGTCAATCCGATGAGCCTGGCCAATTGTGAATTCACGACGATTGCCTGCCTGCCTGCCTGCCGACCAGCCATACAGTAAAGCATAGCAGCATAGCGTGAGACGGCGATCTCGTCACTTGGAATCTCAAACCACAACCTCGGCACGGCGCCTGCGTCAGCAGTGCGGTGCGGTGCGGTGCGGTGCGGTGCCCAGTTTTTGAGTCACAAAGTACGTAAGTGCGCTAAAGGTCGCGATATCGGGTGCCCGCGTATACCTCGCTTAATTGTTGTTGTGCAGCAGCTGGCCAATGCTGCCCTGCCCTGCCACGCGCAGTGGCGTCATGCAATCGACTTTCCTGAACGCCGCGACCGCATCCATCACGCTCGCTGGAAATATCTCAAGACTACCACACCCGAGCTCGTGACTGATCGTGACTGTGTACGATCACATCGGAAGCGTGGCGGACGGGTGTCAGCGCTGCCTACATGTTCAGGCTGAACCACAAGCTGCATGGATCTCATCAAGTGCATTCGGTCCAGACCGATCAGGCGTGCCCCGATTCACAGCTCGCTGTCTTGAGTATTTGGCCTTTCGTCCACGCGCTCGTACAGCCGCAAGGGAGCAGAAGGCGAGCCGCAAAAGATGCGCACTGCCATTGTGATTCCTGAGTGGTGAAGAGTGGAAGGGGAAAACGCGAGATCGCACCTCTTGTTGTGCTGCTGATGAGGAGCCAGCAACACGTCCGGAGCAGCGTCAAATCTGGAATCAAGAATGACACCGACTTTCTGGTATGATCTCTCATTCAAGTCCGTTCATTTGCCAATCTCGACAATTACGAACTTTGCACTCAATTACCAATTCAAGTGTGAGTCAATTAAGATGTCGGTCAAGCCTAGCTGTTCAGCAATCGCGTGGATGCAGCAATTAATCTGCTGCTGCTGCTCATTATTGCATGGACGCACGCGGGTTGGCGCCAAATTTGGAACGCCGATTGCGGTGCCGATGAGCCGCCTACTTATAGCTGCTGTGATCGACGCTCGATCGAGCCTGAGGCTGGCTGCTGGGAGGGAGGGAGCAATCGTGAATATATAACAAAACAGCCTGCTGGTGAATGTGGCCCGCGGTCAACACACCGCGGCAAGTGTCAATTTCACGTGATTGGCTTTCACCCAATCGTGAATCTGAATCTAGACCAAATGACCCAAGCAGCATAAGCACGTAGTAAAGTGTGGACGAGGTCGTTGCATGGGAAGCGGTACATATATTTGGCCTTGCGCGTGTGCCGGCCGCGGCGTGCGGTGACAATTAGGTCTTGAAGTGACACTTTAGCAGCTCCGGTTGTGAATCGTGAGTCGTGAGTCGCTCAGTCATGTCATGATGTCTGTCGTGGATGATTGGCCAGTCTTAAGTGCCTTTTCGGCGTGAGGGTCGTGTCTATCTCGCACGCATGAGAATCTGCAAGCAGTTCGATCACATCTTTTTGGAGGATGCCCGAGACTCTTTCAGGATCTCGATCGAACCCTTTGCTCGATTCAGCCTTCAGACATTTGGTCTCACCCCTTATCTCCGCGCGCTGGGGGGACATGCAAGCGCGGCGAAGCGATCTATCAGTCACGAGTCATCGACTACCAATGCGATTCACGTTCTTGTTGATCACTGGACCAAGCTGCTTTATCGATGACCGCGCTGGATCGAAGACCGATTCATCGGAGGTCCGCATTCGGGTGCAATCAAAAAAGACGAATGGTGGCGAAAGAGATTCTTCGTATTGCGCGCTGACCTCTATTACAGCGGGCCGCGCCGCCTCAATTAAGCAGCACCTCCGCTGCGCTTCTCATCTTGGCTTACCTCTCACCTGGCTGCACGTGACGCTTATCACCGGGCGTGCCGTCTGCCGGGTTGCCGGAGCCGAAAGCCCGCGTTTGCGGGGAAATGAAACCAACGCGATGGAGAGGTATCGAGATGGTTAGAGAGAGAGAGAGAGAGAGAGAGAGAGAAAGCGTGGCACTCGCTTATTGTGACTGACGATCAGTGTGATGGCTGTAGAGTCAACATCATCATCGCTGTCCTCTTGCTTTATCCATTGGGCCACAACCAATCATCCTTGCTCGGCTTGCCGTCCCATGTTCGATATACATTGGCTCACGAGTCTCGTTTCAAGATGACGGCAAACAGCAATGCCCCCGCCTCCACGCCAGAGTCTCGTCAAGCTGGAGATCTGCAGAATGAGCGATCGCAGATCACATTTTCTACCGACGATGCTTCTTGCGTCTTTGCAGGATCTAGAGAAGCTAGGGATAGAAATCGATGGCTCCTATCCTTGCTCAGAGATCATCCGGACAAAGTGTTTGACAAGGATAGCCGACCTTTTTTAGGTCGCACAGAGAGGTTCTTGAGAGGACAAAAGGTCGCGCAGGCGTACTACGAGTTGAGAAACAAACATGGGTGCGTGGTAGAGTCGAGTTTGAAGCCTGAGTAAGCCTTTTTGGGAGGAGGGGGGCGCTGAAGATGACTCTAGGTCTGAAACCTTGGACCTTGCGGAAGGTCATCCTGACGCGGACTCGCTTCCCTCCCTGCACAGACTGCAAAAGGAGGACAGGGATCGTCTGCGTTTGCTTCTGGACGAGTACATTCCGCTGCAAGTGCACGAGTCCATGGGGCAGCCCACCATAGAGTCTCAGTCCAGTCCAGAACAATTGCAAGAGTGGGGTCCAAAAGTGAGCAGTGGCAGATGGTTGGTGTGCTATGCTCAGACCGAGCTCGCTCACGGTTCCAATCGTAAGTCGCGCTACAGAAGCACAGAGGAGGCAAGGTCTCAAGTGTCGCGATGACTCGCAGCGGAACTGAAGTACTTGTTCACACCGGCTGAATTTTGTTCTCTGTGGCAGTCTCTGGTCTGCGCACTACCGCCACGTTGGATACGGGCAGCGATACTTGGATCATCGACACTCCAGAGCCATCAGCTGGGAAATGTTGGATCGGTGAGCAAAGGCTTGCGCAGAGCCCCGATGCTGCCCGAGCTGACGAACGCTTCTCCTTCCCTATGCGCCCGTGTGCGCTCTTTAGGAGGCAGTGGCATGACTACAACGCATGCAATAGTCATGGCACAAATGTCGATCAACAACAAGTCCTTTGGCATGCATCCTTTCCTAGTGCCTATGCGCGATCCGGAAACGCACAAACTCTTGCCTGGCGTCTTTGCGATGGACATGGGTCCCAAAGTCGGAGCGCCGGCGATGGACAATGGCTACATCACCTTCGACCACGTCAGTATACCCAGGCAGAACCTGATGGGCAAGTTCCAGCACGTGGATAAAGACGGCAAATACGAGACGAGAAATCAGGCCGCCAAAGCTCTGACCAGGGGCGCAATGGTGAGCATCGACTTGCGGACGAGCCTATTGACTTTGCTAACAATCAACCTCGCTCACAAACTCGTGCAGACGCTCGTACGAGTCGGCTTGATTGAGATAGCTGCACACCACGCTGCAAGAGCTACGTGAGCCGAACACGTCGTGGCCATGCTCTTCTGAACGGTCAGAAGTAGCACGTCAAAGCTGTGTCATGCTGACGATGCTCACCCGTCGGTGGCGATCGCAGTCTCGTTGCAACGCGGTACTCCTTGGTGCGACGACAGGGATCTTCAAAAGGCGGAGCAGAACCTCAAATTCTGGATTACTCAAGCGTCCAACAACGCCTCTTTACCTGCTTGTCCACCTCATGGGCACTCAATTTCGTAGGTCAGCACATGCGCTCCATCTACAATGACCTTCAAAGCGCTCTTCAAAAGGGAGACGCGTCATTGCTCGGCACAGTACACGGTTTCACGTCCATATTGAAAGCTTGCGCGACGTTTCAAGGTCTTGATGTGGTCGAGACGGCTAGAAGGTCCATGGGCGGACACGGATATTCGGCCGCTTCCGGTCTCACAGATCTGGAACGCAATCAGCCCACTGCTGGCTTGACGTACGAAGGAGATAATCACATGCTCCTCTGTGGCCCAGCTGCGAATTTCCTTGTCAAGACGCTGGACAGTGACAAGAGACCAGTTCGACGCGAGTTGGATTTTCTTTTCGACAAGCCACGATTCGATGTGACGAAGCCGCACGAGTGGCTGGATGAAGAGAGACAATTGTATCTGCTCGGAAGTAGAGCTGCTAAACTTGTGCGAGATCTGTCGGCGCTGAGAAGAGAAGCAAAGGATGCAGCAACCTTGGCGTACCTAGAGTCGGCCCTATCTTCGCGGGCTTCAAGGGCAGCAGGTAGCTACCTGATCCTCTATGCCTTCAACGCCCGGCTTTCGCTACTTCGCTCCGCCTCGGCAGAAAGCATCGTCGGCATCAAACCTGCCGCCGAGCTGCTGCGCGCTTTGGAAGACTTGCGCTCTTTCTACGTGCTGGAAGCTTGCGTGCTCAGGGACGTGGGAGACTTTGTGGAGAGTGGATTGCTGGAAGCTGAACAAGTTTCTTGGGCCAGACAAACCGCTGCGCACCTCGCGCTCAGGCTGAGAAAGCAAGCCATCGGTCTCGCAGAAGCTGTGAGGATTTTGTCAGAGGAGACGCTGGCTGTTCGGATAGACGCTTTGCTGATTATTCCCGACGCTTTGTCTCCACGCTCACCTCAGGCGGACATGGACGATTGGTACTTGGGCTCGCCACTTGGTCACTCTGATGGCCGAGCATATGAGCGCATGATAGATTGGATGCGCTTAGAGCCTCTGAACCAGCAAGGGCTTAGCGGAGGGAGAGGTGAGAATGCGCCCCCGCGTCACTGTGCCACGTGGTGATCCCCGCATGGTACTCAGATCTCATTCCTTCCTGTCTATGGCAGATGAGGACGGAGTATTGAAAGGTTTCCGACAGGCAATGGGAAGGCTCACACATGGAGAAGCTCAGCACTTCAATGGAGAGGCTGCGGCGAGGGATTCGAGGCTATGAATGGCTAAACGGACCAATCAGCATGCCTGTGACCTCTGAACGTCGCTTGGATCTGGTCCCATGGCTGCGCTGGCTAAGCCCACAGATAATAAGATGTGCTTGAGCGCTGGCTGCTGCATGGCCCATGATGATCATACATTGATGAAGCAGCGAAGGATTCGCTAAACCATTCCCTCCAAAAATTCTAGTGTCCGGCATTCTGACCCTGACCTTGCATCTGAGCCTCGTGTTTGGCTTTCTGATAATCCCTAGCTCTTGCAGTGACGTACGATGTGAGATCATCATACTTGCGCTTGCCTGAGAAAAGAGGATGGGCGGATCGAAAGCAGGGCTAAGTGGAATAGGCGCGAGGCAAGACGAAGGACGGGGTCCGCTCTGAAACGCACCTGTGTAATCCTCAATGTATTTGGAATCGGCATACAGCTTGAGTGTGGGATATCCCTCAATCTTCTGCTCATTGCACAAATCTGTACGTGGCGTTGAATAGGCTCGATGTGAGCTACGACCGGCGTGTCGAGATACAGCCTACATGCCGCCAATCTGCGAAGCAAGCGATCGCGAAAGATAGCATACGTGCCGCACTGATGGCGAGCACGAGCCCTGCGCAGCCTGCTAGCGAGGCCCCTCGTTGCGGCAGTGCGTGCGGCAGGGTTGCACGCCATTTGCAACATCACCGGCACGCACATCTTTCGTTCGCCTCCTCGGCCTGTGTTCAATGAGATCACTCACCACCGAATGTCAAGCAGTTGACTCTGCTCATATGAAAGTCGGCAGTGAGAGCCAGATGTTCCTGAACCTCCACAACATCCTGCCACACGGGCGCAAAGTGCCTACAGTGAGGGCAGCTAGGCGAGTAGAATTCCACCAACCACATTCCTTTGGATGTTGAAGTGCTGAAGTCTGAAGGTGTCAAGGCGGGCAATTTGGCGTTGATGTCGCCGAAACCGACTGGAGCTGGCGATGGAACGCAGCTGACCAGTTGGATGAGCAGAGAGCACAGAAGCACACTGATCTGCGCCCATCTCGTGTAAAGCTCTGCCAATCGCATTGTGAAACGAACCTGCTACGAATGAGCTGAGCAGGACGTGAAGGGGCTAAAAGACTGCGCGACGGTATTCCGAGTTGCGAGGGCAAGTCGTGAATGGTGAGTTGCTGGCTCGAATACTCTTGCAGGAACGCGATGTCCAAAAAGGGACGAGGTATGGATGATGTTTGGCGAGCGTGAGGACGACGATGTTGGTGGTAATCTGGTCGCGCATGCGACGGCCACCGCCCCCGAGTGGAGTTCTCAGTCAAAAGTCCTTGGCATGCATGCTTGTTTGTCCACACCTCTCACACTCGCGACTCGTGACCAAAGTTTCGGCGTGCAGCCTCATCGGGAGGGCGTCCACATTAGAGCCAGCAGCGTACAAGAGCCATTCATCATCCGTAACCGTATGGTACAAATCAGCTGAACGCAGCGTGTAAGCAAGCGCCTTGCATGTATGCAGCATCATCGATCAAGCCCATGCATCTTCAGCTGCGACGCTTGCTCGACCGCCGCCGCCACCGCCCGCGAGGGTTTTGGGGGCAGACTCACGAATACCGGTACCGGTACCTACAGCTATAGCAGCATATCGTGATCATGCAGGACAGCATATGCGACACCCGTCGATGGATCGCGCCCCGCCGCGCGGGGAGACAAAAGTTGGCACAAGCAGGTCACGTGGTGCTTTCTGTTGCTTGCTCTGAAGAGCTCATCGGAATACGCGGAGTCGCACAGGAGCGCAACAAAAGCCCGCTTCAACTCGACTCGCCAGCTTCAGCAGACGTCTAGGTGCTTGTATGTATCTCGCGATTCATCGTCTGACTCTTGAATGTCAAACTTACGAACCGATGTTCTGCTGCTCAACTGCAGGCAACGAGGCCATGAGCTGCCGTTCACTAATACTCGTGACTGCGAGCCGGTTGATGAGCGCGCGCCACTACCTACATGCAGAAAGTGGCCTTAATTGAGCCCCGCAGCTCCCGTTTCAATTCACCTCCTGTGCCAGCGCGCGTTATTCGTGACTCACGACTGCTACAGTCAAGAAGTAGCACTTCGACTCTGACTCTTGACTCTAAACTCCGAAAAAGCCACATGCAGCACTCGAGACTTCTGCGCCTCACGAGGCTGATGCCTGCACACTTGTATCAAGCTCCTCAATCGTCGTGATCGAGTCGAGTAGCTCTACGACTACTACTATCAGTGTATATAGACTAGCCCCACGCACCTGGTTACATGCCCCGCTGCCTACACCTGTCACATGCTGCACCGCTGAAGCTGAAATTGAAACTGAATCAAGAACGCGAATCGCGAAAAGCGAAAACCAACGCCGGCGTCTCTTTTGGCTCTTGAGCAAAAGTGTCGCAATCCGGCCGAGATTCGATTGGTTCGTCGCAAAGATCAGCAGAAGAGCTTTGAACCGACGCCACGAAAACCCGCGCCGCTGCTGCTGCTGCTGCTGCTGCTGCTGCTGCTGCTGCTGCTCGGCTACCAACAAACTTCGGCCTATATACGCACATCAAGCTCTAATTTATTGTCCGAAAATGCTTCTAGCACATCGACGTGTGCTGTTACAGCAGAGTAGGGAACGGTGGTGTAGACGAGTCGTGACACGTTGGACCGCTATCCTTGATTCATCTGCCCGCGGGGTGCCCGAACTCAAAAAGCCTAGCTCCATTCAAACGCCCATCCCACGCAGAATAGAACGCGCTTCGAGGTGGCGAGCCCTTTGAATTCATCATAGACACTACTGCCTGTCCCTTTGCTTTTCAAGAGCGAAAGTCAAGCCGGCTCACTACCATCACCACCTTGCCTTGCTCCCGCAGTACTTTGATTCCTGTTGTGTTTTTGCCTGCAGCCAACTTTCTTTGCAGGGCTAGGTCAGCCCAATCGGGGCAAGCCAATTTCTTGCCCCGAATCGCAAAAGGTTTCGCGCCTCAAAATGTCGTACATTATCCTCTTCGAGCTGCCCACCCATTCATCAGGAACGGGTACGGGGCCCTTGTTCTCGCCCAACACATGGACCACGCGTTTGACACTTCTACACATGAACCTCCCCTTTCGCGTCGTGGAGCTAGACGGCCCTTCTCTTCGGCATGAATATTTCACTCGAGTGTTCGGAAAGAGGCCTCTGGTGCCAATGATCGAAGCACCCGATGATCAGACTTGCGCAGCCTTACAAGAACAAGCCCTCGCTGCTTCATCCTCCGCCTCTCAAGGTCACGAGAACGGCAACGTGATTGGTGGGCCGGAGTTCCTCAAAGATCGACCTGCTCCAGAAGAGAGGGGTGGTAGGCTGGTGATGGATACGATGACCATAGCTCGCACGCTTCACGACATCTTCCCCAAGCTACATTCGCCTTTCGTCCCGGAACGATCAGCGAGCGAGGCATCCATATCGGACCTCAGAGCGGGAGCTAATTGGGCTCATTTGCTCAAGCGCGGCCTGGGCAACAGCGAATCGAGATGGAGCTGGCACTTTGAGTTGCTTGCTCCTGCCATTGCTGCGAACATGGATCCCAGGGTCCGCACCTTTTTCAAGAGCGACGAAAAGAATGGTAAAGGTGGCTGGCAGAAGTTGTTGGCTCTCGATAGAGGTACGTTGCAGCTGCAAAACTTTCCGCTTTTCCCCCACCCAAAAAGGTGCGGCCACTATACTTGGCTGCATTGTGACTGACGGGGTGCTTCCTATCGTTTCCGTATACCGCTGCTGCAGGTGAATTGCTCGCCAGAACACGCCGGTCTTTGCGACCAATCTCGCATCACTTCAGCAATCCCGTTCCGTTCAGCGATGACTCTGCGCCACCTCTTTTCCTCCAGTCGCCTACTCGCCCCGGACTTTCCGACGCCGTCATCTTTGGACGCTACGCCATGAGCGCCGCGACTGACTCGGCGCTTTCGAAAGCTATCTGGGCCGAAGATCCGAAGGTGGCCAGAGAATGGTTTGCTGCGAACAGACGCCCTAAGGATGCAGAGCTTCCTTTCGTTGAGGGTGAATGGGACGGGGACATTGCCTTGCCAGGGCTACAGGGCTGGATAGACCGGGTAAGTGCAGTGGCTTTCCAACCACCTGGAGCGCTGTAGGCTTACAGGTCTCCGCTTATTGACCGATCACTCCTTGCGATCACGGCGATTCCTCCCTTCAGATGATGGACTGGTCGGGCGGCCATGCGAGGAGTCAATTGTCTCAACGGCAGAGACCTCGAGCGAAATTGCAAGCGTCTGATTTTGAGTGATTTCCGACGAAGGGCAGCCACGCGCGACTCAGGGCGCCGCCCCGCAATGCCAACTAGCGTAGCTCAGTCTTGAGTAGTCGCATCAGTGAGAGGCTGAGGGAGGATCGTGGCTAGCTCCTTTCTCAACCAGCGCACATCGACATTAGCGCCCTCTCCAGTAATGCCGTCGACAGCATCGATCGTAGACGCATCTTCTTGCCTGCGATAATCTTGAGTTGGAAGTTCTCGAGAGACACGCTCAGCATTGCGACGTCTGTGGTCCATCAAGACGGTCCAGGACTCGCTCGTGGTTCCAATAGGCACAAATGGTCGATCGAAATCTTGCACCCGTACTTCGGGCTCCTTTTCGCCAGGTGTCAATGTAGGTACCGCTTCGTCTGTTTGCTGGCTTTGCGCCCCGAACGAGATATCTCTGCATTGCTCAATGGTGGCTACGCTTGCGCTTGAATGCAGGCGCAGCAGAATTGTATTGTTATTCGAAGTGTGCATCCTGAACTGATTTGGAAGAACGAGGAGATGAGATCAGCTCATGGCTCTGCTCTCGCATCACAGGTTCGGTCTCCATCACGAGGCTCCGATCTGCCGCGGAGTGCAGCTTTGTGACTCACCTGACCGCATTCGACGCGAATGAAGCAATCTTGCAGATCGTGAAGCATGACAGCACCGCTGATGCGTGGGAGCAAAAGGATGCACCTGCTAAGTCGACGCAGCTGAAGCGCCGCAAATGCGCTTTGCGTGATTCTTGAGGGCTCTTCGGAAGCGTATGATGTCGCTCTCAGATCGATGAGGCAATCAGTGAGATCGAGCAGATGCAAGTCCTTTTCCTGCTCTTGGGTGGAATGGGACGTTGAATGCAGGCGCAGATCAGACACGGCGATGTGCCTTCCCTGAATGGAAGAGACGCGAAGATGCGAAGTCAAATTTTCGTCGTCTTGCTTGACCACTTTTGAAGAGGAGGGCGCCATTGGCCGAGTTTCTGAATCCTCGTCGGTGAGCTGCGTCGCAACAGCATTCGCTCGAGATTCCGGCAACGCGCTCTTTGAATGCAGCATGGAGCCTGTCGTAGGTGCAGGCTTTGCTTTGCGTCTGAACGCGAATCCTCCATTCGCTTTGGGTTTGTTTGTAGCCGCTATTGCGCCCGTCTTTGGCGCATCGTGATCCGCTTCCGGAGGGATAGAGTAGGGTTGTCCCGCGTACAGATGCCTTCTTCGTGCTTCGACGCCTTCCAAAAGTCTCTTGAGAGCAGTCTGATGAGTCGCCTGATCCCTCGCGGGCAAGATGCTCGTGCTGGCTTGGAGCACAGCGCGAGCTGAGCTTGCCCTGGTCAAGATTTCAGAGAGACCTTCCACGTCTGCAACGCTCTCTGTTTGTGTCGTCAGGTCTGCCGAACTAAAGGTAAATGAGCAATGTGCTGCTTTTTGATGTGAAGGCTAAAGAACATCAAGCATACCTTGGATAATCTCGTTGAAGTCTTTGTAAAACGTTGCAGCCTGAGAAGCCGAGGCGCTCGAGGACGAGCCAAGTGAAGAGGTGGATGCCATGTTGGACCCAAATCAGCGTGCTGAGTCCAAGAGGTCAGGAATCAAGTGTCGACGTCGCTGATTTGGGGCACGTCTGGGACAAAGTTTTGATGTTCAGCAAAGATGCGGAAGCGAGTGGATGAGCTGCAGTCACAGGATCCGTGAATCGAAATGGGAGAGAGTAATTTGAGGAATGGCTGGATGGCTGATGTACGTATGCATACGTGGATGCGTATATGCTGTATGTGCTGTGGGAAGAAGTCTGCAAGAAGCCAAGAGTGGAGGCGCCTACTCGTGCGAGAAAGCCGGCGCACCTGCACACACTCCAGGAAAATGCTCGTCAATCACGAATCTGAATCATGGTATTTGAATCAAGAACGCTCTGGAACGAGGTGCAGGCGTAGATGAGCTTTGTGATCACCACGAGTGGATGCCCGCTGCGACGTTCCGAACCTGCTTATGACTACCATTCATACCGACACACCTATTTGCGGTGATGTCCATCAGCCCGATTGTGCAAGTATGATGCATAATCCCTGAAGCAGCTCACGAAGCTGCACCAGCAAGCCTGTGCCATTGGGCCATCAGCTCAAGACGATGAACGATTCACAGGGACGGGGACGGGGACGGGGACGGAGTGGGCCTCGCGGCAGAGGTCGAGGTCAAGCAAGAGGAGCAGGAATCCAGAGTAATCGGTCAGAAGGTTCGTCTCCCTGGGCCCGGCCACAGTCGCAGGGCACGGCCACAGATCGAGGAGGTGTGCGTGGCCGAGGGAGGGGTAGCAGATCGTCGGCTGTCACTTACCCCAGCAAAGGCGACAGAAGCAAATCTGTGCAAAAGCGAGAATCGTATGTGCGCTCTGATGATCCCTTCTTCGAGCCAGATGATGATGTTGGGGAAGCCGGGCCAAAAGGTGCGCAAGATTCTTCTTCCTCTTCTGACTCGGACTTGGGCGAGGGTGAGGCATCTGGCGAGCCAAAAGTGACGCAAGCAGCAACTTCAACCTCATCACCTCAAGTCGAGCCGAATGCCTCCACATCCGTCTTCGAGCGCACCACTCTCAGCCTTTCTTCAAACCCTCTACCTTCCACGAGAGACCTATCTCGCACACTCCGACGCTTCAGCGCGCTGAGGAAGCTGGAAATGACGCGCATGCAGGCTTCTGCCGCATCGCCAAACGGATTGGAAAGCTTGCATTGGCTACAGGAAGCAACAATCGGAGGGATTACCGACAGCGCAGGCAGTGAGGAGGAGCATGCATTTGGGCAAGACCTCACTAGCTTCGACGTTACTGGAAATGAGGGCCTTGGCGTCAAGGGCGGGCGCGACGCGCTCAATGGAATTGAAAGGTTGACGGCGTTGCGAGGTGAGTCGGACTACTCTCAGCCAAGCTCAGAAGCAACGCGATTTCTGAATCATGTGGCTCAGATCCAGAGCTAATTGCGGAAGAGTTTTGCTGACCTCTCTGTGTTCTCGTCTCTGAAATGAACAGTGCTGAACCTCACCTCATGCTCCTTGGCACACGTGTCGTTCCATTTGCTGCCTCGTGCACTGCACGCTCTCATCCTCGCACAAAACAATCTCGAGGCTATCTCGACGCTTCCGCACTTTCCAAGTCTAAATACGCTGATTCTCTCTGCCAATCGACTCGGCAAGCTTCCAGCAAATCTGGCCAGCTCCTTGCCCGCTCTCAAAAAGATCAATCTCAGCGGCAACATTATTTCTGGCAACCAATTGCCGGACTTTACGAGCTGCAGCGCTTTGAAAGAGGTCAACCTGCGAGGAAATCCACTTCAGCAGCTCCCGGCGCACATGGCCAGTTGGGGGTTGGGCGGGTCGGCGAAGGCGAGGAAATTGCAATCCGGTGCAAGCCGCGTGGAACGCTCGACTGACGGGGATGGAGTGAGAATTTTGGACCTGTCCGACTGCCGTCTCGAAGACTGGGCATCGATTGAACCTCTACTTCATGTCACCAGCAGTGCGAGCGCGGCAACCCTTGAAACCGCCGAAGCTGGTCAGCAGCGCGCTGAGAGCGGAAAAGCTAGCAAGCGTCTGAAGTATCGAGGCCTGGCGTCTCTCAGTCTGCGCGGCAACGGGGTGACGAGAATGCCGGGATACAGAGAAAGGATGATCAAGTCCGTTTCCACTTTGCGTCAACTCGATGGCACGCTCATCGAAGAGCGCAAGCCATCACGACAAAGGAAAGAAGCTTCGCCACCTCTGGAGAAGTCTTCCACTGGCACCAATCATGAACGTCGGCGCGATTCAGGGTGGGCCAGCCGTTCGGAGACAAATGGCCGTTCGGCAGCAGAGATTGATGACGAGCCGTCGGATCTCGAAGGTTCTGAAGAGGAGGCTCTGGCTCAGGAAGCTGCCAGGGATCGCGCTCGGCTGCGAAGGCCTCTTACAGAGTCCAAGCCTGAAGCGTTGACACGCACTGAGTCGAAGTCGAGAAGTACTGCAAGTGAACAGACGAAGAAAAGGAAGCGCGAAGAGCGCGAGAGACCGCGCCCTTTGTCAGCCGGCGAGAATGCACCGCAGAAACCTCGAAGCGGCCCAGGACCGCGCGCTAAGAACCCTGCTTTTGAAGATCAGCGGCGCGAAGGCAGGACGCACAAGAGAGGAGCGCGAGGCAAGAAGCGCAAATTGAGTGCAGATGAGGCATCGCAGGAGCTGGCTGGGAAGAATGACGAGAATGGTGTCGATGCGTCACGGAAGCGCAAACCTACGCGCGTTGTGGAGGTGATTCACGCAGAACCTGAACGGGGTGTCACGAGCCGCTCTCGCAAAGCATCAGTCGAGGTGATGGAAGAAGGTGTTCAATCTGACGCGTCTTCGGATGACGACCGACCAAGTCGTAAGCACAAAGCACATAAGAGGGCATCAGTCGTCAAAGAGGTTCTGCGCTCCGCTGCTGGTCTAGATGAAGAGCGGGAAGCGGAAGCGTACGAGCACTTTCCTCGTGCTTCCGGCCCAGCCAAGGCGCGAGGCAAACAGGAAAAGGCAACAATGAATGAGCGGCAGCAAATTTTCGGAAATGCAGGGGCGAAGGGCAAATCTGCACACATTGACCCCAAGGTGCGCGATAATAGGTTGCCCAAGAGCTCAAACATGTCAAAGGATTCTGGCGCGTCGACTAGCGTGCCGGAAGCTCATGATCGCCCCAACAAGCCATTGCCCAATCGCCGCACAGCCTCAAAAAACGACGCTAGCATGGCGAAACAGAAGCTCTCAGCTTGGGATGCTGATAGTCCGCTGGTCAATAAGCAGCAATCTTCTGCGGTCTTGCAAGCCGAGCACGAGTCTGGCGTGGCTGACAAGAAGGATCAAGGCAAGGAGAAGACATCCGTCAAAGGCGTGGTCGACCTGCGGAAAAAAAGCAAAGGCAACAAAACATTGCCCACGCTCCCAGCTGCCGGCAAGGAGCTGGGCGCTGCGCGTTACACTCAGCAGAAGGCCTCTCTGCTGTTAAGTTCGCAGACGGATGATACGTGGGGCAGCGGCGCTGGCAGTGGCTGGTGGTAGCTCCTCTTTTGATGCAGTACCAAGAAGGGGCTGCTTCGCACCATCTTCATCGCTTAGCCAATCGTGATCACTTTCTTTCCACCTCAGAAGGCGCAGCAGCACGAGACGACACGGGTCTTAGACGGCTACAGAGCGAGTCAATCTCATGCATGCAGCAGTGACATTCGAGTAGCGCAGTGCGAGGCAGTTATTGTGATAGGGAGAGGCGCTTTGTGAGCACGTCTGCGATTCGGCAACTGGAATCGACGCTTGTTATTGGGAAGGAGGAACGTTTGCGCAACGCCGGGCACATGGCTTGTAATTTTGGACATTGAGCTCATCGCAGATCTATCCAGCCGCCTCTAGCGACTTTGGTGCGACAGAAGCCGCAGCTGGCGTGGCGCTTGGGGTGCTGCCTGACGGGCCGTTGAAATGCAGATGCAAAGTGAGATCCCTTGAAAGCGTCGTGAGCTCCCCAACTGCTCTCATAATAGGTTTGGGGAACGCATGCTCCACGCTGGTAGCCTTGATCTGCGTCGAAATCGAAATTACGGCCTGCAGATGAGGAGGTAACGTCAAAGTCAGCGGTCCTGCCAATTGAAGCAACCATGGCCCTCGCCTTCCATACTTACCCGAACAAAACGACTTGACTCCTCCCTCAGTCTTCTGCCATCTACAAACCCCAAGGCCGAACCTCTCCCTCGACTGTCTGGTAACGGACTTCTCGCTTCGCCCGCTTCGCTTGCTAGGTCTTCCTCTTCGACATCCTCTGCAGCTTGCTGCACCTTATCCAAGGTTGCCTGCAACCTGCGAGTCAGCTCCGCAGAGGACATGGCCAACTCTCTCACTTCTCGCAGTCTTCGACTGCTGCTACCCGCGCTTGTCGATGCGCCGCTCGAGGAAGCTGTTTCATCTGTAGAGGACTTGCCTTCAGCGGACGCTCCATCGGGGCCGCTGGCCAGTCTGCCTCTGACACGCGCTTGAGATTCGGGCAGGCCTGGCGAGGGAGGTCCAAGACCTGCGGCTCTGACTCCGATGGATGCAAGATGCTCAAGCAGTGTAGTCCAAACAGCAGATGCGACGGAGGTCACTTCCGCCACTAGCTCCACCAGCTGAGGGTCAAGAGCAGAGCCAGGGGTGGGAGTGTTGGCAGAGAATCCAAGCGCGGCAGGGTACGGAGCAGGCGTGACAGGGGTAGCAGGCGGAGGCGCCGTGCCTCCTGGTGCTGGTGCTGTCAAAGGTCCTCGGCCGAGAGGATAAAGCCCGCCGGCCTCGCTTGCGCTCGCGTTTGAAGGTGTGCGCTTATTCCTGCCAGCGGAGAAAGGCGAGTCGCTGATCGACCTTGCGTATCCAGGGAACCGAACGGACGTTGCCGGAGCCGACATGCCTTGAGTCTGAGCTTGCAGCGCAGAGCGAGGTACGCCCGGACCAGCCAGATTGGACCGCAGAGCAGGGTTTGCAGTGTACGGGGGTAAAATATTCGGTAATCTCTGGGACTGCGAGGGTGAAGAATCCCGCGCTTGTTTTTGCTGCTGTTGGAGCACGTCGTCTGAGCCGGGCGTGCCGAATGAATGGAAAGGCGTGATGGAACCGGCATTGGACGCAGCTCTTCTTCTATGCTCCTGCTGTGCTTGGCTTCGTAGCTCTGACAATTCAAAAGGCTGATCTTCAGAGAGACCATGTCCGCCCATCGTAGCACCTTGTGCCACATCGTGCGCGCTGAACGAGCCCGCATGTCGACGACGTTGACCACGATGGCCAGCGGACGTAGGCGCGGGTCGGATCGTGTGCGACAGCTGCAGCACAGGCGATGTACCCTCAGCGATGCTGGGCAGTGTCGATGAAGGCTGGCTGCCCAAGTGAGCAGGAAGCAGAGCAGGTGCTGACATTGGAGGTACTGCAGACTGATGTGTCGCAGGCAGGGTCGTGGGTGCCTCATTCTGAGCGAGATACGGCAGCACAGCTTGCACATGCGGCTCCATCGTGCTCCAAGCGAGCGCCACCTCGGCAGTGCTTCCGTACAGCATCAGAAGCAGTGTTCTCGTGTACCTAATATCCGCTCTCGGCAGCAAGTTTTGGAGCTGTCGCTGCAGCACGGCGACGACCTTGCTGAAGGTGCGGACGCTGTCACGTGCTGCGATCAAGATAGCACGAATGACGCTCGGCTCGGGAGCACCCTTTTTGATGCGCGACAAGCTGTCGAATCTGTCTAAAGAATTGATAAGTGCGCGCATGCTGCCGCTCGCGACCTCCAGCACCTTCTTGAAGTGAGTCGCAGCGTGGCGTTCGTCTGCGCCGGCGCCAAGCGCGAAGGAGACATAGCTCTTCAATGCCGTGTAGATCTGACTCAGAGCATACAGTACGCCTCGAGTTGCGTCTACTAGGTGAGGTACGGCGACTGGAATGGACTTGCTCATAGTCGAGGGCGGCAGCGTCGAGAGGCGTCGAAAGTAGCTGTTGCGCTCGACTTCGACTGCACCATCATCTTCTTCCACGCCTCCATCTCCAGTCGCTGTATCCCTCACATCTTCTTGAAGTGAGCCAAGCGGTTGTGCAGCTCGAGCGGGTCGCTGGAACTCGGCACGCCGGCCTGACCCTTCTCCCGTTCGAACGTCCGAAAGAGAATCGAAATCTGCTGCACCAACTGTGGCAGCCGTCGATAAGCTGAGCTTCCGTAGGCCTCCACCTCCGCTACCCGTGCTATGTTGAGGCTGATGGCCACGAGAACTGGTGAGCCCCGCAGCCGTGGCAGCTGAGATGGATTGGGGCAAATTCGGGCGTCTCCCTTGGAAGCCTGCACCTAGCACTGCCGTTTTCCTGCTCTGCAGGCCGACTACAGCGTCGGAAACTGCGTTCATGCCAGAGGTCTTTGTCAGCTCAGGCGCGCTGGCAGAAATTTCCATCTCGTGAGGCGCAACGTGTCCGGGTGCTTGAGTAGTGTCTGGGCTCGAGGACATTCCAATCATGGATGAACCGCTTGTTCGAAGCTCCGGCAAAGACTTTTTGCCTCTCAACAAACTACCTCGATTGGATCCGCGCGGTTGGCTATTCCCAGTCGCTTGCGCTACAGAGTGGGAATTATTTCGCCCATGACCGAGAAGTGGAGACTCGGCGAAGAGCGCTCTGCCCCTTTGCCCGCCGAAACTAGGCTCATCGACATCGATCGAATCAAAGTTGAGTGGCCGTGCTCCCTTTTCGACAGCCGGTGATGTGAGAGGGGAGTAATGCCGCGGGATAGGCGGCACTTTTGGCGGCTCGAGATCGTCGAAGTCGTCAGGGGGGGGAGAGATTAGGTTACGTTCGCCAGTAGTGGCATTCTCGTCCGTGCCGCGCCTTCTGCGTGTCGAAATGATCGATCTAGCTGGCGAGGAGCTGAGCTCATCTTCTGCCCTCGTCATTTGGTGTGCGTGCGTCTCGTGTGATGCCGGAGCGGGAGTGGCCGTTGGCGTCTGTCGCGGAGCGAAGTCAGCAAGCGATCGATTTAGAGCAAGCACCTCTCCATGATCTGTCTCTTCGTCGCTGAGAAGTGCTGCGCTCGCCTCCACGTCCGCCGATCGAGCTGTACCTCGCTCAGCGCCTTGCGAAGGTTGAGCTCGTGCGTCTTGTGCGGTTGATGCATATACACTGCGCTGAGGAGTGCCCAGTAGCATTCTCCGTTCGGCGGGAGGCGGGGTGCTCGTCATGTTGAAGCCCATCGCTGCCTCAAATTCTCTGCTCGAACCTGATGGCAAGGCGTTTTCTAGCCTTCGATCCTCATCAGCCTCGGGGTGCCTTGCCAGCCAGCTCTTGACTTGGCCTATCCAATCGACCATCTTAGCCTCCTCGGCTTTCTTGCGGGATCGATCTGCGGCCGCTTTGTCATCCTTCGGCGTCTTGTCACCCGCTATCGTATCCGATGTGACAGCTGAGGACAGGCCAGACTCGGCTCGAAGGTGACTGGCGCTGGACCCTGTCGCATTAGCTGCTCTCTCACGCACCACTGCGTAAGGCGTCTTTGGCGTCGTCGGCATGACGCTGATGTGAGGTGGCGGCCAAGTGATGGGATTTGCTTCAATCATTAGCGTCCTCAAGTTCTTCATCTTCGCTATCCAAGCAGGAAGCTTGCGCAACCTATTGTTCGCGATGGATAGGATCCGTAGCTGAAGTAGCCTGCCAGGCTCAGCTGGCAGCTTCCGAATCTTGTTACGACTAATGTCAAGTATCTCCAAAGCCGGCAATTCGCAAATGCACGCTGGAAATACTGTGATGAGGTTCCAGCGCACGTTGAGATAGCGTAGCTTGTTCAGCTGCCCGAAATTGTCTGGCAGCCTGGTGATGGTATTATAGCCCAGAGCGAGACGAATTATGTCACTTCCGATGAGATCCACTACCTCCCCAGGTATGTTTCCAATCCTTTTGTGACACAAGTCCAGAGTGTAGATGTCTAGACTAGCGATGCCGCCCTCTGACGGGATGGAAAGCTCGCTTGAGGTGACACCTCGCTTTGATTGCGCCTTCAGGTCCGCAACCAAGGTCAGACATTCCGAATCACTGATTGGCTCGGCCAAGGTTTTTGAGCGGTCTTCGAGGAGTGTCCCGCCAAGTGAAGTCTCCTTGTCCCGAGCACGAGGCGGCAGCGGCGTCGATGAGCTGTGGACGCTGGTGTTGGGCGTCTCCACGCTCATGCTCAATTCGACGTTACTGTGGCCCCCCAAAGAGGATGGGCCTCGGACATGATGACCCCCAGGGCTTGCATTTGGAGTCTCGTACAAAGAAGTCGACCCTACGAATCCGATCGTTTCCTGCTCGTCTTCAGCCTCGGCGTCATCAGCGCGGCTTGTCGGAGAGGCTCGTCCGGGCGGTCTAGGTGTGAGCTGAGATTGTGGACTCGCAAGCTGAGAGAGATAGCTTGAGGGCGACATTGAGTGGGAGTGGGAGTGGGATCGGGAGTGCGAGTGCGAGTGCGAGTGGGAGTGGGAAGAGTTGGAATGTGATTGCGAGCTTGCTTGCGAATGCGTTTGGGCGGTCGAAGGTCGATGTGTCGATTGTGCTGCACCGCGCACATTCGGAGGGCTGTAGTTCCTCATAGCGGCGACGCAGAGCTCTATGATGTGCGGCACTGTAGACTATGCTACTCTTGGACAGGATGTTGAAGCTCAGAGCACAGATACGAGGAGAGAGAGGGCGTGTGTCACCGGACGCCCGCGCCCTGGAGCAGTGCGATGCTGACAGCTGGCATCGGCTCGTATTTGAGTTGCAAGTAAGGATGAATCTTGGACACGCACACAGTCGCCTTTGACAGACAAATTTGGAGCGAGTGCTGGCGAGGATGCGATGGCGAAAGTCGACAGTGAAAAATGCTAAGCTGAATCAAAGCATGTTCTGAATGGATTTGCTCACTTTGAATAACGCATCCATCGTCAAGGCGTGAGTCGTGAATGTGAGTCAAGAGTGGCTGTGTTCGATGCGCATCACGTGAAGCTTCCTTGGCCGCTGTAACGCAGACGGCCTTGGTGAGCTCCGCGCTCGAGATGACCTGCCGTTGCTTCTTTTGACTCACACAGACTCACACTCTCACACTCTTGACTCAAGGCTCTAGGATTTGTGTCTGGCTTCTACTTTGCCGATATAAAAACCCTCCATGGCTACAACCCTGCAAGCAGGTGTTTGTCGAGAAGTAGGTGTGAGCCTTCGGTGTATGCTCGCTGTGCGGAGAGTCGCGCGCAATGGCGTTCGAAGGGGCTCGAAATGAAGCATTGGCGAGGAGTCCCCAGCACGAGTTCAAGAGCGATCCCAATGACACGAGCGTCGTCCTCCATCTCGAACGCAATACCAGCAGAGAGACTGCGCCAGCTGATCAGATCGAGATGTACGTGGTAGACTCCGCAAGGCCCTTCCTCGATACCTTGCCAGCGGGAACTCGTCTTTGGCTACCACGTCATCCTCCGACAGAGCAATTTAATGTGGAGTCTTGCGCAAAGCCATTCTCGCAAACCGCGTCGAATACTAAACATGCTGCTCCACGCAAGAAGAGGAAGCTAGATGCTAGCACCATCGACCTGTTCTCCGACATTGGAGGAGAATGTCTGGAGCAAGTACGAATTCACGTCACTCAGGGATCTCGAAACGAAAATCCGTGGTCTCTCAACCGTCATATCAGAGTCGACCTCCCACGCTCCGCTGAATGTGATGAGCGTGGCGCCCTTCCTGTGGCTGCATTTGGCCGCGACAAAGCAGGTCAAGCGGTCATCGACTGGCCCGCAATCGAGCAAAGGCAGTGCGACGCATCCTCACGGCAATTCCAGCACGCTCTTCACGCCAAATCTCGGTCTGTACCCCAAGCCTCTGATCAGGTCCCATCAGGCACCGGTACAGCTGCATACACACTTTCTTTGGCTCATCGCCTCGTTCTGAATGAATCGAGTAGTCATGCTGAAGAGCTTGCAATCGCGACCACCGATGTACCCGACGGAGAACCATCCGAGCAAGGCGAGACGCGGCAGCCCACGCTTCTCATGCCATGTCACTCTGGGTTTCTTCTGACGGACCTGCTCAAGAGTCAGCTGACGCTTCCAAGCGGGTTCCCGGAAGTGCTTCAATTCTGTGCGTGTATCACTTTGATCGAATGCGATGCTTCCAAAGCATGCGCTACTCGTGACTAACTCGGGCGCTACACTGCGTTTTTGCGTCCCTTGCGTCTCATATCGGTGCAGTGCATACAAGGCAACTTTCGCTGTTGCTTTTGGATCCACCCTATCCGAATGCTTCGGTCGCGAGAGCTAGCAAGCGCAACAAGCACAAGGAAGCCTACTCTCCAGTGCAAGATCTGTACGATCTCTGGAAGCTGAGAGATTGTGTCGCCCGACTTCTCAAGGCAGGCTCAGCTGAACGCTCATTGGCGCAAAATGCGGGACTCAATTCACATTATGCGAAGGAACGGGCCACGCTCGTGGCGTGCTGGGTTACAAATGATGTGAGCAAGGGTGCCGATGTAGAGGGACGCCAACATCTTGCTGATGACTATTCCTTAATCCCACGTTTGACGCACCCACACCGAGCAGCCCAAAGCTCGACACTTGATGCTCGGCAAGCTCTTCAAGTCATGGGATGTAGTTCCGATCGGCGAGATTGGCTGGCTCAAAGTGACCGCTTCATCTGCCTCAGAGGATACCAGCGACCCAGCTTCTGGCACAAATCGACGGCTTCCCTCAGATAATTTGGCATCCAGGCAGGACGACAACGGTTGCGTCAGTCAAGGTGGTCAATTAGTCATTTCACCAGAACTCGCCTTGCAGACGGGCAGGAAAAGCCACGAGGTCTTGCTTCTGGGCCGCTATGTCGGCGCAGCAGATTCCCAAAGCGTCGATGCGCGAGCAAGACGCATGGAGCTGGCTCGTGCTGAAGCTAGAGAGTGCGCCCAGAGGAGGACCGTCATCGTGTCCGTCCCTCTCGGACACAGTCGCAAACCGTACGTGTTTGGTGAGTGCTTCGATGCGCTAGCGCAATGCACTGCAAAATAGTTGTCTATGCTTACCACGAAGACGGACGGCCTTGTTGTCGCCTTTTGCCTAGACGTTCTGAGGCCTCTACTGCCCCCACACCGGCATCAAGACAGCCCGGTCGTCGTGGAATTATTCGCTCGCAACCTATGTGCGGGTCCAGTGTGGCGTTCGGACGTACACGAGTCAATAGACGGATTGCTCAACGCAGTCTCAGAGCCGGATGTCAACACCAAAGGCAGAGCCAGAGACGAATTACGACCAGGCGCTGAGGCCGCCGTGCCATCCGGGACTGTTCAATCGCGTAGCCTCCAAAGAGGATGGTGGATAAGCATCGGAAACGAAGCCCCGCGTTTCAACATTGTAGGCGCGGGGTCTCCTGGATTGTCACGGACAGCGCGATGAAAAAGCCCTCGACCAGGTGGAAGCAGCTTTCATTCGTGATTTTCCAGCACGATCTTGGCATTGGGGCGCCAATTCGGGGATGTAACATTCTGTGCAGTAGAGGGGTAATGTGCGTCTTATGCAACCTGACGATGTACTAGTATACTGAGCGCAGTGCCACTCTGTTCGGCAGCGAGCTGCGAGGGCGAAAGGACGGACGCCAGGCCGCCGTTCTGGTGCTCCGCTTTCAAGGCCCTTTGGCCGCCGCTAGAGATACCAGAACCAGTCGAGGGCCGCCACTTGACCTTGAGAGGGATCCCGAATCCGGCGCGCTCGTTCATCACTATGGCTTGTGCTCCTACTTGAGCCTCAACGCCCATCTCCCTGGGGATGGAGGAAGGAGAAGGTGACCCATATTCATCCGAGCCCCGTGCATTGTTCGTGGAGGTCGGAGCAGCATTTGAAGAGGCTTCAGAGACAATCGAGGCAGTCGCAGCATGTCCAGGCTTTGCTGCTGCTTTGGTGCTCGCTGGGTAGAATCGAGGTCTCCTGTCCCATGCTCTAACGCGAGGAAGGACGAACCGACCTTCCGCTCGCGCAACCACTCGGACGGGAACGCTGCGCGTGCTTCGAGGCACCAGATTAGGAATACTCAAGGTGCGCGGACCTGCAAAGAAGAAGACCTCCGAAGAGTCCAGTCCGACGAAGACGTCTGCGGTCAAAGTTGGACTTGGATTTACGACCTACACGCAAGAGCGGGGGGATTGTGTCAGCAACTCAGCCCCTGCGATGTCGGGGAGAAGAATGGCCACTCACCGTAAAGAGCATCACAAAAGGCTGGTCCAGTAGAGCTACTGGTGGCGAAGCAACGAGCAGCCTTGCAGTCAAGTGAGGCGGTAGCAAAGCAGGTATCGGCAGGCGTGTCAAGTTCAGGCGGCTTGTAGGCGCCTCATTTGCATCCAGCCGTCTCCAAGCCACTGCAAGTACACCTGTAGGCCTTACGGTGCCGTCCGGTGACCAAGAAGAGGTGGTCGCCTCATGTCCAGCTCGTCCATTCGGAACTTCAGCGGCGCTGCGGTTCAGAACCTCGATCTCGTGCACTGTGCCCCATCGGTCGCCACCGCTCCATTCATCGTCCGTGATGGTTTGAGCTGCCTCGCTGAGATCGTATTTCTCCAACCGCAAGTGAGTGCTGCCGGGATCAAGCTCGAGAGCGACAGAGCTGATGAGAATCTTCTGTTCTCCAAGGATGTGCAGGCAAGAGGTCACGTTCGCCACTGTGCTATGCGAGGTATTCGAATCCACTTGGAATGCGTTGAAAGAGTCGCCTCCGTCTGACGACTCGTCTCCGATGGTAGAATCCGAGGCTTCGAGGAAGTGGTTCCTTGTGGGCGTCCTGGACAGCTCTTGTGGCGCATCTCGAGGCTCACGCCATGCCGCGCCATGGGTCGATGTGAACATGGCTCGAGCGTCCAGAGTTACAGAATGTGATGATTCGAATGTAAGAGGGTGAGGCTGAGGCGTTCCTCCGGGAGATCTAAGCAACGCGCTTTCCAAGCTTGCCGGAGGAATGCTGCGCACCGACACATCAACGAAGCGGGGAGCAGCATGTCCACAAGTGCGTACAAAGAAACGCTGAGTCTTCGTCTCGCGTGGCTGAAGTACTCCCAAGCTCATGTCTCGCACGTTCCGCTCATTAGTCTGAGCTGCCTCTGGCGTAACGAAGAGCACGTCTCTAGCCGCCTGCGCGATGAGAGCTGCATTAGTGCCCACGGGTGCAGGAGGTATGACAGCGTCCACGGTGCAGTGGAGACTCTCATCGTCCTGATTCGTGACTGCCACGTCGACGGGCGTCGCGTCGTCCAAGAACGCGACTGTGGGGTGTTCGATCTTGACGTCGACCCGATGTGGGCGCCTTCGAAAGCTGACTGACGCCGGATCGTCCGCATGAGCCAGGTACACGTACGATGCTTTGACTCCTTCGCTCGAGTCGCGAGGGCCCGACAGAGCGGAGTACCAGATGGGTTGCTCAGGCTCAGAGTAATGTTGCGGTCCAGCGAACGAGAAGTGGAGCTGCAGGGCAGTGTCGGTGGGAGGTGTATTGATCTGAGCGCGTAAAAATCGGATTGTCCGTGGCGTCTCCTGCGCGATGAAGCTGCCCTGGATCACTTTTAGCGAGCCTGGACTCCAACGTAAATCGCACGCTGCAGTCACCGACGACTCGTCGGTCTGGCCGTCGTCCACGCGAACTGCCTCGTCAAGCTTGAGCACTTGGGAGGTGGGTTGAGATGTCTGATCGATGCTACTATCGTGTGTGAGGACTATTGGCGGCCTTTGCTCGTCATACCAAAGCATAAGCCTCTCGATTGGTACACCAGCGACGAAACTTGTTCGAGGCGCTGCAATCCGCACTTGAAAGTGGGCAATACTGCCGAGATCTGCTTGTGGGTTCATGAAGCTTGCTTCGACACTGAACAACCCATCGCTGAATCCGGACTGGATTTGCTGAGGCTGCGGGTGCGGCACCTCGCTCGCGTCGTCTTTCATTGACAGCCTTGAAAGAAGCGCTCCGAGTCGTTGACCTCGCTCCGCTCCTGCTGTAGGATCCAGCTGCACCCCGGGACTAAGAAGTGCAACGAGCGCACGAAGCTCCGCGGAAGTGTCTTGCACATCCAATGCAACATCAGCCATAGCTTCGAGCACCTCCACAAGCGCGTGGTGTTCGTCTCGTGGATAATGCTCAACCACGCTTTCCAGAAAATTGACTGCTTGAGAGGAAGCGCCGGCAGATCTCTGCGCCTCTGCAATCTTGACTGCAAGCAGTGGAGCTGTATGAGTGAACCCAGCGCGCTTGGCGAGTTCGTCCGAGCGTAGGAAGGCCTGATGGCGTGAGGAGCTTCCCGCATCAGCAAAACTCTAGTCAGCCGCGGACATGTGTGACACTCACTTCCGCAATCAGTCCTGCGTGATCCACCTTCTTCTCGTGCTCAAGTACGCTCCAGCCGCCGGTAGCGGCGGCCAAGTCACTTCCTCTTGTCGACTCGACCTCATCCATGCGTTTGAAGCGTTGCCGCCGCTCTTCAGCGCAGAGTCCTGCCGCGTACCAGCACGCCGCTGGGCCTCTTGATTGCGCAAGGGGCACAAACGGAATTTTTGAGAGATGCGCCGGCAGGGGCGGCACCAGTTGTGGAAGGGCAGGCAGCTGAGATGCTCGGAGGGAAAGATCTGTCAGATCACCCATCAAACGATATCTGGAGGTCGAAGAGGTAATTAGCGCTCAAGCTAGCAGGCTTGCAATGTGTCTGAAAGTTGAATGTGTCAAACTCACTGCTTTCCCACCCAACTCCACCACTCCGCGCTTTCTGCGCCCATGCCCCAGCCCGCGCTCAGCTCCCCAAAGGTACCCAGATGCCGGGCGAATTGTGTAGAGGCGTCATCAGGTCTATCGTCATACAAGCAAAGTCTTGATATCCTCAAGCTGAGTGCATCAGCTAACACTTTCGCTTCTGCCCACCGTTTTGTGCGGGGTGGCAGAGCTGCAGTTGACCTCAGAAGCTCTAGCAGACCTGCGTACGCTGCCGCGTAATGGGTCAGTGCAGTCGGGACATCGCCGCTCAACTCCAGAAAGGTGCCGAGTTTGTATTCGTTTCGCGCTATCCAGCCATCTTTACTCAGAGGCGGTGTCGGAAGATCCGCGGAGCCAGACGTCCCACTTTTGATCACACGCATAGCATCGAGGACCGCAGAAGTATTTGGGGGATATCGCGAACGCTTTCTGCGAACGCGGCGGGCCTGCTCGGCGTAATAATCTATCGCGTTAGAATGTAGCGCATTGTGTAGCGAGGTGAGAAAAGCTGACAGATCGGACCGGCCGACTGGGGTGAGGACGAAGAGGCTCGCTTTGGAGTCGAGCGACGAAGATCGTCTGATGTGCGATAATCGAGGTTCCAGTGTCGAGGACTCTGTGGTGCCAAGCAGTCGTCAAATGCTGGTCGCAGGCAATTGAAAGAGCCGCAAGACCCACCTAGCATTTCTCGCTCGGTCAGGAGCACTACTGTCAACTTGATTCCTCGCTCGGACATCGTTCGTTTCCTCTCAGCGATGGCCTTGATCAGAGCTTCGTCGATTTCCTTCAGCTGCTGAGCATCCGAAGCTACCCCAACCTGCTCGTGCTCCGCTGTAGCGCGATCCTCTGTGTTTTGGGTCGATGCAGCTTTGTTCGAGAGTGCAGGTAGCACAGCCACCATCACCCACACTGCGCCTCTCTGCTCTCGGTGCCTCCTGAGCCAAAGCGGCGTCATGATGCCGTCAGGCCAAAGCGGCGAGGCCGGATGCGCCGGGCTCAAGGGCGATCGTGCAGGCTGAGCTGCTAGCACCGAGTGAGCTCGCGACTGAGCATCGTCTGGATCGTTGGATGAGGGCGGCGCGGTCAGGCCTCGGGGCAATGGACGGCTCTTCCGAACCGGCAGCCGATGATTCTGCGATAGCGGGGCATCCTTGTCAGATAATCGCAGCGAAATATCTGCAGCACAAACAACGACTCACGCTATCCACAAGAAGCGTCTTGAATGCTGTGCTCTTTGCTCTTGCAGGATCCCAAGGCGTGTCCCGACCTCGAGTAGCTACTAGAGCCCTCAGGTCCGCACAAAGTTGGGGGTACGCTGCGGTTGGAGGGACGAGCGAAGGGGCTGCATTGGTAGCAGCGCTTGTCCCAGCATGTTCGACTCTTCCTTTCGGGCCTGCAAGAGGCGGGACGATCCCCGAAAGAATCAGCACTGGATAGTGGTGTGAGAGAAGATCCGGTGGATACGCGTTCATGTTTCCGAGCTGAGCACCTATAACGGCGCGCGAGCGACGACAGTGAAGGACTGGAGGCACTACCTTCAATGTAACGTCAAGTGAGCGCGAAGATCAGTATAGCAACCGGGCGAGGGTGCTTCTGATGTGGAGACGATGCTCGCTAACACCCGACGTGTGCAGGTCTTCCTCATCTTGGAGGTGCTATCAAGCTGGCTTGTGCCACTTGGCGCAGCGGTAATAATGATAATGTTCACAACTTTGAATAATAACACTCAATTGACTGAATCACCAATCAAAATGAAATCTTGAAAGCACGTGTGCCCCTTCGAACTGATCACGTGCTCGAGTGTTGCTGTGCCATTTCGGGGTGCTCGTGCGCGCGCGCCCCGTGCCCGGTCCGCGGCTCCTGATGCAGCCAATCTTGAACAAGTTGCTGTTGCTGCTTTCAGGCGCTGCTCACTCAGATTCACGCGTGATTTGTGCTCGCAACACCCCGACTCACTACTACGTTGTGACCGTCTCTGCTGCTTGCACGTCCATCGCGTCCATCGCTTGCCCGCCTGACCGCCCCTTCTTGAGGTCGGCACATCGCTCGGGTCCAGTCTGCGCACGCACACCTCTTCGTCAAATTGTCCGGGTGGCACAATCGAGCTCGGCCAGTGACACGCGTTCCTGGCTGGCCTAACAGTCTGTCCGGACCTTTGACAACGCAAATTCATCGGCTGTCATCGTCCGCTCATCGGCGAGGGATACACCTCAAAGTTCCACACGATCTCATAGTCATTGATCCCTTTAGCCGCAGGATTCCAAATCTGCAGCGCGCATCATGTCAGGCAATGTCAAAGTAGTGTCGCGGTGCGTATGCGTTGCACAGTGAACTGGTTGCCAGCGATTCTGAAAACTTAGACCTGCCGCGCAACCTTTCACTCTCCTCCTGTACAGGTTCCGTCCTCCCAACTCCCTCGAGCTGAAGGAGGGTGGGGACATCGTAGTGGATTTCGATGACTCGGAGGGTACCACAGTCAAACTTAGAAATGGCCCGACTTCAGGTCCGGAAGCCGCCGGCTTCACGTTCGACCGCGTCTTTCCGATGGGCACTCATCAACAGGACGTGTTCGAATACGGTATCAAAGAGACTGTGGATGGTGAGTTGAGCACCCCATGGGAGTGCTAGCAGTCAAACGATACACAGCTGACATTATCCTGGCTCCGCCACAGATGTCCTCAATGGTTACAATGGCACCATCTTTGCCTATGGTCAGACGGGTTCGGGCAAGACCTTCACCATGATGGTATGTACTTCAGCTGTGGCAGCCCTGAACCCGTGTCATGTTGCTAATGCATGCGTGGCTGGCGAAACAGGGATCTGACATCGATAGTGAGGACCTCAAAGGTATCATCCCTCGTATCACCGAACAGATCTTTACCAATATCGCAATCAGCCCGCCACACTTGGAATACCTTGTCAAAGTCTCGTACATGGAGATTTACATGGAGCGCATTCGAGACTTGTTGGCCCCGCAGAATGACAATCTGCAGATTCATGAAGAGAAGAGTCGAGGCGTCTACATCAAGGGCTTGTCAGACTACTACGTATCGGATCAGTCTGAAGTGTACGAAATCATGCGCCAGGGTGGCTTGGCTAGGGCGGTGTCCTCGACAAGTGCGTCGCTTGGTCTCATGTCGGTTTCGCTTGCTGGAGAAGAGTACTCATCCCACAATCTCCGTTGCTGTTGCATGCAGACATGAACGCCGAATCATCGCGCTCGCACTCAATCTTTCTGGTGACCATTCAGCAGAGAAACACCGAGACGGGCTCGCAGAAGTCAGGAAATTTGTACCTTGTCGACTTGGCAGGCTCAGAGAAGGTTGGCAAGACAGGAGCATCGGGTCAGACGTTAGAGGAGGCAAAGAAGATCAACAAGAGTCTCAGTGCTTTGGGAATGGTCATCAATGCTCTAACAGACGGCAAGGTAAGTCCTGATCGCTGACAGCATTTCCCCATTCATCATGGTCTCACCTGCTCACCTCTCTTCATGAAGTCTTCCCACATTCCTTACAGAGATTCCAAATTGACACGTATCCTTCAGGAATCGCTTGGAGGTAATTCGCGCACCACTTTGATCATCAATTGCTCGCCCTGCTACTACAATCAGGACGAGACCATATCAACTCTTCGCTTCGGTGTTCGTGCCAAGTCGATCAAGAACAAGGCGCGCGTCAATGCCGAGCTATCTCCCGCAGAACTCAAGGCTTTGCTCAAAAAGGCGCAGGCCGACGCTGCCCGTCAGCAAGCCTACATTACTGCTCTGGAGACCGAGGTCAAGCGATGGCGAAGCGGCGCACAAGTCGCGGAGAGCGAGTGGGCAGATCTCTCAAAGGTCGTCGTTGGTGCATCTGCCGGAGAATCCGGTACCATTGCACCTGCTTCCGCCTCTCGACCTCCGTCGACTAGACCAATCACGCCTGCTATCGAGGCTCTTCGCGAGTCAAGACCAGAAACACCCTCAAGCGGATCGATGGACAAGGATGAGCGGGATGAGTTCTTGCGGCGCGAGAACGAGTTGGCAGATCAGGTCACTGAGCGCGAGAACGCTCTCAAGGAGACGCGAGCCAAGCTGCAGGAAGCTGAAGACGAGCTTGCATTCCTCCGCGAGCGCGAAGCCGAACTCAGCGAAACCAATAAGACTTATGCCAAAGACTCGGAAGAGCTCAAGCTTGCCCATGACAGGCTCATTTACGAACACAAGGAGACCACGATCAGTGTGGACATTTTGAAAGAGCAGATTCAGGACCTGCACACAGAAATCGAGGATCTCCGCAGGAGCGCCAACGAGCCTGGACGCAGTGCTACTGGTGTCGGGCAGAGTGCCGATCCCGCTCAAGCGGACAGGGATCGGAAGAAAGCAGAGCTTGTGGGTCAGATGATGGAGGGCTACACTGCGGGTGCTTTCACAGCTCTAGAGCAACAGGTGCGGGAGTCTCTTTCCAAGCTGGACCTGGTCGCTGGCGATAAGGGAAATTTATCCTCTGAAGACATTGCAAAGATCAAAGGGCTGTTCGACGATTCGCAATCAGTGGCTCGCGAGAATACCGAGCGTGCGCAGCAGGCAGAGGAGCAGAACAAACTCCTCGCACAAAGCAGAGACGAGCTGGAGGACCGCTTTGCAAAACTCGAAGCCGAGTACGATGAATTGCTCGACAAGACGATGCAGAACGATGAGACGAACGCAACTGGCTACAATGACGCTGCCCAAGAGGTTCGTCTGAAGCTGGAGGCGCAGTATGCCAGCAAGAGGGAGGCACACCTAGGCGAGATTGCGGATCTTAAACGACAACTCGAGCTTCGCGCCAACGAGAAAGCCAAATTGCAGAACAATCACGAGGTGCTGCGCTCCGCGTATGACGAGCTCAAGCGCGCTCTGGCTGTCACTTCCGCCGCTGCAGATGGAGGCAAGAATCTGGCTGAGGAAGCTCGCGAGATGGAGAGAGTGCGTCGCTCGATGACCACGCAGTTGGCAGAGTTCGACAACATGCGTAAGAACTTGATGCGTGACCTGCAGAATCGCTGCGAGAAGGTGAGTTGGTGTAGCTTGAGATTCGCATCCGTTGAACAACGTGAAATCCGCTGAATCCTGGACTGGCCGCGCAGGTTGTTGAGCTCGAGCTTGCCCTTGACACGACGCGCGAGCACTCCAACAATTTGATTCGCAACTCCAACGTCAAGTCTCAGGCGAAGAAGATGGCGCACCTGGAGCACAACCTCAACAATCTCGTTCGCGTTCAGAAGAGCTTGGTTGACCAGAACACACAGCTTAAGAAAGACATCAACGCCAGCACAAAGAAGCTGATGAACAGACAGGATCGCATCGCACAATTGGAGCAACAATTCGCCGAGGCTCAGGCGGATCTAAAGCGAGCCAACGAAAGATTCGACGACCAAGTTGCCAACCTCAAGCAAGCCATGAGTCACAGACAGGCAAAACCTGCAGGAGCTCAGACTGGGGCAGCTCTTGGCTTTGGCCGCATCGCGAAACCTATCCGCGGTGGTGGGCCTATTGGACAGCCGGGACCCCAACCTGGACCTGGCGCAGCTGCCCAAGGACTTCGTCATCCGGGTATTGCGAGCGCGCAAGCCCAGTCTATCGAGTGAGTAGAGAAGACAAGCGCGTCTTTGCCACATAACCTAACTCAGAGTCATCCTCCTTGCTGAAGCTCGAGCTCGCCAAAGGCTAGATCCAGCTGGTTCTTCTCGGCCACGAAATAGACGCCCGCACTGTTCCGCTCTTTATCTCCGATGGCTACATTTTCCGATTGTTGGCAGCTTGATAAATTGCGACCTCCCAAACGCTTGTTTGTGTTGTCTGCGAGACCATTCTGATCGCTCGCAAGTTCAAGAGTCGACTGCTTCCGCGTTTCAATGGCATACCCTGTCGACCGAGACACATTATGCACCCTCTCGTGAAGCGGCTCGCGTCCCACGTGCATTTATCTCTCATATACTCAGCCCAAAGGCCCGGTCTTGGTCCGGCTATCGTGCAGGGACAAGCAGAGGCCTTTCGAAGGTAGCAGTCTGAGTAAGATTCGCTGTGAAGCTGCTGCCGGGTAGACTTGAACAGCAACACTGCGATTCCGATCTTTGTTTCGTTAGTGCGTGCTCGTTTCAGCGGCCCAGCGTCCCATATAGCCGCGCTGGCAGCGTTACTTCCTTGGCACTCGGAGCGGTACGAGAGTAGCAGTCAAGAGTCACAAAGGTGCATTTGAGACTCACGAAACACGACTGCTACAACCGCAAATGTGAATCTTGCATGACGTGTGACCTTTCTGGACCTTCGAGCTTGCGACCGATCTGGCAAGTCTCTCGCCGATGCTTTCTGCTCGTCGAGGCATGAGAGGATGCCGATGGCATGGATGCCCATTCTTCACCTACGTAAAGATACGCGAGTCTCTTGATAAAGGGTACTCACGACTGTGCTTTGGCTCCTCGAGACTCTCCATTCCTGCAGTTCGCTGGGCGCTCGGCCGACTCTCGATCATGAGATCTTTGCCTGCTGTATGCATGCAAGCGCGAGCTTAAGAGCTTCTGCAGTCACAGTGCGCTGATGGAGAGGATGTATTATGCGATGCATGCTAGCTCGTCCGGCGGCCGTGCAGCTCAGTGAATAAATCACTAGCAAGGCTGCTAGCTCGGCCGCGTCCGAACGTGGGTGGGGCAGCCGCGGCCGTCTCTCTCGTGTCTAAGTATATAGGTATAGTACGGTATAGTCACGAGTTGCGTCCGCACGCGCGACGCGGGCGTGACCGCGCCAGTCTCAGCGGCTCCGACGCTGAGACCGGCAAGTATGCAGCTCGCTGTCTTCGATCAGTCGAGGCCGAGACCGTTTTGCAGCTTGCGCCATGCACATGTGCCGTCGATCACCAAAGTAAGCGATCAGAGAAGAGAAGCTAAGACGAGGGCCGGTGCACTCGTGCTGCACTTTATTCAAGAGGAACCGCGCGTGCGTCACTCGAACGTTCGCCTTCTACATTCTTGATTCAAACTCTGTTGTGATTTCTTGATTGTGATTCAGATTGTACAGACGAGGTCCACCTCCTGAGACGGGCTGCTCCGTGCACTCGATCACAACCCTTGACGGCTCGGACACTCACGACACGACTGATTCTCCGACTTGCTCATGATCCGCTTGCGTGTGTTGGCCCGGAGGAGTGGTCGTCGACACGCTGATGATCTTCCTTCACGACGCTTGGTGCCGATGCTTGCTGACCTCGGCATTCCGCCTTGCCTAGAGAGGCGCCTTGCTGAAGGCGAAGGTCATGTCATCTGCCATATTGTCAGGGTACATGATGCTCTCTCCTGTATATGAGTGGTGACTGACGACTTGATAGACGTTCTTCCATCGTCACACTCACACTCGAGTGAGATTTCCCCATGTCCAGCTCGATCCCCCAGCCTCTCCCTTTCTGCTAAACCTCGTCGTCTCATCCAAGGGTTTTTCCCCGTCCTGAACCTCGTTGGACTCAATCTCGAGCTTCGTTGCTCAGAGCTCTTGGCAGAATGAGATCCTCGCTGCTCATTTGGCCGGCACTTGGCATAGCGCTGGCCGCGGGCAGCGTAGCTGCTTTACCCGCCGACCGAGCAGCAACCTCCAGCAGTGGGCTTACGTCTCGCGTTCCCAGCTCATCACGTTCCACGTCTGTCAAAAGCTCTTCCAACACGGCTTCGAAGTCGATCTCTTCGAAAAGCGCCAGCAGCACGACCTTCGCGGCGCCCAGCACCAGCAACGTGACGAACAGTAACGGCACGATTGTTGCCAAGGACGCGCCTCCACAAGCGTCTGCCTGCACGGCTTTCGCAGCCTACCTGCCAACTCTGCTTTCCAGCGGCAAGGCTACGCCCGGTGGTACCAAGCTCAAAGTGAAAAATTCCCTAGCAGCGTACTATCAAGGTGTCAATCCCAGCACAAAGGAGCTGATCGATCTGATTCCTAATGGCGCTTTTGGACCCAAAGATTCAAAAAAGGGCGCCATCAGCGGTGCTGGAGAATGGGACACCACGGATGTCATGATGGATGAAGGTTACGGAGAGGCGGATCTGGTGGAGCAAGCCGGTCTGGGTCTGCTGCCGCCCTTTTGTCGTATCGGCGGCAGCATTGAGACAAGCGATTCTAGTCAGACATGGTTCGAAGTCTGGTTGCCTTTACCTCGTGATGGTCTGCAAAACGGCACATTCGGTGACAGCTCGATTCCGCAAAACGCTTCTTCGCCTCTCGTGCGCGTCAAGCCTCTCATTCTTGCCAAAGCATGGAGACAAAAAGACCCGCTGGTTGCTTCTTCATCATCCACTCCCGTACCGACAGCAGCGGCATTTAGAAGTGAGAATCCAGCCCTCCAGCATGTCCTCGCCCGAAGTGACTCACCGTCTTTCGAGGACGTCACTGCCTCTGAAACGGCGCTGCCATCCCCAAGCGCTGCTCTAAGCCCCAGTGCCGTCGACTCCATCACTTCCGGCGAGGGAAGCGCTGTTTCTGCTAACCCCTCAGCCACCGCTTCCGGTGTACAGCCCCTGCTCCCGGAAGTAGTACACACAACGTCCAAGAAGCCAGACGGCCTTCCTGCATCTGGCGGCAACTGGCGAGGCCGAATGCTGCTGATCGGCACAGGCGGTCAAAAAGGAACCGTCATCTACCCTGAGCTCAAACAAGTCCTGACGCGATACAGAGAAGCAGCTGCAGGCACCAACGCTGGCCACTGGGGCTCAGGGTCCGACACCACATGGACTATCCAATCTCCAGAGTCTCAAAACGACTTTGGCTACAGAGGCGTGCACGTATCGACCTTGGCTAGCAAAGCGGTCGTGTCGCAATTTTACGGTGCCAAATCGTTCGGCACAGACCGGGCGAATACTAAAGACGCCACTGGCCTCACTTTCCGTAGCTATTTCAAGGGCTGCTCCACCGGCGGCCGACAGGCGATGGTCAGTGCACAACGCTATCCGCAAGACTTTGACGGAATCATGGCTGGCTCGCCGGCAATCGACTATAATTATCTCAACGCGTACCAGATTCACGTCAACAGCTTCCAAAACGATACCTCGTCGCCTAGGTACATTCCTGAGAAGCTGTACGCGACCATTCACGAAGCAGCGCTCGACCAGTGCGACGCCATGGATGGACAGATGGATGGCATCATTGGAGATGTCTTCAACTGCGACCCACACGACTACGTCCCTAGGCTTGCATGCGACGCCCAGGAGAGCGTCGCGGCAGATTCGACCATCATTCCGACGATCGCTTCCGAGTCTGATGCAGTGAAGCTAAATGCACGAAGCAGGCAGGCCAATTTGGCCGGTCATAATGGCCTCGTACAGCTTGACAACATCACTTCGAGCGATACACCTTCGTGTCTGACACAACCTCAAATCGACAACTTGTACGATATCTATGAAACCTTCAAGATCGGCGACACGCTTGTAAGTACGCTCGCCCCGTGCGCACATTGATGCTGCTCACTTCTTTGCGTGTTGGTTCCTGCTGTAGATACATGAACCCGTCCTCCCCGGCTCAGAGACGGGTTGGACAGTCCTGGATGGCGTAGGAGGAATTCCTTTTCCCGCTGCTCCCGGTTGGTTCAAGTATCAAGTTCTCAATATCACAGATAAGAACGCTGCTTTCAATCCTTACACTCAAGTCACGCCGGATGTCATTTTTCAGGGCCAGCAAGCAGACGCGGGAGGCACCATTGGTTTCAACGCAAATTTGAGACCTTACTTTCAAAATGGAGGCAAGCTGGTCCACTACCACGGCTTGGCAGATCAATTGATCCCCAGCGGGAGCAGCTTCAGGTATCACAAGCTGGTGACGAACAATTATTCGCGCTTTTCCAGCAGCTACAGATTCTTTCCCATTCCAGGCATGAACCACTGTCGTTCGGGTGATGGCGCCTTCAACTTTGGTTCGGCCGGTCAGACGGATCAAGCTGGATGGAGACCGTTGAGCTACGATGCTAATCACGATTTGACCCTCGCGCTCTTCAAATGGGTGGAGCAAGGCACAGCTCCCACGTCTATCATCGGTGCTGCGTACAAGAACAGCACGACCGAGACGATCGGAAGCTACTCTTCGGATGTTCTAGCACCGCGTCCGTTTCAGAACGGTGAGTGTTGCGAGTGCGACAAATTGTTCTGCTGATGGAGGGATCGGGCTGACTGGTTTGCCGTCATCACGACTTATGCTCCCCCCTCAGGTGTCAAGCTTACGAGACGCTTCTGTCCGTGGCCCAAAACGGCGCAGTTGGTCGACAACAGTCAAAGAGGCGTCGCAGAAGGCTACAAGTGCCAGTGATCACTGCGTCAATTTTCCGCGCCTGACTCTCACGCTCGAACGCCTCATGACACCAGCTAGCCATGATTATACCCTTTCGCCTGCCGCGCTTACAGCTTCAAGTACCTCCGTCCATGCCTCAAGGACGTTGAGCAGTGTATGTGCATAGTCCAACGCTCTTCGTCTCACCCCAATCTTTCATGTCCAGTGTCCAGCGCATCACGTCTTTTTTTGCAAATTTGCGATGGGACCCTCAAAGGGTTTCTGCTAAAAGTACAATTGAAATGGGCAGGTGATAGTGGATATGCGATATGTGAAGTTCAAGGGAGTGTTCGACGTCTGTCTACGTGCGACGAATGGATAGAGTAGAGCAACTGGTGCTTCCGAAAGAGTGTATAGGTAGGTAAGGTCCACCTTTCCAGTCACCAGCGCTTGGCGAAACTTCCGGGCGGTGGAGCTTTGACAGCCGTCCTACAACCATCCACTGGCAAAACGGCTTTGCTTTCTGGCTTCGGCGTGGCTTCGATTTGTCGGCGGCGATAAAGATGGCGCATATGGCGAAGCAGCCTTGACGGACATCCCGAATGCGTGGCTGAAAGGGTTGGATCGTTCAATAAGAGGACTGGGCATCAAGCTCAAAGGCACAGGCGAGCCTTTGCCACCTAGGTCTAGGTGGAAAGCTTCCTTGAACTGTCGAACGGTGTGCGATTCTGCGCTGACGGGAGAAGCGGCAGTGCTGCTGTTGCCCAGTGGCGGCCCACATGGCATGTTAGGGGTCTGAGGAGCTGAGAAGCCATCTTCTCTCGAATGACTGGGGTCTGTGGACAGCGAGGAGGTGGACGCCCGATTCATCAGAGTCGGACGCCGCACTGCGACCGAATGCGTGTGAGAAGCTTGACTAGATGGTAGGAGATCTGGGACCTCAGGAGGCGTAGCAGGGGGGGTGGCGATAGAGAGACGCCTTTCCGCTCTTGGGCCCAATGCGCATAAGTCGAGCTGAAGAGCGCTTGTCGCCGACATTCGAGCGTCTACATCAACGCAAGTTGACGCGCGCAAGTGCTCCATCTGTTGAGACTCGTCGGTCGACGGACGTGGCATGACTTCAAAGACAGGGTTGATGTCTGGCGCAAAGACGCTCTCGGCGCGACTGACGGTGCGCGGAAGACTGACACAGCTCGCTGCTTCCGATGCCTGACGCAACATCATCCACGGAGCATGTCGATGCAGAGACGACGTTGAAGAGCTAGGCAAGGCAGCCAGTCTCAGCCCTACACTGTCAGGGGGCGTGCCAAGGTGGTGCCAATCCAGAGAGTCGGGAGCCAATGACTGGATGGGAGACTGCATCATGCCCATCATTCTTGAGCTTGAAAGCGGCGTCATCGTGCTCGACGTTGCCTGCGTTGGGAAGAGCGCATCGGGATGCAGTCGGTGTAGTGGAGAGGCTGTTGCTTCGTCCACAAGAGGGAGATGCCGGTGGTGCGAGGTGGGCGCTCTGACATTCATGCCGTTTGGCAGGTGTGCATTTGCAGGTGACGACACCACATTGGCCCATACTTGAGGTTCGAAGCAAGCCTCGGAGGGTTGCAACGAGGCTCTTCGACTGTTATATCCGTAGAGCTCGACAGCGACGTGCGCTTGAGAGTTGGTGGTGGCGGCGGCGGATGTCCTGCTAGAGTTGCTTGCTTGTCTACTTGCAGTCATGAAGAGCCTAGGACTGGCAGCGTAGATGGATGAGACGACTGATGGAGCTCGAGCCTCGCCGCGAGACAGGTGGTGCACGGACATGGCGCCGACCGGAAGGCGCTCATCGGCGAGCAGCCACGAGTCCGGAATGGAAGATGCAGTGTGAATTTGTTGCAATGTGTGCTGCTGCGGAGAGAAAGAATATCGGCTAGAATCCGAAAAGGATCGCGGTGATTTGAGACTGCTTTGGTCTAGACTCGAGCCGCGCAAAGGCGCAAAGGTGCTGCTCTTCGACAAAGCGCGAGGTCTTTGAAGGGTGAATGGCTTTAGAAAAGAGTTGCGAGACGCCCGGGCTCGATTTGTATGCCAGTGCGAGGCCTCAGAGGCGCACTGCACTGAGCTTACTGAGAAAGATGCACGTCTGAACTCTGAACGAAGGCGACGATGAGCGATCCACAAGCGCGCGAGCATGGCCGCGAGAGCCAGTATAAGGAGCAAGCTGACCACCAACCCGGCTACGCCACCGCTGGACAGCCCGTGTGGATGACCGTAAGCGCGAGACGGGTGCTTCTCTCCGCTGGTGGGATCGTGCCAGGTCGTTGATGAGCTCGAGGATGAGCTCAACCCTGACGCTGCCGCATCCGCGCCATTGGCGCCATAAATGGGAGCCATCACGCCACTCAAAGCCGGTGTCTGCCGGTCCAAGGATGTTTAAAGGAGCTGTCCGCCGAGCGGGATGCGCAAAGGACCTGCGTTGGATAAGCCTGGGCGAGGAGAGGCGAGAGGGAGAAGATGGTCGATTGGTGTAGTCGCGATGGTGCGATGCTGATGACGATGTCTCTTTTGAGATGTTGTGATATTGATATGAGGTCAAGGGAAGCCATGCGTGGCATGACTGTGCTGAACGCTCTCAAGGCTCGAACGATTCACAGAAGAAGAATGCCGGTACGATGAACTTGCTCTGATCTACAATAGCAAGCGGCAATGTAGAGCGAGACAAAGGCAGCCAGGCAGGCAGCCTCCTTGCTGCTGCCGTTACCCCTCGCCGGCGAGCGGCAGCCACTCGTAACGGTCATGACGCTCACGATTGCCTTAGCAATCACGAACCTGGGTCGAGTTGCGGTGGGATTGACACCATGGCTGCCAAGTCGCCGCAGAGAAGTCGTGCTTGCGGTACCTGCATGCTTCTCCAAAGCGTGCCTGGTTGCCCCTTTCGTGCTTTACCTACCGATGATGCTACTATATGAGACCGTCAGGATGCCCGCAGCGAGAGGGCATCGGCGATCGAGCCTCGAGCAGTTGAGTCATGATGACGATGATGGGTCGAACCGTTGGGTCGCACGGGTGCACGCACGCACACCTGCCCTGTGGATTGGTCGTTTGCACCAGCTTTGATCTCGTGAGCTGAGCCTTGTTTTCAAGCTCAGCAGCCAGCGCAGAAAGAGCAGCAGCAGGCCCCATGAGCTGATGCCGCGTGCCGCGGAGTTTTCGTGGGAAAGTAGCAAGTAACTTCTGGAGGACTTGTCCCTGAAATACACAAGGCGTATTGCTCCGCATCCACACTCACACTAAAAGTGGCAGAGCAAGTTCAAAGATCAACACTCGTCGAAGTGTTGCGAAAAAGCACGCAAAGCTTAACCACGGCCGTGACGTTGTTGTCGACTGCACAGCGCACAGCATCCTGCTGCATGGTGCATGGTGCAGCAACAACGGTGCGAGAACCCCGTGAATTAGCGCAGCGACCGTTGGGCTGGGCAGGCTACAGCGCCGTGGGTCGTGCGGCAGGCAGGCATCCTTGCCTCTCCTATGATCACGTCCTCATGCAGGGCTTTCGAGCTCGGAGCACGCAGGCTCGACGCCTTGCTTGACTGCATTCAAGAGCTGTCGTCACTATAGTCACCAGTGTGCTGTGAGGGCGACATGACATCGCGGCACACACGAGGATGAAGCGCGGTGGCCTCCCCCGGGGTGCTTTTCTGGCCTCTGCTTTCAGCGCAAAGAAATGGTCACAAAGATTCATGAGATTGTTACTCCTCTCTAGCACGGAGAAAGCACCTCTCTGAAGGCAGACTTAAGTCCGCCCAGCACGTGTGAATTGCCACGTTGTCGGTATGCGGGCACCACTACTTGATTCGCTGTCACTGGGGCTGTCCCTGTGGTGAAGCACCTTATGCACATCTGCGTCAACAGTCGACCTGACCGAGTTTCTAATTCACGATTGCAAGCCAATATCGCGGCTCAAGTGAGGTTTCTGCTCGGTTTGTCACACAAGCCGCCTTCGACCCGCTTCGATCTGGGGGGATGCCAATTGCATGCTACATACCCCTAGTAGAGCATCAGACATGAAGAGCTTCCCTACCTTGCACGCCGACCACATTTGCTGCCAAGACGCGAAGCTCACAGAAATCCGCATTCAAGGCTCCGACGAGGATGTACACGGTATGCGCCGAGCGCACTCCGCCTTCCCTCTCCAAATGCGTGTATTTTGCTGCTTATCAGGACTTTGCAAAGGGCGAGAGTGCGTTTGACCGGCGACCCGCAAAGATGATGCGTTATGAAGCGCGATCATGAAATTGTGTAGACCTACTCCATCGGTTGGTCGGGCTGTGCTGATACCCGGTCGCAATGATGCCGAGGGTGGTGAGCTGGAGGGTGGCGACCGACAGAGCCGGGCGTACGCCCTGTTGGCGCCAAGCGTCGCACTGTTGTTACTCGCAAACACGCTGGCCAGATAGGGACTGGTTGAAAACGCACGAGGCAGCGCATGATATATATTGAATAAGATGCTGCCACAAATCACAAATCACGAATCACAAATGTCGAAGAGGATGCCGACCTGTCAAGCCACAATCCTGAATCGTCAAGTAGATGTACAGTACAGTCGATCGTGAGTATACTCATCACTCATCACGGTGATTTTACAAACGCGCGCGTCCCCTTGCATGCTTCTTCGGCAAGATCGACATGCCTTGCCGGTACGCGCAACACTTGCATGGCATCAAGCCAGAAGAGTATACAATCAAGAATGAAGATGAAGAGTAGCTCCGATTCTTGATTCGTCATCACCGCGCGCCGGACTGCCAAGAGCGGCCTGCTGCTGCTGGGAGAGACGAGTCGTGACCTTGCAACATCGTGAACGATCAGCACGTGAAGCGAGTTGAAGGATGGAAGCTGAATTTGAGCGAAGGCTATATAAATCAAATCACGAATGTTGATGACTCTTGATGAATAATCGTGAATCTTGAATAGAAATGACGCCTCGCGGCGTCACGTGACAGCCACGCTCAGACCGCGTGTGGCGCGCGCACAGATCAGTTTTGAGTCTTGAGGCTAACAATCTGCAGTGAATAGACGAGGCTGAATCCCGATTCAAATTCGCTCACGACGATGGGCGGCTCGCAATTTCAGCACGAGGTTGCATAGCGCGAGCATGCGCTGATCGCAAGGAAGCCAAGTCGAACGACCGCCGTACACGGATCGTGATTGTCAGCTGCCTTGCGACCTCATCTTTGCCCTCTCGAGATCGTGACTGCACATGACGTCTTGTTATCCTAGCCAGCGAGCTTCTGTAGAGGTGATCGTCGGAGCCTGTCCCCCGGACCAACCTCTGAGGAAGGCCCTCCAATCGGTAGCCTCAAAGCGTTCGTTGCCCTACCTCGCGAGCCTTTCGCCGAACTCGCATCGTTGCTACCACTTTGCTTAGTACGGCTCGAGTTGCGCTATGAAAGGCGCCCTGTCGGGCATCTCGGTCAATCCGAGTGCAGTGGCCATCACGTTGCTCACGCTATCCGTAGCGCTGTGGCTGCCCAACTCGCTGGTCATCCCATTCAGACCAACCGGACCCATCTTTTCACGACCGCCTGATGTGTTGCCGGCTCTGCTGGCACCGGTCGTTCCACCGGAAGGCTTCTTTGCTTCGCTAGCTAGAATACTGCAAATAGGCGTGCTTGCCATCTCCATCGCGCCCAGGAATCCCGTCCTTCTCACCATGGGTGGTATCTGGACCGTATGGTGCTTGACCGCGGCTATGAGGTGTCTGCTGGGATTCCTGCTCGGGAGAGCCGTGGGATGGGCGGCGCCTTCCTTCTTCAATCATCTAGCGGTGTACGAGACGAGCACCGGAATTGGCCCTGTACTGGTCGCCATCGACGCGGCCACTGTTCTGCTGCAGCGATTACCTTCCGATGTCTCGCCCATACCAAGCGCATCTTCAGTACCCCCGGCATCTTCCAGACCATCCATTGCCATCCACACGCTCATCGGAGTCATTTCTTGCATACTGGATGGCGCACCCTGGACGTATGCAAGCGGTGCCGCAGTAGGATTTTTTGTTGCTATAGCATACATTGTAGCAGAAAGCGTCACGGGAGGACCAATTTACAGGCCTTCGGGGGAGGGACCGGTGCCCCTGCACGTGCTAGAGGACGAAGAGGAGGAAGGCAACGGCTCGACAGCCGTAAATGGAAATGGTCGTCGAGGCAACCTATACGGTGCCGGGGGTCATTATGGCAGCAACAGCGTCCCGCCAAGCCGAGTTGCGCTCGTCCAAGCAGCTTTCTGGAGAGGCGCAGCGCATGTACTCGTATCCTTACTCCTCGTCATCGTGGCAACCAAGACCTCTGGCTGGTTGCCAGATCTACCTCAGCTAGGGTCACCTCCACCGAGTGCCAGGCCGCTGCTGGACATCGTCTTGCTCACTAGTCCACGTCCCCGCGACGAGAAGGGAATCGCACCAATGTTAATCAATACCACCGACTCGTTCTTTGATGCAATTTCACCCGCAGCAAGTCCGCTGATCGCACCTCGGATATCAGTCTTTACGCACTTCAGCTCGAAAGAACACCCAGCATTCGACGTAGCCAAAGCCCACTTCGACGCGCATCCGAGACCCGAGCTTGGAGAGCGCGCTTCAAAAGTGGTGTTCTATAGAGATAGCGACTCGCACGCAGATGTCAGGTTGGGCCATCATTTGCATTTGGCCGAGCTTCTGAGATGGTCATGGGAAAGGGAAGGCTCATCAGAATGGGTCATGGTAGCCGAAGACGATTTCCCAGTGAGTGGCAAACGTGTGCGATCCTCCTTGTGCGCAGATCGAGCGGCTTATTCTTGACTTCTATATGATCAAGGTATGCGGAGATTGGGGTTGGAGAGGGATAGAAGGGGTCATTGCAGAGCTCGAGCTTCAGCGTCGGCCTTGGGTCGATCTGCGAGCATCAGGCGCTGCCGAAGGAGTTTCGCACGCCGGCCCCCCTCTCGCCGGCTGGGTGGGTGCAGGCGGCTCAGGGCTAATCCTGCATCGAAGTTTGATGCCAATTGCCGAGCGCTTGCTGCGCCTCTATGCCACTTCGGACGGAAGGAGACCTTTGGCACCTCTCCCGGCTGATCTTGTCGTGCAACAGTGCATGTCTGGAGAAATCAGTCTTTGTGGCAAAGACAGAGGAATGATCATTAGCAGCAGAATGCTCATGGGTCATGTGGGAAGTGGGAACTCTGCTTTGGGCCACAATACTCCGGGATCGAGATGGCGTTGTCGCTGGCGGTGAGTGGAAGAGTCGCAATGCAGAGAGCCTGACCTTGCTGCAAATTCCTGATCCTTGCTACTCATCTTAGGCACCCATCGCACGGCCTGCCTTACGTTAAAACAGTCTTGGACGTGTAGAGGCCGTATAGAATCAATCCTCTAGACATGATGTACGCGAGGGCATGGAATCAGGCGGTGAGAAAGTGATTGATCGCGCCGTGACCACAAAGCACCTCACGTAAGTGTCTCGGTGGAGGGGCCAGGAAGCCGAGCATGTAGTGCTACTACGTCCTTGGCGCCGAAGACTTTTGACTCACGACGTTCCGTATACCGCGCTTCCTCGGAGTTGGTGACTGCGGGTGTCGCAATTCCGTTGCACACTCTCATGAGCACTACTTGAATGTGACTGCTACACGAGCACGCATCAAGCCTGATGCTTGGGCATTGTATGAAAGACCTACTCACCGCTACGCTCAAACTTGCCCTCGCTGTCTTCTTGATCGACCTTTACGATGATTCAAAACTAGCGCCGGTCGCGCTAGGAGTCATTGGCAAGACGGTCTTGGGAGGAAGTGTCAGGAACGAGCGCATGGAGCTCACACGTCACGAAGTGAGTCAGGCGAGACGCGGGTGCACAGAAAAGAGAATGGAAAGTGATGAACATTGTGTAAGTGGGATCAAAATTTTGACTACTGGAGGGGCAGAAGCGTGGCGGACCGAGAGCTTGAATTTCGTCGGGGTGGCATTTGCCGCAGAGGCGAGGTGTCTTGGGTACGGGCGAGCTATGAACAGTGCATCAAGATGCTCGAAAGAGCAACTCTGTTGGATCTCTTACTCGAGGGCGAAAGACGCGTTCTTGTTTCAGTGAAGAAGAAGCCGTCTTGCTCTCACGAAACTGCCATCTGCGTGGCCTCGGCCGGCTGTGTCTGAGCGTCACCATGATTCTCGGAGGTATGGTCAGCATCTGTGTCCTCCTCGCGCGTGTCGTGGCCGTCAGTGGCATCTGTGATACCTTCAGCGCCTTGCGTTGTCGTGTCCTGGTGTTCCTGGTGCTCGTGGCCAGGAGCGACCGAGGAAGCGGTGGCAGAGCCACTCGAACCGCTGTTCGAGCTGGCAGAGCTGGCTTCTGGCGTACTGTGAGCAGCCGAATCGGAGTCTGGAGTGGTCGTAGTAGTCGCCGTTCCAGCACCAGGAGCGTGGGCATCGGCATCGTTCGCATCCTCAATCTCGTCGCTACCTTCGTCCTCGTCGTCGTTTGCACCCGCCTCGGTGGCATTCTCAGTCACCTCGTCGTTGCGCTGCTCCCCTTCATTGGCATCGTCGGTGTTAGCAACCGTCGTGTTCTCAGGATCTTCGCTCTGGTTGGGGTTGCTGCCTGGTTCACCCTGCGTCCCTTGGCTTGCGTTGTCGCTGAAGTACCATACTGCATTGTCGATGCGGCCTCTGGAGCACCGGATATCCACGCCTCGTCAGCTCAAAGCTCTTCGGCAGTATACGACTCTCCATCGGCACACTCACACATTCAGAGGGGCGAACTCTTGGAACAACGCAGGGCTGAGGTTGATGCCGGGCGCTTTGGTTTGGAAAATAAGAGTTCTGTGAACACACGTGCTTGTGACCCAAACGGTCACTGATGTGCTTGTCAAACTCACAAGATTTGGAATCGACGACGATACCCCATCTGGTCTGGTTGCTGATGACGATGGTAACGTTGCGCCCGCAGGCGGATTCCTGTTGAATCAAAACGTCGGGAACGCCGACCAACCATTGGTCGTCGGTGACAGTGCGGCCGGTGTTGCCGACTGTTGGCCCACTGTATCGCACCATCGAGTGGGTGTACAGAAATAGAACCGCTGAGCATGGTGGTGACCTCAGAACACCGACGACCCGATCACCTACCATTGCAAGGATTCCTCTCCTTCGAATTCGGCATAGGTCACCGGACCAGCGTAATTAATACCGTTATCCTGGCGTCGAAGGATCGGAGCTGCCGAGATGGCTTGTAAAGCCCAAGCTGTCAGGGTGAGAAACGTAAAGGTACTGCGAGCGAGCATGATGGCTGGTGTTCAGATCTGGTGGGTGATAAGTTGAAGAGGTGGGTGCGTAGGTGCTGTAGGGATCTGTGCTGTGTCTGAGGTGGCAGGCTTACTAATGCAGCTCCCAAGACGATGTATTTGTACCTTTCGCCTCGCTACTGAAAGCTTTGCAGATGTTCAGCAAGGACCACGAGCGTATTCTGAAGAGCGAGGTCGGCCCTCATGGGCTCGACGCGAACCAGACGCCGACGTGAGTAACTTCGCTCAAGAGCAGCCAAGTCCGCACTGTAGCACAGCATTCCAGTGTATCGGAACAGCGCGCCAGCTTGGTGACCCACAGAGCTGTCCGGCTTGCTTGATGATCCAGAGAATATGCTCACCTTTCCTTGGCGTGGCTTGAAGTGTGGCTGCGCAGGATTGACGCTGGCCGTTATGGCCAAGATGCGGGCTTCAATTTGAATCTAGTATGACGCTTGCGTCCGATGCTGTGCTTAATCACAGATGCCGTAAGAATGCCAAGCTATGCCAGTCTCATGTATTAGGAACGATCGAAATGAAGCGGCACATGAGTCGGGCCGGGCAGCGCCTTCCGCGGAGTTGTATTACTAAGAGCGTGCAGGCGCCAATGTCAGAAGTCGTGTCGATCCTCATCGGTCCGCCGTTCCACACTTCGCAGGGACAACGCTCCGAACACTGTGCGCGCGCCAAGGTTGGGAAGAAGGTCTGTTGCAAGAGCGTTGCTAATTTGGTCTAGTCGGATGTGAGCGATTGTACTGCCTCGACAGGAGAACGCTCTGTGTGCAAGAATCGGAGATGTCGTCAGCATTGGGTCCAAGAAAGATGATTTGACGGACCAAGCAAATCGTTTTGTTTTTTCCGTCGGACGGCCATGGCGACGCGTATTCACAAGCCATCTTCAAATAGACAGCTTGTCCTACCATCGACATCCTCTGCAGCGATGGCGTGCCGAAGGGAGGCGGTTCGTGAAGCACGCAGCAAGCAGGCATCATTCAGCATTCGAAGAAATGTCGTGCTGGCATTGCAGTGCATTGTGTCAGTGACCCTATCGACGGTGACCTGAGGCCTGCCCGAGTGTGAAGAACAAGTATGCGAAGGGATTGGAAAAGCAATCTAGTGTCCGTGAAGCATGTATCGGGATCAAAGTGAGTGTTGAGTCGCTGGGCGGCGCTCGAAGCGCTCTGCTGACCGGAAGGGTGGGGGACGCAAAGAGGCGAAGAGTCAAAGGCGTGATTCAAGGGTGACATGCCGGATTGTCGAAGCAGCTTCGGGAGACAGAAGGCCAGTATTAGCGGGCAGGGTCGGGTCGAGTGTCTGTTCAACTTCAAGAACTTGGCTGGTGACCCAGGCGTCAACGCTAGTTCGAGCCTTGACGCGCTTAGTGTTTCCACAGAGTCGACGTTCAATATCGACCACCCTTTCCGCTAGCAGGCACATACGGCAAAGCCTTGGAAATTCCCTCGTTGTGATACCTGCTGGTTTGAGGAGGTCGGGAGGGACTTCCAGAAGCTAGCAAGCGACTGGCTGCTGTTGCGCCCTCGATATCATCGCTCCCACCATACTGCGCACGTGCTTGGGATTTCGAGGGCAGGTACGGGGGGCGCTGAACCATTCGCTCGGTGGATGCTAACTGCCTCGCCGAAGGACCCCCGTGTCCGCTACCATGACCTGAGCTTGACCCGGCGCTCATGAAGTTGTGCTGATCGAAGGTAAGTGGCGTCGCATCGGTGGCGGGACTCATCGCTGGGCTTGAGTCGTTGCTGTATGCTCTTGAGGAAAGAAATGGGGCTGCCGCGTGTGCGGTGTCGCCGAAGCTGAGCGTGCTATTGCGTCTGGACTGGTCCGCTCTCGAAGGCTCGGTGAGCTGACGACGCAGATCAAGCGGATCACCGCCTTCATAGTCGCCACCACCCTGCTTGTTCGACAGCAAGCGCGTTGCGCGGTCTTTCAGTGATCGATTGCGACTGATGTCTGTTCCTCGGCCCAGTGTTGTCGAAGGACCACGTGCGTGCCCTCCGAAGTGAGGAGAAGAAGGGGAGCCTTGTGCACGGTCATACCGAGCAGATCTGACTCCCACACGTTCATCAGCCAGTGAAGCCGAGCTGCCAGATGCTGATGATTCACCGCCGCTCGCCGGCAAAGCGGGTACCATCAGGCCGCTGGTGCCGTAACTTGTGGGGCTAGGCATACCGGGTCGTGCATAGTAACTTTGCCTTGGAATGTCGTACTTGCTGATACTGCTCACACTGTAACCCCTTGCACTCCGACTGGACCGGTCGCGCGCAAGGCGTGGACGCCTCCCATCTGCAAACGCGATGCTGTCCCTCGAGGTATCGCTACGTTTTGGTCGAAGTGGTTTGTGGATGGTGGACGCCGTTGTTGATGTTTCGGCGCCAGATGCCCGCCGAGAGTTTTGAGTGCTGCTGATCGGCCTTGAAGGAGCACGCATGGCTACAAAGTGATCATTTGAGCTTGACCCATCGCCGATGGGCGACGACATCAAGGCTGGACTATATGCGCGAGTGGGACCTCCCCCCCGCACACGCAGCTGTCGCATTGCCTGCTTCCTCTCACTGACGACCCTGCTTTGTGAGCGAGACCAGCGATTCATAGTGATGACGAAGATGGCCAACATAACAGCCACTCCCAGTCCGATGCCGATAAGCAGTATGAAGTCTAGAGGGAGCTTGTCGTCGATTGAAATTGTGGCCGAGCCGGTGAGAACCTGCTGTCGCCGCAAGAGCCACACCTCCGATCGTGCTTGCTTCAGAACAGCTCCGTGATGCTGACGACCCAATTGCTCAGGCGCAGGTGCAGCCGCTGCCTGGGACAGACCTGCCATCATGATCGTAAACATGACTCTGCGAGTTCCGTGTCGCCTGCGTGTCGCGCGCCTGCGTGGGACATCCAAATGGAGTCGAGACGTCGACGCAATCGCGCTCATGATGGGCAAGGGGATATGAAGGGCCGAGAAGATTTGTGGGCCAGGGAGCGTTCGGAGCCTACGACTTTCAGGGCGACGACATAAAAGAGCGAAGGGTATGATGGAGGTGTCGGGGGCGATGGACGGTGCACAGAGGGCGTTTCGAGAGTGCGTTGCGCAGTGTATGCAGCAAGATCGAAGTGGTCGTCAATGGCCGGCGAAAGCTAGGTGGTGCTCGTTGTCAAGGTAGAGAGCTACCATACATTTGCCGAAAGATGCGGAGCAGGTCCACCTGGACTGTACCCCGGCCCTGAAGAAAACGCAGATGATCGACGCTCGTAGTGCGACCTGTGGCGGACGTGGCAACCACAGTGTCGTTGGCTGGAAGGTCGCGGATTTTGGCTTGTTAGCTTGCTGTGATGCTGCGAGAAGCAGAAATCAATGTTTATGGCCGACACAAGGCGAATCAGTAGGTGCCCCAGAGGATGATGGATCACATCAGAGTTCGAAACGGGTCTGGCATGGAGATTTGGCGAACCAAGCACCGGTTAGTCGTGAACCCTACGTTGTCGCCGTTATTTCGATCTGGAGCTTTTCGTGCAGCTGTGCATTCACGATTCACGACTGCCCGGGCAACGCAAAGAAGGCTCTTCTCACCTCTGGACGCTGTCAGTCACATTCTGCCGGCCTGCCTTGGGTCCATCAAAGGGGTCTCTCCGCTCTCGAACGTCTCGATCGAGCTTCGGAGCAGCACACCGGATTCTGCTGGGGGGCAGCGCCCCATGCATGCACAGCATCACTTTGACTCGTCGCAAGTCCAACCTGCACGCCGCCATGCACTTATACTTGCGCCTGCTGCACGCCCTGCTGCCTCTCTGCCGCGGTGCCGGTGCAGACGCGTGATGAGGGCACAGCCGCGTGCGGAGTCCAACGGCCTGAGATGAGCAGCACACGCATGCAAGCAGTCCGTGGGCCGTCAGTCAGTCTATCAGCAGCAACGCTGCATAGGTGTGCGCGTGACGTCTTCGGGGATTCGGCGACACCGTTAGGGCGCGACGCGAGTCTCGAGCGTTCTTCATTCGATCGTGGTCCAGCAACCCTGCATGCAAAGCCAAATTCGTGATTGCAGCCATACCATTCATGCTGCATGATGTCGGCACACGACCTGGGCTGCTTGCGGACAGCATCCGCAGTTGAAGCTAACCACACAGCTACGAGGTCGTAACTCACTCAAACTGACTACTGTGTGCTAGACCCGACTGGAGCTGCCCCGTGACATACTTTCCCGGCTTCCAGTGTCAGTCACACGTGTGACTATTGGCCAGCGCTTTGGCGCGCGCTCGTGCCTCAACTTTTGGAGGGGAAGAGAGTGAGGATCAGCAGGTGCATTGTGACCGACGAGGAGACTTCGCTTTGATTTATTTGGCTGACAAGCTGGCGGGGAACCGTCCAACCCGAAGGACTCAAACTGCGCCGCGACGCAGCTGACAGGGGCGTCCCGAGTTCGCGTCAGCAGATGGAAGAGAGATGCTAGTGACCGCTGATGTGCCCCTGTCAGCGGAAGGGTACCAAAATCTACACCGCTGCTGGTTGCAGCGACCTGCAGCGCAGTCATGCAAGCGCTGCAGGGTTGACCGTGAAATCACGGTTGGCATAACCGACGCGTTGAACGCAGCACCTTGACCCGGGCCAGCATTATCCAGACGTACCAACTCACGCAGCAGGAGACAGCATATAAACATGCACCCATCCGATGGACAGACTTCACGATCGATCGATCCCACGCAAATAGCACGGGGACAAGTGCATGGTCTCAGCACGAGTCCGCTCGATCTCATTGTGATTTACGTTTGACGTGGAACGTTGTCCCAGCCTGTCCATTTAGACACGGATGCTCACAAAAGTGCTGGAGATGGCCTTCGAGATTCGATGATTCACATTTCTTGATTGGCGGCCCAAGCATGCACTCGTGATGACTGAAGTGTGGTTCCTCGCGAAATGCTGCAATACGTGCGTCGCCAAGCGAAGCTTGCGCTTGATATACGAGCTATATGTATGTACCGGTATAGGCTACAGCAACAGCAATGGCGGTCAAAGTGGGGTTGCGCTATAATAGCTAGTGCACCCTCGACGCACTCTTCTGACTCACCAGCAGTCATGCGCAACCTCGATGAAATTTCATATCGATATCGAAGGGCAAACATGCATATATATATATGCTTGTGAAGAGTGTAAGGCAGTGCGAACTGTTTGACCACACGTCGTGATTTTGTCTCGTCTCATTCGCCATTGATGAAATTTGATTCAGCAGTGGGATCGAGCGATTCTCATCGGAACTTGGCATTTTCTTCACCTCCGTACGATAGCAAATTAATTTGATAAGAATGACGCTGAATTCAAGCCAAGGGCCAAGAGGAGCAAGACGTGGAGCGTTTGGGCGTTGCCAAGCCGCCAGCGCGCCGCGGCTCGCGGCGACCAAGGAATTTGCAAAGACTTGGACACCGACAGCGTAAAGGCTTGGCATCGACTTGCGATTGAACCTTACTCGAGCATTCTTGATCATTGTTTCAGCATTGATGGGTGCTGTCGGTAAGCTGTTATACCTGTGGTCGAAGTCAAGTATGTTTGGTCATCTTGTATCAGCCAACACATGCACAACCCGTCAGATGCCTTTGCAGAAATCCCAGATGATGTACGCACACTTTACGAGCGTTCCATGCTGCATGCAAGCCTGTTCGTGCTGACTGCTTTTCGTCGAAGGCCATTTACAGGAACGCACCCCGATCAGAGCTTCGAGCGTCTCGATCATCAACTCGAAGTCTTGAGTCAGAGTCATGATCATGAGTGATTTGAAGTTTGAACCGCTTTTTGCAGCATCGACACGGATCTCCGCCGACAGGCACCTCACGTGTCTTGCGGCGATCCGCTGGACAGCCCGAATCAACAGCATCTCTTCTGAAGTTCACAGGCCTAGACGAAGGAGTGAACGCAATCACGAATGTCTGCTCGGACTATACTTGTACATGACAACAGCAGCGAAACGTCAATGGCTACCCTCACACTTCTTTTCTTGATGCATGGCTTTTGGGGTTCTTGATCTCGGGGTGTCAATAATTTTTGTGCACCAAGCATCTGCAAAGGCTGACAATTTGAATGACGAGGATCAGGCCAGGCGACCTTGCTGGTCGGAGTGCGCACGTGCTACTGGATTCGATCGGACTTCACCAGGTCAGGTGAAGGGCCTCTTCGAGTCTGAGTCAAGTGTCAGCGAAAGTCTGACTGATTAATTCACATCGGCGACGACTCACGACTTGCTTCGTGACGTAAATCCAACGTTCAAGCGATTCTCTAGATCGTCACGGGGGCAAGTAAGTGCTTGGGCCACCTCGCGACTGAAATTAAATTTTGCGTCAGCTGCTTCTCTTGATTCAGTGACTGCTCTTCGATGTTCAAGCGACTTCATCAGCGAGCGAGCGCAGAGCGCCGCTGTACGCGTGCACATCTTTGAAAGGCACAACTCGAAAGATTCGGTCAGAGTCTGAGCTGGGTGAATCGCTCGACTCGATTGGGTGTCGCCACCGTCAGCTAGGGAGCAAGGACATTCGCTGGTGAGCACTGGGACAGGCAGGATCTCAAGGATAGGGGAGCATGGAGCAGGCGAGCGTGGAAGCGGAGCTCGGATTGGCTTTTCTTCGGCAGCTACTCTTCTAGCTTGAGCAGAAAATCTGATCAATGTATCTAACGAGCTCGTTGACGGTCCAGGGGTCCAACCAGATTCACTGATCGCAGATGTGGTACGCGCTTGGTGTCGAGCAATCGGCTTCATAGTCCAGTGTGATTACTTTCACTTCAAGCAGTGGAGGTCACGACTCTACTACCTTGACTCTTGACTACTACTACTTCTGCTACTTACTTCTACTCGGTGCGGCGGCTGGCCGATGGGACGTTGCACATCTGGCACGTGACCAACGGCTCACGATGATGTATGCTTCCATGGCCGCTGGCCTCCCATTCGCAGTGGAAAATGGGAGCTCTCTCGATTGTGTACCGCAAATGCTTGACCCCGTAGCGCGTAAGCTGAGCGCGAGTACAGACGCCAAATCACTCTCACGCAGCATTTGATGCACAACGAAGATCCTGAGTTGACGCAAGATGGAGCGGGCGCAGCCGCGTATATGGTACAGTGTCGCGAGGAAAGCTCTGGGGAAAGTGCAGGATTGCTGAAGATATGTACGGTGGAGAGAGGGTAGATGTAGCAAGATACGAGATGATTGCCATCTCGACAGGGCGCGGCTCGAAGGTTTTACGTCGGCGATGGCCCGTGAGCGCTCAATCGAGCAGGGACTTAGCAGGGCGTCTGTGCCGTGCTGTATAGTCGCTACGATGAGTCCTGAAACGGATTCCTAACACTAACAGCAGGCTACCATTACCACCATCCGCTCGACTGGTCCACCTCAGGGTCCGAATCTCTGGGCTCGATCTCGATGAAGAATTCCTTGCCGACGCCTGAGGGTGCGATGGACATCAGAAGTCGATCCTCTCCGTCTTGCAGATTGAGAGATGATGCGCCCTCGCCCGCCAGCTTGGTGACCAGGACGCCATTCCGATACATGCGCTTGACGTCTAGGACCAGAGCGAAGGTACCTGCTCGAGAGGCATGCGCACGAACCGTTGTCTTTCGTGTCTCCGGATAGAACACTTGCAGTTGGATCACTGCGCAGTCATATTGGTCGCAAATGTATGGAGGAACACCGAAGCTCTCGATGGCTGTCCTCAATCGCCCGAGGCCGCGTGGTTGCTCGTGGCAAAGGGTGCGAAGCAAGTCTAAGACGACGACGAGCAAGAGTAGGAAAAGAGAACACTAGCTCAGCAGGTTGACCTCACTCCGGCGGTGAGGACGTGAGCGTTTGCGTACTCACAGCCCGGGATGACTTCTCCAAGGTCGGCTTGGCCAATGAATGTGACGTTGCACCCTCTTCCTGCCCGTTCAATCCGGTAGCCCGCAGCAGGAATCCTGGCTCGCACTTTCTCCTCGGTGGCTGGTACATCTGGTAGCTCGACAGATCGCCAGACGATGTCGATCTGGTTGGTGTCGACAGAGTACTTGACCTGTTCACGACCCTCGCCATCAAGGAACCTGCATCCTTGAACACCCGTCACATCTCTGCCCTTGTATGCCTGACCGATGCCTCTCCAGCAGAAGTAGAATAGGAAGGAGAATTGACTGAATCGGGAAATGATGCCGGCTGCGCCAATGCGGACGTCCCAGATGAGCCTGAAGGATAAGATGTGAATGCAGTGCAGAATCTCTTCTGGGGAGCAATCCGCAATGTATGTTTGCCCTCGAAGCATGTGCGTGAAGGTGATCTGTTCAGGTCGTCTGGGCAACCACGAAACCTGAACCCCGTCGTCAAATATGCCGCAATCTGAATTGGAGAAAGAAGGCAGAGGGTCGAAGTTTGTCAGTGATCAGTGTGTCTGGGACCGGCACCCTGAACGGCGCTGGCTCAGAAAAGAGGCTTGCATTGGTATGCCGACGCTACATGCGCGAATGGAGCCGTGGCGCTGGTGCCGGTGCAGTAGTTGGCGTTTGACCATCATTGCTACTCCTAGAGGTAGACTACCGACAGATGTAGGCTTACGTAGAAGTGCTTCCCATTCCCACCGGATGGGCAGTCAAGCAGACGACGCGCACTCACCTTCCCATTTGTCAGAAGGTGTCACCTTCGGGTTGAGAACGTGGTCCATAATTTGGTGGCTGATGGCAACATCGGAGGCCCACTCATTGAGTTGATAGCCATGCGGCGCAGGACTGATGGGTATTCTGAAAGGCTTTGGGTTGGAGGCGATTTGAGGTGGAGATGTTGCGGATGGCGAGGCTACAGAGACGGACATTGCTTCATGGTACGGCGGGCTCTGTCCGGAGTGCGATGATTCGGCGTCGACGTAGTGGACCGTCGCCTTGCCGTTGCCCTTAGTGGTGGTAGTGGTAGTGAAGGTCGCCATGCGTCGCTTCTAAGTGCGGTTGATGTCGCTACGCTTAGGAGAAATCGAGCAATTTATGATCTTTGCTCGCGCCCTAGGCCGGCGGGTGAAAGCCAAGTTCGAGAGGCGAAGCGGAAAGCGCGGGACGTGCGCGTTGCAATTTTGAGCGTTCCTCTGTGATGCGCAAGCTTCTTTTTGCAATCTCAAGAATGGCAAGAGAGACCTTCGTCGTGATTGTGATGGAGAGGAAAGTGGGCGATGAATCGTCGTGAGAGGCAGTATGTTCAGACTGAGCAGTAGGCCGGGTCGTGGCGATTCACACTGCGACTGCATGATTCAACGGGAGAGCGCCTTCACACTCACCATTCGTGATTGGTGATTGGTGATTTAGCGTGCCTGCAGTTCAATTGCCGACTGCAATTTGAATCAGCGACTTAATTGTAGCGCGTGAGCAAGGACCACCAGCAGCTAGCGTGGAATCGGTGCTGTGGGCCCGCCTGCTGCCTCGATGCGTGAACCTTTTCTGCAGCTTTCTTCGTCTTGCCCACTCGACAACGCTGCCTACATGTAGAGGTGATCGCAACTCAAGCCGAGCTCTCGAGCTCTCACGGACTCAACAGTGGAGAGAGCCACCAATGGCAGCAAGTGGGCGAGCTGTTACAGAGCTTGCACGACGAGAGGCGCACAGTCACGAGTATCTTGTGAGTTGTCTGTCACGATTAGGAGGCTGGGCCTGCTGCCTGCAACACCAATCAAATCACAATTAAACAGTCACGAGTCAGACGAGAGCTCGGCTGGCCATGAGTGCTGGATGCTGCGTGTGGAGTTGTCGCGCAGCTGCAGCCTGCATCCGCGGCGCGCGGACGATGCAAGTCGGGTTTAGATCCGGATGCTGCGCGCTAAGCCGAACAACGGTCCGCGCGTCCGTCTCCAGCAGCAGCTGAATTCAGCTCCACCCAGGCCGTCTCCCGCGAACGGGTGGTGCCCACTGTACCTTCCCACGCTTCCAACTTGCGAGGCCTGCATATACGGTACCTACACGTACCTTCGAGGCACAGCTGTGAGACAGAAGAGTAGTGTGAGTCAAGATGCTTCCGCACTGTCCGCATCTCAATCAAGCCACTCTGCCTCCATCAAGGCTGTGGGAGCAGCACGCCCGAGAAGCTGACGAACACCCAAGCGTAAACACGAAACGTGCTTGCTTCCTAGGCATCCTGCTCTCTTCCTCACACAAAGCCGACTCATGCTTTCACATTTTGATTGTCGGGAACACGGCAGCATCCTTCCAAGTCACGAGTTGTGAGTGTCGAGTCGCGCGCCCCACCTGATGGCTTCGAGGCAAGCACCCGCACATGCGTGGGACCTCGGCACTTCGTTCGGGAAGCGATGCGGGCCCGTTGCACCGGTTTCAAACAAGCCCAGACCATAGCCAGCACTCTTGACTCCCAAATCAGATGCTTGTCACGCACAGAGGACTCGTGAGCTGCCTCGAAATGTCGCAGCCAGGCTACGAGCTTTGGCCAGCTGCCATGCAAGATTCGTGGATCCCTTCGACCCCCGACTCACGGGGCACACACGTGCCCCATCACCGTAGGCTCGATTGTGCTTAAAGGGTTCCTGCCAATTATCAAAATTCGTCACTGCGGTGAAGCAATCTTGATTCACCTGAGTCTGATCATCCCAACTCTGCTGCCCACATCATTGATCGCTGATGCATCGACAGCAATGAACATGTATAGAAGCAACACTGAAAGCTGACGCTTGCCTTCGGACTTGACTTGAGCGGCTGAGTTTGGCGAGAGGGCACTTTAAATGAGGTCCGACAGTCGAAAGAATCGTCGCGTTTCAGCCATCATAAATGTTGTGCCTGCAACGCTAGCTCACGGTGCGGTACGTACAGTACCTCGCGCCTGCTACCCCATGCCTTGCGCGAAGCTGCTACCTTCACGCTTGTTGTGGTACAAGATTCTGCTGCCCCAGGGAGTCACACCCATGCGTGTGAATACGAAGCAGTCGCCACTCCACGAGGTTTGAGTCAAGTGATGAGTGTGCGGCTAGATTTGCTCTAGCCTGATGAGTCATTGCGTTTGCTACTGACCCGTGCGGCACGCTACGATAGATATCACTTACAAGTCCCACCAGGATGCGTGACTGCTCGAAAACTTTTGTACTCAAGACTCGTCAACCAAGCTCAACTTCTGGTCGCATAGTCCAGCTCGGTGGTGACCGGCGCAGATGGTGTTAGAGGATGCCTCAATTCCAGGATTGCGTTTACCCACGCTAACGGTGACGAACACTTTGACTTTCCTTGAGGCAGGTCCCGGCTGATGAGTAACACAGTCACTGAGTTGTACGTATGCAGCTCGTATCTTTGGCGTACCTTAAAGATTGCGCCGCCTATACCTCATCACGCCTCTCGCGATGCCTACCCGCTGCTTCCTGCGCTCGACTCGCTCCCCCGTCGCCCGATCAATCTTTTGCTGCCAAGGAATGCGCTTTCGCGCCAGACTGGAGCGTCCGCCTGCAATAGTCGCGGAGAGCAAGGAAGGGGCGCGTGTCTGCGGATCGTGCGGATGTACGGCTCGCGCCTCTGATGTGGCGGTCTCGTCTGGTTGGAGGAGACAGACTGCTGGGAGAAGAACAGCCCCTTCGCTTCGAGCGGCTGTAGCGTACATGCGAGGATGACTAGGTGTCTCCTTTCGGGCCTTTTGGAGTGCCGAAGAGGTTCCCAAATTTCTCGTCCCAGCCACCTTCCTCAATCACCGCCGGTCAAGGGTGGGCAATCATGATTCAAGCACTAGCGTGGGATTTTCCTTGCTAGGTTTCGGAGGCTTTACCTCCCGATTGGCTCGTGATAGCCTTCCAAGCCGATCACGCTCTTTGCACGACACGTGTGTTCAGCCAGACTGTATCATGATGGATCTCCTGCTCTGACTGTGAGGAGCTCAACTGTCTCTCTGCGCCGCTGAGCGTGATAACGTTGAGACGTGCTCGTGAATGGTCAAGACGCGACTGATGAATATGATCAAGCACGTCGTGTCATGCGTTTCCATGCAACAGCACACAGCCAGCCTCCTTTTCCGATCACACTCGTACGGTATTCCTGTGACTGGCAAACTTTGGCAAGAGGCCCACCTCCGACCAAGTAAGGGGTAATCGAGGTATTGCCTGCCAGGAAAGACGAGTATCATCACTCAGCAATCAGGAGGACTCGCTCAGCGTGTAGAAACGACGGCGTGGAAGCGTGTGGGCCTGCGACGCGGTAGTCGCGATGATGGGTCCCACCATGTCCTCGACGCCCAGCTTCAGATGTCACTCTAGAGTTTGAAGCGTCGTGGGGCGGCAGGTCAAGCGAGCAAGTGAGGCTGCCGGTGCAACAGTCATGAGTCATGAGTCGAGAGTCTGGTGATAGCCAGATGCATGCACGTGTCGTCTGCTCCGGCCTCGATTCAGTGGTCTCACGGCGTCTTCCCGGATTTGTGGCTCATGACTCTGATTGGAGACGTTCCTTGCGGGCATCCTCATGCGTCACTCACTGACTCGTGAATGCAAGGCATAGACATTGGCGAGTATGCTTGATCCGAACGATGATCAACACCATCACGTGAATGACGTCTCTGTGATCGAATCTTGAATGGGAAAAAGCGATGCGCAGACACCAGCAACGGGCTAGGACAACCAAGATGGTTGGCTTGGCGGACCGACTTGACCTGGCCCAGCGCCCGCGAGTGACGAGCCTAGACCACGAAGCGGGCATCATTCAGCATCGACGAGCACCATGGCTCATGTTGTCTCCGTCAAGCATCTCAATAGGTCTGAACTTGAAGACGGCCCGCTTCCTGTTCGCTTTCGGTGCCAATGTCGACCTGCAGTGATGGACTCGGTGCGGTACACGTGTAACGCACGACGATGATGTGAATGTTCAAGTCAAGCGTCGTGGAATGAATCGTGAAATCACGCATGGAGAGCAGGGGACGACGGCACACGCTAGGTGTGGGATAGCGCGCGTACGTGCTGTACGAAGACCCCCGGGCGCCACGGGTTGCGCGCGCGGGTCGCAAGCCAAGCCCCGGCGCATGAGCGGATGCACAAGTCTGTTGTGAGTGTGAGCGTACATCTCCACAGCACACCTCGACGCTCACCACCATCCAACGCGCAGTCACAGCATATGCGGTCTGCGCATCGAGCAAACAATCCTCGCCGCTCGGGATCGCCAGCCTAACATTGCTGATAGTTCAGAGCATCATTGGTACCCCCACGACCTTCACCCACCTCCGCTTGTCATCTGCCCCACCCGGTCGAACACTTGGCCATCATGTCAACTGAGCGGTCAGCGCACCCGCTGCGCCCATACTATCAGCCAGATGAGGATCGATCCGTCTTCATCGCTTCTCGCCCTTCCGGTACCACAGCCCTGCCATCCAGCGGGTCCACATCCAAGGCTACCTCTTCGGGTTCAGCGCCCACAGCATCTCGTGGGGCGGCAGTGATAGGCTCCAGACCCTCCAATCGTTACATCCGCCCAGACGATGACGATCTCGCAGGCTTGCAAACAACAAGAGGTCCATCATGGTCAGATGCTGCGCGTGGCCTGGTGCTTGCAGGTGCGCTGCAGTTCAGCTCGACTTGCGTCGCTATGCCATTCGAAGTGGGCAAGCTGCTGCTGCAGATTCAATGGGTGCCCAAGGATGACGTATGGACAGCGTACGTTCAAGCCGCGAATGCCGATGCAGCAGAAGCCAAGCGGATCCTTTTGGCTAGTGCCAGAGCTAGAAAGGCGGCCGCAGAAGGAAGATCAGCAGGCCTTCAGCACTCAGAGTGGGATGATGATGACGAGGTCGCACCAGAGACGGAAGAATGGCTCGACGAAGACACGCATAGGCGTGATTTTGGCGCTGACGATGACGAGGTGAGTTTGGCTGCTACGACAACACTGGGCATGCCCTCGAGGAGACGTAGCACGAGGAGTGAATGTTCATGACTTTGCTGGCTGGTCTGACGATCGGTCTCGCTACACCAATCGCAGCTTTCGGATGAAGAAGACGCCTCCGCCTACTTTGCTGATTTGGCAACCACTTCTCAGCGACCAGCCGAGACCCCAAAGCGGCGCACGCTGCCTACAGATGCGTCGGGCTACGTCGTACGGCGTAGCGTGCACCAGCAAGGGGGCGCCAAGCCTGAGCACGTACTGCCTGTCGTTGTGCGGGGGGGAGTGTGGGAGATGATCAAGGCTGTCGCGCGCGGCAAGGAGGGCTACTGGGGATTGTTCAAAGGTGAGGCTTAGCCTGACTAGTGTGGGCAGCACTTTCTCTGGGCGGCAAACTGACGTAGCGCCCTCAATCCTATCCCTTGATAGGAGCGCTGACAACCTTTGTCTTCGACGTCGGGACCAACATCTTGACGCCGATCGTCACCGAAATTCTTGCCCTATTTGCCCCTTCTGCTCAGACCCCATTGCCCCTCCCGTATGCACCATACCCGAGGAGGACTTTCTTGCTGCACCTCACCTCGCAGCTCATCACCGGCTTTGCTCTATCTCCGCTGGACTTGATCCGTACCAGGCTCATTGCTCAGTCAACTCTCGCTCCTCATCGGAAGTACAATGGTCCGTGGCAAGGACTCAAGCAGATCTTGGAAGAGGAGGGTGGATGGCGCACAGCATACTTCCATCCTAATCTCTTCATTCCTACGTTGCTCGACTTCACCATTCGACCTGCTCTGAGCCTGGGCGCTCCATTGATCATTGAGCATACGTTGCGCCTTGATCCCAATACCTCACCGGTCGCTTATGCGCTGGCTGACATGACGCTAGGGGTCATTGCACTGAGCGTGACGCTACCGATCGAGACAATTCGCAGGCGGCTACAGATTCAGCCGCGGGCGCCTTGGGGTGCTGATCCTCCCGCACCGGTTGGTGCACGCCCACCTACAGCTACAAACATCGCCGATGTGGGTCTCAGCCCGGGACGGAAGCCTTTGCGAGCTCTCAGGACCTGCGTCGAGACGCGCCCAAGACCTTATTTGGGGGTGGTGGAAGCGATCTACAGAATCATCACGGAGGAAACGTCTGCTTCGCCGGTACCTAGACACAAGAGGGAGCAGTCCACCGCTTCTACCACTGACAGTGGAAGCAACACCCCGAATCCTCTTGCCCGGAGCTCTGTGCTGGCAAAGGGTGGGCATTCCAGCCTCGGAGGCGTTCGGAGCCTGTATAGAGGCTTTAGCATGGCTGCAAGCGCTCATGCGCTTGTCTTTGTTCTCACGCTCTTCAGCGCTGAAAGAGCTCCCCCCAGCGGATGGGCTGAGATTTGAAGCCGTAAGATTGCTAGTTCACAGCCTGGCATTTTGTACGCAATTCGTTGTAACCTTTGCCTCGGTTCCTTCCTTGCCGCGGCCTCGAGGGCAGACCATGTCACACTCATACCCACCCCTCTCCCGAATGCACTCGATCAATACCATGAAGATTACCATGAAGATTATGATTATCTGATGAGGCAAGGGTCCACGAAAGCCACAGCATGCCGTTCCGCAAGTACGCGAATGCCAGCGGTGGAATTACTCGTGCTTTCTGCCCGAGCCGTCCACTGCTTCTCCAGTCTTGGTTACGCCCTTCTTTATGCCTTCGACGACAGATGCTGCGCGCCTTGATTGATGCCACGGCATTTGTCAGCAAGACCATTCACAACTGTGGCGACTTGGTGCGCGCCGTGATCACAATGACCTGGATGACTCACTGGCCTGCGCTGTCAGCTGCGCCTGAGCCCTGATCAGTGAGATCTGCTGCAGCCTGCTTGCTCGACGCCTTGAGCTCCTTGCCTCGGCCTGTGGATGCGAAGTAAATCAAGTCAGCTCAGATGGCCAATGGACAGCTCTGAATGTTGAAAGCAGGAATCATCCTGCTCGTTGGTGCGCCCATCTCAGATTTGCCCTCTGGCCTAGGGCCAGACTTCCAGCATAAGACCCTTGCGATGCCCTCCGCGGCAAAGACGACTAACTAGCATCGATCAACGGTCGAAACAAACCCTTCATCTCCTGAGCAGCGGAACCGACCGCTTTGCCGATCGAACCCTGCACGCGTCCCACAACTGCCTCGGCTTCATTGCCAGCTTTGTTGCCGGAAGAGTAGAAGCGAATTTGGGCTCGTTGGGAGGTGAGCCCGGCACGAGCCAAGCTTGAGAGACGGAACGCAGACATTGCAAGCACGATTAGGTGCAGTGCGAGTGGTGAAGTGTAAGCGACGTTGAAGGCTTTAGGAAGCGTGCTTGGGGGGTTAGGAAGAGTGGTTGCGGGACTGAACAAAGATCTTATAAGTGCTGATTACAGCTCATCTCTGCCATCACCCTCACCGCGACCTTCGCGCCAAAGTTTGACGTCACACAGCGAGACTCTCACCCAATTCGTTCTTGTGTCTGATCGAGCCGTGCACATCCACAGACCTCTTCCAGTGACGCATCTTACAGCTTTGGAAAGACCTCCGATCATGCGCCAGCCTGGCCCTCATTCCTGCCGGGCGCACCGCACATCGTCCGCTTCAGCTGCAGGCCTGCGAGCGCCTGTGAAGAAATGCACCGATGGTCTGCGGTCCACAAGCTTGTGCTGAGGGTGGCGGGTAGCCGAATGGAATCTGCGCCTTCAAGTCAGCAGGGGCCCCTGCTCTCAGCACGCGCTGCTGATGTCTGGGCGAAGAGAAATGCCTGGCTGGACCCTGCTTGGCGACATACCTTCTCCACACCAGGAGTGCAGATGCAGACCTTGCTCATGTCAGCACGACGCGACCATGCGAGGCGCGTGATCGATTCGATGCACATAATTTCCCACGCTGTCTACAGATCTCGAGTCTACCGGGCCCTCTCTCCGTCGGACTTTCGCCAAAATGTTCATCGTCACAATCAGAAGCAATCGAACGATCCGCCAGGATCCAGGACTCGCAAAGTAGTAGAAATTCAGAATTCGAACAGTGTGCTCTGTGAGTTCGTACTGGGTGTTGACCAACGCTTGCGGACGTGACCGCGAATGGGGTCTCAAGGCCTTGTGGGGTGGAAGGCTCTGGTAGAAACCGAAGGGGATAATCGCGCTGCCTACATGGTGGGAGTCTTGAGGCTGTCCTCATTGAGAATGCACGCTTCGGGAGTGGGCGAAAGTGTTTGAGAGTGGCTAGTAACGCTAGAAGCTCTGGAGAGCGTGGTCACAAAGGATCTAGGAGAGTCCATGGGAGGCAAGGGAAGCGGTGCCGTAGGAGGAGGAGTTGCAATGGGGATACGGCGAGGACTGAGGCATCGCTCGTGGCCGTGTCCGCTGTCAGACAAGGTGCGGGACATGCGACGAGGAGAAAGAGCTACAGCTCCACAAATGCTTTGTGAGGCTGAGTTGGGCTCGCTTAGATCCTTGATACGAATCGTAGGGCTGGCCAAAGGGCTCGCAGCAAATGCAGAAGACCGGAAGACAGAGCTGGCGCGTGATGCCGTCGGGGAGTCGGAGTGGCCGTTAGATGAGTCCTCATTGGCGTAGCCGCTCGAAGCCTCCGATTCTCCAGCATCACGTGAGCTCGTATCACAGCTCAACGCCGAGTCGCCCGACATGGAGAGGGTGCGCGAAGTAGGCGCGTCGGAGACACTGCTGTTCCCGGTCGAGCATGTCTGCGTTGGGGGTCGAAGCCCGAGCATGTTGCTCGCCGACAGGCGACGCGGCGTCGAGCTTCGTGATGGGTCGGATTGAGATGAGCTGGGCACAGGCGAGGGAGGTAGCTCGAGCTTGCGAGGGCGTGGCGCGTGTCTCCTGTCCGAAAGACCCGAAAAGAGGACTCCGTCTGTCGTGTCACCGCAATGGTGCTGGCTTGATTCGATCTGAGGATCGAGAACTCGCGTAGAAGAGGCAGGTGACAGGACGCCACCGTTGCTGGTGATGCGTAAATCGTCCGAGGAAGCAGGCAAGCGTCGCAAAAGCGTTTCGTTGGCCACGTAAGCTTCATCGATGACTTGCTTCCAGTCCTCGGATGACTGAGAGGTGCTTGACGCGTGAGAGGTGTTGGGGCGTCTGGAAGGCTGCTGAGCCGCAACCGCATAGGGATGGCGGGCAACCATGCTACCGGTATAAATGGCAGGATCCTGCAGGCGGCTTGATGGAATAGATTGATGGGCCCCCGCGCTCCACTCGGCTTCGCCACCTAGAACACGCGCAAGCTTCGTCGAAGAGCTCATCGCCAGCCGGTAGGGCGAGCCAGCAGTGCTGGGCCGCTTGCTCCTCGGTGACGGTGTCGAACGCTTTTCATGGGGATTGTCGCTGCCGAGTGTGGGACTGTCTTCAAAGCGGACGCGAGCGCCTGCCTCAAATTCATAATGGTGGTGACTAGAAAGAGCGCTCGTATCAGATGGACGACGTTCTATGGCTCCACATCCGGCGCTGCTGTCGCTTCTGCTCCTGAAGCTGCCGCTGCTGCTACTAGCCGGAGAGAAGAAGCTGGCGTCTGCGACGCGAGCGCGTTCGCTGTAATGACGAGAAGCCCAGGAATCTTCCAATGCCGAAGCCGGCGTTCTTTGCAAGGGCGAGGTGTGCTCAGCAGTCGACGTCCGACTTCTATAAGACGGCAGAGCGCTATGATCCTTGTCGTGCCCATTGTGGCCCTGCTCACGGGTTATACGATAAACCCGCCCATCGCCGAGGTCTTCCGCAGATACAGCAGACCCGGCGGAGCTGATGCTATGGCGGCTGCGGGCGCGAGGCTTGGTTTCCGGGACTCGCTTGACTGGCTTCTCCAATGAGAACTCAGCGGCCAAGGCATGAGCCCTTCTGGCTTTCTCCGACGCCTTTTGCGCCTTTTCGTCGGAAGCGCGCAGCGACGCCTCCCACTCGCTCTCTCCCGGCAACTTCTTGGGTGCTGGAACCGGTGTAGCTTCCTCATCCTCACGGGGGCGTCGACGAAAAAGGTTCCGAAGAGTACCGGAAGAGCGGTGTCGGGCAGGAGCGTCTCTCGGATGCTCAGCCAGGGTGGTTGAAGAATACTGGATGGCAAGCGCTGCTGACGTTGGGGGTGGCGCAGACTCCTTGACCGGCTTCGCTGCGGCTGCATGCGCGTCGCTCAAGGGCGCTTGCCTAGCACCAGCGAGGCTGTCGGCCTTGCCGCGCATCTTCAACAGTCCTCCACCACGAGTCCTACTCGCAGGGCGCTCATCACCGACGTCCGGCAAGAAGCTACGATCGTTGAAACCGTCGGCCTGGTCCGCAACATTTGCTCCCGGTACCATCAGCTGGTGCGCTGCATTGGACGATCGACTGCGACTGACGGCTAGCGCGCTTACACTTCGAGGGCGGCTTCTTATCGAAGCAGCCTTTTGATTTGACTCGGATTCTGCATCGTCTGATGCCTCGTCCAGCTGCACCTCATTCTTGAGCTTCGAACCGGCCCATTGACCTCCCGAGTGAACAGATGGCAGAAGGGACACGCGACCTGGCGCAAAATGGACGTGATTTTCTTGACTAGATGTATCAATCTGCATAGGCTCAAAGGTGCTGATCAGACTGGAACACGGCGAGTCCGCGTAAGAAGGCACCTCGTGGCCGTTGGTCCCAAAGAATTGAGGCTGTGCAGCATTCGTCGTGTTGGGACTCTCAGCCGCCTTGCCCTTCCCCTTGAGCTGCTCTGGCGAGGTGTGAGGCGCTGGATGCTCCGACTGAGTGAGCAGGCGGCGGGATCCCTCTTGCTCGTCTATTGTACGACTCCTAGACGCCTCGGCGCTTCTGAGGGATGCGAAGGCAGATCTTTCGAGGCTGGATGCTCGGGGCATGATCTGTGGATTGGAGCTTAATATCGGAGAGGTCGGGCCTACTCCAGACGGATGGAGCGTCTGCACCTCCATGATGATGGCTCACTCGAGGACTTGACCCAAGGGTTACGCCTCACCTGCGGCACACAGCACACAGGGCGCCGTGAGTATTGGCAAGCTCGCTTTAATGTCCACAACGTCGTAGCTTGATCAGGAGGTTACCAAGACGAAGGGAGAAGCGATGAGTGTAGAGAAGAGGGAACGATCGAGGGCAGGCCTGTCAGTGAATCCATGAGATAATGTGGCAAAGGATGGATCAGCGCGCCAATATGGAAAGTGCTTTGATGGGGCCGCAGTGTTTGAGGTGCGAAGCAGCCTCGGGTGGCTGTACCCAGGACTCACGACTAAACCTGGCCGGCAGGAACTCCCATGCAGGGGAGTCTACACGGAGCTAAAAGTGACTTCGGCCTCTTCTTGGCTGATGGGGCTTGGACGAACTTTCGCTGCGCGTGCAAGGGATGTGACCGACGGCCGAGCCTGTGAGTAGAGAAGCCCGAGCATCGCGCTCGTCTTTGGAACCAAACGACTTGCGTTTAGGCTCACACTTCCACCGCGCTAGCTGGGCCACACACCGTCTTGTGGGACAATCTCATCTGCAAGCTTGGGTTTGCACCCGCCATCAGACACAGCCAGCACACATGCTGGCCAGTCGCGAGTACGCGGCGCTCGAGTGATTGTTGTGGCTGTCAAACTCTCGAGCAGCGTCAGAGCCAAGCTCTCAAACTTTCACTTGCATGCTGCATGGCTATATACTGTATCATAGAGCAAGTGCACTTTGAGCCGGACTGCATCGAAAGAGGCAACTGCGAAGGCATCCAGTCGCTGCTGCTGATGCGCTGTTGCCGCTGTCGTCTGTACCAAAGCACATGCGAGCAAGGCGGGGTTTCGCGTCATCAAATAGGCGCAGATGCAGCGGACTGTCAGGACTGCGATCGACTACTACTACTACTATAGTAGTACTGAAGTGACGCTTCTGAAACAAGCGCGCCGCATTCTCGCCGTCAGTCTACGCTGCTGGCCGGGACATAAAGTGCCCGCTACTCATCATGGGTCTCTGCGTTTGACAGCTTGACGCATGTAGTGACTCCGCAACGGCTGTATATAGGTCAAGGTCGACCGGAAGGCGGCGTTTGGTCGGGCACGCTGCTTGGTCTCGTCGTTGATTCGTGCATGGCTTTGGTGTTTCGGAGCCATACACGCAGGAAGGACGTGCGTGCAGCATGTGGTATCCCATCCCCTTGCATGACCCAACCCTTTCGATAGCGTGGGGAAATTCTTGATCGGCTTGCACACGTGACACGCGCAGCGCAGCGCTTACAGGTCAACGTGCAGCTTGAACGCATGACTCTTGACTCTGCTGACGGAATTCTCTTCTTCTTCTACCTTTCCGCTCCGTGATGCAGATCTCCTCTCCGAGTCGTTGCTCCAGCAGGTCGATGCCGATTTGAGCATCGGCAAAACGGACATATCGCACAAGACTCGAAATCACTCTGAATGCTTGTGTCGATGGGTTTCGCGGGATCGGCAGTTCCGGGTTCTCTTTGGCTCTGCGAGACAGGAGATGCACAAGGCCGGAGTTTCTGTCGCTCAAGCCACGCAAAGCCACTCACCCGCTCACGAGCCAAGCCCACTTCGAGGTTTGAACGCACGACTGCTCACGAACGTCGATTCGACAGCACGCAAGCTGTTTGTGTGGCCGTGACGGCGAGCGCGCGACATGACGTGGAAGTGACGAAGACACACACGCGCGGGACACAGCTGCAACACTCGACATTGTATTTCTACTCGGATCGCTGATTGGTCAAGATGCGTCGACGACGAATGGTCGAACGTCAAGATTTTGAAAAGAAGGGAAGATGAAGCGGAAAGATCGGGCGCCTTCGCCTTCTCTTGTGAGGTGACAGTGATCTGACCAAGCGGACTAGTGATCTAGTCGACATCCATCTCGTCCTTTGGCGCTTCGCCCTCTGCGGCAGGTGCTTCGCCTTCAGCAGGGGGGGCTTGTTGACCCTCCTTGGGCGCTTGTTGCTCCTGCTTAGGAGGAGGAGGGGGAGCACTGGAAGTCGGCGGCTTGACCTTGCTCATGACAGGCACCGAGGTGTAGATGACGTCGTCTCTCCACTTGGCCATCTGAGCAGTGGTGATCTTGGGATCCACGTTCTTAGGCAGCTCAGACTGCTTGGCCAGCTGATCTCCCAACCACTTGTCTGCATTTGCACAAATGTCAATGACCTTCTGTTTATCGGCGTCCGAAATATGATTGAACTTTTCTTCGCCGCCAGTGGCTTGGGACATGTAGAGATTGATCGAGTCTCTCAGGGCGGAGGCAGCCTTGGGCCTCTCCTCGTTCTCTGTGTATCGATACGCAATGGGGGCGCCAATCTTTTGCAACTTCTCCAATCTCTCGACGTAAGCAGACTTTGACGCGTCCTCTCCCTCTTCGGAGTAAAGCCACTCCTCTTGCTCGCTAAGCGCAGCCAAGAATTGCTCCTTCTCCTGAGGCTGGACGAAAGCCTTGTAGCGCTCGTCCAGCTTGCTTCGCTGGTCGTAGATATACTCCTCCAGAGCATTCTTCCTGTCCTCAGTGTCGACGACGAGCTTGTCACTGGCGTACATTTCGTTCTCCGCCTCCTTGAGACTAGCGAGCAAGCTTGGGTCTTTGCCAGCAAGACCAGAGATGACAGGGAGGTCTCCCTTGCGCTGCACCTTCTTGACCTTGCGCTTCTCGGTCTTGGGAGCTTCGCCCTCAGCTCCATCGACCGCGACGTCCTCTTCTTTCTCAACTTCCTCGACAAGGTAGGCGCTCTCGACGTTCAAGATGCCGTGCAGATTCAGTCTCGCCTTGACCTTTACGATGGAATGGTCGCCCTCAGCGGTAGGGGTGACATTCTTGATTTGGAAATCGCCGAGCCATGGGTTGATACCCGCGGGCAACTTAGCGGCGTTGGCGTAGTGCGCAGAAAGGGAAAAGGGTTCCTTGCGGTAGAACGTGAGGATTTTGGTGGAAGGGATTGGATTGCTTGGTTGGAACACGACCAACTCGGTGTCTTCGTCTGGCACATCCGCCGCCTTCTCCCAGGTGACCTTGATGGGGTAAGAGGCAATGTCGTGCACTGTGAATTCTCGCACTTTGAAGATGGGAGAGAGCGAAGCACAGGCGAGGGTGCATCCACGAACCACAGCCTCGTCCTGATTGGACGTGAAAGACAGTGGCTTGCCGAAGAAGGCCTGAACTCGGTCCTTGAGGGCAGGAACACGAGATCCACCTCCGACCAGCTCGACGCTGTCAATCTGGTCCTTGGTGAGGCCTGATTGCGCCAAAGCCTGCTCAAGAGGCACGTGCACCTTTTGCAACAAGGGGGCGATGAGCTCTTCGAATTCCTCCCGCTTCAGCTGAGAGGCAGCGTCAATGTCTTCCATAATGCTCTCAACGTTCAGAGGAGCGACGGCGTTGGCAGAAAGGACTTTCTTGAGACGCTCGCAACCGGCTGCGAGGCGGAAGATGGCCTTGGGGTTGGACAAGACGTCAATCTTGTACTTGCCCTTGAATTCCTGTGCAAAGTGGTGCAACAGGGCATGGTCGATGTCACGTCCGCCAAAGTGCCTGTCCGAAGCTTGACCAAGGACAGTCAGTTGACCCTTTGAGAAAGCGACGATGGCAACCTGGTAGCTAGAGTGACCGAAGTCTGCGAAGACGACATGCCTGGGTGCATCAGCCTCTGGCAGATCAGTCTTGGTGATTCCGTATCCAAGAGCGGTTGCGGTTGTGTCGTTGAGCAGTCTGAGAGGGTTCAAGGATGCAATCTCGGCGGCGTCCAAGTAGGCCCGCCTTTGCACGTCAGTGAACCATTGAGGCACAGACAAGACAACATCCGAGACTAGAGATCCGCCCATCTCTCTGCTGGCCTGGTCCCGAAGCTTGCCCAGGTACATGGCAAGTAGCTGTGTTGCCGAAAAGACCCGTTGCTCGTTTGCAAACCTGACCTGTAAATTGTACGCCGACAAAACCCAAGCATCAATGTCATGCACCTTCACATGCGTTCGTTAGACACTGAGAAAGACTCACCTTGACGCCGACTTCGCCCTTAGCATCTACAAGCTCAGCATTGATGAATTTCTTCTCTTCTTCCTCGAGGGAAGCAAATGTACGTCCTACCAGACGCTTGAGACTGCCAATCGTGTTCTTGAAGTTGGAGGTCTGCATAGTCGCAGCCCCTTCACCCAAAGCACGCGCTTTTTGTCCGAAGGAGACAAGCGATCTGAAGATGGCAGACCTCTATGTCAGCATGCCCGTCGTCGTGCGTAGCGCCTGGATCAAATCCAACAACTACTCACGGAGTCAAACGTTGACTGCTCTCGTTTGCGAGGACGTCGACACCACGAGCTCGGGCAGCACCAACCTTGGAGGTGGCATTGCCCACGTCGAAACCGACTACCGACATGGTGCTGTGAGCGGTGTGTCGCGAAAAGTAGAAAGGACGTCTAGAGGGTATGCTTGTGCGCGGCGCGTGTTGCGAGGATGATCGTCTCGCTGAAAGAGCGTGCAGAAGTTGCTGTCGCTGCTGCGCGTGTTGCTGGAGGCGAGTCTTTGGGATGAGGTGCGATACGCCTGAGAAATGGACGGGGACGGGTGTGAATGAGAGACTGATGGTGGTTGATAAGTGTGCGCTCGTGCCGATGCACTTTACACCAAATCACTCTCTTGATCGATCTGAAGATTTTGGTCTGAGCGCGAGCCTCCATCATCAAGCGTGCAGCTACGACATTATTAGAAGAAACTTTCAAAACCCAGCCCAGCAGGCGCGTGCGCGGCTGCATGGCTATAACTGCGTGCCTTGAATCCTGACCCAGACAGACATCGCCCATGCAGCATCAAGCGGATAGGTGGAGATTGCGCGCCTGCTGGAAGCTTCGTGACGTTTCGCGGGCGCAATTGCCAGATTTCGACGCGCTTCTGCACCACATGTGCGCGCCATCCAGGATCGAGCGTAACTCACGCCAAGATGCCTGCTCACGTGAGCCCATGACGAGCGGCCTCGAATCAAGGCTCTCGACTCGAAAACATGAATTTCGGCACTCAATACTTCACGTTTCTAGGACAGACGGACTGGTCAGCGCGAGATGGGTCTGACGGTTAATAGTATGAGTCGTGGGTGCGCAAGCTGCTTGGCCCATCGTCGACCCAAAATCAGCCAAGAGTGGAGCAGCCGGCGCCGCCAGGGGAGGCGCGGTCAGCAACGCACGTTGTTCGTATTGAGCAGCAACCACGTGGCGATCCCCACGCACCATTCAAATGGTTGACCTCGCTGACTTCAAATTAGGAATGATCAACAAACCTTTCAAGACCTTTGAAATCTGGCCACAATGCATGCATGCAGCCGTGAAAGCTGCACCGGCGCATGGGGCACCCGCCGCACTGCTGCATCTCGGCTCCAAATGAAGGGCTCAGTCTGGGTGGATCCATTCCATTGCCAGTAGTCAGTCAACTTGTGTCCAACATCTGAACTGTAAGCGCGGCTAATCTCGAGGCGGTACAGTCGCCTCTCCATTGATGGCGAGCACAGCCAGCGATCGCCCCTTCTTCCGTTCTTCCGTGACACACATCAGCGAGCATCAGCAAGCACCTCTACCCAACCGAAAAGGAACACCAAGCTTTGACGAAATCGCAAGCAGTCACGAGGGGCCACACGGCAAGAATCTCAGTGGCATCGTTCTTTGTCTAAGGGCGGAATTCGCCACTACGCACCCGACATGCTCCTTGCAGTGACTCCGTCTGAGCGACTCAACAACATGGTGTCATCAACTGCCATTCCACACCGTATTCGGAAAGGACAGACGTACGAATCAGCTTTCCCCACACCTGTCGGTCCAGCATCCCTCTCGTCGCATGACGGACCCTTTCAGCTTCAAGAGTACATCGAGGAGTTGGTAAGAACAGATCCTCACGATGTTGACAAGATCGTAGCTGTGCCCGAGGCGCCCGAGAAGAGCAGTGCGATGGACGACCACGAGAACGGCTTTGGTGGATTGGCGGACGAACCAAAGGTGGGACACCCGCATGACGAGTCTGGTGTAGACACGGATGTATGGGTGTATGAACAGTTGAGGTCAGTCGGGCAGCGCAACAGCATGTGACACGGAGTAAGGGCGAAGTTTGACTACTTTGCATGCCTTCTGCTGACTTGCGCTCCAATGACGACAGACGCATCGTTCAAGACTTCAACTCTCCTTGGTTGGTAGCGTTGCAGCGATCATGCAGTCGGACCACGAGCGAAGCGTGCTCAGGCATGGCAGCAGCAGATTGGGAGTACCTGTGCGCATCGCACGAAGAGGGTCGGCAGTGCTGTGCCATTGATTATGTTGTGCACACATTGGACGGCACAACTTCACTGCTCAACTCTGCAAGGCACTTCCCAAGCAGGACGTATGTTCCTACCACCAGCTTGAGGTACTTTGGTAGCGTGGCTAGGAGGTTGGGCAGATGCTTCACCCACGCGTGGCAGCACCACAGAGATGCGTTCGTGACGTGCGAGGTGCGTTCGTGGGCGGCCTCGATGCTCCCAGTCGCTGGCAAAGAACTTTGTAGACTCACGCGACTTGCGCCTGCGTGTGCCCAGGCCGAGACTTCTCTCTACGCACGTTTCCGAGCGCTGGTAGCAATGTACGACTTGCTCGACGTAGACGGCCTCCCACCGCTCCCAGGCACACACATCGCGTCAAATAGCAGCTTTTCGCAGGAACAGGCAGCTTCGAGCTCCGAAGACGATTTCTCATCTCGGGTACCTCGATCGGGCGGAGGCGCCGGCAAAATTTTGGACCTGTCCGAGCCTGTAGGTGACGAGGAAGAGGAAGAGGAAGAGGAAGATGTGGAGTCGGATGAAGATGCGGAGGAAGAGCAGCACGATGAAGCGGAAGATGAGACCGTATCTCGCAAAGCTGCAGGCGAGGCGCACGACGAGATCGAGGGAAGAGCTCTATTGGACAGATTGCAAGGCGTCGTGGCCACCTCTGAGGGGCAGGACAATTTGAGTCCTACAGATGGCGAGGACATGCAGGGACCTCCTCCTGTTCGGAGCCCCGGCTTGGCACCTGGCGCTGGTCGTCGGGAACTACCACCTGAAGATGCACCCATGCCGCAGGAGGACTGATGTCCTTTTCTGAGCAGCGCTGAGCAGGCACCCACGCCCCGAGTCGAAGCAACGTTCCGCTCGTCATCGTGCTCAACGTCGAGATCTCCAGCGCTTGTTGCAGTCGTGTTCCTTTCTGTGTACATCTATGTCACCCAGCAAACCCCAAAATGGTATGCGATCGCATTGGCACTCTCACGTGCGAGTTTGCGCGAGTCCCAGGCTCACTCCACGCGACGCTAACGAGCACGAATTGATGATGATTATCGCGCTCCAGCCCACGCCAGTCGAGCCAGCCCTCAATTTGATTGCTTTCGATTTTGACGCTATGGCTGTTGTAATCGGAGAGCGAAACGACATTTAAATTGCGACGAGGCGGTCAGATAAAGAGACGAACACGGAAAATGGGAGGTAGCATCCGCAAGATGCACTTCCATCGAAGCAATCTCTTCGATCACCGCTTGAAGAATTGCGTCTTCTAGTTCACTAGGCCCCTGCCTTTTCTAGAGTCGTGCGACTCGCGCCATCGCAGGACAAAGTTGACAATGGTTCCCGCAAGCAAAAACGCGCACAGGAAAGAAGGTCCCAGCGCATCAAAGTAGACGTTGGAGGATTCCCTCTTTCTGATCTTGAGTGCTCTGATCATGTAGATGGCTCCAGAGTAGGCGATGCAAAAGAGAGAAATGACGGTAAAGATGGCGCTGGCTATCAATCCCACCTTGTCTCCAGGTTGCGAAAAGTTGATCATACCGACGGCAAGCGCGCTGATGAAGACGCTGAACTCCAGCCACTTGAGGAAAGTCCGCTCATTGGCAAAGTACACCTTGGGCTCGATGCGAACTGGAATCGACACCTTCTTGCCAGGCTGCGCTCTGAAATTGGTCACGTACTCCACCCCAGGTGCAGGACCTGCGCCAAGTCCACGCGGCTCTTCCTCATCCCGTCCTTCCAGTGCCAAACGGGCTCTGCGGTCCTCCTCGTCCTCCTCTTCATCGTCATCATCTCCGCGACTGCTGGGCACACCAGCGCGAGAGTTCTTGGCACGCCACAGACGTTTCAAGTTGGCAGGCGTCAGCTTTGAGAAGTAGCTTTTATCGAAGTCGGTGCTCGTAGCGAGAATCTGGTCCCGACCGATCGGCTTGTTAGCATCTCGAGAGCGTCTTGCCCTCTCGCTCTCCCCTGCAGGACTCTGTAGACGGATGTTGGAGCTTCCAGCGGCCAGTTGCGCAGCTGCAATGTTCGAGGTGGCGTCGGGATTGTCCTTCCGCAAGCGTTCCAGCTCCGCTTGGCGGGCCTTGATATTCTTCTCGCGCTGCTCGCGAATCTCGCGCACCCTCGGATCGTGAGGCTGAAGACCCAAGTGGTTGGCCTCATGATGATCCTTGCCGATGGCCGCAGCAACAGCGTGATGGTCGTCCTCGTCGTCAGCAGCGCCCTCAAACTCATCTTCCGAAGCAGGCTCGTTGTACACGCCTTCCAATCCAGCAGATTTGCCGGTGGTGGATGCAGGCGTTTCAGGCCTTGAAGACGAATTGGAGTTGTGGTGAGATGCAGGCCTGGCAATCTCGAGCTGCCTAGTCGGCGGCTTGCGAATGTCAGTCTCCATCTGTGGCAGCCAAAAGGGCACCAGATCGACTCGATTGGCGATCAAAGTCGCGCAGCCGTGGATGAATTTGCTGAACTTCGGGACCGCTTCGACCAGGTGGCTCTGCACCAACTCGCGCACCCATTCGGGTGGCTCCTGGCCCATTTGCGTCTGCAGCTTGACTTCCAGCACGCCATAGGGGAAACGTTCAACGTCTTCTGCTGGCAGCTGTTCGAACGGGTAGTCAATGCCAATGTCCATACGACGCCAGTTATCTCCCGCTTTACGACGTCCATCCCAGTTGTCTTCTCGAACGAGGGTGAGCTCAGTGTCGAGCGAGATGCGCACGCGAGCGTCGCCCGGCAGCTGAAAGGCCGTTCTGTTGTAGAAGGACCTCATGACGGGCACCAGGCCGCGAGACAAGACAGCGTACTGGACCTCGCCTGCGAGCTGGAGCATACTGTCGATTTCCTTGTCGCTCTTCTTTCCCTTCTTTCGCAAAGCCTCAAAGGTCTCGTCCATGCGGTACTCGCCGCTCATGAACTTGTTCACGTTTTCTTCTTTGATCGGGAAACGCGCCTTGACACTCTTCTCGCCAGTCCAGTCCTCCCTGTGCGTCTTGCGCTCCACAAAAATTTGCTTATTGCTCATTCCTCCATACCAACGAAGACGGATTGCTTCCGCTCCTTCTGTCTTCTCCAAACGGCCAAGGTAAAGCTCGAGATCCTCATTGTCGTAGTAGATGGATGTAATTGCGCTGTCCTCGGGCTGATACTCCTTCTCTGGGTCAAAGACGAGTACGGGCAAGTGCTTGAGGATTACGAGCTTGAGAGCTACAATGTTGTCTGGGTGTACCCAATACTTGGTAGTCTGTCTGACAAAAGCGCTTTGAGATCCGCCTGCGCTCGAGTCGCCTTGGACTGGATTGCCACGAGTGCGCACCAGGTCGAAAAGTTTGGACAGCTTGACAATGAGCGCGTCATAATTCTCTTTGTAGAAAGGTCGAGCGGAGAGGTAATGCTGAACGAACTCTTTGCGCAAGAGCCTGCCAGTCTGCTTGTCGTGCTTCTTGACAATCTTGTGGAAACCAGTGTAGTTCAGCTTGGTAAAGAGAGCCAAGTCATGGACGTCGGCAATGATGACGGCCAGGCGTTCTTCGAGCTCGACGAAGCGCTCCTCGTAGTTGTCGACATCCTCGGTATCGCTGTCGAACTCATCGTCTGAGCCAACATCGTCGTGTGCGTAGACGACGTTGTCGTTCGCCCCGTGGCCCTCCGACGAAGAAGTTCGCGAGTTTGCGCGCGAGGGCAAAGAGGAAGCAGAGTTGGTGCGAGAGGAGACTAGCAAGTGGACTTCGGACTGCGCTTTGTTGATGCGCTCCGTCAGCTCAGCAACCTGTGAAGAGGGGCGCGCGTCAGTCAAGCTCATCGAGCAGGCTGATGCACATAACGCTACGCATCAATTGGTAGCGGCAGATTGATCGCAGACGGCATGGCTGGTCGGTGAAGATGCAGAGATAGGCGAAAACCGTCACCCGGCATTGTTCAGTCTCGTCGCTCACCTTTGTTCTCTGAAAGTCATAGATCTTGTCGAGCTCCTTGCGCAAATCCTCGACGAATTCGTCTTCGTCCTGGTCTGTCCAAGATCCTCCGTTGGTAGCGATGCGACTCTTGATATCCTTTTTGAGCTCCGAGTAGCGTAGGTATTTGGAGGACCATTCGCTGTACAGCGACGTCTTGATTGTGCGTCCAAACTTCATCGCGCACCACTACAGGGGAGGTAGCGGGAATGGAGTCGCTGATGCAAGGCCCGGCAGCGTCCTAGCTCTCGCGTTGAAGATGCGACACCTGCTCTTATCGGTTGGCGACTCGTGGATGGGCGCGGAGAAGCAGACCACGATGAATTGCTTATCGCAGTCTTCGCTGTGGACAGTGGGCGTGCCAGGAGACGAGGAGCGTAGCGCGTGTTTCTCCCAAGACCGGCCACGGAAATGTGGCTTGGTCGTGCTTTCGGTGAGCTATCAAAGAGGGAACCGTCAAGGAGAGCTCGGAGTTAGTGGTACGAAGAGGGGAAGGGGGTTTGGAGTGCAGAGGCAAAAGAAATTGCAATTGCGATGCGAGGCTCACCGAGTATGAGAGGGAGTGAACAAGAAAATTCCACAGGTGCAACTTGATGGGTCGCACGGGAAGAACGCAGAGCTGCAACACTAGCTGTCCGCCCTCCACCCAACAGAACAGGTCTCGTAGATGGATGCTAGTCTCGGAGGTTTGCAGCGAGATCCGGGGGTTTCCTGCAGTAAAGAGGATGGAAACTGCTGAATGAGCGGAAGAGGTAGGAACAGCCAGAGTGTGAATCACCAATGATGAGCAGCTAATGTGAATGGCAGCATGGTAAATAAGAAGGAAGAAGCACGAGCGCACGGGCTAGCCTTGCTTGCTTGCCTTGATCGCTGATCGATTCGGTCCGAGCTGCCTGCCTGCCTGCCTGCCTGCCTGCCTGGTACCTCAAGTGATCGAAATGAGAAGGACCGAACGACCGAGGGCCGCAAGGCGCGCCATGCCAAATGGCACTAAGCAGGCGAGAGGTGCGCGCCTTGCAGGCCGACTGTATCGTAGCTAGCCTTGCTTGCTGCCCTGTGGTGGACCCCCCACCCAATTCACAATTCACGCTGCAAGCAGTCTAGCTCCGGCTCAACAGTGTGAGTGCGTGGGCGGGCTGCTGCTGATTCGTGATTTTCGTGCGAATGCGCCCGCGTGCGATGCTCACGCTCACCGCTCCTCAGCGCACGCGTCCTCCTTTGCGCTCCCCCCTGCTGCTGCTGCAGGCGCCCGGACTGTCACTTGTCATTTGCACTTCATTCGCGATTCACGACTCGACATGATTCACATTCAAGATTTGCAATTCGACTTCATGACGCTCATTCATGGCTGTTGCAGCGGCATCACTTGCATCGCTTCTCGGATAACTCTAGGCCAACTCGCATAGATTTCACATTCGCGATGTTCGATGCGTATGCGAGTCTGCGAACGTGAATCGCTAACGTAGCCTCCTGTATAACAGGCACATGCGCTGATGGCTGAACTGGTGACTGCCGACTGCCATTGGACCGCCAGCTGCAGTCGTCGGCGAGGCTGATTGTGAAAAAGGCAATCGTCGAGATCGTGGCAGTGGCAGGGGAGTCAAGTGCACGCACGTATGGCAATTGAGCCGACGGACGACTTTTGACTTGGCGAAGCGATGGTGTACCGCACGCACACTCACTGACTACACGAATACCGGGAAAGGGTGCTGCTGCTGCTGCTCTTCCTTCCTCATCGACCCTCTCAGGAACACTCACACTCTGCGACACCGACATCATGCCATGCCATGCCATGCCATGCCATGCCAGGGCAACAGCTCAACGCTTCCAACTTCCTCGTCTGGTGCCTGATCCTCTTTGTCGGTTCCCGACTCGGTCGCGCCATTCATCAGCCAGCGCCATGCAGTTGCGAGTATCCGCCAGGCCAGGCCCTTCATACACGTACTCGCCATGCAGCAGTCTTGACTGTACAGTGCACTAGGCACACTTCAAGACCCACCGATGTACCGAAAGTGAATCATCACAATAAACGGTAAGGTAGGTAGCCCTTTGCTAACGCTTGCATTGCGGCTTTGTGCTGTGCGCGCCTCTTGACTTGATTGAGATCTTCCAAACGACGAGCGCACGTTCCCAACCTCCAAGGCTGCATAAAGGGGTGCATAAAGCCACGCACGCGCACGCGCCTCTTATTCTTGATCAAGCTGCATGCAGCTACACATAGGCGGCAGCAGCATCTGCATGCTGCTGCCAGATTGACCGGCGGAGCCTCAAATTAGTCCGGAGCAAAGGCGTCAAGGTCAGAGTGGACTCGGTGTTCGCAGAAAGCTCTCGAATCATCTTCAGAACGCAGATGATCGAGCCTCCACCCAGCCAAGAGGCTTCACTTTGGGACGGCGACGCTGGGCTGACGTCAATGGCTCGGCTGTGCTGCAACATGGAAGAGCCTAACTCACGCGCCCATACGTACTCACTACTACTGACTCACAACTCACGACTCGTGACTTGCGCGTCTAGACCTTTTGATCGCCCCCGACTCCAAATTCGGTATTGATCCGTATTTCGTGACTCTGACTGAGTCAGAATTGTGGATGCTGCATGTGCAAAGCTATATAAACGTCCGCTTCCGTCTCTGCCAACCGCTCATTCCACCATCGCATCACAACAAGCACGACTCGCAAGATCTTCCAACCAGGCAGTCGCAAGCACAATGGCGCAAAACTCCGGTTCGCAAGCTAGTCAAGGCCTCGGCGATGGCGTCAAGGGGTGAGTCTACAAGACATTGGATGCATCTGTGCGCATCCTGCGCCTAAGCAAGTCAGCTGACGCATCCAACATGACGTTGCGAACCTTTTCCCCTCGTGCAGCATCTTCAACTCCATCCACGGAGCAGGAGAGGCAATTCGAGGAGCCATCAACGATGGGGCTGACAAAGTTGGCGAGGGCATCGCTCAGGGAGGTAGCAGCAGCGCGGATAACGCTGAGAGGCAAGCCAAGCTGAACCAGCAGGGACACAACCAGAACGAAAATGTGGCTCAGAAAGGCCTGGATGGTGAGTCCCATTGCAGATGATGGCCATGTAGCCGAAGTCTGCTACAAGGTCATGCTGATCACTCGTGGGCGGATCTCTTCAACGCTCGTGTAGAGATCAATCAGGGCATCGATCAAGTGCGCAACGCGGGCCACAAGTAGCACGGATCCTAATGCAAAAAGCATCGTCACAGCAACGCACGCAATGTCTCAAAGTTGAACCAGAGATTTGTTTGATGTGGTGTGAATCGAATGCCGGCATTCTCAGCGAGCTCCTGGCTGCCCAACACCAGGTGATGACTAAAGGAGCGGTACATGCAACACATCCACATCGAGGTACGATGGGCCGTCGAGGACGATGCGGAACGGAAGATAGCCTGAGGGAGGGGTCGATTGACTTCTGGTCGAAAAGCGAAGTGAAAGAACTCGATGGGCGCATGCCTAGCACGTGGTCCTCGCCTTGAACTCGAACTTGGCTTTTCCATCGTATCCCACGACGCCCCAGCCAGGCAGCCCATCATCCGACCAGATGTGCGCGAACCATCCGACCCCACCCTTGGGGCCCTGCTTGAAATCTTCACACTTGTCGTCGAGCAGGTCAAAGTAAGCTTTGGACTGGGCCACGTTGGCTTGAGCAGCTGCAGAGTTGGCTTTCCACACATCCGCATTGCTGGGCCAGCCCGTTTGGGTGATGATGATCTTCTTGTCTGGCCCTTGCTTTTTGAGGTAGTTCAGATCGCTGGTGACGTGTGAAAATGCTTTGCGAGCCGTACTGGCGTCTTGGGCAAAGAAGGGCAACGAGTTCGCAAGAAGAGTTGAGACCGAAGAGAACACTTTTGGAGCGTTGCCGTGGATCTGATAGCCGTAAGGCATCTCCGATGTCGAGACCTGCATAGCTGTTGGCTGGCCCGTGATGAATTGGCTGAGCTTTTGCTTCACGTCGTTGATCTGATCTGCCAACCCATCTGCCGAGATGGCCCAATCGAAAAGCGGCTCTGAGCCAAATTGCACCGTGCGGACCACAAAGGGCGCTTTGGGATTGCTCTTGATGGTTTGCAAGAGTGCCTTTTTGCGTGGTCGATACGACTCGTCTCCATCAAAGCCGAACCAGATCAAGGGCAGGAGACCAACGCCAGCCTCCCAGGCTGCGTTGATCAGATCGTCGTTGTAACCTTGCTTGTCGCAATTGGAGTACAGCCGCACGTATCTCGCTTGATACGTGTTCCGTTGACGCTTAAAGTCTTTGACAAGCTGATCGTAGCTGGGACAAGAGGCGATGGAATACGAGAAGCCCATCTGCAATCGGAAGATAATGTTGGCTTGTGATAGGCGAAATCGAACGGACCTCAAGACGACTCACGAAGGCGTACTCGTCCTTTGCATTGCACCACCAATTATCCAACGAGCTGGGGACTTTGTCGGGCATGTCGAAATTCAAAGCTGGGAAACAGCTTTGCCTAGGCGCGTCAGGGGTAGAGGGGGTGTCCAATCCAATGGAGGAAGAACTTGCATCCGTCCTTGTGGAAGAGCTCACAGAGCTCAAAGCGGAGGTCTTGATTTGGGACGTCGCCGTTATGACATCGCTCCTGCTCCTTGGGTTGCACCGTTTTCTGTTCGTGGAGCGCCGATGCTTCTTGCCGGATCTGACACGGTCGTGCGGTTGGTGGGAGATGGTCATGTGGGCGACCTGCTGCGAACGCAGAAGCTGGAGGTCGCGTGCGATTTCATGTGCAGCTTCATGGCGCTCTGGAGATCTTGCAGCTGGCTGTACCGCTAGCCCACTCAGTGGTGAAGCATGGACAGACACGCTAGCCAGTAGCAGCACGCTCAGGGCAGCTAATAAAGAGCTTGCTTTGTGCATGGTAGCTGGCAATGTCGAGTTCTTTGGACAGGGCCCGCGCCGATGGGATGGAGATGAAGAAAAGATTGGATATAGAGACGCAGTCTCAGTCCGACTGAGGGAATAGCGAAAGCGAAAGTCAGCTTGCAGCCTTTTCGCTGAGCTTGACGCCAGGTCGTGCAGCAGTTGAGGCCAGCCAAAGAAGCTACCAGAGGGGAACATATGAAGAGGGTCGATGAGGCTCGGGAGTGGAATCGCAACGGCGGGCGGGACGAGGGAAGCGTATATAGCTCACGCGGCCTTGCCGCGAGAGAGCCGCCTTCGTAGGCTCCCCGGATCTGTTGAAGCTTGCAAGAGCAGACAAGCTGACAAGTCGGGGCCATCATCTCCCCTCTCGTGTTTGTTTGCAGCCCCGACGGACCGTCGCGGGCATGCCAGACCCGTTGTCCACGACGCGCACCCGACCGAGCGCGCCAGCTTTCCCACGACATCTCTTGGCACTTCCTCAAGGGGTCCCTTTTGCAGCACGCCCCCGAGTTCCGGCCCTGCCACGCCCCAGGAAGCGCTGAAGCTCGCTCCGTTGACCCTTGCAACCCACATGGAAGCAACGCATTTTGGACATTTTGAAAGTGGGCCAAGCATTGCAAAATAGAGGAAATCTGACGCCCTTTCCTTGGCACGATGCGCATCTCCTGCTTTGCCTGCACCGCAACTATTCGAAACTTACTTGATATCAAGCCAGCTTGAGTTAAAAATGAATGTAAAAAGTCAGACCAGCTGAGGGTATGTGAATGGTGATGGAGGGAGGTGGACTATCGAAGACGGCTCAGCAAAGCCATCCCAAGCTACTTAACCTTTCACCGACCATTCCCCTCTCGAGAGCAGCGCTTTGCTGCGCATGGCCTGGGCTGCGGTATAGGCGAACACGACGAATTGAGAGTAAGAATGAGTTCCTGCAGCTCGATGGCGACGCCATGATGCAATTGAACGAGTCACGTCGGTTGGAGTCCTGACATGTGCGAGCGGATCTTATCCACGCACATCCTCCTGCTTCTTGGCTCTCCAAAAGGGAAGGTATGTTGTGGTGCGTATGTTGGTTGGGTCTTGCGGTTGCGTGCCGTGCGCCCGCGCGCGTGCGTGTCGAAGTTGTGCTCGCGGAAACGCGGCGCGACTCACGCACGTTTCGAGAGGCTCATACCGACACCGCGCATATCAGCACCAAACCTTGCAGAGACACATCCGCACACCCATCGCAATCGTGACTGTGGCAACCCCGACCTGAGTGACTCGGCAAAAACCATCCGTGTGAGCTGTATGATGACCTTGACAGCCCTTGCAGCATCAAAAAGACTGCTGCTCTAGACGTCGCCACGACCAAACTTGGCCCGCCAAGCTCTTGGAGTGTCCCTCCACCTGCGCCACGCAGGAGACCTTGAGCATCTATCTCCCTTGCGCACAAACGCTGATCTGTGTGACTTGTTGCTCTCATCGTGATCGCTCGCGTCCTTCTTTGCACATCAAAGCGGGCCCAAGGTAAGCGCGGACCGAGATCGATACATCATAACAAGAGATGTGAGCCCACTTCTCACGCCGCCGGCCGTGCTTGGTCGCCCCCCTCCCGCGTCACTCGTGACTGTGATTGCTCAGGAGACGGTCCGCAAGCTCCTTCTACCCAGGGTCTGCTAGGTTCACCAAACCCGCCTCTTCCTCGAGACTGTCATGACACCCTTTCACGTCGCTCTACGCCCGGGGGGATGAGCTCGATCATCACGCTCTGCTGTTCCTCATCACTATGCGCACATAAGTACGCTGTACGTATGTGAGTTGAGCAACACGCGTCCTCATGATCTGATGAGTCTTGTACGCTCACGCCTTGGACAAAAGCTTTGTATTTTCGATTTTGGGTGTTTGATGCTGTCGAACTGGCAACCGAGACAATCATCGTGTGCACTAGCTTCTCCAGACATCAGTCAGTCACCCAGTGCAATCTGCAGATTAATTCGTACATGCTTTGTATCACGATTTATATATAGTAGCACGAGCGACAATCTGCGAAGATGAATACCAATTCAAGAATGTGAATCGTGAATCACGTACGTCATGCTCACTTTGCAGGATACGGCCCAGAGGCGTGTGGACAAGCCAGTCTTGAATCAAGTGGACGTCGGGCTCAACCCCTATATATACAGACAGCGTGTCCGGAGGCGAGAAGGTGAGGATCTTTTCGTAGGCAAAATGTCCCGAGTATCCTGGCTGCAACACGTAGACATGTCGATCCCTTCACCCCGACACCTCGGCGTGGGGAGCCGAGTGAGCGCGCGCGGGTGTCTTTCATCGAGAGCGCCATTCATGCGTGCAGCATGCGCGCGGCCGGCCGTATCGGCGGATTGAGGGCGAGGCGATGCGCGGTCTCAACGCTGTGCTCTCACGCAGTAGAAGAGTAGTAGTCAGTAACCCTAACCCTAAGTAGCTGGAGCATCATGCAGAAGCGCAACCCGACGGGTATACAGCATTCGCCGTCTCAGATCATTGTCAGGCCGTATCATCTCGTTCCTCATCTCAGACGAGCCAGCCAAACAAGCAGGAAAGAAGCTGGTGTTGTATGATCAAGCGTTCTGAGTGGTGCAGCGCTCGCACGCCGATGTGCCCTCATGCCTCCGTCACGACTCTCTCCTTGTCCCAGCTGTGAGCGCAATGTGCACGCATGCATAGTTGCAGTAGCGTACTTGCGCCCGCGTGGTTGTTGCATTGATGAGCTGCAGTGGAAGAGTCTTTCCAGAAAACAACTTGTGGCTTGTATACGCGGCCGGGCGCAGCGCGTTCTGCACGGTCCGTACATCAACTCAAGGCACGCAACTCGATCTTGCGGTCTACAGCCTCAACATCCTCGATCGCGACTTGAGATCGCAACAAAGTTGCATGATAGTAGTCGTGAGTATCGATCAAGCCTCTTCATTCGTGACTGACATTCACGATTGATCGACTTCGTTCATATGCCACACTCGTCATGGCAGACGGTTCAAATTTGGAGACCATACGCATTCAGGTTTACGTTCTCACCTGTCATGTGCATGCAGCAGGAACGATTCTTGAATTTCGGGGTTCGCATTTGCAGCTCCGCACGCCTTCGCGTTCCCAACGACCGTGGCTTGTGGGGTGGAGAGTGAGGTGACACATCCTAGCGCTCGTAGTGGATACGGACTGGGAGGGGCGGAGCCTGCCCAGCGGATGTCATCAAGCCCAACTTTGTGCTCAGAATCGCAGCAGACCTGCCAGATCGGATCCAAGCGGAGCGTACGACGCTCGGTGTCTTTGCCATAGCTGCTGCGCGTGCGCGAGCGATGGACACACCCAAGAGACGTGTACTGAGCGCGCCGCAGCCAGACAACAACCACGAACGTCTTGCGCTCGGTTTGGCTTCGAGTCCGCGGCAGGTCTCTGCGCAAATTCATTCAAGCAGTTATATGAAGCTGTTGAGAAAAGCTTTAGGAGATCGCGGCCTTTCTGGTGGAGCAGACAACAATTACTGCGGGCAAAGATTGACGCCCTATATTCGGTTCGCAAGTCGTGCACGTCAGCATGCCGCAGTCTGCTCTAAAGCACGCAGTCATCGACGGAATTCCAAGCCATGATGGAAATTTGGGCTCGAGGTGAGGCCTTCTTCCACTCTACGACACAATCCTTGAATGTGGATATCTTGGTGACATGCAAAAGGGCCCGAGTCTGCTGATGAGCTCCGCTCCTCGTTCACATTCAGATTGTGATTGCCGCGACCTCTCATGCTGGCTCCTATGCGCTTGCTCCCCTGACCCTCCTTCAAACCCAGCTGCGACTCACAGCAGCGCACCCTCACACTATTCTACTATACTCGAGTCTGACTGAAGCACCTCACGACATCACGAATCAAGACTCGCATCCTAACGGTCTGGACACACGCTTAAAGTGCGGCCCAACGCACGCCTACGCCGCGCAGGACACCACTCAGAGCTGAAGCATTTCTGCAGATGCTCTCGCGTCTGGATGCTCACAGTTAACTGCTGACCGCGCGTCCCTCGATCGTCGTTCATGCAGCTTTGACGCATGGTCTCAGCCCACGGTGCTTGGTCCCTCTTCCTCCTGCATCAGCTGCTGGCGCCGACTCGCCGGTGTGAGAGCTGCGCACATCACTTATTGCAGGGCCTCTCGCTCTCTTCTTGTGCGTGACTGCACCTCGAGGGACACTGCCGCACTGCGCTGCCGCTCCAGCCTAGGGGACACCGGCTGCTCAACCCCTCAGCAGCTCTCGAGATTCGCTTCGCTGCGTTTTGCAGACACACAACTCAGGCTCAAAGAACCTGATCGTCTTTGCCGACTCTTCTCTTTCCACTCCATCGTTCTCTTGTTTCGGCACGTCTCTCTCCAGCTTCCGCTCTTCATTCGTTTCGTCGGCTCGTTCGCTCTTCCATCTCCACATCTGCGGTGCTCACTCCCAAGAACAGCATCCGCTACACCCACCATTCTCTCCTTTCTGAGTGGAGCCGACCTACAGGACGAAAGAGCCGAAGCACGTCTCGAATCTCATATCATTATCACCTGCACTTCGACTCTTCCGTCACATTTTCTCTTTCGCTCTCGTCGTGCTTCTGTTCCGGGAAGCTCGCATTTCACATTACTCGCCATAGAGTGCCTCGGCAGCAGTCGTTACCGGCGCTGTCATAGCTAGCTGGACTGGCTACTCGTCCTTTTCGAAGACCACGGACTGGCGTTGCAAAGTCTGCCCTGCGCTAGCATACAGGCCACGTTTTTGCAGCAGGCCTAGCATCGCGGCAAAACCCGCTACTCTTCGTTCGTCGCCATGCGAGTCAGCGCTGCGTACATCCTGCTTGCGCTCTCGAGCGCAGGCCTGGTAGCGGGCAATTTGAGTGGCCTTGAGCACAAGCAGAGAGCAAGGTCGTTCGGCCGCGAGCTGAGGCGTGCCGATGGCGGATCTGCGCCGCTGCGGGCCGCCGAACGCGCTCCTCTCGCGGACCTTTTCAGCGACGATGACGATTCTGACTCCAAGGACGACAAGAAGGACTCCTTCTTGAACACGGTACTCGGCGGCGATGACTCGAATGACTCCAGCAGCAGCGAGACCACCAGCACCAGCTCCACGAACACAAAGTCCGCCTCCGACGACGACACATCGAGCAGCAAAACTTCGACCAAGACCGACGATGGGAAGAGCTCGACCAAGACGTCGACTGACGATGACAACAAGCCCACTAGCACCAAGACGTCGTCGAACGACGGTAACAAGCAAGCGACCAAGACTAGCACGGACGACGAGCCCACTAGCACCAACAAGGGCCTCGTTGGTGACCTGGTCGATGGTGTCGATTCCATCCTGAACCCCGACGGCGACAAAGCGACGTCGACGACCAAGACCAGCGGTGGGCCCACGCCTGCTCCGACCGCCAACAAGACGAAAGGCGAGGATGACGATGACTCGACCTCGTCAAAGAACAAGTCCTCGTCGAAGGACAACGAGGACGACGATGACGACACGAGCAGCAAGAATGGAGGTCTGCTCGATGGTCTCACATCCGCTGTGGGCGGCGTTATTTCTGATGTTGGTGGTATCCTGACGGGCATCGGCTCCACAAAGACGTCTGACGGTGACGATGATAAGTCGACAAAGTCCAAGACGAAGACCGACGACGATGAGTCCACGACAACGTCAAAAGGCGGTTTGCTTGACCCTATCTTGACACCCATCATCGGAGGCGGAGACGACGATTCTAGCTCCAAGACAAAGACCAAGACGAAGACTGATGATGAGCCCACATCCACCAAGCCCGGCCTGCTGGACCCGATCGTGACCCCAATCTTCGGAGGCGGAGACGACGATTCTAGCTCCAAGACCAAGACGAAGACGAAGACGGATGATGAGCCCACATCCACCAAGGGTGGCCTGCTGGACCCGATCGTGACCCCAATCTTCGGAGGCGGAGACGACGATTCTAGCTCCAAGACCAAGACCAAGACGGATGATGAGCCCACAACCACCAAGACCGGCTTGTTGGATCCTATCCTGACTCCTATCTTCGACCCACCCACGGACAAGCCGACAAGCACCAAGACCAAGACGGGAACAAAGCCGACTGACACGAGTCAAAATGGCGATAGCGACGACAGCACTTCCAAGGACACGAATACAGGCAACAGCGGCACAAAGACCAAGACTGAGAACAACGGCCAGGCTACTCGAACCCAGGACGATTCTTCCGAGACTACACCTGTGGACAACAACGGTGCGGGTTCGACCTCGCAGTTCGAGGCTCCCAACACTCGACCCACTGCCACCCATTTGCTCACAGATCCTGAAGCCACTGCCACACGTACCGCAAGCGACAGCGATACTGATTCCAATGGCGGTAGTCGCTCTGGGCAGAGTGATTCGAGTACCGACACCGAAACGCAAACCACTGGTGGCTACTGGTACGCAGACAAGTCGTCACTCATTCTCCCTAGCGCAACGTCGAGCGGTGATAGCGATAACGACAAGCAGCACGACTCTACCAAGGTGGACGCACCCCAAGAGACCGCCGGTCAACAGTTCCCTGGCACCATCGTTCCCGCTGATGGTGCTCTCGTGCAGCCCACCGACACCACCAGTGTTGCCATCTTGTTGAAACCCACCATGAAGTGGACGTGGCTCGCGTCGAACTCGGACACTACCGCCCAAGTGTTTGCCTTCTTGCCCGCCATCATTGCCCAGGTAAGTGTGATGGAGAACTTCACTGTGCGCACGAATTGAAACTTACCAAGACACCTTGCCACCGCACCAGTCTGTCGGCTTGCAGCCCAATGACATCGTCACCGTGCGCTTGCAATCTTACTACCCCACTGGCCAGACGAAGGAAAGCGATGCGCTCTCTCTGTACATGGCCTACGTTCCGTCTAAGAACACTGAGGATCTCGCCGCTGATGTGCGCAACACATCATCAACCTTCTACACTGGACCAAAGGATAACGTTGCCAAGCAGCTCGCCGCCAACGTTGACCCCAACTTCAACATTCTCAGCGTCGTTGGTGGGCAGACTCGCGGGAGCAACGCTCAGCACGAGACTCAAGGAGACGACGACTCCAGCGCCACTCTGAGAAACGCTTTGATCGGTGTCGGCTCTGCACTCGTCGCGGTCATCGTCGGCTTCGTCGGCTGGCGCATCTGGCGAAAGCAGCGCAAGGCTGAACTCGCTGCCCGTCGTGCTGCCGCTCGTCCTGGACGCCGCGGCACCATCCGAAGCTTTGGTGCCGGACCGCTTCGCGAGACTTGGGCGCCGTCTATTGCAGAGCAAGAGCGTGTGTTGCACGGTCAGCAGCTCACTCAAACCTGGGAGAACTCGGATGAGATGCACGAGCAGGATGACGGTCCCCTGAGACGCTCCATCATCCAACCTGGAAGTGCTGGTCTCGAGACTGGATGGGGTGATCCATTCGTCGATCAGTGGGCTGTCGGCAATCGTTCGAGTGTCATGACCGAACGATCAGGCGGCAGCGGCGGACTGCTCAGTCGTGCTAGCGGTCTGACTGAGGCTCAGCGAATTCAGCAGGACTACATTGATGGACACGAGGATGGTGTCACTCCTTTGAGCCCCACTAGCGCTCTCGCTATGGGCGGGTCGTACAACGAGGAATATCAAATCCCTCAGCAGTACACCAGCAGCCACGCATACGGACCGCGCGCAAGTGAGAATCAGCGACACCGCAAGCGCACGAGTCGCAGCTCCACCGCTTCCATCTCCCGTCCGGAGCTGCAAAGCAACTCGATGCTTCTCTAGGTGCGCTCCGACTTCATATCGTTTCTTCTCCTTCCAATAGAAGCATCTCGGCAAGGCTGTCCCTTTGCAATATTTCCGGAAGCACATATAACAAAATTCTAGTCTTGTCCTTCGACCCTTCCAACGTCAAGTCGTTTCAGCCACGCGCCGTTAACCTGTGGCAGCGGGCACTCACACTCCTTTCTGATCCGGGCGATGGGATCCACAACGATCTGAGCCCAAAGTCTTGCTCTCTCCCACGATTGCAGAAGCTCTCCACCTCTGCCTTACCGTCACCGATCATTTCCCAGTCTTTTCGTCCCTGAAATGCAGCAGCAAAGCAGACAGATGCTGCGCACTATCGTGAACGTGCTCGTCTCACATCTCTCCTCGTACACAAGGGCCTGGCTGCCAGGTGTACGAGTGACGATGTGAGCAAGGACGTTTTGGCTCCATCTGGAGCTCACAGGATACCCAAAAAGTCGCGAGCCTCAGTCATCTATCTGCCTTATAGTGTACACACTAGCTCTCGCAGCTTGCAATCAGACCCTCTTTGTCTTCATTTGCGAGCGACCGATGCGTGCGATCGTGTGAAGAGGGGACGTGAAATGGTGACAACGTGTGCGTCGAGTGCATAAAGACTGGAAAGTCTTGTCGTCGGAGCCGCGAAGGCTAAGCTTGGCTTGCGCTGTTACCACTTGTTGAACTCATGACGCAGCTCACATCGCTGGAGGGAAGTACGGCGGTCCAAATGGTTGAGGTGCCGAGACGGCTCTCATTTGCGATGCCGAAAGCGGAAAGGGCATCGGTGGTGCCCCATACGAAGGGGCGTCTCCGAGGTAGACCCCTTCCAAGGCTTCGGTCGAGTGCGAGGCACGACTGTGATATGAGCAGGGCAAGTTTGTGGAGCGGTGTGGTGAGTGACCTGCAAGTAAGACTCTAGGTTTTCCACGATCGACGCACATTGCCATATCCATGGAGAAGACGGCTTCAGGCAGACCGTATGGGGTAGGCGTGTTTGAACCCTTCGAGGGCAAATTCTAGCCGTATCAGTTTCGTTTCGTTTCATTTGCGCCAATCTGGTTGCACAATGGCCCCTCACCCTCATCATATCCCTCGGTCTGACCGAGGCGCGAAACTTCCAGTCGAGCGAGAAGGATCGAGGAGACTTTGTACGCGGAGGCTTGTAGCCCACGTTGAGGCCCGCTTCGGCATCAGCGTCGTAGATGCGCGATAGCCAAGGGTTGCGCATCTGGTGGTCGAGGATATGCGGAGCAGCAGCTCCGGGTCTGTATCCACCGGGACCCGGAGCTCTCATCCAACCTTGTCTTGGTCGTCCCCAAATGTCCCAACCTCTGTGTGGACCTTCAAAAGCGTGCATACCGATCGGCACAGCTGCTGCTCGCATAGCGTCATCTTCCCTCAACCTATCTCGAGCCCCCGCTACTCGCGCCAGCTCAGTCTCGGCCCTCATGACCGCCATCGGATCATCCCTCTTTGCAGCCTCGATCAACTTCAGTGGCGCTCGCCTCGCAGCTCTAAATATTTCTTGTGCGCGCCTAGCAGCTGCGTGTTCGCGGTCCAGCTCGCTGGCCACGACCCCTTTGTGACCTCGCCGACCGCTCTGGCTGTGCTCGTACATCTCAAATCGACGCGCCATGGAGCTTGCAATGAGGTGATCCCGCCAATTCATCTGCGACCATCCCGATGGCGGTTGCGTGGCCCAGGCAGTTGAGTCTGAAGGCACTGCAGGCCGTCTAACGAGTCGAAGCGTGGGTTGCGTACTGTAACCATACTCTTGCATCAGTGCCCAAGCGCTACCATCCCGTGGGTCATGCCATGTGCTGGTTGGCGGTGTCGTCGAAAGATTGACAAAGTAGAATGCTTGATGTACCGCGTCAAATTCGACACTCCAGCCTGAGTGAGGAGGAAGACGGAGCTCAGCTATCTGCACACAGGACATGTGCCGTAACAGCTCACCGGAGGGTAAATTCCCGCCGCCTTGCATAGCAAAGAGCTCAAGAGTCGATCTGCTCGGGACAAGGACGTGGGCTGGGGGCTGAACCGTCGCTGGAGCCGGTACGCTGGCCGCACTGAGGCTATTCACAGACTCTTGAACGCTCGGTTCGGACCTCGACTGCGCAGGCATGCCTTGCGAAGTACCCTCAGACGAGAGCGGCACCGCCGCAGGATACATTTGCGTCAAACCAGCATCGCTGGGGGGAAAACGTACCCCCAGGGGAGGCTCGCGCGGAGAAGAAGCTGCGGTCGCGATGTCTTCGATGCGAGGGGGAAATGCTGAAGATGGCTGAACAGCTGGAGATCTATGAGTCTCTGATTGGTGCAACTGGTGCGACTCGTATGGCTGATGGTCAGCATTCAAGGCGGGAGCTACTTCTGCTGGCGGGCCCCAAGGTCCGTGCAGAACGCTGTCTCCTGCTTGGGGCCACTCATTGGGCCCAAGGTGCGGAGGCGCTGCGTGTGCCTGATGCTTGTAGGCTAGGGGCACAAGGTCGTGTGATGTGACATTCCTGGCCCACGAAGGCGCGGGCACGGTCGCACCGGGATGTGCGATTGCTTCTGGGTGATGCGTCGGAGGGACTGGCCACGGAAGGGATGGGTCCCATCCTCCCATGTCGGGACCGCCATCATCGCGGAGCGGCACAGAATTCGGAAGCCCCGCCGGCTCATGAAGCAGACCATGCCCAATGGCAGGCAAGTGCGTGTCTGCCGCCGCAGCGTCGCCAAAAATGCCTGACTGCATCGCAGGTGGTAGGATGGATTCTGGCAGCTGGCGTGCAATGCCAGGTTCAGGTCCAGTGGTAGATTCAAACTCGCTCAAAGTCGTTGAAATATCTGAGCGAGTCCTCACGTATTCTTCCAGAACGCGTCTTGCTTCCAACTCAGCATCAGCCTTGATTCGCTCAAATTCCGCCTCAGTCATGCCTTCGGGACGAGGCACATTCTTGAAGTCTGCCGAGCGGCTCGATGAGCCATCGAAGGAGGAGGGGTAGGCTGTCGAAGGCGGAATACGTGCGGGTAGCGTGGATGGCGCAGGCGTACCAATTGGATCGGTAATGGGCATACTTAGGCGGCGTATTGACAGAGGCTCTCCAACTCTGGACATTGGGACAATATTTGAAAGATTCCCGGGTGCGGGTGCGGGTGCGGGGAAGGGAGCTGGGTTTGGCACATGGACTAGCGGCGAAGGCGCAGAGGCAGAAGCTTCGGTGGCGTCGATGACCTTACCAGTAGGCACTGTAACCTGGGACGGTGTGGCAAGAGCCGCGCGAGCTGGTTCGCGAGGTCCGCTGGGACGGATGCGCTGTTGTGCTTCACCCTCAGACTTGTCAGAGGGTGCTGCTTCTTCGACGTACGCTTGACGGCTTGCGCCTCCACTGACAGCGCGCGAGACGGCGGCTCCCATTGCCATGTTCGCTGCGTGCGTGACTTGTTTCGCATCGATCTGTGTGTGAGGGAGATGTTTTATCGATGCGTCCGCGGAGTCGTTGCCTTCCCGGGCATGTCTTTCTTGCAGACCATTGGAGTGTGAAACGGCCTCTGGCGGTGCATCAAGAGCAGCTGTTGGGCTGTTTCTTAAAATGACGTTGGCTGGTATGGCGTGCTCCACAGGCGCTCTTGTGCTGACGTTCTGCATCGAAATCTTCTGAGATCCAGGCGCCGCCTGATCTTGAGCGAAGAGCTCAGACGAAGCGTAAGGCGGTGGACTCGCTTGACGATCACCAGCTGGCTCACTCGGTGGCCTAGCCTCGGTCCCCGAGCGCTGTGTAGGGAAGGACGAACTTGTCTGAGCGGCAGGCAGAAGTAGCGGTGAAGGGTGTAGAGAAAAAGCTCGCGCTTCAGGCTCTTTTCGTCGATGATTGTCGATGGTGGACCAGCCTGGAGAGGGTGGACTGAATTCTCCAGCCTCGATGGGATTGAGAGCATGAGAGGGAGTGCGAGCCGTCTCCCACTCTGCACCGACGGCTCTGCTTAGCAAGTAAGGCTCGCTGTCAGGAAGGGCCGCTGCGACTTCGTGCCAATCCGCATCTATGGGTGCCTGGTCTGTAGGTGGATGATGATCGTGCTCGTGGCCAGGCATGGCTCCTGGCAGTGAGCTGCTAGTTCTAGGTGTCAGGAGCTCCTTGAACTTCGCATCTGGACCGTTAGAAGTAGGGCCGAAAGATGCTGAAGGAAGTTGGGGCACAGAATGCGGTTCCCGAGAGGAATCTGCACCAAAAGCATCGACGCCAGTCATGCTTTCCATCAGAGCCAGCAGCCCTCGCTGATCTGATGCCATCTCCGCGGGTACGCAGCTGCGAACTGATGCTCTGTAAGGCAGCGAAGGTCGCCCAATGGCTGCTGCTTTGGATAGCCTGATCTGTTAGCTCGGTTTGGGCACCTGTGATGATCTGATGCTTGCGCAAAGTGTGGGGCTGAAGGTCGTGGAAGCGCAAGATAGCGAGTCGCAGCTGAAACTCGGTGGGCCAAGAGCGACCGTCTGGTCTGAGTGGCGCTTGGACAAGAGAAGACTGGCTGAGACGGCTGCGCGCGGCGCTGTACGCGCGGTGAGACCGTTGTGCTGATGCTGTGAAACCGTCGCCGCTGACGGTTGCTTTGAGGCTGCGCTGCTACCCACGCTGCGGCACGTTCTGGCGAGGTAGGTTTGTGTGCCACTGACGACTGTCGCTGTATACAGGTCGAAGTAGAGCAGAGAGCTGATATATGTCCTCATCAAAGATGCAGTCGATATCCAGGTGAAACAGGAACGTGCGGGTTGCTTGATCGAATTTGAAGAAAGAAGGGAATGTGAGCTCGTGTTCGACCAATACTCGATCGTGGCTTCGCTTTAAACATCATGCTGTACATCTTGCGTTGTCCAGCCGCGATCCTGAGCAGGCTCGATCGAGACTCTCATCAAATTAAACATCGGTCACCGACATACGCCCTATAGTCGGAGACTTTTGGGGCGCCATTGCCGACCAGTCGACGCAGTCAAAAAATGCTGCTAATATACAGCATGGCGCCATGAGAGGCGCGCTACGTGATGTGCGCATGTGATTGTGAGCGCCTTCTGCGGTGATGGTGCCTATAGGCGAGCTTTTCTTCGCGCCGCGCAGGCCGTGTCGGCAAGGCCGCGGCAATCTCGGTAGCAAGATTTGACTTTGATGTTAAGCCTGATTGAAGTCATCTGCTGCGTGTACATATACACGCAAGATGGGATGGCCTAGAACCGCTGCGCCCCAATCTGAGTCGAAACGGACGTGCTAGCCGCTGACGCCTTTGGCGCGTAAGGAGCTTCTCAGCCGTATATGTATATCTGACGACGCCGTTCGGGCACTCGATCGCGATCGATCGAGCGCCATGTCTACTGTATATCGCCGCGGTATTCTGAAACTCTTCTGACGGTCTTGTCTGGCATTCAAGGTATGGGAGCTGCATTTGCGGGTGCACCATCACGCCATGGGGGACTTTTCAAATGCTTTGCTTCTGTAGGAAGGTCACATCCAGCAGCCAGCCTGCACGTCTCCGTCAAGCTTCGGGGCGCTTAATGAGGCCCTCCTTAGATCGTGGACTCCAAAGAGTCAAGAGTAGAAGAGGCTATATGCAGCTGAGCCCATCAGCGAGAAGTGTGGCGAGCCATTAAGTGATCCACTTGCCTGCTCGCCATGTATTCAACTTCTCTAGCAGTTGCTGATCGTACTTCGAGCGCGAAGAAGGGCGACCCTTTCAGTCAGCAAGTCGAAGTGCCGATCGAACATCGATGAGGCCGTGCTCAAGAGCGATCAACTCACTAGGCGATCACCTTTGAGCTGATTACCTAGCGTGATCCCTGCATTTGTAATTGGCACCATTGCGAGTCCGGACCAATCATCAGAAAAGTGTTAATGACATGAGCTGCACACATCGGACTCACATCCGGGCCTGGCGTTGTGCTTTCTACCAAAGAGTTCGATCTTCCTACCTCCAGGGCAGAGCCTCTCTATCAAGCCGTACAACTCGTCAGGTTTCCTGCTGGTGTCCCTTACTTCCGAAACAATTACGTCCGCACCAAGACCAGCATGAGCCCAGCTAGGAACGGCGGATCGCGCTCCTGCAAGTTGAGCTGCCGGATAGATCTGACTCAGGTTTGAAAGCGGACTAGCAAGTTGTGGGGTCTCCTCTAAGTCTCTCAAAGGTTTGCGCTTCGCTCCGACCAGACAGTGCTCTTTGGTATGATTCAGCCAGTGTCCAGTCCGGCCGGTCCGAATCAGCCTTTGTGTTTGGCCAACCTTGACCCACACGAGCTCATCGACGCGAGCATAGCTACAGCAGACTTCGACTTGTCAGAAGTGGCAATGACGGGGTGGGCTGCTGCTCGATACCGGCTCACCCCCACATTGCAAGTAGCTCTCGGCCCAGCTCCATCGCTCTTCCGGTGACCCACAGGAAGATAAAGCCCTCATCTTGCAGTTGAGCCAGAGGCATTGACCTCATCTGATCGTCCGTCATTGTTCCGTACGGCAAACTATGTGGCGCACGGGTCGCACACAATCAGCTTCGATCTTCCGTCATATCGCGATGCCTCGGCACTGACCTCATGTGAATGTCCCATCTTCATGCGACGCGGAGCATTTATCAGTTTCATCATGTGTTCGAATGGCGTGGATGCCTTCCAGACCACTCACGGAGGATCGGCCAAGATAACGTCAACTTTGCCCAGCATGCTATAGTCAAAATCTCGTAGATCCACATCCATCCATTGTGGAGGCAGCTGCACTGGTGGGGCAGCCTCGCTGGCCACTCCAGGTCCGCCACCCCCACCACCTCCCCCATACCAAGTATGCGCGCCGACTTGCTGAAGGGCATGAAGAGGGTGCCGCACTGATGCCGTCTCGAAGAGTTGGGTAGCAGCTTCCGGGCCGGACTCATTTTCACCTGACACCAGACCCTCCGATACCGCTGCACGAGATGTTGGAGAAGCTCCTGCGTTGGCGGAGTCATAGACCTGGGGACAAGGTTCGCGCAGCTTGGAATGCCAGGCAAATGGGCTTGCGTCGCTGGATCGCACGGGACGAAAATGAAGATACTGAGGCGGAATGAGAGAGCGGATTGCCGATCGGTCAGTCATTCGCTTCGTGGAAAGATCGTGGAAACGAGCCGCCGGCACGCACTTTGCATGTCGTCGTTCGATGGCAAGTATTGAGGTAGCTGCAGTGACCATAGCTGAGATCTGTCTGCGGATACATGACCACTTCAAAGTGCACCGACTGACACGTGAGCGCCTCCCCAGGTGCTTCCTCATGGCCGCTTCGCCAACTCGAGGCAGCTGCACAATCTGCAAGTGTCAAATGTTGACAAATCTCTTGATGTCGAGTGTCCGGAGCGGAGAGCTTGAAGCACCAGAGCAGGCTGATCAGACGAGTTGTGATGCGACTGTAGCCTCAGACGCGCCGGCTCACCAGTTCAGAAAGCAGACGAGTCTTCGCAGTGCGAGGCCTCAAGTACAAGGACGAAATCTCTTGCACCGCTGTGGCATGTCTATGATCAGGCAGAAGTTGCAAGGTCAGTGTGACATCAGCTCAAATCTTGGCCGAGCAGCGCGCAAGTGATCGACTCACTCAGTCGACATGATGTTGCGATCCCTGCGCTCAGCGCCCCCTTATGTCCAACAGTTTGTCTGACTTAAGCGAGCGAGCGCAAGGTCGCTGGTGAATATGGTGTACGCCTGTCTCTCGATCGGCATGTTGCGGGGATGTCGTTGCGGCAGGCAAGGTACCCTTAGCACCTCACATCAAAGAGGTTACTTGTTCGTCCGAATTGGATGCTCGACCACTCAGCTCGTATCCACTCACTCACGACTCAACTGTTGCGTGCCTGCAGATTCATCAAACTTACGACTTCCTAAGGCTACCTTCTCCACACATGTCATAGGGCCACGTGACGGACGGCAAACTCGGTGCGCCCGCCGCGGTCTCCGCGGCGGACCCAAGGCCGCTAAGGGGCACGCCGCACGGCGCTTGACGTCGCGCCGATTCACCATTCGCGTGCAGCATGCAAGCTGATAAGCTCCTGCCGCGCGGCTTGCCCACATCTGATCGTAATGCCTTCCTTTCGCTCTCAGAGAACCGACTGACGATCTCAACAGTCGCATCCGTGCTCCTTCATTCTGCTGCCACTGTCCACAATCCTCAGTCCAGGACGTTATCTCGAGAAGGAAGAGGACCTCGATGCTTGGCAGCGTGAGTGACTCCAGCAACGTACGCATCGCGTGCGTGCCCTTGAATCGTGAATTCTTGTGGGCGTTGACCCAGCCCAGGAGCATGCATGATGCAAATTAAGCGAGGCTTTGGTGCAAGATCCTGCGCGCGGACGGCGTGCCTGACCGATGCCAGCAGCAGCAATTTCCGTAGCTGCAGCATCGCGGCCCCTCACACGCGCGTCTCATCAGGGTTCGAAGCTCCATGCACATCATGCACTTGAGCTATATATATATGCTGTAGCAGGTAGTCAGAGACGAGTTGTGCGGATGCATGGCTATTCCCACACCGGCAAGCGGCAACGAGTGGGGCCGCCTCAAGCACGCCACCATTTGTCTACTTGACCCAACCCAGATGACAATATTAGCCGTGGCTGAACTCTTGGCTGGACTCTTAGATTGACTTCCGGTTGAGCTATGAAAGTCGTGTGGACGTTGGGCGAGCCACTCAATCAGGACTGCAGCACGCATAGCTCCATCTAAGGAGGCACGGCCGCAGAGAGTGTTGATGTGTGTACCGGTAAATCTTGGATGGCCGCGGAGCGCGACGTGCATGAAAGCTTTGGGGCTGTGCGCGGTATCGCTCGATCCTCGATGCTATGGCATCTTGACGCAGCGCATGCGCCAACTCTCTCATTTTAGGCGTGATCGTTTGGCAGCTCATGACCCGGCAGTCGGCTCGACGGATGCGCACCCCTGCTGGCTCGCAGCCTCTTTTCCGCCCGCGGCTGGCCTTTCAAGATACATGGATGCTGGACACACTTCCAAGGCGACTGCTGCAGCGCCTTGGAGTTCAGGGAGAGGGGAGTCTGGAAGAGGTACACCTCGCGCCCTCTCTATATACCTACATACAACACATGCACACACACATAAATGAGGCGAATTGGCAACGTCTCCATCAGCCACACCCGCGGCAACCATTACCAGCAATCACACCCTGCACTGCTTTGCAAGCTTCGCTGCCTTCTGGCTTAGCGTGGTCATTACATCTACCTAAACCTCGCATCAAGCCTCCTCTCATCACCCAAGCACTCGATACTTCTCCAAGAAGCGCCTGCATTTCCGCCAGCGCTCCCAGTCATGTCTACTCCACTGGTTCCAACCATATCGCCCCCGGGCGAGCCAATATCCAAAGCGGAGTCCGGCCTATCCAGCTTGGCCAACGTCAGGTCCGCACTACTCTCGGTGCCTGGTAGCAATGGCAGCCCTAGACCTACGACGCCAGATCACATTTTGGCAAACACCACTGGATACACGGACACAGTATTTGAGGGCAAGAGGGATCAAGCTGCTGCTGTTACAAAGCTATTGAAGGACAAAGGCTTCATCCCGCCAGACCTCGTCGATGCTGAAGTGCAGTGGTTCTATCAGTGAGTCATAGACAGCGGAGATGGCGCGAGGCAGAGAATGAGGAACAAGTTTGAGCAGATATTCGGGACCTCTCGAGTGGCACACAGATGATGCTGACACGTCTGTCCGCTCTCCTCGTTGCGCAGAAACCTGGGCATAGACGACACTTATTTCGCTTTGGAGACGATCGAGACGATCTCAGATCACGTCTTGGCTCTATTTGGCGCCAAAATCCAAGCTTACACCAAGCACAGCAAGGATCTTGTGATCGATTTGGAGCACGCCACTGAGGGCGGAGCTGTTTTCATTCATTCCAGCAAAGCAGGCGAGAGCCAAATTGGTGGCCCTCAGTGGGAGCGCAGGTGAGCCCCAAACGGTCAGGTGGCTTAAGAATCAGTACTGACGATGCGTGCCCCTTTCGTTTCGTGCCTGCTCTCGTGATCGCAGGATCGATGCAACTTATTTAGACAAGTCGTCCGTCTCCAAGGCTTATAGGCTTGAGACCTATCGAAGTGCCGGGAGCGTCTCAGCTCAATCCAAGCAGCAACTTCGCTGCTACTTTTTGGCTCGATGCAACTTCGCACAGCCGGTGCCAAGCCCCAGTTCTGCAGAGTACAGCGACATCACAAAGGTGGGGGATAAAACTTTCCTTACCAAAGCGAGTCCTAACACCCTAGAGATCTATCAGACGGTGATGGACGAGGTGCTAAGGCGTCACGGACCAGTCATTGAAATGTATGAGGTCGAAGGCTCTCGCGAGCGACGAGTGGTCATTGGTTATAGGATGGGCACGACTACAAGCTACTTCAGCGCCTTGTCAGACCTATACCACTTCTATGGTCTCTTTAGTTCACGCAAGTACGTCGAACAGTTCAGCAACGGGGTCACGATCATCACAATCTATTTGAACCCTTTGCCGGCATCGAAGAGCCCGCCGATCGAGCTGTCTATCTACCAGGTCATCAAGGAAGCATCGTTGATCTACGTGCTGCCAGACAACCCCTTCTTCGCCCCTGGATCCGCCGACCACGCAGTCCAAGAAGCGGCATATGCCTACTGTGGCTGGCTCTTTGCTCAACATTTCTGCAACAGGCTTGGTCAGGCTTACCAAGCGTTGCGCAATGTTCTAGATGAGGCTAATCCGGCGCACGCCTCCATCCTGAACGACATCAAGCTCCGCTTCCGTGAAGAGACTTTCACACGCCAATCTATCCAGGAGGTGATGCAGTCACACCCGGATCTCGTAAGGCTACTCTACGTTCACTTTGCCAATGTCCACTATCCAGGTGGTGCAGATGATCACGAGCTGGTACCAACTCTCAGCTACCAGAGATTAGTCAAAGAAGAGGTGCTCAACGATGGGCAGATGTACGATCGTATCCGAAAGGCAGCTGCTAACCAGCATGAACTGCAAGTACTCCAAGCTTTGCTGTTCTTCAACAAGGCCGTATTGAAGACAAACTTTTACACGCCAACGAAGGTCGCTCTATCTTTCCGTCTGGACCCTGGCTTCTTGCCGGAAGCAGAATATCCCAACAAGCCTTACGGAGTGATTTTTGTTGTCGGCTCCGAGTTCCGTGGCTTCCACGTCCGCTTCGCTGACGTCGCTAGAGGCGGTATTCGAATCGTGCGAAGTCGCAATCGCGAGAACTACAGCATCAACCAGCGAACTTTGTTCGACGAGAACTATGCCCTAGCGAGTACGCAGCATCTGAAGAACAAGGACATTCCGGAAGGCGGAAGCAAAGGTACCATCTTGCCAACTCTCGAGGCAGACCCCAAGCTCGCGTTCGAGAAATACATTGACGCGCTGCTCGACATCCTGATCAAGGGGCAGACCCCTGGTGTCAAGGAAGAAATTGTGGATCTGCTCGGTAAAGAAGAAATCCTGTTCCTTGGTCCCGATGAAGGCACTGCGACTTTCATGGATTGGGCTGCCGAGCACGCTCGCGACCGTGGCGCACCTTGGTGGAAGTCTTTCACCACCGGAAAGACAGCCGCAACGCTGGGTGGAGTGTAAGTTGATGTGAGGAACGTGTTGTGACGAGTCTGTCCCTAATTCGCCCCTCTTTCGACCGTCGCAGACCTCATGACACTTATGGCATGACGAGTCTCTCTGTTCGGCAGTATGAGCTTGGCATCTTGCGAAAGCTCGGCTTGAAAGAGGAGACAGTGACCAAGGTACAGACTGGTGGTCCGGACGGAGATCTCGGCAGCAATGAAATCCTGCTGTCGACTGCCTCCACAGTGACGATCATAGACGGCTCTGGCGTACTGCATGATCCCAAGGGAATCGATCGACGAGAGCTCATTCGACTAGCGAAGGCACGCCAAATGATATCAAGCTTCGACATCACCAGACTTTCTGCTCAAGGGTACCGCATCCTGGTGGAGGAGAATGACGTTCGTCTGCCAACAGGCGAGATCATCACCGATGGAATGTCGTTCCGCAATTCGGCGCACCTGCGATACAAGGCGGATATGTTGGTCCCTTGTGGAGGCAGACCCGAGTCAATTAACATTTCCAATGTCGGTCGATTGTTTGATGCAGACGGAAAGCCCCTCTTCAAGTACATTGTCGAGGGTGCAAACCTCTTCATTACAAGGCAGGCCAGGCTTGAGCTCGAGCGCAAAGGCTGCATCCTCTATCCGGACGCTAGCGCCAACAAGGGTGGCGTTACATCCTCCTCGCTTGAGGTCCTGGCCGGCTTGTCGCTTACAGATGAAGAGTACACGCGCAGGATGATGTTCACCAACGGAGCCCCATCTTCCTTCTACAAGAGCTACGTGGCAGATATTCAGCACGTCATCATTGGCAACGCCGAAAAGGAATTCGAAGCGATCTGGCGCGAAGCTGAAAAGACGGGCAAACCTCGTTCGGTGCTGTCCTCTGAGCTTTCTCTTGCCATCAACACTCTGTCCGACGAGTTGGCGGCTACGGACCTCTACGATAATCTAAACATCAGAACGGCTGTGCTTAGTCACGTCTTCCCTAGAACCTTGCTGGAGAAGGTGGGTTTGGAAGAGCTCACGCATAGAGTACCTGATCAGTATCTCCGAGCAGCGTTTGCGGCGTTCTTGGCAGCCGACTTTGTCTACACTAGAGGTCCTTCAGCAAGTCATGTCGCCTTTTACAAACACGTCGCCTCCCTATCGTCGGGCAAGTCCGCGCACTAGATGCTTCACTACGAAGCTCTCTTTACCCGAAGGTGCTCGGCGCAACGTACTATCCTGGCAGACTTGCGACTTGAACGTGGTCCGCTGCCCTTTCCAGTACTCGATAGATTGTTTCACGTAATTTTCACAAGCTCGCAACTCGACGCAGAAGCGCAATCGATGAGAAGTGTCTCCCTTGACGCATCGTCGTTGTTGTGAGCGGGGATCACTTGTTCGTCGTGGGAGGTGTCGAGTGCAGTAGAACTTGGCGCGCAGGTTGGCGAGCCTCTGCGGCATCGAGAGCGAGTGCTTGCGCTGCAAGTGCCAGGACGGAGTCCCCTGCCCGCTACTTGGGATGGTGTGATATGGATTGCAGTAATCCATGGCCATGTCGATCTCTGATCATCGTCCAAAGCCCATCGAAACAAGAAGGTCAAATCAATCCCTCGCGCTAGAGCAACAAACATGCTCACTCTTCCGAGTTTTCTTGAAACGAGGCTGTGCAAAAGACGCCGCTCTGCATGCATAACGCAACACGAATAATGCTCACAATAACAGACTGCAGCAGCATATGGATGCGCGCGGCTCCTCCTTTTCTCGTCGGCACGCGCCTCTTTCGCGGCTGCAGCAGCAGCAGCTAGCATGCCTGCGTCGCGATTCGCGGCTGCTGTTGCAGCTACAGTACGCGTACACAGAGGCGAGGTGCCGAACGCCGTGCAGTAGGGCTGTGCACCATGCCACGGCGGGCGGCAGGACATCGGCGCGTGCCCTGTACAAGGCGCGCGTGTTGGATCAGAGATCCATGCGTGCTGCTATAGCTTGGCTGCAAGAGCTTAAAGAGGAAAGGGGGTGGTGACACCGGCGTCTCTTGGGTTTTGCTACCAACACTTCCCTCGGACTCATCTAGCCTCAAGGCCTGCTCCAACACAATCTACATCTTTAGACGCATCTCTTAGACAGGACATTCTTACGCACGAAAGCTGAACGACGAATCTTCTTGGAAGCTGGCACGCGACATTGATCAGTTCACCTCTGCGATCACGGCTGCTCTACCTGATCCGGTGCTCTTCAACCAGCTCTTCTGCCTTTCACTGCCGAATCCTAGAGAACTTTTGACCCGCCAAGGCACTGCAAATCGACCAAGCGCTCAATCTTGGAAAGATGCTGGATTGGTATAGTTATCCGGCATCCAGAGGCATCCTCTACGAGCCGCTGGAACGAAGGGCATCTCGCATCACGCCGACGGCCGATCAACGCACGCTCATCATCGTAGCTTGCGTTTACGCAGTAGTGATAGCCATCATCTGGCATGTGCCATACATCAAGCTCGTCATTTATCCCTTCAAGCTCTTGACTGTGGCATTTCACGAGTTTGGACATGCAGCCGTCGGGCTGTGTACGGGCGCCAAGATTGAGAGCATCGAGCTGGATCCGAACGAGGGAGGAGCTACGAGAATGAGAGGGGGTGTGCCTTGGCTCACCCTTCCTGCTGGATATCTGGGCAGCTCTTTCGTCGGAGCGGCACTCATCGCTTGCGCGTTCGACATCAGAGCTAGCAAAGTCGTCACCTTTGGTGAGTGGGCGCGCAACAGGGAAATCCGAAGGCTGCGGTGCATGCGCTCATCACGATGCATCCGCGCGCCGTCCTACTAGTCCTGGCGGCGTTCTTTTTGCTGACCTTGTGGTGGGCGAGGAGGGATTGGTTGTGAGTGCGAAGCGCTTTGGTGGCTCTCGCGACTGTCGCATGCGTAGGATCATGGCAGGCACGGCTCTGTAGGGGCCACATTTGGAAGCGCTGACGATGAATGCTGTTCATCTCGCCACTGACTTGATCCTGCTCAGAACATGGGTGCTCTTGATTGTGAGTTACCGCGTGTTGCATTGCACGCATGCATCTGGATGTCGCTCATGCCTGTCGCCTGTTTGTTTTGCTTCGCAGTGCATGGCTGGTCGTGAGTATCAAATGTGACACACTTCGGCTTCACGCTGCTGTTGCTCAGGTACCTTACCATCCACGCTCTGTGCCTGCAGTCATCGTGGGATTCTGGTTCATCGCGAACGGAGTAGCTTTGCAGTTTTTGGTCCTCTTCATCGTGAGTCTGCGGCCAAGACAGAGCTCACTTCTTGCTCGGCGACTGATGGACACCGCATGTATGCCTTTGCTCCAGGGCGTCATGTCATGGTGAGTGTAAGACTGCTAATCGACAAGCTGGCACGACCTGACCAATCGCTCTTGGTCCCACCCCGAAATTTGTCCCTCGATAGTCTGTGAGCGCAGATGCTTGTGAGCCACCCCGATCATGAAATTCCTGACTGACGCCCGCCCATTTTCGGTCCTGCGATGATCAGGTACTCACTGTGGGATATCTGCGACGACCTCATTTTCCGCAAGGTCAACGAATCGGATGCAACTGCTTTCGCAAAAGTGGTCGGATGCTTCCCTCCGCAGCTGTGGGGAGTCTTGTGGCTTATCATTTCCTTGGTGTTTTTCGCTGCGGGCATTATGTGAGTCAAAAAGCCCTGCCCTGGCCAGTGGCAAGTCGTCGGCTTCCCTTGCAGTTGAAGCTGATGAGATTGAGCTTTTCCCCTTTTTAATCGCAGCATCGGCATCGTTGCATTCAAGGATCCGCTGTCCGAACAGAGAGCCGACGACTTCTTGAACACTCGATAGGCTGACGCGCGGAGTGTCGCTCTTCACCGTGCGTCAGAACTATGTTGACCTCGAATCCGAGACCTTCAGACTTGGTCTATCTCATTTGCTCTGTGTGAAAGCGGCTCGATCATAATGTAGACAGTAAATACCTCATGCACGGACAATCAGGATTTGTACATCTCTCCCGTCATCGGCGGGCATACGCGCGCGTAGATTGTGTACGCCTTCTGGGGCGAGCAAACCCTGCGCAAAAGACGAAAGCTGCTTTGACCTTGTCCACCTTGACAGACACAGCGATGTACGAGTCCAGGTAGCTGTGCTCGCACTAGCGATGGTGTTACTTTAGGCTGCCGAAGATCAGTCAGCCATCAGCTAGCGTGACATAGCTAGTCTTGTCGTGTGTGTCAATGATGAGTGATCGAGCGATCTGCGCGTCGTCTCCGCTTTATCCGCAAGACGCCATGCTTGCTCTCGCGTATACATGATGCTGTCCAGCGGAAGTATACGCGCGCCACCTGTCCCATCCGCAAAAGCAAAAGATCCGAACGAGATCCGAAAAAGCTCGCGCGGCAGCGAGCCACGAGCGCATCATGAAGTACGGCTCGCCATCGAGCATCTTTCACGCTCATGCTCGTCCGTGGCTTTAAAGCACATCGTTGCTGGTACTCGTTCGTTCTGGAGCAAATTACAGATAAAGGACGGCGAGTGCATAGCAGCGAAGCAGACACCTTGCAGCTCCGAACCCAGACTTCACTTTCTTGGTCGGCTGCGGGCTCGGCTGCGAGGGCAATGGTGGGCGTGAGTGGGTAAGTTATGGACCGATCGACGCTACTGCGCACGTCATGCCATGACCCCGGGGCATGACGAGTCAGGGAACAGTCAAGATGGTATAAATGGGTGGTATGGATATGACGAGAATAGTGAAGGGCCCTCTCTTCCAAATACATCCAGACAAGGGCCTGCTTCTCTTGAAGAGACGATCACGCTCGCCGATACCAACCCGTTTTGCCCTCCTCGTCAGTCACGAGTCCACTCACAATGACATCGACATATCGATCTCCTCCACTGCACGATCCACTCAGGTACAACATTTGGATCCCAGCTTCCGATGGCAGCAGACTCGCCGCTTGGTTCTGCCCGGCTCAGGTCTCTGGCTCTTTATCTGGGCGCAAAAGACCTGTAGTGGTGTGCGCTGGCGGTCTGGGCGTCATCAAAGTACGTTTGCTTGTTTCGCTTGCACGGAAATTCGATACGACGACACAGAGAGCGGGGCTGTGCTGACCAAGGACAATGTCGTCTTTCGTCGATGTAGGAGATGAGGTTGCCAGCTTACATATCCGCCTTTTCGAGCGCTGCGTATCACTGCGTCGCATTTGATTATCGATGCTTTGGAGAGTCCACAGGAAGGCCGAGACAGTTGCTGGATTTTGAGAGCCAGCAAGCAGATTGGAAATCCGTTATTGAATGGGTCGTGGTGAATGGGCAGAGCGAAGGGGCGAGGGGCGGACCCGAGGGCTCAAAGGATTCCGTGACGGTAGCCCCATCCGCACTTGCGGGAGATTCCTTGCCGAATCTCTCAGATCTCATCGACCCGACGCAGATCGCCCTGTTTGGCACTTCCTTTGGCGGAGGGCATGTGATCAAGCTGTCTTCGCAGCTCCCTGCACTAGGTTTGCCCGTCAAATGCTCCATCTCTCAATGTCCATTCACGGACGGCTACGCTTCCAGCAAGACGGTCAAGAGCATCTACGCGAAGCTTTACCTCGGAATTTGGGGAGCGACGGATAAGGTCAGTGCCGTGGTGCGCGGCAAGGACGCTCCTCCGATCACGATACCCTTGGCGGCGAAAGATGGCCAGCGTGAGTCGAGAAACCCGGTGGGGGGGCGCGACGGGACTCCCTGCCGGTAGCCTAGAGGGGGCTCAATCGGCTGACACTTTCAAGATGTGACTGGTTCACATTGATGAATTCCCTCGCAGCTGCGCTGATGAATGCTCCAGACGTCTATGCGAACTACATTTCCCAACTACCAGCCTCCATCAAGGACAATTTCGTCAATGCGGTGTCTGCGCGAACAGCTCTCTCTATTCCTTTTCTGGTGCCAGGCTCCTACGCAGCTTCCGTCCAAATCCCCATCTTGTATGCTATATGCGGTCAGGACTCGGTGGCGCCTGCTCAGACCACCAAAAAGTACGCGCAGAAGAGCGCAAGAGGAGAAATCGCGTGGTTCGAAGAGGAGGGTCATTTTGATCTGTATCAGGGACAAGGGCTGGAAAGGGCTACTAGGAGATATGTACAGTTTCTTCAGGCACACTTGAAATGAAGAGTGGTCGGTAGTCTCGCTCTATACCTCGCCCTTGTGCGAGCGCTGATGTGATACCAGACTTGCTCTTCGCTCACGACTCGTGAGGCCTTTACGCAGCCGACTGCTTCGCTGCACGCTTGCGGCATGCACACCCCAGGTTGCTAGATTGCTCCGCTCGAAGCTATTGACTCGGGTGATGCCTCTTGGCTGCCAAGCATGAAGGATCCCTGATGACGGTTCTGTTCGTGTCCACCGGCATGTGAAATCATATGATGTGACAACTGACGAGGGGCCAAATCGAGCGCCGGTCATGCAGCAGCCGAGTGGGAAGGCAACGTCGAGACGGGAATTCCGATTCAGGATTAGCTCGATTCAAGATTGCAGATCCAGCGCCCTAGCCGCTTTGTTATTGTATTCTGCGCAGCAAACAAGAATCCGTCAAGACTCCCTATTGAAATCAAGAATCCGAGTGCGTTGCGGTAAGTCGACGTTCAAATATTTGTCGCTTTCGAGTCAGAGTTGTGCCTTTCAATCACGAATCTTGAGCAGTCGTGAAACCTTTCGATTTTGCTTTGAAGTCTGCTGAAGGGCCTATGCATGCATGCATGCAAATCTTGAATGATGTGCAGTCGCGCGCAGACGCCCACGCAAACGCCCACGCCCACGTCCACTTCTGCTCTGATGTGCTGCTCGGTCTTGCCTTGCTGCATGGATCGATGCTGCTGGGCGCACTCACTGGGACTGCATGCGCGTGCGGTCGCGTCGCGGCAGGAAGCGCGCCGCACACACTCGTGACTCAAAACAATCGTGAGTATATATAGCTCCCAATCAAAAGCACGCACTCCGCCAGACTGGTAGGTATACAGCCGTGAGTACTACAAAAGTGCAGCAGGCAGCGTCAGAGAGCGGAATGCAGTGACATCTATACGAAGAAGGCGAATAGTCACGAGTCCATGCAGTAGTCATGCATGTCGCGCGAGGACCAAAGCAAGCCCATGCAAGCCGGCCGCGTTCGTCCATCGCGCGCGCGCGGTCGTCGGAGTCCTTTCTTTGGTCTGCACCGCGCGGTGCGTGTCATCGTGGCTGCATATTACGTCGCGTGGGTCCAGCCATGGAAGTGGATGATGTGTTGTAAGTCCTGAGTCACGAGTGGTGGGTATGAATGCACCGCACATACCACACACCAGCCTTCATCATCCTGCCAGGCCAGCTGTCGTCGCCGCTCTTTCACAAAGTGCTTTCCTTCTCTACTCGACCTCAGCTTCACCCCTCTCAATTCTCTGCCACTCTCTCGATCAGTCGACCCATCTTTGCGCGCACGCTCCCCCCCTTCCGCTTCCTCTCTTGCCTCTATCTGCCGCCCCACCTTTAGGCCCGCGCGTTCATCTTATAACAAGCTTAGCTGCCTGGTCGCCTTGTCTGCGACAGACGACTGAAACATGGCGACGACGGTCGCAAGCAGTGTGAACCCATCTGCGGATGCAACCGCAGCGCAAAGCTCCCCGGCTGGCCTGGAAAGGAGTGAGCAAAGCAAGGCAGACGAGATGGGGCAAAGCATGCAGAAAGAAGGAACTCTGATGACCCAAGAGCAAAGCGTAAGGGCGGCTGAGACGCCGAATGCAGGGCTGCAGGAGCGTCCAGCTGAGGAAGAAAGCATGGAAACTCTGGCGGAGACGCCGAACGAGGGCACTTTTCCAACTCAGAGTACGCCTTTGAGCTCCAAAGCGGAAGTGCTCGAGGACGCTGGCGCTACGCAGGCTCGTATGGGTCCTGCAAACACCAGACAGGCCTCGGACTCCCCTCTGATCACGCAGATGGCCCAGACGATGCTGGATGGTAGTCCCTCGCAAAATAACCACACACCGCTACCGCAGTCCGCCTTCTCTACCACTTCTAGCAGCGGCACCAACGAGAGTGAGTCGAGGCTTCGCGCAGCGCAAGGTGCTGCACTGCTCGTCAAGCTCACTCGTTCCAATGGTCCTCGGAACCTGTTTGTCTCGTCTCTACCAGTCCCTTCGTATCTCTTGGCTTCGCCTGCGTCTGCGCTTTCCAGTTCTCACTACACTCCGCTCACATCCTCGGGGTTCAAGAGTCACAATCATCCATTGTTGGATCAGTCGCCTCTACCCGCGACGCCAGCTGCCGGTCTGGCTCTGAGCGGGGCAGCTCATCGAGGCTCTCACCCCGGTCCTTCGGCCACTTCGAACGCGAGCGGAGCCTCTGCAGCTGCGGCGCACCAATTCCTGTCGCAGACAGGCAGGCGCCCTTCAATGACGTCCAGCACATCGAGCAAATCTTTGGCGCCTTTGTTGGAAGGCGCAGAGGCCCAGTATCCTTCGCCTAGCGGAGGGTTTGTGCCGCCTCGCGTCGAAGAGAGGTGGAGCCTGGGCCCGGTACCCACCAAGGTGGCACCTAGTGGCGTAAGCTCTGCCGCTCCAACTTCTGCCGGACAGGGTACGCAGGATGATGCGGTGGCTCAAATTGAACATAGCGAAGCGAGGAAGGCAGGTGCTACTTCTGCAGAAGCATCAACTTCAAGCGCACTCTTGCCAGATGGCCCTACCTCTCAGACTGGGACTGGAAACGTGAGTTTGAATAAAGATCGAGCTGGTCAGGACAGTGTGAGATGTTGGACTTGCTGCCACTCTCTGAGGCTGGTTGCAAAGATAATCGGTTACGAGAGCAGCGATCTGACGCTGCCTGCTTGTACGCTTCAGAGACCTCTGTCTACCTACTCCACTACATCGGCGGCTTCGGGATCAGGACGTCGGAGTAGCAGGTCGGGTGGACCTCCTACTCGGCCTCCAAGCTTGCCTCCTTCCGATGCCGCAGCAGGGATCCAAGCCTCGGGTCTCTCCAGCTCGTCGAGGCCCGGGTCGCGCAGAACAAGTCGGGTACTGGACGGCGGTACATCAGGTGCCAGTCCGAAAGGTCTCCGACCTCTTTCGACTCACGCGCCGGGCACGTCTGGCGAGAGCAGGAGGATGAGCACTTCGGCCTCCCCGAGCGGGGCCGCGTCCAATCTAGGAAGCAGCCCGCTTCGACATTCGCGCGTCGTCTTGCCGCCGGCTGCCACAGTCGAGTCTCCTGAGACCGAAGCGCAGAGTGCGCAGCAGAAAGGAGGATCTATCGAGAGCGGATCGAGGGATTCCCAAAGCGCAGGCACCTACCCTCCGCCAAAAAGAGCATCTCGAAGAGAATCGCAGCAAACGGACGAGGATGCTTTGGCAGCCGTCTCTTCCGGACGCTCGGCTAGCCCTGCCCCTCGTGCCGATCTCTCGCGACGAACGTCGAAAGCGGAAACGTTCGCTCGTCAATCGGTCACACTGTCCATGCTGCGGATCAGAGACTTTGGATTTCCAGAGGAAGATCCTCGGCATTTTGGAGCAAGAGACGTGTCTGCGCCTCAACAGGGCGGCAGAGGCGGTGCGGGTGCGGGTGCGGGTGCGAGCGCAATGTTTGCAGGAGAGGCGGGAGAGGAGGAAGAGAGCGCGTGGCCGAATGCGGACGCCTCTACGATGTCGGACGAAGAAGAGGAGGAGGAGGGCAACGATGGTGGGCTACGACCCGGTATTTATTCCGCAGCGTACGATTTCCAGGCCGAGTCGGAGCACGAATTGACGGTGGTTTCGGGCACCAGGGTGAGGGTTGTTGGAGCGCTGGAAGGGGGCTGGGCTATTGCAGAGATTTATGCAGAGAACAAGCAGGGCGATGTGACGGGTCAGGAAGAAGAGGGAACGAAGAGGGGTCTCGTACCTGAAGCCTACCTGGAGTGGTTAGAGGAGGATACTTGAGAGGGTCTAGTGATGACAGAGACGTTTCCCTGGCAATTTAAGCGGCACCGCAGTCGCTTCTTGCGCAATCGAGTACTGCAACCAGCAGCCCTGTAATGGTCATGCTTATCCCTCTTGACCTCACCACGCATCGAACGTGATCCTGAGCGATCGTCTGCGAGCATTGCGGGCAAATGAGCAAGAGCGTGGCATACAGAAAGCGAGCTGCATCATCATCTGCGCCTTGCATATCCTTTTGCTCATAACGGGCTCGCCGGTTCGTGGCGCCCTAGAGTGTGTAGCACAGGAAGAGTCTCAACGGTGCAAAATCGGGCGTGCTATCTACGCGAAATTAAACCACGCCCCAACACCCCACAAAACGAGCTGCAAATGTACGACGGGAGATTGCGCGTTGCAAACAAGAGGGTTTTGCATGAAAGCGAAAAGTGGCGTTCGACATGAAGCTTGTGATTTAGCGGATGGGCGGATGGATGCTCCAAAGGGGGGGAGGAGCCGGATGAGAGGTGTAAACTTGTACAGAGGCGTCACATTTCCTCGTCGCTGGATGGAGGGCACGATGATGAGTCAGCACATGGTCGAGGTAAGCCTTTTCCATCACTCCGACCCGCCAATCAGTTCTCGTATCGTCTTGCGCACCTCGACGCACGTTCCTGCGCGAATGCAAGCAACTCACCTATCGATCAAATCCTCTTCCTTTGCTCTTCTCATCCTAGGCTTCTTCCTAACCGGAGCGTCTTCATTCTCCTCTTCGCCCATCTCGCCCTCCTGCCCCTCATCATCCCCCCTGCTCTTTTTCTTCTTTTTTCTGCTCATCTTCAACGCTCTTTTTGCTTCCTTCCTGGCCCTCTTCTCCTCTTTGCGTCTCTCTCTAGCTTCCTGATCCACATCCTCATCATCATCCACCACTCCCTCGTCCGACAATCCGTACCCATCCTCCCCCTCCTCCTCTTCCTGCTCATCCCTTTCCCTCTCGCTCTCGCTCGTCTCAATCTCGCTCTCCGCTCCGCTCTTCTTCTTTCTTCTGCTCTTTCCTCCCGACGATCCTTTTCTCTCTTTGCCCGCACCCGCGCCGCCGGCCTCGCTCTTCCGAGGTCTGGGCAGCTTCACCTCCTCAGGTGGAGGTTCCCACGTGACAACCTGCGCTCTAGCCTGCCTTCTCGCCTCGCTCAGAATCCTAGCCTCTTCCGCCTGCCTGGCCAACTGCCTCTCCTTTTCCAGCAATTTTTCAGCTTCCGCCTCTCTCTTTCGCTCCGCCACAGACAAGGCGTCGGCAAGCTTGCGAGCTTCGTACTCTTCTTGCGCTGCAATGTGCTCCGGAGCCGTGCGCAGTAAGGAAGAAGAGGCGTACAGCTCTCGTTGCTCCACCATCTCTGCTGGCACGTACGATAGACGTCCAGCTTTGGCTTCGGGAAGCAATTCAGAAAAGATGCTGGCCCACAAAAAGAGCAATCGAGGGCGTGGTCAGCTTTGTGCATCCGAGCGTTCTGTTCGTACAGACCCAGCCACGCAAGCATCGCGGAAGCTCGACTCGAACTCACCTCTGAGCATCCTGCACAGCTTTTGCAGCATCACTGAGCTGCTTCACGCTCCTCGCCTCGGGAGGCAGCTCAAAGAGCAACTGCAAAGCCTTGTGCCTGATGACCGCCTCATTGTACCTCAGGTAATTCCTCTCCAAATTCGCGCTGCTCGTATTCCTCAGTTCCAGCACATCCAGCGCTTCCCTGAGGTGGCCCACGGCTCTTTCGAGGTGAACATACGACTTGCTGCGCAAGCCCAACCGGTAGTGCGGACGAGAAAGGTAGGTGGAGATGGACACGTTCTGAATGCCCAATTGAGAAAAACGAAATGCTGCGCCTTCGTACTGGAAACGATTCGGATCAAGGTCAGACGATTGCGGCTTGCTCGCCTGGGATGTCAAAGAGGCGTCCAAAGACTCACAGCTCTAAGTGCGCCCTCGAAGTCTTCCCGAAGCATGAGGGCGTGTCCGAGGCAGACGAGCACGCTAGGGTCCTCCCTGACGTCCTTGACGCGACCGAGCAGCGCAATAGCCGTATCGGCCGACTCTCTTCTCCTCTCATCGTTTTCCTGCACGCCGGCCAATTCGTGCAGGATGCCTTCAGCAGAAAGGATGGCGAGGGCCTGCGCTGCGAATGCGCACTTCGGATCTAGCGCTAGCGCCTTGTCCAACAGATCGATGGACCTCGCCATGCTCCTATTGCGCACCTTTTTCGCTTCCCCGGCCGCATTGCCACCGCTTCCCGAAACGGCTTTGAGTGCGCTCAGATGGCCAAGGTGGTAATAGGTCCAGCCCAGCGTTGCAAGGATGAAAGGATCGACCTGCGCAGCATCCCTCACGCCCCTCGCATTGTTCTGTCCTCCGAACAGCGTAGGTCCAGGCGCCTGGCTTCCGTAAAATAGCTGCGCAAACGATTCCTTAATATTCTCCCACAACGGAGGACTGGGCGAAGCTGGCATTTCGCCAGAGAGAAAGACGGCATAGGTCAGGCGCGTGTCAAAGTTGGAAGGGTCCGAAAGTAGCGCTTCTTTGAAGAGAGCATCGGCAGAACGCGTGATCTCCTTTTCGCCTCGCGCACTGGCAGACGTGGCCTGCAAGAGCGCAAGTCGCACCTTGGCATCGACGTACTCCGTGTGCGCAGACAAGACCGCTTCGTATGCCGAGGTGGCATCGCGAAGATTCTCGACCGAGCCTCCTATCTCCAGAGCTCGTGCCAGATTGTACAGCGCGGTGGTTTTTTCGGCGTCCAAGAGACCCGAAGAAGAGGAGGTCGTGGTGCTCGCTGCGCGCGAAGCTTCGTACGTCTTGGCTTCCTCTAGCGCGCTCTGCAAATGTCGAATGGCACTGCTGAGCGTGCTCGACCTTAGCTGAGCGTCCGATGAGCTCTCCATAGCCATGATACCGTGCAGAGCGCCCAAATTGTTTCGCAAGCGCACGAGGAGCACCGTGTTGCCTTCCTCGTCCTTCCCCTTGGTGTGCGAGCGACCAAGCAGCACCGCTCGCAGTGCAGCAATGTAAGCGCTGCAAGCCGAAGAGAGGTTAGGTCGAGCACCGCTTTGCCAGAGCTCGGCCAGCTGTACGTGTATCAGAGGATCATCGCCCAGCTTTGCCATGCCCTCCAAGCTCCTGACCGACAGTGCTTCTCCGACCAGTGGGCTCCTCGCCAGCACAAGCGCATGGTCCAGCTCCTGCGTCTCGTTTGAAGCTTCCAGAGACTTCTCCTCTAGTCCATCGTCTGGTACTCTGCCCCGGGTGATGAGCCTAGCAGCTTGGACGGCTCTCAAGCATCTCTCCAAAAGCGGTCTGGCTTTTTCCCTATCCGCCTCCCTTTCCGACGCCGTAGCGCCAGGATGAGAAGAAGCTCTCAAGGAAGCCAAGAGCAGGGCGCACTCCATGGTGCCGCTCAACTTGTTGGAAGATGCGCCGCTGTGACGATTGAGAAGCTCCTCCAGCGCAGCTATCGCACCCAGCGGTTCCCCTCGAACCACTTGCATTTGAGCTAAGCTTAACGTGGCCAAAGCCTGTCCAGCTTGCAACTCTTCGCTTGCCGCATTGCTGCTGGCGCCAGCAGCAGCAGCAGCAGCAGAAGAGTGGAAAGATTCGATGACTCGAGTATAGTATCTCTGAGCAAAAGCTCTCAATTCCAAATTGTCCACTCCACCAATCGACGCTTCTGGCGCCTCTTCATCCACCAAAGCCGCCAAGTGCGCCGTACGCGCAAAAAGCAGTTGAGCTTGGATCAAGACGGATTTAGAATCGGCACGCTGGATGGCATGTTCGCCCAATTTGAGCGCTTTGGCATACTCTGCTCGAGCCCACTCGGTACCGCGCGTCGCTACCTCTACGGATGCTCGAGTGGTGATGTGATCCGCCAAGGCGCAAGCAGTCGTAGCGATGGTATTGTCCAACTTCCAAGCTTTCTGTATGCTTGACAAGGCATGAGCGTACGCTTCTGCCCTGACCGAATCCTCGACTGATGCGCTTTTGGCAGGTGCACCCGTCGAGGGATCAATGGGCGTTTGCAGGCTCTTTGCAATTTGAAGGGAAGAGAGTCCCAAGAGCAGGCTGGAAGCTGCATTGTTTGGATCGACGGAGACTGCTCTGCTCCAGGCTCTTCTCGCTTCTGCTTGCCTTCCCATTCCCCAAAGTGCCAATCCGATACCGACTCGAGGATCGGGGCCTTTCCAATTGTGCCACTTGTACCGGTTGGAAGTAGGCGCTGACCAATCCGTATCGTGCGCTTCCGTTTCGGATTGCTTTTTGGCTCGAGCATTCTGCGCAAGCACGATGCTCAAAGCTTCCTGGTAAAGCTTGAGGGCGAGGGGATAAGCTCTTTTGCGCAAGAGGCAACACGCTTTGCCTAGGATGGCGATGGGGTGAGAGCGCCTTGCGGGCATGGACAGCACAGAGTCGAATAGACGCAGAGCTTCTTCATTCCTTCCTTGAGCTGATAGCAGCAGCGCTTTGGAGAGCGTGCACCCGACCATGCCCGAAGTCTTTCCAGATTTACTACTAACGAACTCGATGTCCTGTTGCGCCTTGCCAGCTCTTCCCAGCGCGACGTCTTTGGTGGGCAATCCTTGAATCTGTTGAAACTTTGCATCGTTCAAGATCATCTTTGGAAGCGTTCGAGCATCGCTGATGTAGAGTGCGACGAGCATGGAATGAACATTCATCACGTCTGATCGATTGGAAATGTGTTCGGCAGCTCGATTGAGCAGAGATTGAGCTTCTTCTCGACGGCCTTGATCGAACAGAGCTACGGCTACTTGCGTCCAGTACGACGATTCCGGCTTCTCCCCTTCCAACAGGTACATCAACTCATCCTCGAACGGCGGTAGGGGATCCAGGTTGATGGGGAATTCGGAGTCTCCCCCGACTAGCAGCAACAATTGAGCGTTGGACGCCATCTTGAAAAGCCCCCGTCGCGATTGATGGCGATGACGATGTATGGATGGTGCGATGAATTGTGCTTGTATGCGCCGGGAAGCAGGCGAGGCGGAGCTCGAGAGGGTGTGCCCGTCACTCGGTCTCGCAGGCTTGACACTGTGGGTCGAGCCAAGATTTGACGAGCGATGCACCAGCCACGCGCGAGGCTGTCGAGTAGTGAGCGGCCGCTGAAGTTGGAAGAGGTGCGGGCGGTGCGAGTTCGATCCCAATCTTGAATCTTGAATCTGAATCCGTACACCGACTCACGACTCAAGCCTCACACTGTTGTGACTCTCGAGTTGACCGCGACCGACGCGCGAGATCATCCGTGTCCTCGCGCGGATCCATCATGCTTTTCCAACCAACGATCACGTGACATGACGCGCCCGCCGAGACTCAGACTCAAACTGCCATGCAGCCGCGCGTGTCGCTCTTTTTGGCTGGCGCCGAGCAAGAGCGATGGTGAATGCAGTTGCTGCTGTTTGTTGCGCGGGCAGGCGCGACATCATGGGAGATGCTGCCCACAGTATACCGGTACCGTACAGCAGCAGTCACTGAGTGCAGTACATGCAGCATGCAGCAGGCTCGCGCGCACGCAGGGATGATGGATGTTGCACAGACAAACAGACTGGAAGCTAAATAAGTCGCGAGTCGTGAGTGTGGGAAGCCCACGCATTCACGAACCCGCTCTTTTCTTCACTCAACCTCAAGACCGAGCGAGGTTGTGTGACTCCAAGGCGCTTTGGCTGATCGATCAGTCAGAGTGAAAGGTGCGGATGCAAGAGTCCTCAGCGTAGAGTCATCCGATCGCGCTTGCTATGAGTGCCGCCGCCGCCGCCAATTGCTTGCAGGAAGAGATAGCCATCAGTAACAACATCGGATTCAGCTAGCACGGGCGCATGTTCACTCGACTACCCTTCTCCTCGTCACCCATCAGATAGCATCAGCATCAGCATCAACCTCCACGCACTGAAGCGTAACCAAGACATGTTCAAATCTGCGCTCAAACGTCTTTCGTACGGGCTTCAGTCCGGCTCCAGCTCGGAGGAGGTACATTTGCAGGGCAAGGAGGTATGGGCGGATCAATCAGTCGTAGCACAAGCTCAAGGACGGCGAGGTTCCTTCTTTGATTGCGGTGCTACGCAGCCCAACAGCGATGTCCCGCAGCCTATGCTCTACACGCCTGGGAAAGTTGCGACCTTTCAAACGATAGACAAGCACACCGCCTCATCGTCGCTTCAGCAATCTCACCACCTCCACCATCACCGACTACCTGCTCTACTCATCTCCCGCCCACAAAGCGTCGAAGAGGAACAGACGCACTTTGAGTTGAAGGAGGGATATACGAGGATCGGAAGGGAGGAGAGCAGCGAGCTGAGGTTGGTGCATGCGGGCATAGAAAGCGTGCATCTGCGTCTCGAGGTGATTTGCAAGTCGGGGCGGTCGAGGGTGAGTAGAATCATCCGATGGAGGCGCAGAGGGGGGGGGGGCTGTCCTGCAGTTGCTCGTACATGCGTCTTGGCTGATGACCCTCCGCTTTTCTTGTCTCTGTACTGGGGGGCTCAGGTCACGCTGCATGTAGACGCTACATGCGGTTTGATTCTGAACGATGTGCACCTCCAGCTTGGCTCGACGGTGCAGCTGAATGAGGGCGACACTTTTCAACTGAATGCGTGGAACTTCGAGCTGGTCAGTGCTGCCGCTGCTGGTGGAGGAGAAGGAGGATCTCGCAGTGCAGTCGCAGCGCTGCATACCAACCGCTCTCTCAGCCCCGCGGCTCCACAGTCAGATGCGGATATGGTCAGCGCAGCTCCTGTTCTCTACACACCTGCTAGACCCATAAACCGACACCTGTTGGACGCGAATAGATCGACGAGGATAGCGGGTCCCAGGGACAGCTTTGAAGCGGGCAATCGGAAAGCCAGGAGTTCCTTTTCGAGTCAGAGCAACAGTCTGGGCTCGATGAGGCGTGCGGATGTGCCCAACTTGGTACATCGGTCAGCGCAAGAGCTGACCGGGCGACAAGGAAGCAAGGAGGAGGTGGAGAATGGAGTGCGAGGGCGAAGCGTTGTCGGGCCGGAGAGTCGTGATGTGCGGGGCGATTTGACTTTGATGAGCAAGAGCGCGCAGGGAGAGGGTGGGCATGGGCATGGGCCTCCACAGAGAGCTGAAGAAGCATCCAAGTCCCCTTCCCCTTCGAGAGCTGCGATGCGCAAAGCTCTGGCGCGCAAATCATGGAGAGAGGGCAGATCGTCCCCTCCCTCACCCCCCTCCTCGTCTTCTCGCGCCATCGGAAATTCGCAAGCGAGCGGTCAGACGTTGGCGCATCTGACACCGTCGATGCAAAGTCCCACTTCGACTGGTCAAGCAATGTCAGCATTGACGTCCAATTCGGTCCCTCAAATAGCAAACCTGAACCTTTTGTCGGGTCCCAATCTACCCTCTGCATTCTCTCATTCCTCCTCTCGCTCCTCCTCCTCCGAACCGGGCTCAGGATCAGGCCCAGGCTCAGGCTCATCCAGTCCCTCCCGCACACCCACGCTAAAGGCAGCTCGTCTAGCCGAAGCATCTCGCAGGGAAAAGAGGGTCATCTCCTTGAGGACTAGAATGATGGTCAGGAGCTGCATGGAGTACTTGTCCAGGGAAGAGAGGAAGAGAAGGATTGCGGAGTTGAGCAATAGCAACCTCGATCACGGTGGTGGAGGCGGTCAGAAGTGCCAGAAAATGGGCACGAACACAAGTAGCATGAGAAGCTCTAGGAGTCTGGAGAGGATCGATTTGGAGCAGCGGAAAGCTGTTGGCAGCGCGGATTGCGGCGAAAGGCGACAAGGGGGTGCAGATGGAGAGACTTGGACGAAGGAGCTCGATGAGGCTCGGTCCGCGCTCGAGCTTGGAAATGCTCCGAATCGGGAGGAGGAGCAGAGCAACAAGGGGGACTTGACAGTAGCAATGCCCAGGAGCAAATCTTCACCTGTGTTAAGCTTGTCTTCGCTCGAGCTCAGAGTGGAGGGTCATGCAAGAGAGGCGAGGGAAGATGTGGAAGCAGAGGAAGAAGGCGGTCGGGTGGACGAGGAGGAAGAGGTGGAGAGTCTGTTGAGCTCCGATGAGAGGGACGATCCCTCTCGCAACCTCGTGCAATCTCACCAGAGCATCGATCTCGCCGATGTCGCCCGGAACACACACGATTCGAGTGCTCCTCCTCGTACCGTGGACATGTCGTCGTCGGTAAAGAAGAGCAGGTCGAGATGGTCGATCGTCGGAGAGGTCCTTGGCACTCCGCCCGCTTCCTTCCGCACCGAGAACGAACCGCAAAGAATACCAGCTACCGCTTCCAAAGTGTTGCACGGCCGCAGCCATGCCCACGGCGCTTTTGGCGTCTCGAGGCAGGCGAACGTATCAGCATCGCCGACCATCGGAGTTGGAAAGAGGAGAGATAGTTGGCTCTTGAGCGGCAAAGCTTTGGTGCTCGATAAGCCACAAGCGGTCAAGAGCGGCGAGGCGCACGGTTTGGAGACGCGTAGCGTACCCTCGCCAGTTTGCAAGAATTCGACCAGAGCAGAGCGAAGGTCTGCCAGTCCAACCAGACACGATCAACAGCATTTCGTCTCGAGAAAGCCGTCGGGCAAAGAAGCGCGAAGCGATGCGAGAGCACGAGCGCAAGACGCACCCTCTTCGGACGCTCCGCCTCTTGCGCAGCCGAGCTCGGAAGCCTTCTTTGCGGATGTGGAAAGTGAGGCGGGGCTGCAAGCTGCTGTTGTGCAGAGTGGCAGGGGTCGAAGGAGGAAGAACAAGACGAAAGAAGCTTCCTGCAGTGCACAAGTGGAACCTTTCGAAGCTCTTCCGGCGGCAGTAGCTGCGCATTCTGACTCGACCAAGAGACTATCCGAAACGCTCCCAGTGATGGACCGAAGCGATGAGGAAGGTGCACGAGAAAGTGAGGGCCAAGGCAACGTAGAGGAAGCGGACGACATCGTTGAGAGACCTAAAAGGCGATCGACTCCATCGAAAGGGAGCACAAAGGCGACTTTGAAAGATATTGCGCAGCACACGCAAGAAGGCTCCCATGTCATAACCGCCAGCGCGGAGGCTCTGACCAGCTCCGACAAAGATTTGCGCGACATTATGGGGAGTGAAGAACTATGTAGGCGTGGGCTTCGAGCCAGAAGGGCCGTCAAGAGCGCCTCTGAAGACCCTCCTACTGCCATATCGGACGCAAAACGCAACGACAAGGATGAGAAGGCCAAACCGAGCGCTGCAAAAGATGAGCCGAGCTCTGGTTCTTCCGCAGCCCAGGTTGAGGCTCCGTCGACACGCAGTCGCAGGGCAAAAAGAGCTGCAGCGACGCTCACGGAGGAGAGTCAAGCAGAGGCGCAAGACGTGGAGAAGCTTGCGAATCGGATTCCAAAAGCTCCGTCTTCGGCTGATGTACCCTTGGACGGTGCTCGTGTGGGCACTCGTTCGACCAGCGGTCGAGCTGCCAAGACCAAAGGCGCAGCAGAATATGCAGAGAAGCAAGCGGACGATGCGGTAACTGCCGAAGCGGCGATCACGGAGACGGACGTTCATGCGCACAAAGCTGCGAGCGTGACTGCTCGAACTCGAGCCCGTGCGCGGACAGCCTTACGCACGGAGAGCAGCGCCAAAGCAGAGCCGGATAAGGGCCCTTCTCGATCGACCTCTGGCACAGAGACGCAGGGCGAAGCGAGCTCGAACGACAAAGTCGCACCAGAGCCCAAATCTTCCAGATCGACCCGATCCACCCGAAGCGCCAAGAGAACACAGAGCGCCGCGAGCGTGCAGAAGGTGGAGCAGGAAGACTCGGCCGGATCGGCGCATAGGAGGGGCAAGAAAGAGGAGAGTTCGCCAGTTGTTGCGCGCAGAACGACCAGGGCTAGAGCGGCGAAGACTTGAACTTTTATGTTTTGGTGTGCCTTTGAGATGGCACGCTCTAGTTGCTTCGGAGAGCACTCGCGTCCCACAATGTATGCAAATGTTTGAGCATTTTTCGGTGCGCGTCTTTGACACTGTTCGACTGGCGAAGCAGGAGAAGAGGAATCGATTGCGTAGATTGAAACTGCGGCTCATGATAGGACAGGGCAAGTTCGCTGAAGCAGGGTTGTGCGGCAGTAGATATCTGCTCGAAGTGAGGTCTAGTAGGAGAGAGAGAGATGTGTGTTCTGCATGGACAATCCGGCTGGCTGGCTTCTTATCCTCTCCCCGGAGTAGCCGCAAATCAATGCGAAACCTTTTTGGTGATGCCCAGACGTCTCCTCTTCCTGTCTAGCTTCTTTTGACTCATCTACACAGCAGCAAAGTTAAGCCAAACATGTAAAGTGAGCACAATGGCGCATGCAAACTTGCTGCCGTGCCACAGAACCCGCTCTTGCACCACCCAGCGCGCGCAACGTGCAAAGAAGCGTGCTGGAGAACACTCACTCTAGTAGCCATGGTCTCCAATCTGGCTTTTTCGGCTGCTTTCTGCCTTCGCTCGCGAATCGCCTGTCCTTTGCTGTAGATACGGCGAGCGGCATGTGGTGGTGAGGAATACCATGATGAAAGTCAGTACCAAACGGCTACAGCGTGTACGCTCATTGATGAAGCGTGCGCTAAGGAAATGCCGGTCTCCAGAGCCACAGCGACCCCTGTAGCAGCTGACGTGACCACCACCACCGCAACCACTCACGCAGCTCTGGCATTCTCCACCTCCTCCTTCATCCTCCTTTCCATATCCTTGACCTCTTGCTGTTTTCTGCGCTGCTCCATCTTCAGATCCCACGGTGTGCAGCGCTTCTTGCCCGCTATATTGTGGGATGAGCGCGTTGGGGCTCTTGTCGAAGAGGAGGCGGGTGCTGAAGAAGCGACGCTTGGACCTGCCACAGGGATGGCTTGTGATGCGCTGCTGGAGTGGCGAGCAGTACAGGCCGACATCAGCGTCCTACACCGGCACGGGCGATTCGACCGCATGTGCAGCACTCACAGAGACATTGCTGGAGCTGTGGCGGCAGGGGCCGGGCGGAGGTAATGACCAGATTGAAATGCGTAAACTCTGCTCTTTTTAGTGCTGGATGGGATGCGCGAATCTGCTCTTTCAACTGCTAAAATGGGATGAAGAAGCGCTCGCAGAGCAGTAGCGATGGTCTCTAGATCGATGAGTGGCAGTCAGAAGATGGACGCGAAGCTAGCGGAGCGATGATGGTGAAGGGGTAGGATGCAACAGTCTCTGCTGTGATCACTCGCGACCAGTCAGAGTCGTGGGGGCGTCGGGTCGCTGAAGCAGACGGACATCACGACTCGCAGGCGGCATTCCTCCAAAATACGTGCGCGAGACCGATCTGAAATCGTGAATCTTGAATCCAAGGAAAAAGAAAACCCCTTGATCACGTGACCTGCGCGTCTGCAAGAAATCCCTCGTCCGACGTGACTTCTTGAGCGGCATCCCTCCCTCCACATCAGTGATTGCGCTCCTTGCCACCACCAACACCACTCCTACCACCATGCCTGAACCAGCGACTGGGTCAAAAAGTGGACACCAGCCTCAACAACTCTGACAAGGTAAGAATCCGGATAGCTTCTTCTTTGGCCCAAGCGCTCATCGCACTTTCAGAAACTTCGACGATTGTGAGCTCATCAGACTTTGGACTCGCTGCTCGCTGCTCGCGCGACTTCTTTGCATGCATGGGAAGCGCAGGTGATGCGCTCCGAGACAAGCATGGTGAACGCCGCACCAGCACAGCAGCAGCAAGACCAATCAGTGTCTCCTCAAGCTGGTCCATCAAAAGTAGACGGGGCATCCTTTTCGCTGGCGCCTGATCCCGGCAGCAGCAGCGGCAGCAGCACGACGAGCAGGAATGCCCAGCTCTCTCATTCCATTCCCGCTTTGCGTCAGATTCACGTCTCGAACGCTGCATCCAGTCAGGCACAAGATTTCACGTCCAAGTTGGCCCGAGCTAGAGCCGAAGCGCGTCGAAGGGAACACAACTCATCGCTCCAGCAACACGCAAAGAATCCACGCGGAATTCGTGCGCCTGTTTCAGCGCACTCTAATGCACAAAGTCTGGCAATCGGACCTGCGAACGCTTACCTGTCTTCATTGCCTGATGAGGAGAAGATCAGCCGAGCGAGGGACAGAGCGATGGAAGGGATGGTCAGGGGACAATTTGCTGGACCCACGCCCAGAGGCTGGAGAGAGGATCTGATCGGCGGAAGTTCGGGACTGAGCGGGGAGTATAGAAGCAGAAACCTTCCACCGCATCTGCTCCATGGCGTTCGCTCCGCCACCGAGGCGAGCGCGAAGAAAGGCAAGAGGCGCGCTGAACATTCGCCAGTCGGTCTCCCCGCTCGAGATGGTCACGCGCCGCTCTACGCATCGGTGCGGAGAACAAGACTCGCAAAGGGCTTCAAGCTGTTCTTGCACGAGACCCTCGACCTGCGCGGTCCCTCGAGCGAGCCTGGATCGAGTATGGACGAAGCAGATCTCATCACTTCACCAAGGCGCTCTCCGCTTCTGTCGCTGACAGACCTCACACTGATAGCTCTCTCCGAGAATCTGTGTTGCGGGGCCGTCGCTGCACAAGAAGCTGCCACATCTTTGCCCTTTCATCTCTTGCTTCGATTATTGGCCATCTGTGGTCGAGACGCGCTTGGCAAACCTTTGAGCAACAGCACGATCAAGGTGCTGCTCATGCCCGGGCATGTCGAAGATGATGATCTGCGGGAAGGGGGAAGCGGACTTGCAAGCGCGGCGGGCGAACTGCGAGTGTGCGATGCCTCGTTGGACGCTTCATCTACGTCTGATAAGTTGGACGACTGGGAGAGTGCAGAAGATGCGTGGGAACCCGCTTTACTAGATTTCACATCTTCTGGCATCCGAGCCAGCACCTTGCGCGGCGTTCTCGGCTTCGATCGCGCGGACGCACAGGATTCTAGAACGACAGCAAGTTCTGAAGGCAATGTTGTCCAGCTCAGCACACATCTGACTTCTACTCCTCGCACTTCGGTCAACGTTTGGCTCAGACACATTTCCTTGGCTGAATGCTCAATCAGCAACCTTCCAAGGTATTTGTGCTGTCCCAACTTGGAATCACTGTCCCTCGCCGGGTGCGATGCCACGATCCTCCTCTCTACATCCGTCATTCCCGCATCAGCCTCGGGGATCTTGCAGGCCGATGTGGACGTCATGCGGACGACGACGACGACGGATGCGGAGCTGACGGCCGGCCTACGAAAACTTGCACGTGCCACTCCAAAGCTGTGCAAGTTGGATCTGAGCCATTGCAATTGGGTGAATGCGAGGGTACTGGGAGCAGTGGGCTGGTGGAGCATCTCTCCTTGCACATCTATCGATTTTCGATCCTCTTCGAGCACTCGCGCTGCATGCTCGATGAGCGAGGAGCGTGGATGCAGAGGGACGTGGTCGGAAATGAAGATGCTGCTGGTTCGAGCTCCTGCATTTTGGCCCGGCGAGGTGTTCGAAGATGAGCCCTCGATCGCTCCGAGCGGCAAGAAGGGCACTACAAAGCCCATAGACGCTTACCCTTGCGAGCCGTCAGAACCTTTTGTGGCCCCATGGCACGCCGCCAATTTCCTCACCTCGGCTGCGGGCTGGAGGCGCGCAGAAGCGAGCCAGATTGCCGCTGGTGCTGCTGGCTGGACAGTGAGCGCTCGGCCAGGATTGCGGAGCAGAAGAGACGTTCAGGGAGCGCGCGTGGATGATCCGTGGGATTCTACGCCCAGCTCGGGTGCTAGTGTCAGCGGTAGCGCTAGCGCATATTCGCGCTCATCGGTGCATCAAGCCTCACTCGGGGTTGCTCACGGTGCCCCTCCTTCGATCCTCAACAATGTCCCGGCTGGCACTTCCGAATCGCATTGGTCGGACACGCACAAGGACGCCCCGCGCTGGAAATTGCAAAGAGCACAATTGCTCGATGCTGTTTGGGGTCGCAACTCGCCCTGCTCGGGTGTGGGGAGGCCTAGTACGGATGTGTTATTTTAGCACGAAGCAGGGAAAGACCGAGCGCTCGCGCGAGGAATTGCATCAGACTTCCTCACTCAGAATGCTGTGGTCTCGAGTCTGACTGATCGTGTCCGTCGCGCAGAGCGCCAGCGCAGCCTCTTGAAAGCTCTGGGTGTGCTGTTGGTTGGACACCAAAGACTGACAGCTCTTCGCTGATAAGCTCTTGCGTGATGAGTCGCGAAGCATCCACAATCAAGATGCAGGCATCACAATCGGATTGAAGATTCCGTGGTCGTTCGGGTGTCGATAGCAGCCTCCACATACTCATCCGAATCGCTCAATCGTTCTCTAGCTCTCATTCGCAGGCCCGACTCCGGCCGTGATCCTTTTTTTCTGTTTGCTGTGCTTTAGCCGCTCGACGATATGTAGACGCCGGCAGGTTTGACTCCTGCTGGGCTGCCAAGCGTCTAGCTGCGCCGTATACAATAAATAAGAGTGCAGCTTCATACGGATCCTTGATCTTCACGATTCGAATTTGGGATATTGCCGGACTGTGCTACGCCCACTTGCATGAAGATACAGCAAAGCTAGGAAACTTACGCCCGCGCGCACGCGCACGGCAGCTAGACACCCCACGGGCGTAGCTGCTAGCCCTCGGGTGAGCGAGCCAGTTTGCGCGCACCTCGCTCCGCGCCCGCAAAGCATCGAGACACCAAATCGAGAATGAGTAGTCTTGTGAATGTGAATGCTGGCAGGAGCGCCGAGCATTGCGTAAGTGAGAAGCGGGTCGTTAGCCTTGGTTGTTTGGATTTGACGATCAAAGCTAGGTGGGGGTTGTGTGGAGGCGGTGGGAAGAGCGTTAAGCGCGCAAACAAGCGAGGCAAGCGTGTACGCCAACATGCATGGCTTTGTGTAAATGGCCGCGCCGGTGATCTGACTGCGCCGTGATTCAGCTCAAAATCAAGCAATTTTGAATGATGGCTTCCGCCGCGGATGCTTGCGCAGTACAGCAGAGAGAGCACATCCCAGCTGGGCATGTGCTAGCATGGTCGCGCGTCAGGGCTCCAATTTCATTTTGCCCATTCAATTTGAATCGAGTAGTTGATTGTTGTGGTAGCTTTCAAGCGCACGCGAGCTCTTGAAGTAGCTTTTGGCGGTTTCATCGTCTTTGCTACGCTGCTTCTGAAACGCCGACGCATGGGCCGGCCACGTCTTGAGGGCAAATCGCGGAGCTGGCATCTTGGAATGAGAATACCGCTCCGCCATGACTTGCTTGGGCCGAGCGCAGCAGTTGGTGGAGTCGCGCCGGCATGGAGCAACGCTCGACCACGATCAAGCCACGAGATGAAAGTCTGTCGACAGCTGTAGAGGGGCTGCGTGAAAGTCTGCACTTTGTGCTAACTCGGATGGCCGTTCCTGGAAGAGCGTGAGGGAGTGGACTCAAGCGGTCTGTCGGCTATATAGAGACCAAGACGAATCGCGAGTCTGCTGCGAGATGTGAATCAAGCAAGTAAGTCAAGAGTCTCGAATAGGATTCAGGTTATAGGAACGATGGTCCTCTCGAATCCCAAACTCAAGACTCGTGACTATGCTCTCGATGGTCTAGAGCACCGCTTGGCAGCCACAATCACACGTTCCAAGCTATATGACCGCGCTATTGCGTGCAGGTCTTTTGTTTGCTGATGACGTAGAGAGAGTATAATATATACAAGCGTGTCAAGTGTCTGATGTCGAGATGCTGCAAAAGGTCAAAATTGAATGTAGATCCACGATTCACTCCAACTCTTGATTATGAGCAAGTCAAGATTAAACAAAGTGGCGATCGAGAGACGCGCACCGCGAGGGCGTTCCGCCGTCCCTGCATATGCATGCGCATCTTGCCTTCCGGCCCACGATTGCATGGCAGTGCAGTGCAGTGCAGTACCGGCACAGGTCAGGCTCGTCTTTCGCCTCGAGAGGTGCAGAAGTAGAGCTAGCTGCATGAAGATCATCATGCGGACGCCCTCCCGCGCGGTCAGCAAGTCCACATGATTTGTGCGCGATGCTGTGGCCGGGTGTACTCGACTACAGTATGCAGCAGCGCATCGCAGCAGCCACGCGCAGGGTGTGTCTCAGGTCTCAGCCTTCTGGCCTCTGATGCTTCTGCTGTTGCAGCCAGATAAATGTATGCTATATAGCTACTCAGACCACCGTACTGTGACTGTGTCGGTCTTGAGTCTGACTACCGTACATGGGCCGTCGGAGCTGCGATGCATGGCTATACACTCGTGACTTGTGACTCAGTGACTGTATGAACATGCAGCACCGATGCTAGCCCTTCCATGCCCTCGCTCCGAATCTGAAGTCAAAGTGAATCACATCTTGAATGGGATGCGTCCCGAACCACCTGCTATCCGCGCTTACAGTCGTGAGTGCGCTCCCACATCCGTCGTTCTCGATCGATCGACTGACTTGGCATACTCAGCTGGAGTGTCCAGTTGCCCGTTGTATCTCACCGCCACTCGACAGACTCTCACTGTCTGCGCCCTCCATCCATTCTTGCACACCGGCACTTCTTCCTCATCACACGTCACCCTACTTTATTCGACTCTCAACTGGATTGCAGCGCATCGACTCTGATTCTTGGCTTTGATTGATTGCTCAGCAGCCGCTACAAGACTCTTCCGTCTCTCGCCCTTGAGCGCTGGCATCAATAATTCTGGATCTCGTCCCACCCTAACACTCTCACGTAAAATTGTGCCGTCATCACCATCGCGAGAACGTGTCGATCCGAGTGCTGCAGCCTCGCTTGCGCTTCATTGCGCCAGGACAGTCCGAGTGGCGGGCGACCCTCTTTGCGCGCAGGCGCGCACTCACAGCACGTACCGTTCACGCAGAGTTCATAGAGTGTCCTTAGGTGCCGTCAGGCGTGCAAGTATCGTGATTTCATCGACGAATCGGACCATAGCAGTATCGAGAGTCACGAGCGGCGACATGACCACAGCACCCACGTCAAGAGGCAGCTCTTCACACATTCGAGGAGCACGTAGAGATGACGCAGGCTCGTCTGGCTCGTCTGGCGATGCGCCTTCGCCCGCTCTGCCTCAAACGCCAACATCAGCACTGACTGCCACCTCGTCGCCCATCTACTCTGCCATGTCTCGCGCATCAGATCATGCACCGCCATCTTCATCATCTTCCATCCCGACCAATGCCAATTCACCCCTCTTTCAACTCTTTCAAGCCGATGATCCCTTGCTCGGTTTGGCCGCCTTTCCAGGATCAGGGCGCAGCGCCTCCTCTCCATACTCTTTTCAAGGCGATGCGGCAGGGGCTGGTGCAGTCTCTCCTCTTCGTTTCCGCAGAGATCAAAAGGGCTCGGGAGATACCGCTGGCGAGAGCGATTCGCACTCTGACTTGCCTGACGACGTCGAAGTCACCTCGGAGCCGGCATCAGGAGGAGATTATTTAGGATTGAGCGGCTCGCCATCTCAATGGGCTTCCACTTCCGCACGAGATGTCGACGACAGACGAGGACGCATGACCCTTTCAGTTCCTTTTTTGTCACCCGATGCGCTGGAGGCTCCGTCGCCGTCTTCAGCCCGCATGACGCCCAGCAGCGCACCCCTCTCCAGCTCACGGTACGGCAACGATCAACAGGTTAGTGCTGGCTACACCGCCAGCGCATCCGAATACAGTCAGTGCAGTGCTACGACGTCCGGCATGCTCAGCTCAGACTCTCGAAGCACCATGAGTGCGTTTCCAGTGGATGTTGGGGAGAGCGACAGCGAGTGGGGAGAGGAAGATGATGAGCGATCAGGCACTGCTGCAACGAGTGTCTCGGGGCACCATGCGCAGGACTCGACCATCAAGAGTAGTCTGAAGAAGATGGCATCATTGCGACGCGGGCCTTCGAGAAGGGGTCCGAAGGGAGGCAATCCGCTCTTGAGCTCACTTGCGGCTATGAGGAGGGATGTGGATGATAGGTCGCTCAAATCTTCGGCCAATCTAGACACGGATTCCTCCAGTAGGCCACTCCGAAAGCAGATGGACCCTTTGCCGCCCGGTCCAGCTCATCTGGACGTTGCTAAAGCTTCACAGCCTGAGTCATCCTCCAGCTCTGATGCAGCTTCAGGGCTTGCCTCACTTTCAAATTGGTCGGTCTTCACTCACCGCGCAAGCCAAGGCCCGAGTCCCTCGCCAAGTGCTCCTGGCTTTGACCACAGAGCACACACTCTTCGCCAATTGCAGAAGCAAGATAACGAGGAACGAGCGCGAGCTCAAGCAAAAGGCCAGGGGATGGGTCAGTGGAGAATGTGGGGAAACGGTAATGCGGGCGGAAACGCTAGGCTTGCACCACCTTCGACGTCAGGTGGTGCCAGCTCGCCTCAGTATGCCTTCGGTGCTGGCAGACCTCAGCCGGCAGATGTGCCTACCAGTGCGAATGTTGTGCCCACACCTGCACTCAACGCCTCCAACCCCTTGTTTCAGCACATGCTTGCTGCAGGCGGACCGAGCCGCAGTGCTGCCAGTACCAGCACAGCCCAGCGTTTAGACGACGCCTCACTTCCCATCTTGGCTCCAGGTGCCTCGATAGAGATCGCCAAGAATCAGGCGCCAGTGCCCGCTTCGGCCATTCCATCATCTGCAGGTGGTCAGAGTACTGCCAATGCGTCAAGCAGCGCACCGACGCCGAAAAGTGCTGGCTTGCGTCAGCACGTAGCGCGCACTGCTCGAGCTCTTCCGCCTCGATCTCCGGTTGGGACGATGCACAACAGAGGAGCATCTCAGAGCTCGAGCGGCTCTGGTCATCGGGTACGCAGCGCAAAGAGTTCGCCAATCGCTCCTGAGCCGCCCACGAAGTCGCCTGAGAGTCACACTGACAAGGTCAGCAGCACGAGGGGCACAGAGGATGCGTGGGCTGACGAGTCTGGCCAATTCAGCGAACAGCGTCGTTCGCGCCCTTTAAAAGATCTCGAGACGCCTCGCGCGCCTCCGGTCCAGGACGAGCAGCCGCAGGCGCTGTCTGAAGAGGCTGTACCTCAGGCCAAAGCAGCAGCCGAGCGCAACCGCCTGGTGTCTTGGGAGTCGCGAGCTTTGGCATCTCATGCTGCTCAGAACGGTCCAGAGGTGGCAAACGGTCGAGCGGGTACCCCTCTCCGACGTCCCTTTGTCGCCGGCCATTCCCGTCAAAATAGCTCTTCTGCCAGTGATAACGACACCCTTGCTCACATCAGGCCGGGCGGGCACACCCGACGACCGAGCGACAACAGGAACGCCTTTCACGAGGCGGCTCATAGTCGCAGCAACAGCGAGAGCGAGGGCTCTGTCGGTAGCTCTGCCCTACGTGAGCGACGATTGAAGTCACGCGCACAGAGGCTGGAGGATGAGGGTCGACCTGTGCCTGAACAGCTCACCAAAGCGCTTGCTCACATTTCTACTGATCTGGCCATACCCAAGCGCAGCAGGGCAAACACCGATGCCGATGCTGCTGCTCGAGTCGCGAAAGCCGTGAAAGAAGGCGCGACTGTCCGCAACAGCGACCCACAGCCAACCGTGCGTGCTCTCAAGCCGCCGCCAGAGGTAGAGCAGCCCCCGCCGGCTGAGCGAGAAGCAGACGCTCCCCTAGGTAGGGAAGAGGTTCTTGCTTCCCCGGTCGCTAGCCGGCAGAGGCGGTCTCGTCACGGCGGAGAAGCACGACGCGGGCCGCCGGTAGCTTCTGACTCGGAAAGCGAGAGCGGTCGTCCATCGCTCGACTCGACAAGAGGCGGAGCAAGTCGACCGAGCTTTGAAACTGCTTACTCCGCGGCTGGCTCCGACAGCGAGAGTGCGTCTCAAGGCGGTGATGCGAACTTTGAAGGCCCCAGGCAAGCTCCTCGCGTCCCGCCGCCACCTCGCGGCGCACAGCGACCTCAGCAAGGTCTGCGTAGCCTTGCATTAGCTTCTTCGGCCAGCAGGCCTGCCATGTCAAGCAGCAGCTCTCTGAGCTCAATAGGCTCCAACGCGCCGACTATCAACGTGCCACGGCGTCAGCACACAGCTCCGCGGGATACGCGTAGAGCTGAAACACCGGATCTCAGCGGAAGCACCTCGGACTCGCAGAGCACCTACGAGGCAGAAGCAGCTCAATTGATCACCGTCACTCGGCGATACCCAGCGCCTGGACCGGCTCCTACCGGCGCCATTCCATCTCCGCCGCGCAGATCACAAGCGTCTGGTCCCAGCCAGGCGGCTCCGACCCCGCCTCGGCCGCCTATGGGTAGAGCGCATTCCAGCTCGGTCGGCTCAGCCGATCGTCCGGCGCAGCGCCCTCTCATACTGGCGTCGAGCTCCAGGGCGGCGACGGCGACGGAAGGCGTCAGCCACGCTCAGCAAGCCCAACGACCTGGTCTGCGCACTCTGACCGGTCCAGACTCTGCGTGGGCGTCCAACAGCTCTGAGAATGTCGGAGCTGCTTCCAGGCAACATGCGCGGATGAGGAATGCGAGCGCACCTGGCTCAGACGTGGGTCCGAGGACAGAGAGCATGGAGGATCTGGCAGAGACCACCCGAGGTGGGGCTGCTGGGGGTGGCCACAGGTACTTTTCCAGCTCCACCTCTCGGGGTGCGCCTCGAGTGCCATCTCATTCGCGCGCTGGATCTCAAGACAGTAACGGCACGGAAGCGAGCGGTATTCGGGCTCCCAACAGCCCAACGGGAAGCAGCGCAGGCAGCGGGGCTGGCAGATATCTGGGTGTTCAGCAAGCAAACTGGGCTGGGTACAAGCATGCCAATGCGAGTGCGGATAGCGCAGTGTCCAGTCTCCGACTTGCTGGTGTAAGTGCTGGAGGTTTTGGTGTGGGCAGCTCTTTACCATACAATAGACCTGGCACGGCCAACAGCGATTCGAGAAGCAGCACGACCAACTCGTCGCGCTTCCCGTCCGGCATCACTTCGAATGGAGGTCGAGATTCGGAAAGTCCTGACAGCCAAGGACTGGTCTACGAAGGTCTCCAACGGGCTCATCGAGACTCTAATCCTTCTAGTCCTGCTGTCTCCACCGGCTCTCGCGGCACGCTTTTCGGTGTCTCGATGCGGCTGAAGGAGGAAGACATCGACCTGGTCGAGGAGCTTCCAGTCATCACCGAGCAGACATCGCTATTCGGTATCAGGAGAAGGCTCGTAGCTACCTTTCCCAACCTGGGCAAATCTAGCGCTCTGCGTCCTCTGAGCTCTAGAAAAGCGGAATTCGACGCGACGGAGAGGCCAGGCTGGAGCGTGCTCGTGGGCGGCGAAAAGGAGATGCGAAAGAGGGAGGAGCAACTCGAAGCGAGAGAAAAAGAACTCGCGATAGAAGCCATCTGCAAGGATGAGATTGCTGCTGTAACGATCGAGGTGTGGACAGAGCAACGAAATGGTCGTTGGACTGTTCGAGGTGCTGCAAGGCATGACGGTGAGTCAGGAACGGGGGGCGCTCACCTGCGCGACATCCAGCTCATTAATCCTCTCACAACCACGAGCGCAGCCGTCCGAGAAGATCATTTGCCCGAGATTGCTGATCCTTGGGCAATCCCGATCGACGCGAAAGGCATCGTGAGGCGCAAGAAGCTGAAGAGCAACATTGAGATGGTGAGCAAAAGATGACGAAGCGGTCCACACCGATCATGATCTCGTGCTCATGACTCTCTTCGCTCGCTTCACGAACAGAGCTCGACGCGCACAGTCATGCGCTGTACGGAGTGCATGGAAGCGCGTGCACGAGGCATGAGCATTAGGTGCCACACTTGCAAAGATACTGGCAACGTCGAGTGGGTGTATGTCATCCAATGCATCGTACGCCTCGCATCCTTCACGCCCCTCAAGCTGCCAGCGCATCACATTATGGGTACTCGCCAACCCGGCGTCAAGTATCTGGACGCTGGAGATCCTGCACATCGAGAGGCTGTGCTTCGCGATCGAGCCATAGATGGACTGCAAGCTGCTGCGCAGCGTGTCGGTAGGCAACACTTTGCAAATTATGCTGCTCGGTTGTTGATGGGCAAGGCGACGATCACGAGGCGCGGAGTGCTGACCGTTGCAGTGAGCAATCTCAAGGGGAAGCACAGGCGCCACTTTGAAGTGGAAGATGGAACGGAAGGCAAAGTGTCGGAGGTGGCAGTGTCGAAGAAGGAGACGCCTCCTAGCGTTCCGCCGCCTGCCGATCCGGCCTCGTACGGCTCCTCCAACGGCCTGGCGCCCCCTTCTAATTTTTCCGACGCTGGCAGCATGGTCGACTTTGGCGTCGCCACGGTGCCTGCTTCTCCTGCACCTACGGGCGGCAAGCGCTCGCTCAATTCTCTAAGACCTCCCCTCTCGACATTGGGCCGATCGGGCGGCGCAAGCTCGTCTTACGCTTCCAACGATGCAAGCTCGGTGTACTCGGCCGCCACTTCTCGAAGGTCTCCCTCGCCTCAACCCGCCCCGTCGACGCGCACAACTGCACGCCTTCGAGGCTTGTTCCGGTGATCGCGGCTGTGCGTCGCACCACCACTCATGATCACTTGCGGGGGGGCAGCGTGATGGGCTCAAACATCTCTGCGAACCAGGTTCGCCACCTTTCGCCCTTTGCAACGCCGAACCTTCTTTTTTTCTCGCATTCCTGATGCGCCGCCCTCGAGATGAAGTGCGCGGGCCATTTGTATCTGTCTGTGTCAAGTATCCCTATACAATGCTATTTTGCATGCGTCAATCATGACACCCGCTCTTGCGAAGACGAATGGAGAATCTATCAGGCCAAACAGTATGATGACGATGAAGCCTGTCGACATGGCCGAAAAGAGCTAGGGCAGTGCAGTAAATATTGTTTGCAGAATCATTTTGTACACTATAATCCGTGACTTGAGCGACGCAGACCGGGAGGGGGGGGGGGGGGGGGGGGGGGGGGCTTTTCCGCGACGCTACGGGAAGAGGTGGAAGTTGCAAACGCAGAAAGTAGAACGTCGGCGCATCGCTCCTCCGCCCCTGCTGATCTCATAGCTCGACGCTCCTAGGGCCTTCTTTTTTGGGCACGACGACTGGGTCAGGCGTTCCCATGTTGGGGTGCCAGACGCTCTCAAAGTTTGCGCTCATGTTGACACCGACGGTGACGAAGCCGACCAGACCTTGCGAGAGAACCATGCCCAAGGGCTCAATGTCGAATGTGGGCATGTAGCCACCTCGATGAGCTTCATCGAAAATGTGCAAAGAGTCTTCCCAATTACGCGTGCGACCTCTTCCGGACAGGTGCCGGATAGGGTTCTCGGAGTAGGGTTGAAGCTGCCACGCGGGGAGCGGGGGGGAAATCGGATTAGCGCAGGGTCACATCGTACGGCATGCTCAAAGAGCCGTCTCTCAACATCGAGCAAATCATCTTTTCAGACTCACCTTGTCGATCTCCTCGTTCAGCAGATCGTCCACGAAGAATTGGCCCGTGTGCACAAGCCTACGGCTCTCAAAGGTACCGTTGGGCAAGGTTCTCCATTCTGGGTGAACCTTGAGATGGACATGCGTCGCTCTACCAGTGTAGTAGCCAGGGAAGACGCTAGTGAATTGAGCCACACCATTTCCATCCGTGGGCCAAGCACCTCTGAGCCAAGTGGCCGTGTCATCCGTCCGTTTGAAAGCGGGCAACAGACCTCTCCTGATGCCAGACGTAGCGGGCTGTGCGACGACCTCTTTAGGTTTGGGATTGTGACCGGCATAGAAACCGGTTGCGTTGGCGTGCCACAAGTCTACCAAAACGTTAGGTACCGGCTTGCAAGTCTCTACGTCGATGACGCCAACATTCATCACGAAAGGCAGACCCAATTGCCACTCTGCCATGTTGTTCCGGATGGGGTGACCCGAAGTGTGATAGTAGGGACCAGGTGTGACTTCTGGAGCGAGGACGCAAGTGGAATTCTTGATCGAGGACGCAGTAGTCTCGGGATAACATTCCATCAACTGTTTGCCATTCTTCCTCTTCTCTGCCTCCTCCTTCTCCTCGGCTGCTTTGGTCTGCCTGACCTCTTCGGAGTGCTTCTCGAAGTAGCCATCGATGTATGTGTTGGAATCTGCAATCTCCCCCGCTTCTCCACCCACACCGACACCCAACACTTTTTGAGCCCAGGAGCGCTTGCGAGCTTGAGTCATGGCTTCGACTATCGGCGCACAGTGATAAGCTCCTTGTTGCCGCGCATGAAAAGCGGCCACTTCTTGTGGCGTCTTGGGTCCGTGCGCTGCGGTCGAAGGGAGCAGACAGAGGAGTGCGGCGAGGGCGGTGGCAAGCATCGCCCTGCTCAGCTGCCGTCTACCACGGCGGTCGACGCTAGCAGTGGCTGTTTGTGCTTCTCTGCTGGATGAAGACATGCTGCCCTGCTTGGCGAAAGAGGGATGAGAGGAGATGCGATATCCGGCAAAGGCGAGTCAAGGATGCTGCGCGGTCGGTGTGCTGAGTGAGTGATTGCACGCAAAGTGATGGAGCTGTATCGTCACGCGGATGGGCAAGTACAAGGAGCAACAAATGTCATGCGGGGGGAAAGGCCGGGGAGGGGATGGGCCAGATACTTGCAAAGCACCTTTATATCCTCGAAAAGAGACTCGGCGCCCAATCACGAATGGCAGAGACGCCTGCTGACAAGGAGCAGCAAGCAGTCAGTCAGCTTTCCCCCCCCGCAATCTGGTGAGTAGGATCTATCATCCGGCTACGCTCCTACGCCAGCTCCAGTGATTAGAATGATTCACCATCACCGCATCATTCGAAGGGGTGAGAGCGCGGCCAAGGGCAGCAAATCACAGGAGGGGGCAACATCCGCGTCGACAGGCAGTGTTTGAGTGTGTGGCTTGAGAAAGAAACGAGAAGGCGGGTGAGCGCCGGCAGGACGCGAGTCACGGCCCTGCGCAGGGGAATGCGGTGGGAGCGACACAAAAGAGCGTCATTTCCGAAAAGATGCTGCTGCTTGCATGGTCGCAGCAGCAGCAGCGGCAAAAGTTGCCGTAGCGTAGCCGTGCCTTTACCCCCGCACGCACACGCACACGCACACGCACACGCACACGCACCCGCACACGCACACGCACCCGCACCCGCTTGGCAGCGCGGCAAAGATCTCCGATCGGACCAAGGCACCACTGCAGTCGTCCAGCGGACCTTACGCTCGAGAATTGCGCAAACGCTCGGCGCTCGCGCTCATGTATACGGATCAACCTGCGGGAGCTGCAAAGCGGCGGGCCACAAGAGCAAAGCAGCGATCAAGCAAATGACACGGAGCGGAGGATCGGCGCGCAAGAAGCCAGCAAGCAAGCCTTGTCAGCCATGGCAGCCATATGTTCGTCCCTCCTGCTGCCCATCACGAACAGCGAAGCTCGTCCAACTCGACACACTCGACTCACACGCAAACTCATGACTCTCACTCAGACTCTCACTCACATTCGCAATTGCGCTCGAGGTATCCACGGCATGTCAGCGCGAGCTCATGTCTGGGTCTAGGTCGTGCAGGCGACTTCCCTCCGCACTCATGTGTCGCAGTCGGCGGATACCCCACATCGCGCGTTCCGACCAGGAGGGCCAAATCGGAGACGCACGACGCACGACGCACGACTCACGACTGTAAAAGTGCCACCTCTCCGTATGAGGCGGCGGGACGTTTTGCCGTGCGCGTCTCGGCCGGGAGTACTGCACGACGCAAAATTACCACTCGCACGAGAGAGGATAGGGAGATACGCGTCTTGCTTGCGCGCGCGCAACCACGTAGGCATAGCTAGCGCGTCGAGGGGGCATTTGATGCGCCAGAGGTGTTGCTCTTGAATAAGCTGGGCGCTGAGCTAAGCCGCACCGGGTCGCTGCTGACTTCTCTTGGTATCAACGTCTTGCAGCAACGATTTTCACGATTTCCATCCACCCATCGTCCTCATTCGATTGTCCTTATGGCCTACGCGGCACGCTCGCTTTGCCATCCCGCTTCAGCATCCGCAATCGACCAGCTCTGAATCACGTCCTCTCTTGATAGCCGTTGCAGCCGCTCACTCTCCGCTCGCGAGCGGACCATACCAAGATATAGATCGCTTGCCTGCGTCAGTGCACTGACCTGAGTAGTGGGGCCAGCCCGGCGAGCAGCATGCAACGACACGCAGCCTAAAGGTCTCGTACAGCGCCAGCGGCTCTGCATCCGCCAGTATCTGGCCCCATCTCGGAGCTGGAAAGCATGCCTACGTGGATCAGGGAAGGGCGCCCAAGTGGCCGACCTGTGGGGCAGGATGCCTCGAAAGCTACAAGCCCGGCTCTGGGTGACATGACCAACTCGGGGGATGGGAAAGCACGGGCGGTGACCAATGCAGGCAAGAAAGCTTGCGGAAGTGCGCAACGAGGCGATGCCGGAAGCAGGCTCAATCTGAGTACCGCAGTCACTCCAGTCCGGTCTAGTCGCCTCTCTTCCGGGAATGGCAAGCGCGTCGATCAGCCCTCTGCCGGGCAGGCAAGGTACGCTCAGACGAAACTTCCTGTCGCACACTCTGCGCCGCGTCAGCCTGCTTCGGAGCCCAAGCCGCGAGTCGATGCTTCCAGCGCCATCTTCGACCGTCAGTCTCGCACCGCTCGGAAAAGCGACGGTACAGTCCCTTCTAGTAGGCGCGACGAATCTCCTCATCAACCGCTGCACAAACGTCAGCGTACGCGATCGCCGGAGGCGCACGCTGGTGATCGCGCTACAACACCTGACATGCAGCGACGTCGTTCCAGTAAAGACAGATTCTTCACCCGCACAAATCAAGATTTCGATCCTTTTGCGATCTTTGGACCTGCGCCGCCGTCGAGCCTACAGCGCCTGGCTCCGAGGGTCCAAATTGGTACACCTCGCTTAGTCGCACCCACCACGCGGTCGAAGGAACACACCAGTCACAGCCCTGATGACGAAGCACCAGTGCGACTGCCGCCGAATCGGAGCATCAGCGCCTCGAAGGATGCAACGCGCTCGACCGACTACAATGCTGCGGATGTGCAAACATTGTGGGAAGGCGACAGTATTTGGCGTGGAGAAGTTGAGCCGGAATGGGACGGGAAAGTGAATGGCAATGCACGTCAGCATCACGAGTCGATGCGAGCTTGGAGACAGGCCGCGGGCTATCTCAACACTCAAGATAGATGTCACATAGAGAAGGACTCCTGTAGTGCGCCTCCTCGCGCACAAGAGCGGAACGACTCCACTACCACGTCACACAATGGGGCGAGCAGCGCCGGAAGCCAGGGTGAGTCGTCTCTTCTGCACTTGGCGAGTCCCTGCTGAGACGGAGTGCTTCATGTCTGCAGCCCCGCAAGAACGGCAGCGAGTGAGACGAGACGTGAGACGGGCCAATCAGTTCGCAATGACTGAGCACACAGCTGTGCGGGCTGGAAAAGAAGACGCACTCGAAGCGGTGGACGCGGAACAAGTGTCCAAGAACAAGCTCTTTTTTCCCGCCACGCCCTCACGCCACGATCAAGCGCCAAGCGAAGACCATGGCATGAGTTCCCAATCGCGGATTCTCAAGCGCTCTGCCGCTAAGGCTGATAATGAGCCAAATGCGCAGATTGAGCAGAACCGTCTTGTACATGGCTACTCGATCGTCAATGTCGGTGATGCGTGGCTTCCATCCAGTCAGAGCCAGACGCAAACCACCCACAGGTCTTCGGATGACGATCGAAGACCTGTATTTCCGCGCACAAATGCAGCAATGATCGATGGCGAAGGCAGACCGCAGGCTTTGTTCAGGTCGCCTCGCACAGGCAGGCGACTTTACGCTCTCGAAACCCAACTGGCTGAAGCCTCCAAAGACCACAACACCCCTGCTGTCCGTTTGGAACAATCTGCCACACGTCGCGGAAGACATGTCGACCCTCCATTTAGCCCGGCGGACCGCTTGAGATCGGGTTCGAGCTCGTCTGAGACGAGCAGCCCAGCTTCGCCACCCAGCACCAAGAGCTCCAACCACCAGCTGAGAAGGCCAATCAACACCAGGCGAACATCTCTCTTTGGCGGCTCGAGTCCTCTGACGTCAGAAGGGACTGTGGCGAAGCGTGCTAGCGAGCCCATGGTGGAGATTGCTTCCAGGAAGCGGTCCTCTTCGAGTAAGAAACCGCAATGCCCCTACGCCGACACTTATGAGTCGGTTGAGGATTCAGCTGGTTTTGATGATGGCAGATGGGCAGACGACGAGACGTATGCTCCAAGCAAAGCTCTTTTGAAGGGTAGTAATGACAGCTCGGGTGAGGTACTTAGCAGACGTGGCTCAAACCGGTTGCGGCAAAAAAGCAAAGATGATGGGTCCGTTCCTGCAATTGCCGAGGCGGCAGCATCAGACGCCGAAGATACACAACCTTCGGCCTGGACTGGAGAAGAGATTCAGGAAGCCGGCAGAGGCGGATGTAGGCAGCATAAGCGGGCCTTGTGGCCCTCGCGCCAGGCTTCTATCAGACCACGAATGGGATGGGGTGACCTGGATGCGAATTGGGAAGGTGTGGAGGCACCCGCTCCATCCCGCAGCTCTATCCGCTCGCAAGACAGCTTTGAACAGTCCACTCTCAGTCAGTTTGGATTTGAGACGCGAAGATCCAAGCTGGCGCGCTCCCCGGAACGCGGTAGGAACGCAAGTCGCCAGAGCGAAGGAAGCAGCAGCTCTAGTGGGCCAGGGGACTCCTCTGCTCAGCAGGAGACGGAGGACATCTCGGCATTGCTGACTCGCCATTTAGTTGATGGGCTTAGCGATGATGAGTCCGTCGGACACGAAGTTGTCGCTATGCGAGACGCCGACGCACGACCAGCCTTGGAACAGATGGGAGACGAGACTCAGGTGCTGTTGCCTTCAGATGAAGATGGAGATGAGACGCAGCCTCTCGAATTTTCTCCAAGTCCAAGCCCTCGCCGCAGGCAAGCTTATCCCTCGAGCAACCGCGGAAGACTTGCCTCAGAGACTGCGTCTAGCAGCAAGCTTCCTCTACACAGTCGTCGAGACGTGATGCAGAATGACCAGGTCGCAGACGATGACGTCATCAATCCCGCCTTTCTAAAGATGATGGAGATAGAGCAAGCGTCCCGTTTCGGCCTTCAGCACGACAGTCGCACGCGTGGTCAGTCACCATCTCCGCGTGCCAATGCGAGTTTGGATTCCAGTCAGACACAGAGCCACACGGAATACTCTTCCAGTCCAGCCATCGCTCGAACAGGCGCGAGCGCAATGATGTCCCCACAAACCCAGAGCAGGTCGTCTGCATCTGCAGTGTCCAGTCAAGAGCAACGCATTTCCATACCTCACCTCTCATCCCTCGACACCCAATCCAGGGCTTTCTTCGATCGACTCTGAGGCAGACCTTCTTTCTTCGGACTGACCCACGCACCGCACCTAACTCACTGTCTGTCCTCTCAAGCGATCATTCTCAGCCCCCTATCGCGAACCAGATCCGCGCTAACATCATGTACAAACTCGACGTGCTAACAAGATCCCCCTTCTCACGCAAATCTCGAATAGAATGACATTGCTTTACGAGCGTGGACACGAATGGAGTTGTGTACGGGCCAGAGCGGATGAGGTGCGCGCGAGTCGTGAGCAACTGATCAAACACTCAGACTCACGACTTATAGTGTAAGTGCAGGTGCAGTTGCTGCTGTATGCAGCGCGCACAAACTGGCCGGCCATCACAATGACTGAATGCTTCACGCGTATAGCGTATAGCGCCTGCATGTGAAGTCTGGTGCGCACAGACGCCCGGGGGGTGCAGCGCAGGCGAGCAAGAGCTTCGGTCAAAACGGCTTCTTCTGAAAGAGTGGTGGGTCGCTCGCACCTCTGCTCCTCGTCCATACATCTTCATCAGCACTTTGATTCGTGGATTCTTGTGCATGTTCAAGCGCACCTATCAACGTCCCAGCATTTGATTCAGCATCCAGCACCATCCATCGGCACATTCTCTCTCGACCGCCCACATCTCTTCTCTCATCGTACCCACGCAGTCAGGCCGCATACACGAACACGCTCGCCTTTTGCTTCTCTCTCTCTCTCTCTCACTCTCTCACTCTCACACAAGCCTGCCTGATTGCGGGGCATGCACAGTCACCCTTTGCGCCGCGCAGTCTTCCTGCCCTTCGACAATCTTCACTTCCTTGGCCATCTCACGTAGCTGCACTTCAAAACGCATCCCCCCCATCATGTCAGCAGCTTCGGACTTGGCTTCGCCGGGCCCAAGCGCTGAGCTGTCGGCAGGTGCAGCCGATGCCCAATTCTTGCGTCTCGTAGGACAACATCGACCCCTCGGACCTCACAAACACTTCAACTCCATCCCCGTCCTCGTCGCGCTCTCTAGACGATCTGCGATCAAGAGGGAAGCGGATGAAGAGCAGCAGGAGGAAGGGAGCGATGGTAGCAGCCGTGATCGGACAGTCGAGCTCGAAGGCGAAAGTGGTGGTGGCGGGGCGACGGATGCTGAGATTGCTACGTTGGATGGCCACATTATACGCCTCAGATTGGATGAGCTGTACGATGTCAAGGGGCTCGAGGAGCTGGTGAGTGGGAGGGGCCCAACCTGCACGGCACGACGCTTTGTGGTCCTTTTGAGGGTTCCGCGAATGCCCAGTCATATTGACACTTGTCCGACTTTGTGCTCTCAGGAAGAAGCAGCTACGCGAACTCAATTCGGTCTGCGCTCCGAGTCCGCTTCTCCTTCTTCGAGTCCCGAAGCAGATCACGAGACCAGCGGCATGTCGAGGCGCAACACATCCTGGAAACATCCCAGATTTGGCAGCGGCATACTGCGATTGGCGGGTGTGGGCGGTAGATCGAGAACGTCGACGGCATCTGGCGCAGTAGAAGGAGATGCGGGTGGATCTGCAAGGGCTCAAACACCTTTGGGCCACTCGCTTTTGCCCTCGATCATCGCCAAAGGCTCGAGGCATGAGTTCGGATTGCCTTTCGACGACGGCTTCGATGATTTGGTGCACGCTCGTAGGCTGGTATCTGCAGAATCGAAGCACAACGTCAGCAGCGATGACGAGCTCAGCGATATCGATCCTGATCGTGAGTACAAGAGAGAAGAGAATGACGAGGGAGACGACGCCAAGGCCGATGCCGAGCAGCAAGAGGAAGATGATGAGGAAGGTGGAGAAGTGCGAGAAGCGCAGGAAAAGCCTCGCCGTACGCGGGGCTCGACGCAACGGTCTTCCAAAAGGCGAAAGACGGAGAAGGAAGCTGCGGATGGGGATGGGGATCACGAGGAGACCAATGCGGCCGAGGAGGAGGAGGAAGAGCAGCAGGATGAAGATGAAGACGAGCAGAATGAGGAGGTGGATGATGACGAGGAGGAAGAAGAGGAGGAGGAGGAGGATGAGGCGCAGTCGACACGCTCTGGTCGACGTGGCGGTCAAAGCAGTGCTGAACATAACAGCCGTAAGCGCACGCGAAGCAACAGGTCTTCAACAGCAGCAGCAGCTGCTGCTCAGCCAGCTTCGGCTTCCAAGGCTGGGACCAAAAAGAAGGGCCAGAGCGATGCGTCTGGAAGCTCTCTGGCAGTCGAACAAGGCCAACCTTCCAAGTCTACAAGGAGCAGCACGGCACCAAGGAGGAGCACCAGACGTTGAGTTGGTCGCATCTCTGAACGGGATATTGGTCAGTCTTTTGGTCTCATCGTGCATCGCATCATCGGCACAAAAGCACTGCACAATAAAGGAACACATGTATTTTACAACAAAAATACAACAAGACGAGCGAGTATCATGAAAAGCAAAACGGACTTCTAAGCGTCCCTTGCGAAAGTTCCGACGTACGAGGGGAGAAGTCTTGCATGCGGAGAATCGAGTCGCGGACGGCTCGAGATCGCCCAGCGATGGTGAAACAACATTCGGTAAGTGTTGGCGTGTTAGAGTAAGATGCGGCCATCAGAATCGCAATTGAAAACGCCAAAGCAGCAAGCGTTGTCGTCCCCCGCTGAAGTGCCCGTCTGTGCAAAAGAGTTCGATGAAGAAGTGCCTTGGAGATTGTTGCCGACCTGAGCGCTGCTGTACTGGTTCGCATTGCTGCCAAGCGAAGGATCAAATTGATGATTGGGGAGCTGAGCGAGCTCGGAGTAGATGGTGGGGTGCATCTGATGGTTGAAGTGTTGAGGTGGAACGCTTGCCTGCTCGAGGGATGCTGCACTTGCTGCTGTGTCGGAGGGCTCGTCGTTAGACCGGGAAGCTGAGCAATGCATCGGCTGGCAAGGCTGTGGTGTTCGAGCATAAACGCTTGCGTCGTGATGGTCGGATCTCACGGACGAGACGCGCGGTCTGCTGGCCGCTTCCCGAACGATGCTGCTTCCCATCGTCCTGGGCCGATTCTCGTGAGTAGCGCTGTGCGATGGGGCATCATAGGTAGCGCACGGCGATTCTGCAGGAGGTACAAAGTTCCAATCGACGCTGAAGGAGGCGGGGGTGCAAGGAGGCGCCATGGCCGAAGAGGGAGAAGTTCCAATGGTCGAGTGAGGTGTGCTCTGCGTGGAACCGATGGACGTTGCTGGGCGAGCAGCGTTCCACGTCTCTGTCCTTCTTCTGACCTGCCTCGCGCTGTCATGAATAGCGTCGAAGCCTGATGGTGGTCCTCTACGAAAGGATAAAAGTGCATTGTGAGCATGCGCTCCTGTGGAAGCTTCACTAGGCGACCACACAGAGGGCTGCTGCATGCTGCTAGAGAGGCGGTGGTCGACCCCAGCGCCATTTGTCGTGGACGCCGACACCGACCTTGTGGGTCTGATGTTCGCGTGCGATCCGAAATGTCTTTGAGCATCAAGATTGGGAGGCAACATGGGAGTCGCTGCGTCATCACCATCTTTACTTCCAACTTTCAAATTAGAAACGCCACTCGGCGCGGGTCTGGAGTCGGCCCGCTGAGAGAGCCATGCCTGCCTCCGCTCATCTGTGCTTGCTATCGCGTTTCTCAGGCTGATCATGGCAGCGTTCACATTCCTGACATGTCCCTCGAGCACCGACATGGCCTCACGCTGAGGCGAGCGATCAAAGGGGTGGATCGAAGCTCAGCCTTTGCTTCTACAACCTCAATCCGAGGCATCGTGATGGCTTACAATTTGACTCTGTTCCTGCGCGGTTGCCTGGCAGTCCGAGCATTGACTGGCAGTAGAGGCGGTGCTTGCGACTGCAGTCTGATCCATGCAGAGCAGCAGGGATGGGTCCTTCACATCCTCTTCCTCGGATTGCGCATCGATCTCCTCCTCCCCTTCCGCATCAGCGTCCCCAACAGAAATCGAACGCGACCCTTCGGCGGCATCAGGGATCAGCTCCTCTTCGGGTGCCGCGAGGCCAGAGCTTCGTCTCAAAGCTGCATTCTCCGCTCTAAGCTTCTTGACGGCCTCTTCCAAATCTCTCAGATGCGCCGCTTTGCGCTCGCGAAATGCTCGTTGCGTCAAGAGTTGCCTCGAGGGCTCCAGATCCAGATTGGGACGTCGGCCTCGCGCCATGCTGGTGTGTGAGATTGCTGCAACTGTTGTGTTGACCAGTTTAAGATGTGGTCCGGTTGGAAAAATGCGACTTTAGTGACGTCGCCGCGGCGGCAGTAGCTGCGGATGCTTCTAACTAATTGACCTGGATGAGGGCGGAGATGTCGAGTGATTAGGGAGTTGGTGGTCTCGGATTCACTTGGCGCCGACGGCGTCAATCGTTGCGATAAGACCTGCCGAAAAGCCTGACCTTTTGGACCATTCTGCGATTGTCTCGTGCAGATGAGTTCCCTTCTTCAGAGGTGCAGAGGTGCAAGGCTTGACAAGGGGATGGATGGATAGATAAGGCACGAGAGATGCGCAAGGATAGGTCTTGCTCACGATCGAGTGTGATTGAACCACGAATCTGAATCAAATGTCTGACCTGACATGCATGCAAGCGAGGGCTGTATACCCATAATTGGTGGGATGCGCGCGCGGACGCAATGACACGCGTGCTCGTACGCCACCAATTAAGTCACGCCTGCAGTCAGCATGAGTATTGCATGCGCGCTCCCACCTCAGCATCCATATGTGCGTTCCGGCTGCACTCACCTGAGCGGAGTTGGTTCCGTCAGACCCGCCCGCGCATGCAAGGCGGTCGAACCCAGCAAGCAGCATGCTGCTGCTGCGAGATGCTCCCAATCGTGACTCGTGACTGTGAGTCGTGAGACTGTGTGAATGCTGCCGCCCTGATTCGTCGTGAATCTGAATGGGTCAGATGTGGTTAGCAGCTGGGACACGTGGTCCTGCCTTTGTGAACCAACGCGCAGTATGCCCTGCCTCAACTGTGCGCAAGGTCGCTGCAAAAAGGAGACTCACTCCCAAGGTGTGGCTCGCTCATGACTTGAAATTCTTGATCATGAGTCTCATCAGACACGAGAGTCGTGTCTTGCACATCACTACTATCGTGAATGTTGAACTATAAGCATCAAGATTGATTTCAATGTTGGATCGAACGTTTGAATGTCATTTTGACTCTATGCTCTGGTGGTAATCCTAGGTCACGTGCGCACAGCGTTCTATCTTGAGCCTGACAGTCTGGAGTTTCAAGTCAAAGTGGCCATGACTCAAGACTCACAAGTCACGACTCGTGTACCATCAAAAACATCGCGCGCACGACCCAGGCGTGCGAAGCTTTGTCGCGACGCGACTGTCACTCGTGATCACCCCTATCAGAGAATCATGTAGCATCGATGGCGTGCTCAAGTCTCCTCGTAAGTCCAGCTCAGCCCCGAGACACCAAGGAGGAGCACGGACGGGAGATGGTGCGTGCGTGGCGGCGTCGAGTCGTTGTGGGGATGTGTGCATGGCCGAGACGGTTCATGCACGTGATTCATCCATGCAGCTGCTCCCTCAGTCAAGACTTGATGAGAGCAGAGCAGCGTCTATTCGGCTCAGCTCAAGATTCCTACGTCACTCGACAACCCGCATTCATCAATCTTCTCATTAAGGCATGCTTCGGACCCACCGGAGAAATGGTCGTGCGGGACTCTCGCCCCAATCGCTTGAGCGACTCTCTGTGTGCGGCTGCAACCTCGCTTGCGTTTGCCTGGCCCTTTGGTGGCTGACAGGTTATGCTGCTGTGCACACATATATGAGGACAATCGAGCTCGATCGGGAGACAAGTTGGAGAGGGCGTAGGTGCAGGACGCCATTTAGCTCGAGACTCAGGAGCTCGCTGAGTCTGAGCCGGTCGCTAGAATTGGATCAGCTCGACGAGTGTCTTGCAGACAAAAGACAAACACAGCTTGCCCGGTAGCTGTCGGAAGCATACACTCATGGACCGAATCGCGGATGATGGTGTTAGTCAACATGCAAGCTGGACAATCTGCGACGTTTGACTAAGCCGCAGCGGGTGAGGTTCTGGTGCTGCTAATTGGATCGAGTGCGAGTGCGAGTGCTGCCCGCGAGGCCGCGTCGTCGACGCAGCAGGCAGGTCTCGGCTCGGCAATCGGTCTGTCTCAGCCGATCAATGCACGCGCGGCTGTCGTGGGAAGATGCGCGGCTACACAATTGCTGCATGCTGTCTCATTTGGGGGATACTCGCGTTGGATACCGAAGCATGATGAGCTACGCGTCATGCTGTGCGCTTGACCCCTACCTGGCCAAAGCCAGCAGTAAGCATCATTCACGAGCACCGACGATGGATGGTGAGTTGGATCACCCACCGTTTTTCACCTCGCACGCTGTGCGATCGTGATTGCTATTAGCTGCACCGAGGTCCTCAACAGCCGCACATACATGTACCTCAGTCCACCACTGTGACTAGTGGACTAAGTACTGCCACAGTAGACTTGGCGTCTGCTAGGGTACTGTACCCTATGCAGCGGGGCGCACCAGCGCGCCACGAGTTCGAACTCCGATCGTCATCTTACGCATTTCCAGGATCGTGAGCGCGGCGCAGCAAGGAGTTGCGCAGGTGCACCACGGAGCGAGGTGGGTGACACGTGCACCGCATTTTCTTTGAAGCCATCTTGCTCTTGCCGTCCCGCTGTATACTTGACTTCCATGGCTCTGCGGCTTCTATGCAAGCACAGAGCGCGGAATGATGCGCTTCCAAATTCAACCACGTGGAAGAGGGCAGACGTCGAAAGTGAAGATGGAAGTACTCCGCCCTGCAAGGGATGCAATCAAAATGCTCTTCACGGCGCTGATAACTCGTGACTTCAATGGCCCGCAAGTTTTGAAGCTGCAGCAGACCTGTCAGGGCGCTATCGGGAAAACGTCGCGAACGATGAATCACCCATTCAGTGATTCTTCTGGCAAAGCGTCGCAATCTCTGTCTGCAGAGCTTTGTGTGTCGAAGCGCAATCTTCCACGGAGCCGTTCGTGACCTGCAATTTGACCTCTCAATTCCTGCTTGCTCGCCCTAGCTCAGGCGTGCATACAATATATTGAGAGCCAGCGCTCGTCATTTTGCCGAGGCAAGTCGGAGCACGGGACGCTGAGGAGGCACTCTTCTCCTGTGTCAAAGACGCATAGTGTATGTTTTACTGTGATCATCGCACGGCTGCCAAGCCAGACCAATAGAGCGGAGGCTGCCGATGGACATATGAGCTCGAGCGCGAGCGCTCGGTCGAGGCCTCGCTCGTTTGGAATATGTGAATGAACGAGTAGGTATCAAGATTGGTCCTGTTGCGTGTGTGTGGCCTGATGCGAACCGCCGTATTTGCAAAGCCAGGAGCGCCAGTCAACATCGGGTTTGTTGCTCCTCGCGGTGAATGAGCGGCTCTGTTGCTGCACAAAAAGGTGCATATGCTGCGAGAAGCTAGTGGAGACGGGCCAACTCAAGGGGGCCTAGACTTTCGCCTGCAAGCTGCAGGTGCTGATCTGCTGCATCCGTATGCGTGTGCAAGGCCCAAATCAGAAGTGAATGGAGCTCTAATTTGTGGAGACGCTAGGCGAGCTTGACATCCGTTCCGCTACAACGAGACCGCACAGATGTGCCCTGACCTGCGCCGCTCGCTGGTCCTTTTTTGGTGCATCGTTTCGGAATGTTTTGGGCAGCTAGCTAGCAGCTACGCACCACGAGCTGCGCTGGAGAGGTAGGTGAGTGAAGTCATGAGCGAGACTTGTGGACACTATCGTACCATTCGTGCTGTACTACCATTACTGAGCAGCAGGCTGCCTTGGAAGCCGCTTCGATGCTACTCTAGTTCGGTCACGAGTGCAGAGGTACAAACACACAGCAGCTACTGTACTGTACAGTACAGTACAGTACATACAACTGCTGCGGGCCCAATTTGAGACTCCGCCAACTGTACATGTATGCCTGGACCCTAAGCGCGGGCATATGTTCCTGAAACAGTTTCGCTCCGACGTTCATGATTTCTTCTTGACAATCCGCCGACTGAAGTAAATCAGCTCGTTCGGTCCTACAGTGGCACGTCTAAGCGTCGTACTCACTACTGCATGTGCTTGGCGCAACGGTGAAGAAGATGTGAATATCGAGAATGTGGAGGCGACGCCGTCTGATGAGTGCATGTGAATTCACGATCGTCGACGGCCTTCAAGCGAGCAAACTTACGATCGCCGCTCGAGGATCGTGAGTGTCTCTGCAGCTCAGAGGCGATTACGTGGGATTCTGTCCGATGTTTCTTGTCGCTGCATTCTGACAGGGCTGCGATGGGCAAACGCCGAAGCTCTGTCGCATCCGCCGAGCGCTTCTGTCGTCAAGCAGTGGCCGGATGACACGACGCACGGGCGGGCGGTGCTGGAGTCGTATCCGCCGTACGGAGTCATGCAAGCAAGTCTATCACTATGGAGCAATTCTCCGGACTTGGACGCATCTTCAGCGTCCATCGAGGCCGAATTCCATCGTGTCCCGTCTTGCCTAGGCGACCGGAGCCCGCCGTCTTGGTGACAAATTCGACTAAGCCCCCCGTGCTCTTCCCGGTGGTCCCAGGCGCTGATGCACTCCTTGACTTTGTGCCTGCCTACACAGCAGACGCGCAGACGGGTCGAACGAGCAAATCTTGACGCGGCGCAATCACAATGCAATCGCAATCGATGCCTCTCTGACAGCCGGTAGATGCTCCAGAGGGCATTGCAAATTGCCTGTCGTAGCTGTCACGACAGCTGCACGCAAGAATGTAGAATACCCTAAGCTGTGATGCATGACAAGCTGGCGCATGTCCCCGCATGTTGTGGTGATTGCCGGCGACTCGAGCCATCCAGGGCTCATTCCCGCTTGGTGGGCTACTGTCCTGACAAGCGTCAACGTTGCGAGCCATATGGCGCATACGGAACGAACCATTCTTGCAGTTGAATCTTACCTCTCTTGAAATTGGCTCGTCGCTTCGGAGGCTCGTCGAGTTTAGCCTCCTCTTGACTGCTCATCTTCGATCACACGCTCGGCCTTCTTCGCCGCCTCCATCGTCATCATCGCTGACATTCGAAGTACTCGGCTTGTTGCTAGGCTCGTCACGACCTTCATTCACCAATCGTCGTGGCATTCACCATAGCCAATCTGTGCCAAGATCTTCTGGCCCGACCCCTACTTGACGTTTCGACCCTTTGGCCGACAGCGCTTCCGACTCAGAGCCTGTTCGTCTTGCACGCTTGTCGCAGTAGCCTGGTGGCGACCGCAAGGGGGAAGCGGCAGTTGCGGAGCCGCAAATTTGTGCGCCACGTCACACTCTTGCTGCTTGCTTCTCTGAGCCGAGTCAAAAGAGATTTTCGGACAACCTGGCAATTAACAAGACGGAGCAGTCAGCCAGCAACCCTCGACGTCTCAGGATCAAGCATCAGCCCATCTTCACGAGCGCTAAGGCGGAGCAGTGGCGGCCGCATCAGAGGCGAAAAGCGTGGCTGCTCCCTGTTGAGCTTTCCAAAAGCTGGTCTCGAAAGCGTCTGCGCGATATTGCTCAACCTGCATAGCCAGCAGGGGCAGGAAGCGTGGAGTATAGTCGCCGTTCGATCGATTGTCTCCACTGCCACGGGCATATTATTGCGATTGTCGCTGGCGTCGTCCAACCGAGCGCCAGAGGTCTCCTGCTTTTGGCCTTCGAACAACGCCCAATGCACCCTAGCCCTGGCTCCAGCGCCCACTTCATTTGCTGCGCCGCGGTCAAGCGCTTCTGTTGGGGGTGTCCAACAAGATTTCCCAGCACATTGGTCAATTGACGAGCGCTTGCGCAGCAGTGACCGAACCGTGGGCCGCTCAGAAGGAGCTTTTGCTTGTCCGCTGTCACTTGCGTCCACACGACCCGCAGCGTCTTGCACATCGGCACCGCATCAACGCCCAACCACCTTGGAACACTCGATCGAGACGACGCGTGGAACAGGCAACGGCGGGCAGCAGTAAGGCGTCTCAATGTCTGTCGCAGCTTCTCCAAGTTGTAATTTCCACACCTCTAATCTCTTCAAGGTGAGTCTTCGCTCTCGACGTCTCAAATCAGACTGTCAGCGCCATAGTCTGCGGTAAATTGCGCCCTCTGGCACGTGTTTGGGATCCCGCCGCCATCACAGAGAGTATACTTCGGCAATTGGCGATCCGTAGACCGAAGTCTCACATGGGCGGAGCGGGACATAAATTTAGACCTGCACGTCCAATCAAGCAGCTGTCTCATGACGCTGCAGTCATCGTTGTACGACGGTCGCAGCTGGGTCGTTGAAGGCAAGGAGGCAGCAAAGATGTCACTGTGGGCCAGCTCTGCGCGGTGATGAGCTTTGCGAGTACCATGGGCTTGCATGCAAAGCACACTCGACGCTCACAAGCTCGTCGTTCCAGAGCAATATGTCTCGACCCGAGTCGATCAAGTGCATCGCATTCATCGCCGGCAGACAGCTGCTTTGTGTTGGTCTGCTCGAGAGAGCTGTGCATCCGTCCGATCCGCTCTCACAAACTTGTACCTCGCTGCGTCGGGGTAGGAGGCCACCTCTGCAAGGACAGGGGGACGGGACGAGAATTCTGTCTGTGCTGCGGGTGCTGGACCGCATGGGTGGCAGAGCGGTCGTGACAGGTGGTGCACACGGAAGGCGAGGCTGCGCTTCGCGCTGTCCAAATTTGACTCAAATATCAAAAGTTTGAGTTTGCAGTGCAGGGAAATTAGGTACTCCGCGTAAGCTTTCCGCCTTGCGCTGCGGCGAGAGGACCCCGGTTTGCGCCTTCCGGTCGCAGCCCACGTTCAAAGTGTAGCGAGCCTGTCTCCCCGGCTGCTTTTGGGGGTCCCATCTTGGATCGGAGAAGTACGAATGCGCACCAGCCAAGGGAAAGCTGGTTGGGCTCTGGCTCGCTCCTGCGCATGACGTCTTGCGCCGCTGCCGCTGCCGCTGCCGCTACCGTCACCGTTTGCCGCTGTCGTGACGGCGGTCAAGCACGAGGTCAGCTCGAACGACGTGGTGAAGGAAGGCGTTGCGTCTTCTCAGCACCATCATCGCATCGTCCCTCCCGAGGCCTGTAGGACAGTCTGGCTATCAGCAAACTGAGTGAGGAAGGGTTCACCGCACGTCCCTCACTACACGCCCTTTTGCGTCGCCGCTTGACCCCGTCGCGAAGGTGTTCGGGGGGGCTTGGCTCCCTCAATGATTCTGCACCAACACCTCCATCGGCCAAGTTTGCACGCAATGTTGCACGTTGAGCTGACGCCCCCTTCCCGTGTTCTCCACTCTCAAATCTCGCTCTACTCTGGCATTGGTGCCAATTCTTCATATCTCGGCCTTCCCACTACCTTGCACGCCGAATCATCTTTGCTCGACTCGATGCGTCAACAGCCTCATCCACAAGATATTGCACAGATCGCGCGTAGCGACGCCAACACGGCTAGCAATCATTCTCTAGAATCGACTTTGTCCCTCATAGAACAGGTCCAAGGCCTTTACGCGCCGGAGAACGCGCTTGTACCGAGCTTTGATAAGAACGCAGGAGTAGCTGGCACGACGTGGGCCACTTCAGACAGTCACGCAGCTCCTCAGTTGGTCGATTCGGACAACGTCACCGCATCTAGGACGCATTGGTGGACCGCAGAGTCGCGCGCCAGCCAGCTCTCACCTCGAACAATCTCGTCTCGTCCGCTCAAAGCGCAAGACGATCACATGAGCACAACGCGCCACGTACCCCAAGAGGATGCGGATGCGGACGCGGAGGACCGTGCTGCATCGAGCCACTCTTGGTCTGAGAGAAGCTATCACAATGACCATCGACGGAGCATGCAGGGCTCAAGCTCCAGTAATGGCGACGCATCCAGCAGCTCGCTGTCGAGCTCAGCGACAGAGCGGCTGCCCGGCATCGCACAACTAGACCTCTTTTCAGCTTCGGCTCCCTCTCGTCATGACAGATACTCACACCCTGACGCCTCTCGCCCATATCCGTCCTGGTCGTACGACCACAAGGTCGATGGATCCGGCAACGCCCCGCAGCAAATGTACGGCAAGCCACTCACGCTGCCACACATTCCGGCCTTAGCAAGATCTTCGGGCGCATACAGCCCCGCGTTCAGCACCAGCACCTCTCGTGATACACCATCCAGACGTCCCGGGCCTGGTCTAAATGTTGCGCCTGCACCTTCATTGTTCTCGGCGCAAGCATCACCTCTACGACCCTCTGTCTTGTCACAACTGACGAGCGTTCAGAAAGGTAGAGAGTCAAAACATTCGGACGACCGCGATTCTTTTCCTGTCACACTCAAGTACGACGGACTGCCACCACCTGCAGATCAAACACAAGATCACAACGTCGACCCTAGACGACGAGCGTCCATTGCCAACCCCTTGCCCTCAGTTTTGGCTCCGCGGGGACCGGCCCTTCCACCTCCGACCTGGTTCCGCAACGATCTTAAGCGCAAATCGGCCTACGATGATGATGACGACGATCGCCGCTTGAACGGCTCGTTTTCTGACAGGCGTGTCTGGTCCCCATCGCGCGGTAGTCCTCCCGCTGCGCCGGTCTCGTACGGGAAAAGTTACGCGGATGAAGACTTGCGAGGCGGAGGCCGCACGGCTCACGAGCCTTCGATTGGGCCAGGCGGTCTCTCTTACCCCCGAGACGATGTCGACCTCGGTAGTGGACACTTTTACGGTGAGTTCTTCAAAGCTCTGCCCGATCTCATGCACCCTCGTGCGTCGCCTTGCTCCATTTACTTACCTACCATTTGCTTTCTCACTCCATACCCGTGTCTGCAGCTCGAAGCGCAGACAGTTCACCTATCGAACAGCGATCGTACTTGGACTCTGATGCTCGATACGAAAAAGACAGCTTGCATGGCAGTTCTAATGATCGACTCTCCGACCAGCGCATGATGTATGCTTCAAGTTTCAGCGGTATGCCATCGTCCTCGAGATCCGGCTTATCCCACTCAGAGGGTGCTTCTGACGGCATGCCGTCGACCTATCGAAAGCGCGGCAAATTGCCCAAAGCGGTGACAGACCTCCTCAAGACATGGCTACTCGATCATGCCACGCATCCTTACCCTACCGACGATGAGAAGCGCAGACTGTGCAGCATCACTGGCTTGGCGATGAGCCAAGTCTCGAATTGGTTCATCAACGCCCGCAGAAGGATCCTTGTCCCAAACTCGACCGGCGGCTTTGCCGTCGGCACCTCTGCATCTGCTAGCCTGCCCATGCAAGGTCAGCAAATCCACGCAGATCGCTTGTACGGAGCCCAGCCATCCCATGGTCCCCCGCATCTTGGTCAGCCGTACGTCTCGCATCAACAGCACTCCTTTGCACCAGTTTCTCAGTCACGCGACAATAATTCTGGCAGTCACTATCATCGCTCTGACATCAGCCAGGCACCAGAGTCCCTCCGTCCCTTGTAGACCTTCTCCCCGGGATTTTCAGATTTACCACGTCGGGTTGGAGGTGGCATCACGAACCGTCACTAGTCGGCCGTGCATCGCGAATGGACAGTCTCCACTGATTCAGCTCTGCGCTTCCAGATGCAAGTATTGTTCCTGCCAGACTGGCCGATTCCCATCGTCACTGTCTGGTCTAGGGGGACGTTCTTCTCCCACTCCCCTTTCTATCCCTTTCGAGCGCTCGCGGCATCTCGACTCCCCCCAGCATGCCCGTTTGCGTCTAGGCCTCTCTGCATCTCTTGAGTGCACTTTGCCTACCGATTTCATGTAAGACATCACCTTTCACCTTACTCGTCGCTTGTGCCCTTGGCCTCCGTGTATCCTTGCAAATTCCATCGCCTGGTTAACAGCCATGTCATGGGGCTGGACGGTCTGTGTGCGAGCAGGCGTTGGAGCTCCGTAGCTCTAGAGGATTTGCAAGCAAGAGCACGAGATCACACGAGGCACGTCACTCGATCACGAGCATCTCTTGCCGCCCAGCAGCCAGCGTGCACTTAGTCTTGTGAACGCTCGTAATCCGCAATCACGTACTCTGGCTCAAGAATCACATTTTTTATTCGAAGTTCACGGTTGAAAGGTGCGGTCAGCCGAGCTGTTTGAACTCACGATTCGGGTGCGTGGTTCGGGACACGTGACGCGTCTAGCTTTTGCGCGCGCGCGCGACGCGACTCATCAGCTTTTGGGTGTCGGCGTGCATGGATTTCAGTCAAGATGCAAGATCGACCAACGCCATTTGCGACCAAGCAAGGCTCCTCAGCTTCCCGCTGCCACCACACATGCGCTCGCACGCTTCTGCGAGGTGGCACACTCGTCATCGACAATGTTCGCCACGGCACTTAACCTCCCCACTCTCCCGTACACCAGCTTTTCCTGCGAGCCCCATCAACTTCCTGGATAGGGTCGAGCAGCTCCGCTCGGAAACGGAGACGCATCATGGCACCCTCAGCATCGGGCTATCTGGCGGAGTATCCGCTCATCAGAGTGGACAGGTTCACGGACAATCGTGTGCCAATTCCAGCGCATCTCTCAGCAGAAGCGCTGGCTGATTTACCCGCTGGCAGCTCCCATTTTCCCTCTCCTGCTCTCTACCTCTTGTCACACATTGTGAGTATAGACTTGTAGCGCTGGTCTCTCGCCTAAGCTCACATGAAGGAGTGTGCCTCTGTACGCAGCATACGGATCACTTGTGCGGATTGGAGCAACACCGCCATAATAGCGCTCCGATCTACTGCAGTCCCACGACCAAAAAGCTCCTCCTGCGCTTCGAACGAACTGCGACGCGGGTGGAGAAGGATGCGGGAAGGGGCGACATTGTCAGACCTTATTCCGACTTGTTCCTGACACCGGAACAGTGCCGGATCAAGAATCGGCGATTTGGTGATGATCATTCCAAAAAGGGCGGTGGTCAGGGCAGAGACTTACTGGTAAGCATCAATGGCAACGTCCAGCCTGGTCACCCAGGAGGAATCTGACATTGATGCTCTGCTTGCTACAGCACGCCATCGAACTTCGTACTCCAACCATCGTGCCCTACGCAGGTAGAAAGCACGTGCGCCTGACGCTGCTGGACTCGAATCACATGGCCGGCTCCGTGATGTTTCTCGTAGAGGGAGAGCGAGGCGCGGTACTTCATACCGGCGACCTGCGAGCTGAGCCCGTCTTCCTACACGCGCTCTCGAGAGACCACTTGCTGTTACCGTATCTATCGAGGAGTGATGAGAGCATCCATGGCACCGCTCCGCCTTCGCCCATTCGAGCAGTGGCGTGCAGCTCTACCGCGGCGACAGCAGAGTCACTCGGACCGAGTCAGTCTGACCTGCCACCTCGCGACTTTCAAGTAAGGTACGGCCAACTCTTGAACATTTACGTAGACGATGAGAGGATGTCAGCCGTACTCACCTCTCCGACGAAGATTCAAGCTGAAGACATGATGATCTCGTACATGCGGCAATATCCGTCCGATACCAGATTCTTCCTCGACGCTTGGTGCTGGGGATACGAGGGCATCATTCACCGCGTGCACAAGGCGTTTGGCGAAAAGGTTCACGTCGACAGGTACAAATTCGGCATGTACAAAGCTGGTTCCGAGGTAGACTTTCACCTGCCATCCCGAGTGGACGTCAAGTCTCATATGGATGGGGGCAGGTTCCATGCTTGCGAGAGGATGGACAGGTGTTCTCTGGTGTCAAGAGAGGCTCAAGTTGCGCGTCCTCAACCTTCTCTCGTCGTAGACATCAAATTCGGCGCCGGCTCAAATTGGATGCAGCGACGAGTCGACACCGAGAAGGCTTTATGTGCTGCTGCTGCGGGAGACATGCCGTGGCCAACATGCCTCATAGTACCTTTCGAACGACACAGCTGCCTTTCAGAGATCAGGAGCTTCATCGCTCTCTTTCGGCCGCTGCAAGTGACCTCGAACACTGCAAATTTTGAGAATTGGTTCTTGATGTCAAAGACTTTCACAGCTTTGATGGCACCAGGAGCGAAAGAGCGCATGGAAGCGTCAACCAAAGACAATCTCGGTACTCAATTGTGGGCTCTGTTTGAAGACGCTTGGACTCACGTCACAAGGCAAGGCAGCGCGATGGCGCAGCCTGGTCATACTTCTTGGAAGGACGAGGCGCACATTCAGGCAGAATGGACGCGCTTTCGAAAGACATTCAAGCGAAAGCTTCTGAGTTGCGCGGCCCCTTCGAGAAAGTTTGACGAGTTGCAATTCGCAATGGAGAAGAGGAAGCACACGAGCAAGATTGCGAACAATGCCAGACCTGACCACATCGACTCGGAAGATGAGGACGAAGCAGCTCACCAACAAGCATCAATTCCCGGCGAAGAGGGTTATCTGGGGGACATTAGCGGCACGCCAGGCATGGCTGCCGGCGCAATCCGATCTCCAGAAGGCTCGATTGAGGATCTGCTGTCCCGGGCTGGGAACATGCCACCGGCTCACGTCCGTAAGCGCAAAGCGCCGCCCCCAGCCATTGATCAGCGGTCTCGCCTAGCCACAGTACTAGACGAAGAGCTGGCGTCCAGGTATCTGGCTTATGCGCAAATGTACCTCGGCTGGAGGATACTCAACACTGACAGGGTTAGCCAGGTCAAAGCATGGAAGCGCGTTAGGCGGAAGAAGCCAGACCTTGCCCGCCGGGTCGAAGAAGCGCTGCACACTGAGCTGGGAGTTTTGCCACCTGTCTGGAAACTTGGTCGTGCTTCATCTCCCTCAACCGCAAGCGCTTCGAAGGCCGCTGAATTAGTCGACAAGAGTTCGATGGGCCCCGCAAATCAAGGTACACCAGTACGCAACGCGACTTTGAGTGTAGGCCAAGAAATGGTACAAGACGCGCCCGAACAGATGGTGTGGATCTCACCGGAGAGGACACTCAGTGGTACACGAGATTCAATCCAGGTTCAAACCCTGGGTGATGCGGTAGATCACTACCAGCCCCGTCGCGTGCCTCTAGGCGAATTTCTGGAACGACGCATTTCAAAGACGAAGGCTGGCAACCAACAGACCCCCAGCAATGACATCAGGCCTGGGCTTGACCCGAAAGCAGGCGCATCAGTCTTTCAGGGTGAAGCCGCAGTGATGGCATACGAAAGCGACCACCGCTTGATACGCGATCTTTCAAGCGAGGCTTTCGTGCAATCACACGTTTCCGAGATAGATGCAGGAGCAACTGGTAGGCTAGGCATCTTACCTCGCGCTGATGCGTTGGTCAGCTTTCCTCTCGTACAAGCGCAGTGTCAAAATGACCCCAAACTGCCAAAGGAGCTGAGCGTCCAAAATCGATCGAAGGGGGGCTCAGCGCCCAGCGCGAAGGCGCGCTTTAGATTGGCTGCTAGTGGTAGGCACCACGCCCGACCCCTGGCGCAGCTCGAAGCTGCGGTGAATGCTGCTAGTGGTTATGCTCAACCGATTCGGAGCTCAGTCCGCCTTGAATCTCACGTTCCGTCAGCTCATGCGATCGACGACCAATCAAGCGCCTCATCTCAGAGCAAAACCACGCTGTTCAGCAACAATGCGGAGAACGGCGGAGTTGCGGTTCGGAGCAGCTACGCGGACATCCTCCGCTGCCTTGGCAATGGCCAGGGCTGGCGGATGACCACCGCTCAGTGCGACATTTCGCACCTAATTAGCAGCGACCTCTGCAAGGCGTTGTCGCTGGTGAAAGCAAAGAACAATTTGTTGCCCGATGCTACAGAAGCTTTCCGCTGCATGCTGGTCGATGTGACCAGGATTGCGTCCATCTACGGGCTTCTAGCCCGATCGGAAAGAGCACGAAATCTCTTGCCGCAACTTGCCGCTCACTCCCGCGCACGTGAGCTTCACAGACTAGCTACAGGTGTCGCAAGTATCTTGACATGCGCGTCGCCGGGCTGGCCTTGGCTTGCTGAACTCAAGCTTGCCTACAAGGCTTTGCAGTGGGCCATCAAGGCCCAAGTCGTCGAGACACGCAAAAAGCGCGACAACGGCGGAGTGCCGCCGAGCATTATTTTAAGCCGTGCTTCCCGCACCTCTCTTGACCCCAGCACGACGACCAGCAGCAACGTACCAACCCTACTCACCTTGAGCGGAGGCAAGCGCAGCGTCAGATTCGAAGATCTCCGCATTGCGACAGATTCGCTCGCATCGAGCATGCCAACGCGCAAGAAGAGGAGGCTAGATCAGCCCCTTTGCAGCACACCGCTAGCGAAAGCGGCTCGTTAGATGCTTTTGCATGCTTCATCACAGCATACTGATAACAGACCAGCTACGTCTTTTTCGGATCCGACCTGCACATGTCCTCTTGTACTGTACCTGCTCAATAGCGATCGTACTCATCGATGGCCTCTACTTCGCGTCACCCAGAGTCTTCCAGATTGCGATTCCAAATGCTGGCCGAGGATGTTGCGTGCGCATCGGCACCCCGCCTACTCTCCGACTGGCTCTCTCGAGGCGCTCATGCCGATCGGGTCACAAATTCTGCGACGCGAGACCAGCTGCAAAGCGCTCAACGAGCTCTTCTCTGACGCCAGCAGCTTCACGAGTGTTGCCTGTGTTACTCATCGCGACGTCGACCAGACTCGATCGTCTCCGCCGCAAACACGCGAACAGACAGTGTGGTACCTGGCTGCATGCATGCAGGTGGGCGTACTGCAGGTGCTGATCGAGTATTTCTCTGCATGCAGCCTGCCTTCACATCTTTCGCGGTGAGCCCCTTCTCGACGACGTCGGCTTGCCCGCTGGCACGAATCCCTGCCGTACCTACATCACCCCCCAATTTGATCGACGATTGCCTAAGACGCTCGCTCCGAGCGCTTGACTTGTACTCACATCACGCGATGAGCAGTCTTGTCGAAGGCGTACGACGCACGGAGCCGATCGAGCGCGCAGCTTCGCAGTCGCGCGGGCATCCGGCTTAATTGTTGATGCGGAGGAACGCGCATGCATGCAGTTGGGCGTCGCAATGCTCTGTTTCGCCACAAACAGCTGCGGCAGGTTACTGGGCAGGCAGGCAGGCAGCAGCATCAGGCACACACGCCGTTCCAGCAGCGCGCCGCACCCGCGCGAGCTCTGTCAACGTGCAGTGGTGAGTCAGTCGTGAGTCACAAGTCGTGAGTTGCATTCACGATTCGTCACGCGTGACTTGCGGGCGCACGTCTGGCTGCTGCTTGCGCCTCCTGCACACGACTCGCTGCGACGGCTTCTATATGTGTGTAGGTGTACAAGTGAAGAGGACAAAGTCATGCCATGTCATGTCATGTTTGCTGACCAGGGCGTGTGTGCGTGTGCTGCTTGTGCTGCCTTTGCCACACGACCTGGGTGTGCTCCGTGCCGTGCATCAGCCAGCAGCAGGAGGAAGCGCGCTGCGTGATCATGCAAGATGGCGCCTCCCAGCTGCAGATGCTGCAGATGCGGGAAGCTCAGACAGACAGCTCTCCTCGCGCAAGCAGCTCTCCATTCGTTGCCTCTCGCATCTCAAGAGGCATGCAGCAGTAGGGTATCGTGAATGACGAATGGCAGACGATGCTTCCGCCAAGATGCGCCGTCTCGCAGCTCGATGCCTCGCAACGGCAACGGCAACGGCAACGGCATCTTGCCCCGGCTAGGCGAGGGCGAGAAGAAAAGGCAGGCAAGGCATCAGTCAACCGACTGAGCTGCTCTGGAAGCGTGCAGCCGTGGGTCAAGCAAGGTGATTGCTGCGCAAGAGAGAGAGAGAGAGAGAGAGAGAGAGAGAGAGAGAGAGAGAGAGAGAGAGAGAGAGAGAGAGAGAGAGAGAGAGAGAGAGAGGGGGGAGAGAGTACGCTGAATGAATGATCAAGCAGCGCATCCAGTCACGAGTCCGACGCCAGAGGCCAAGATGATCAAGATTGACAGATCATTGCGTTTGCGTGCTTGGCTTTGCTCGCCATTTTGCCCTCGACGCTCCTCGACACCATCCCAAGCGACAACGTAGCTGCCAGGGCACAGCGTTTTCTTCTTTTCATTCCCTCAACAGACATTGCTGCATCTTTGCAACATCGCCCATTCCTACTCTGCAACGCAGTCTGACAGCTCGAGCGAGGAGACCCTCAACAGGATGGCCCTGCCTACCATGGACCTCGCACCGATCTTGGACAATCCCAATGTCCTGCAACTCGAAACGACTCTGATCTTGTACGGAGTCATGGCGGGCGGTGAGCAAAGCAGTTATCCACACCCACATACGTACACCACGCCCCTTGGCAAGTCGAGCTAACAATGTCTGTTCGATCACTGGCTTGGCACGATGACAGCCGTTGGTTGGGTGAGCTTCACGCGGACGGGATGGACTTGCATCACTTTGCGCCATCAGCGGCTCACGCTCCCTCTCTTGTGATACCGGTACAGGATCTAGCATACTACATCCCACACGACATCAAGCTACTCGCTTCGCGCGGATGGGCATCTCCTGTCCGCGCGGTCTCCCGCACTGCGTACCTTGTCGCGTGAGTGACTTGCACCGTCTGCGGCGTGGATCGTTGCTGCTGCATTCTCACACTTTCCTATCCTCATCCTCCCTTCGGTGATGTTGCGAGAACAGCCGATATCTCGCTTTTGCAGCTCTTGTCATCTCTTTGAGATTTTGGGGCTACCCTTCCTCTAGCGACGACTTTTGTCGAAAGATACCCATCCTTATCGAAGCTCTCCTGTGCGCTTCGTATGTATCCACCATCACCGTCGTGAGTATGCGCCATGATGTCCACACTGTAGGCTGCGACTGACAGCTGAGCCCCTCCGACTCTGATCAGCTGGCCTTCCGTACCCTCGCGCTCTATCCTGGACACCGTCGCGTGGATTGGGTAGTGACGATCGCCATCGTGCTTGGATGGCTGCTTTGCTTCTCGTGGGCTTTCGCAGTCCCATTTTACGTTTCAGGTCAACGAATGGCAGCCGTATCGTCTCGCTGTCAACTCCACCAAAAGTCAGACGATACCGTCTTGCGAGGCTTCATGGCCTCGCTACTGGCTTTCGATGCCATCATCCTTCTGCTCACCTTGTACAAGGTTTATAGAAGTGGTAGCTACCGATTCTTCAACTCCAACACGGTCCTTGGCACTATTCTTGGCAAGAAGAACAGGAACCTGCACGACGAGGACCCCATGAAGCTCGCTGCCACCAAGGTTGCCGCAGACCTCATTGGGCAAGGCTTGTACGACTTTATCATCCTCTTCTTGGTTGGTGTTGCTGCCCTAGTCATCTGGTGCACCACGTCTCTGCCTCGAATTTACAGATCGCTTGGTGTCATTGGCCTCGCAGCGGTCTCTGCCGCCCTCGCCGGTGGTGTCTTTCGGGAGACAGCACGTGCGGCAACAGCCTTGCATGCGTTCAGGGACTTTGAGCTCAAGTTGCAAGCCATGCAACAATTGGCAGAGACGCAACACAAGGAGCTGGAAGCGCTATTCTATGCTCGTCGTTACCGTGATGACGACGAGGACTATGATGCGCAATCCAAATTCACCGCCGATCACTCGAACAACTACCATCGAGAAGCAACTACACCAGTCCCATTATCCGCTCACGAGAGTGACAGAATCACCGTCAGCCGACAACCTTCTTACACTGGCGAGTTTCGGACCCCCACAGAAAAGGGCTGGACGGGTCCGCACACAGACGATGGCTACACCAGCGAGCCTCTGTCGCGCAATATGGTGCATGGAGCCCAGCCTCTCAGTCCCACCGCTCCTCGTCCTCAGGAGGAGGCATCGCCCATTGAAGAGCTCGAGTACTCTCGCAGAGACTCGACCGATCTGCACTCCGCAGCGCATCTCAATGCGCGCACCGCAGACCAGGACGATTCGGACTCTGAGGCCACGTTTGGCAAGGGCCTAGAGACTCGCAGCGATTCCGACTTCCGTCGCTATATGAGACAGAATGCTCCACCCTCTACACATCAGACGCGCAGTTTGAGAAGAGCCAAGAGGGGTCGCACAGTTTATGGTGCCGACGAGCGCTTCCCAGACTTTGCTACCAGCCTGGCCAGATCCACGGCCATTGCCGTTGCAACCAACTCGCGCACGCAGCAGCTGGGCTTCAGCGCGGCCGCGGACGGGTCCAGGTCAGGCTCCGCTTCGGGCTCTGCTTACAATGCTGGTGCTTCGGCCAGCAGCAGTAGGAACAATTTGCCTCTTGGCATGTCCCTGGCTGCTTTTGATGCTCCTTCAGAGGAAGGGTCAGAGGGGACGCACACGTCCTTTCCCCTTCCTCCAGAGCGCAGAGATACTCTTGCCGGAGTAACCATACTTGGAGGAGGCGTAGAGACGAACTGGTCCAGACCCACAACTCTGTACTCTGCTCCGAGCTCTCTTCCTACCGCTCATGGAGGCGGCGCTGGTCTACCGCATCCTCCGCCCACATACTCTTCTAGGACCGCTCTCAATACGCCCGGCAATGAAGCGTACGAGATGGGCAGCAGAGACGCAGCTGGCCTAAGCTCCTCTTTGCCGCCTCCTCGAAGACCTAGCAGGAAACCCGTTGGTAATCGCGAATACGGCGCTTAGCGCCAACTCTCCCTTGATTTGCCTTGCCTTGCCTTGCTATGCTTGCTGTACAATGCAATGCAAGCCCCACCTTTATACCTCACACTCTCTTCCACTCTCAATTTTGCTCCGTCTTTGCTACACTCTGCTAATTGCATACCTTCTTTTGCGCATCTTGCATGAGCGATGTTGACGACGTGAGGCGACCTCGTTCATGTTGGCGCGAGGAGGGCAACTTATCGAGGCGAATGCGAGTTCAAGGTGCATAGTGATGCAAGAACCGAGGGCGAATGACCGTTCCAAGGCAGCCAGTCTGAGTGCTCGCTTGCCTTGACGCTGCCACCTTGGCCGTCCGAAGTTTGCGAACTCGCCTCTTGAGACGAGTGCTCGGCTGTTCGCCCTGAATGCTGCGCCAGGCGACGCGTGTTCTCACGCTCCATGGAAACGTTGAGCAGATTAGGTCAGACGAAGAGCCCGTGAAAAAGTATCGTTGCGATAGAGAAGCTGGACAGATTCGAGAGCGACGTGCGAAAGCGGAAAGCGATCGCGTGACGACCAAAGATTGAGGCGGCACACGAAGCTCGGCCCGGTTCAGTGGTCCCGACAACGAGGAAAGAGCTTTCCAGCGGCCCACCTTAAAAGATGACGTCATCATCCTTACCGCCGCTCAACAAGTCACCGCCTCCTCCGCCCCTTGATCCCTTTTCGCCTCTCTCTTGCTCCTCTTCTTCCGGGTCTTCACCGCGCATCAATGCAGCTCTCCTCTCATTCTCAGCCAGCTCCGCATTCCTCTTCTTCTTGCCCTGCACCTTTTTCAACCTAAAGAACTCCTCTCTGCGGATGGTTGGAATGTGAGAAATCTTTCAGTCAAGACCCTTGATTGCGCACAGATATGCGGTACGCACCGATCCATTTCGTCCAGCTCGGAGGAAATGTACTGAATAGGCGATTAGTCACGAGCGTCAGTGAAGTACGCCCATGTGCCGAGTGCACGATCAAGCGAGAGCCGTCAGGACTCACAGAGATTGTATTCTCCAGCCTGGGAATAATGACATGCTCGATAGCATTGACACGCCTGTTTGTCATTCTGATGACCTCGTCCAGGATGACAAAGGCAGTCTGCAAGTGAACAAGGCGAGCGGGGTCGAAGATCGTGAATGGTAGTCAGCATGCATGCTTCACCTTGCATCGAGAGCAGTGGGGAGCCTTGATGGGTTTGTCCGAGCACCAGCAAAGACTCCATTTGAGCTAAAAATCGAGGTCACACTTCCACCTTCGCAACTTCCCACACGAGCGCATATTGGGATGCGCACCTGAAGACTGGCTAGCTCTACGAGCGTCTTGAGAGCCTGAGTGTAGACCTCTCTAGCTTTCTGAACCTGCTGACCACCCCTCGATAGACCTGTCAAGGCGAATTCTGTACAAAAAAGGTGAACGCGTCTGGCTGGGTGAGCGCAGGCACAGGGGGGGGGGGGGGCACACGTCCATGCCATGACGAAGCCTCGACTCACCAGCAGCACCAGCGCCGCTCTGACTGGGCACAGCTTCGAAAGCGGGCAGGAGGACACCAGAGACGTTTTCTTGCTTGGCATGAACCTTGAATGTGGCGCTCTTGACGCTCTCCTGGATCATGTAACCGATGTCGCCCGTAGCATATTGAACCTCTGCCAAGCTGAAACTTGCCAGCTGCATCACCCTGCCCATCTTTCTCTTTGCTTCGTCGATCTTGGATGTGATGGTGCGGAAACGTTTGGTCAAGGCATCGGCTTTGCGCTTGAGCAGCGAATGACCCGTTTGAGCTCCCTTGAGTCGCTGCTTGGTCGTGTTGAGCGTCATGCGCGTAGGGAACACGGACTCGCGCGCTCCTTTGCCCGACATGGTTGCTGGGATGGGATGGGCTTGTGTGCGCTGCTTGTGAAGAAGGCGAGATAGCAACAGGACAGTGTGCGTGACAAGCGCCGCGCCAAACCAAGAAAGGATGTGGATGTGGATGTGGATGTGGATGATGGCCACATGCCGTACAGGCGATGGGTGCACGATACGATCGATGAGTATGATAGGAGCATGCAGTCACGAGTAGGGCGCGGCGCAGCGCAGCGCAGCGCGAGTGGAGCGGGCGTGCGCTCAAACTCGCCGCCAAGGCTTGCAGAAACATCGCGGAATACTCTCGATGATGCGCGCGCGCATGGCATGGCATGGCGCGCACGGTGCAAGTTCTTGTTCTTGAACTCCGCGGTGATCCAAACATTCGCGATTCGCGATTTGCAGTCCAATGCATCTGCACATCCCTCACAACCACCACTGTCACTCATCCACGACTGCCAGCTCCGGCAGCTCGATAGCACCGTTTGAGCGCAAGACAAAAGTCGCGGCCTCTGAAAGCGTCGAGTCGCACCGAATCTACGCGATGGAGTCGCAATCTCCTTCGGCCGTCAGCTCCCAGATGGATTCGGAAGATGAGGGCAGGGAGGATCAGGATCAGGCGACAGAGATGGGCTACGACGAGGATGATGCAGAGGCGGAAGAGTGAGTAGCACAGTAGCGCAGCAATCAGAAGGTATGAGCTGCCCACTGCTCACGCTCGACCCTTTTTAAGCGAGGAAGAGGAAGAGGATCAGGATGATGAGGATGACGACAATGATGGAGACGCTGATGACGATGACGAGGAGGACGATGATGACGAGGAGGATGATGACGACGACGACGACGACGCTGATGATGACGACGACGACGACGAAGAAGAAGAAGAGGAGGAGGAAAACGATGGGGAGGGCATGGGTGAGCACGAGCACGAGCACGGGCATGGGCATGGGCATGGGCATGGGCGGGAGCACGACGTTACCTCGTGCGCGATGCGCTTGCTGAGACGGATCGCTCTTGCTACTTTGACTCTCGATACGCAGACGGGGATGGGCGGCCAGCACGGCAAGGATCCGCATCAGACACATCGCAGGCAGGTCTAGTCAACGGATCACCTAGGGCGTACACCGCCTTGGCGCTGGCCCGCTTGGCAGCCATTCGACCTTCTCCCTCCGTCTTCTCTGCCAAGGCATTCAACATCGAACCCATCGGCGCCATCCCTCATTCAGCTCACATTCACTCCATGTGCCTATCTCAGGACGGCACAACTCTCCTCAGCGGCGGCTCGGACGGTCACGTGCGCAAGTACGACGTCTACGCCAGCCTGAACGGCAGGAACCTCCTGACGCAAAACATGAAACACAATTTCAGCGATGGCATCCACAAGGGTGGCGTGCTTACCGCTTGGTGGGCCAACGAAGAGGTGGCGTGAGTTGGCGCGAGTGTCCACGCATAGATTGGGTCGTTGTTGTGAGTGGCTCGCATTGATCTATCCCTCTTCCCCACAGTGCCGTCAAAGGGGAGCAGGCTCAAGATGACAATCTGCCAGTCAGCGCGGTGCACAGTCTCGCTATACAGCGCGACTCGCTGTGGTCCTTGAGTGGTTGCGAGGTGAGCAGAGGCGCAAGTCGACACGTGTCGTGCGCGTTGCGACTTTACGTCGGGACTGAACCACAACAAATGGGTCTTTAACATTCCATCGGGCTTGCGCATAGTCTGGAAACATCAACCTCTATAGCATCAGGCACGAGCCTGGGCAGTTGAGGCACGTGCTTCGCAAACACAGAGGTGCGGTCTCGGCACTGACACTCGCAGATACGGATCACACGCTCATCAGCGGAGGCTGGGATCGGGGTGTCCATGTGAGTGAAGCGTGACGCAGGACAAGCTGCAAGGGACGCGCAGCTGAGCTTCTCTCGATCGGCGCCAGCAATGGGATCTCAACACTGGACAGGTTGTCCGCTCATTTACAGGACATGCGGGTCAAATCTCTTCCTGCTCCATGCGATCCGTCCAGCCGAGCGGCAGTAAGGAGTCTGCTACGCGAAGTCCCACAGTTTCGCTCCGGACACTGAGAAATGGAATCAGCGAGTCGCCGCGGAAAAAGGCGAGAACTTCCAAATCTCTCTCAAGAAGCTCAAGTCCTACGCAGCTCAACGGAATTCAGCAGCCATCGCTGGACGCCAGAGATCCGCAGACAGAGGCGCAAGAAGAGCTCAGTACTCCGCCACTGGACGACGGAGTGGAGCTAGGCAATGATCGGCATAAGAATGCGCTGGATGGCAAGGCAGGATCGCCGCTTATTGCCGGAGATGGGGCACTCGCAGAACCGGGCACTGGCGCGACCGAGGCTGCGCCTGAAGGGGACGACTCAGCCCAGAGCACTCTAGAGAAAGCCCAGAGTACGGAGCCTCTGGGAGCAGAAACACCCGCGGCAGATCTCAACAAGGCTTTGGGTCTAGATACTGGATTCAAGAATCCGCCTAGCAACGACGCGATGGATGTTGATGCTTCCGTGCGGACAAGCACCAATGCTGCGGCCGCAGAAGTCACTACTGCCGCAGCTGCCACGAACGTTCCGCTTGCTCAGATTGAGCCGCGAGCAGATGACAACAAATCTGACGCCGACTCTTTATTCGGCGGTGACAGCGCAGACGCGGATGCGGATGCGGATGCCGATGCTGATGCTGATGCTGACGCTGATGCCGATGCAGACGCGGACGCGGACGCGGACGGAGAGGCGGATGTGGATGCAGAGGGTGAAGATGATGATGATGAGCCCCTGGCTATGCGGGCCATCAGGACCCCAGCTTTGCCGGCTCTCGAGTTGGGACCAGACATTGGTTCTCAGACGGGCGGCATAGGCTCCATAGCGCTGCCATTCAACGCTTCGACGCCAAGCCGGAACGACTCCGGCAAGAAGGGTAAGAAGGATAAGGGCCCTTCAAATAGCAAAGCCAGCAAGACGTCGCCAGCTGTACCAGAGTTGGCACCTGCTAGACCTCCAAGAGCGCCTTTTGGCGGCTTGACAGCTGGAGCTGGCTTCGATTGTGATGTGACCCAATTCAGCGATGACGTGCTTTTGACCACGACGCTGGGTGGACAAGTGACGCTGTGGGACCGTCGAGTGCCAAGCACAGATCTGCCCGGCGCGTCAGCGGAGCCAACATTGAACAAGGGTGTTCGAGCCCTGCCCTTGCCAGAAAAGACTCCTCCTTGGTGTGCCCACGCAGCTTGGAATGCTGCTGGAGACAAGATCTACGTAGGACGCAAAAACGAGTGCGTGGAGGAGTGGGACGTCAGAATGCTTGGTAATGCGCGTCGCTCTGCGACGAATCAGTCTGCGGAAGCGCAAAACCCCGGATTGAGTAGAGTGTTTAGATTACCAAGCGATAGCGGGCCTGTGAGCTCCGTCGTCGTCATGCCCAACCAAAGGCACTTGATCTTGTGAGTACGCAGCGCTGGCCGCTTCGTCATCGTACAATGCCTGACGCCGTCTTGCCGTATCGTACATCTGGCAGCGGTTCGCGCGACAATGTGAGGCTGTGGAACATGGATACATCGCCTGATCGGTTGCCCTTCCGCATTGTTGCCGGCCATCATGGAGGGACCATTTCTTCGATGGGTGAGCAGCGACACAGACGTCCGACACCGTGACATCCTCGCACGCTGATCATATCATCCTGAACCATGCAGCGATTGATCCGACGTGCCGCTTCCTGTTCACCGCTTCTGGTGACAGAGGATGGCTTTCGGATTCTACGGAGGCCATCATCTTTCACGAGATCAGTCCTATATGAGAGGCGTGCATTGCCCTGAAACCACGCGTTGCGCAGCGGCCTTGCAACAGCGCCTCGTTCACATACAGATTGCGTGTCTGCTAATCTGGCCTTGCTCGATGCATTTACCAACTGCTCAAGTCTGCTGCCTTTGGCCAGCCCTGTACAACAGTCACCTCACTCATGCATGCACACGTCAACGGTGAGACGACTTCGTGAGAGCATCCCCATTTGCGAGGTCGTGCGGGCGAGCGAGAGAAGCAACTACTGCAAGTCATCTCTTTTTGCTCCGACTTGATGCCAGCGAGGGAGGGTATCTTGACACTAGCCCCGGGTGGTCTTGCTGCCAACTCTACTTCTTGACTTTGCGCAGGGAGTTGTAGTGCTGTAGTGGCAGGGGTCGAAGTCTACTCAGCGCCCATCATCGCACACAACTTCCAGGTCGAGCCCAAGTCACAATCGCGCAACACTCGCCTCTCCGAGACCGTACATTTTCCTGTGATAAGATATGACGCAAGGCTCCCCTTTGTGCTCACCCTCGCCCACCTTGAGTGTGGGACTTCCCACTTGCACGACATGGATTTGCGTCTTGTAAGCTCGCGACAAGGCCAGAATCTCAGGTTGTCCGCCCCACACGCCAGTGTTTTCCACTGCGTCGCAGTAATCGAGAAAGTGTTCTGTTGCGAGTGAACGTTGTGCGCGTCAGTCACCGATATGCGCGTACTGCCTCATGTGGGGGGCCTCATCGCATACACACGCACTCCTTGCCCTTTGTTCGACATCTTGCCCCTGTGTTCCGGCGGAGTCATTGGTGATGCCTGCCATGTGCTCATCCGAGTCGGATATGAAGGGGATGAACTCTGTAGCATTTGCGCGCATATGCTCGGCAGTCGCCTTGCGTGTATCCCTAAAATCTACCTTTTTGTGAACCTTGCCCAGGGTGTGCAGCTGATCTGCGACGGCTGCGTACAGGCTGTGGGGCCGGAATGGAGCGTGAGAGGAAACAAACGAGTGCAAAAGCATTTACGTTCGCACGGCGCTGCTACCCACCAGTGGCCATCAGGGTTGATCTGCGATGCACACCAAGACCCGAGAAGATCAGTGCTACGTCATGAGCACGTCACCATGTGGCTGCAAAAGCTACGCACCTCGACCATTTCCCGGCCCAGCGAGGAGCACAAGTCGGCCATGCCCGCTCGTTCTCTCTCTGCTTCATCAGGTTTGCCGCCGTTAACTTTGAGCTCCAGCTCTGCTTGCGCTCTCAGTGCTGCTTGTTCCGCATCTCTCCGCGCCTACAGACGCCGTGGCGGCAAATGGGTCGAAAATGGAGGTGCGCGAGCGTCCAGGTCAGCTCACAGCTACGTCTGCGGCGTCGCAAAGCAGCAACACTGACAAGTCTAGCCTTCTGTCTGCCAATCTTGGGGCCCATGATGGCCCCTGAAGTTTGCTGCACATTCGCATCGTGCGTATCTGCAGCGGTGGGTGAATGACCGAAGAGCTTCTTGATTCCTTGACCTGCGCTCTTGCCGATGCTCCTCCTTCTCCCAGGCTCTGAGACATCCTCTGTCGAGGCAGGCAAGCCGAGGGTGGCATTTGAGGTAGGTGGGCTTTTGGTGCTGCTACCGGGACTGCTGCCCGGCCTACCGAGCAGCCTGCCGCCAGCTTCTTTGAGCGAGGCCATAGTGCTGCCGCCTGCGCTCATGGTGGAGGATGAGGAGGCCGAGGTTGCTTGAGAAGCAGCGCTGTCTGTGGACGCAGTGGGCTGCACGGGTGGTGCGATGGGCGTCGCAGTTGATGAAGACAATGCATCTGCAGCTGCGTCCCTCGCATCGAGAGTGGCCAGCAAGTCTGCAGCTATGTCGAAGCCCTCGTCATCCTCTCCCACCGCTCCAGCTCGCTGAGCTGCCTGCGTAATGGAGAGCGTGCGTGGAAAGGGGGCGGGGGTGGAAGGAATTGTCAGAGAGCCGAGAGGCTTCGCCGTGTTGCTCATCATCACGCCATCCTTGCTGAGACTGACGCCCATGCGTCGCACTGTCGCTGCACGGACATCTGAAGGCGTTGCAGGCTGGGCATAGCAGACACGGCTGCTGTGTCGCTGATGTCGCGCATTGCCTCGAGCCAGACGCAAAGATCCTCGAAGCTCATCGCCTGTGCATCGCTGCAGGTGCACCTCCATTTCAACTCACCTCGATGTCGGCGCGAGTGGAATCGTTTCTGGAAGGCGTGTGTCTGTTCACCTTTTTCTTGCCTCCTGCCATCTTTGAGTGTGATTGCTAAGGCCAAGTCAGAGCGTGGTGCATGGGTGTTGTTTGCGCGTGCGGGCGTGGAGACAGGTGGATCGTTGCAGAGACGACTGCGCTTGTGCGATGAGATGCTGCCTCGATTGATCGAGTGCCTTGTTGCGCGCGTTGCAGAGAGCGACAGGGTTGTGTGCGCGCGCAGGGCCGAAATGAGGGGCGTGTATGCGGAAGTGAGACTGTGACTGAGCAGATATGGGATGCGCCGATAGCGAGATCAAGCGGGATCAAGGAGAGTGTTCAAACGTGGCGAGGGAATGGTCGAGGCAAGACAAGGCAAGTCTCAGCTTTGAGTTTGAGTGTCAACTTTTCGAATGCGAATGCGAATCTTGAATGTGCGAGTCTGAGTGATGCAACACCAAAAAAGCAGGAGGATGCCAAGCAACGCAAAGCGGATCTTGAACGCTGCCAAGTCTTGGAGTCTTGAGTGTCGAGTCTGAGTGTGAGTGTCGAGCTCATGCATGCATGCATGCATGCTGCAGAAGTCGAGTTGTGACATGCGGTGTTCAAAAGTGAAGTTTTGTTGAGTTCATTAAAATTCAAATTCTTGATTAAACGTTTTGATTCAAGATTCAGATTCGGTCAGAGTAAATCATTAAGTGCATATTGAGAAGTCCGTGTGAAATCTTGAATGAAATGACACAAAACTCTTCACTCAAATAAATCAAGAACGAACAAGTCTGCAGTCTTGAGTCAGAGTCAAAGTCTCGAGTCTTGAGCCAGAGTCCAAATTTGAGTCACAAGTCAGATTTTTGATACAGAATTTCGAAAGTTGAGTCTTTCACATCTATCGAGCCAAAAGTGGAGGGGACGAGTCAAACAAATAAGCATCAACTCTGAACTCAAACTCGTGACTCAACACTCAGACTCAGACTGTCATTCAAGATTCAAGATTCTTGATTACGTTTCATCCTACTAGCGACGCCTGTTCGAGCCGCTTGCCCTTTGCTCACCACCCGATCGCCACTCTTGACTCTCTGGGTCACATTTCCGACACTGCAGGCTTCGCACTAAAAGTTGAGGACCTCAGCATCGAGCGGGCACAGCACGGTCTACGTACGTAAGAGTGGAAAGGGCACCATGTCGTCAGGTCGCAAATTACTACGCTACGATGATCTGGTAGAGGATTCGGTAGGCGCGTTCCACTCGCAGTCAGCTCGCAACCCACGCAGCGTCGATTTCTTCAGAGCGGGTCAGCAGCTATGGGGCAGCAGTGCTGCTGCCCAATCAGACATTCGCAGCCACGCCAACAAGAAGCGCAAAAACAGGGACACTCACAGTGCTGGCAGGTCCACTAGGGGAGTGTGGAATCCTGCCGCCAGCGCTCAAGCTCCACACACAGCGACCGATGGACCAGACCGGTCGCTCGAGCTTCGACAGCAGCAGCAGCAGCAGCAGCAGCAAGACTCTCGACACGCCCATCCGGAAGCACCGCCACCACCACCAGCACAACTGAATGCCAGATCAGTGGTGCGCGATGCCACCTCCAGACACCTCTCCGCAGCTGCCAAGCGATCCCAGTCTGCTGCATCTACACATCCAGTGTCTGCCGGCTTCAGATTTACAGCGCATGCGCAAGCTTTGCAAGCATCTCGAGTGGGTGAGGAGGAGGAGCATGACGAAAAGGAGGAGGAAGGGGAGGAGCATGGTCCGCAACAGATGGAGCAGCAAAGCGTGGTAGCGTCTGTGCCCACACTCGCCGCACCGGCCTCAGAGTCGCCAAGAGATGTCATTGTACAAGCAGCACCAAGCATCCTCTCCATCCCAGCAGATGAGCCCTCTCTGCCCGAATGGCTGTTGCCTTGGAGAGACCCCGAGCAGAGAGTGGAGCCGGGTCTGGATGGTTGGGAGCCGACACCTTACCGCGCGTCTGAATCCTCACACTCTGACCCTGATTCGGGCTCTGAAGAGGCAGATGAGGATCAGTCCGCATCACGCGCACCTCAAACATCTGGCATTGCAAAACCGCAAACGAATTCCGAGGAAGAGGAAGCCGAAGTTGCAGAGAGCTTGAAATCCGTCCCGGATCGTTCTGACGCTGATCCTGCTACAAATTATGTCACACGAGCCGAGGTCACTCTTCCTACATCCATCTCGGGTGCTTCACTGCCAGGACAAAGCAAGAGCTCGGCTGCAGAAGATTTGAACGTCGGCAAGTCGCCTGCTGCAGTGGTGCCGGCTGTTCAAGAGGCGGGATTGGCAACGCACGACGACACAAGACTTGAAGAAGACGAGGTTGAGGAGTCGCACCAGTCAATGGACGCCGACATCCGCCGCACTGAAGAAGATGAGATCGAGGAGGAAGCCGAGGCGATGGAAGAGGAGACTGAAGACTGGGGCGAAGGGTACGAATGGTACAATGACGAGTGGGAGCGTCAGATGCTGGGCGAAAACGCGAAACCAGGTGTTGCGTCCGCCGTCATGGCCATGCTAGCGGCCGGCATTGGGCAAGAAAGTGATGAAGAGGCGGAAGATGAAGACCAGGCAGCGCATACCACAGAGTTGGACTCGGATGGACGGGTCATCAGATCGCTGACGCACGATGAGCTCTGGGCAGACGAGGCAATGACAAGCGCGTTCTCAGCCGCCGTCGACCAATTCAAAGCCATGCATAGCTTGGGTCAAAATGGCCTCGTCATCAGCGCCTCAGACTCGCCACCGCCTGCTGCGAATCTCACCTCCAGCGCGCTGTGGTACGACGCCCCTCCACCTGAGTCTCGCGCTGCCAAAAGCGCACGCAAAGCTGGAAATGCTTCGGCAAAAGCGAGAAAGGAAGAATCAAAAGCCGCACGAAGACACGCGCAAGAGACGAAAGTAGCTGCAAGAAAGGAAGCTAAGCGGTTGCAGGCGGAGCAAGACGCCAGATACGCGCAGGCTATGGAGGAAATGCAGGCGCACAGGCAAATCGTCGCGCCTTTGCAGCCTGCTGACAATCAACCACCGGCTGCAGACTCGGTATCCGACTCTAAGATGGCAACGCCTTCCTCAAACGCCGAAACTTTGAATTCGGGACCGAAGAGAAAGATCAAAGGTGAGTTGCATAGCTCGCAGCGCTGACCTCACCTGGTATCCTCGGTTGATACTTTTTCTCATACGATGCCATTTCAGGCACGATCCCCCCCTCAGCGCCTCTGTCGGGTAGACCGGCGTGGCTCGCGGCCTGCGCAACCGTCTCGAGCACTCCAAATTGTGTAGCTGGCGTTGAATGCGGTGGTCCGAAGACGTCCAGTACCGCCACCGCGACGGCGCAGGGCGGGGAGCAGAACTTGTCAGCGCGTGCAGATGCTTCTGCTTCAGGTCACGCCGCACCAACAAGTACCGCTCAAGGCTACGACCCCGAGCTACTGCAGTCACTGGCTCACGCGTGGTACTATGCAGGCTACTACCAGGGCATTGCAATGGCGAAACATCAAAGCTAGTGGCCTTGTGGGTTGACCCGCCTCGGCGTGGCCCCCTTTCATTTAGATTACGAGTCGGGATTCGAGCAGAACGACGAAGGGCTTGGCTGTGTCTCGGGAGGATGAAAGCCGTCGATCGCTATACACTCTCTTGCACGCATGGCAAGATGACAGCTCTCCTCATTCCGACTTCAAGACGACGTACTTGAGACCCCAAAGGTCTTTGTGCGACCCGGGTGTACCACTGCGGATGCAATGGCACGGCCATCATGCGATGTGGCGCGACACGCTGCTGACAACATTCAAGCACACGAGTCCTCGTGGCGTGGCAAGCAAGATCGTCTGCTCTTCGTCGCATCTCCATCTGATGGACATCACGCCTAAAGGCTCCGCAAGAATTCAGACGCGGAGCATGCGCAGTATCGTGGCGCAAACTTCCCTGGTGAACTCCACGCAAGCATGCTGCGGGACGACCATTGCGGCTTACACACTGCCTGTTGCTGTGTTTGAATTGGCGCTATCTCCGTCTCTATGCGATGATATGTTTTACTTGCAAAACTCACACATTGCACCACCACTTACGACGCTGCGACGTGATGCCGCACGCGGCTGCTATCTTCATGTGACACTTCCATCAGTATGAAAGCAGAGGACGGCAATGGTGAGAAACTGCGCTTTGCTTCAACGTAGTCAACCGCACCCCAGCCCACACAGGTTGCGTATCGAAGAGAATCTTTACCGCAACAGCGCCTCGCTGTGGACACAATCTCGATGACCGAGCTCGCTGCAGGGCACCTCGAAACACTGCCCAGCGCAGTGGCGCCGCACTCCGTTCACGTTGTACCTGAGACCATCAATTCCGCTCGCGTGCCGTCTCAGGTACGACAGCGAGCACCGCGTATCTGAATCCATTTATCGCAGCTCAACAAATGTCTGCGCAGGGATCACGACTCGGTCCCATTCCACGAAGCTCACAAGCAGGCCTCTTGGAGGAGTGATCAGCCAGAAGCGCCGCCTCCTTCGAGCTTCGCCTCTTCTCAAAAGGTATTTAAAGGCCCTTCAGCTAGCTTTGCATCTGCCGAAAGTTGGTTCCTCATCCCGCGATAGTACGCAAGGTGCCTCCAATCTACATCAGCACTTAGCACATCACAACGTACACACACGGAATTCATCAGCAAATGTCTAAGCTGTGGCTCAGATTCGTCGTCACCGCTGTTTTATGCAGCGTGATCCTTGTCGACACATCACACGGTCACGTAGCTGAACACAAGGCCGGCCTGAACAAGCGTGAAACTTCCTCTGGAGCTGGCGGAGGTTATGGTGGCGGCGGTGGCGGTGGCGGTGGTTACGGTGGCGGTTACGGCGGCGGCAGCGGTGGTGGTTCGAACCCAGCTGACGCTGCCGCCTACTATGCTAACAAGTACGGCGGCTCGGGAGGGGGCGCTGGTTTCGGATACGGCAAGGGCTACGGGTCTGGGGCAGGGACTCAAACCTCCCAGCACGGCACGAACGGTGCTTCTAGTGCTGGCAAGACAGGCGGTGGGAGTGTGAGCACGCACGGCAAGGCTGGAAGCACTACCTCATACTCTTCGGGAAATTTAGGCGCCGGTAGCGACTCTGGTCACGGTGGTGCAGCAGGCTCGACCAACAATGCCAACGCAAACAGCAACACCAATGTTGGCTCTACCCGCGGCGGAACTGGCACAGCTACTGGAAACAAAGTCGGCGGCACTGGCAACGGAGGAAGCACAGCAAACATTGCAACCGCCCATCAAGGTGGTTCGAGCGGGACTAATTTCGACTCTGAGTCAAACAAAGCCACGGGCGTAAGCACCAAATCTGGCACGGGTCCCGCACATGATAGTGCTACGGGCTCCAACACGGAGAGCTCCCAGAACGCCAAGCCTACTACTAGCTCCAACACCGGAGCCTCCGGAAACGAACAAGGCACAGGCTCCAACACAAGTGTCTCTGGTAGCGTCGGAGCCAACAATGGCAGCAAGAATGGGTCCGCCGGTGGTGCAAACGGATCGGGAAGCGGGTCGGGCGGTGGCGCTGGAGGGGGCGTCGGTGGAGGGAAGGCAGAGACTGGCAGCACAGCCGGCCTGTCCGTCGTCAAGACGGGACCCGGAAAAGCTGCAGGCCTGGACACGAATTACTGGACTCCAGGAGGAGGAAATGAAGCACACGTGTCCATTATCGAAGGTCCTCCAGCGGGCTTCAAAATGTCTTGGGACAAGACTAGCGCTTTGTTCGGAATGGGCCTTGACGATAGCGATCAAAGCCGGTGAGGGCGTCCGAGCTCTGAGCCCGTCTACCGAGGCCAAGAGGCTGACCCTCTTCATATTTGCTGGACTTTGCTTCCCTAGAGTTGTAGGTTTCAATGCGGCTCAGTTCGACGTCACCGGCATGACGTGGCTCTCTGTCTATGGTTGGTGCGAGTCGCCCCAGCTCATTGAATACTACATCATTGAGAACCATGGCGACACCAAGGCATTCCAAGGCAAAGAGACCGTCGCGACCGCAGAGATTGATGGCAGTTCTTACACTTTCGTCACAAACCCGCGCACTGGGAAACCGTCGATCAAAGGCCAATCCACCGACTTCATACAATACATCAACATCAGATCGGAGCCCCGAAATCAAGGCAAAGTTAGCACGGCCAAGCATTTTGAAATGTGGGGCAAAGCAAAAGGCCAAATGAGCAAGTGTTCCCATCAAATCGTTGCAGTTGAAGGTGTTAATAGCTCCGGAGAGGTCACGGTTACAGTAGACTTCGGCCAAGGTGGTGGAGGTGGCGGTGGCGGTGGAGGTGGCGCCAAAAATAGCGAAGGAGGCTCGGCCGGGGGCGCAGCGGGGCAAGCAGGCTCATCAGCGGCTCACAAACGTTCGGAAAGCTCTAATTCGACTGGACCGAACAAAGCTCATATTTTGAGACGCCAGATTCCAAGCGGTTTGAGGGATATGATCGAGTCATACTCGGGGCAGCGCATTCCAACCAAGTATGGCGCCGAAGGCCTCGAGACCGACAAGTCTCAAAACACTCACACGCAACACAACACGCCCTCCAAGCACAACAATGGCGGCGCACGAAATGAACAACCCCAAACATCGCCTGCCAACTCTCCCTCGAGAAAAACCTCCGCATCTGCCTCCACGGACGCTACTGTGGAGGCTGACACACACGACGGCAAAGGCACTGTGCATAAGAGCTCTCATCAGGAGGTGCATGCACGAAGCGAGCTGCCATCTAAGCACGCGCCCAAGAAGGCGCTCACGAAACGCTCCCATCGCCGTCACCGACCCTTCCGCTTCTGACTGTTTGGAGTCCTGTAGTCTCAGAGTCTGTATGCTACTTCACGTTATCTACCGTCTTGCTGTGAAAAGGACATTTTTCTCATTGTCCAAACAAGATGCGCGCAGCTTTGTGGCTTCGCCCCGTGTGTACTGACGATAACCGGGAGAACAGCTGTTCTTTCGTCTCCAATGACGTGCGCTTCAATCGCAAGCCACTGCAGCTCATGCCCTGACACCTCCGGTGATTCTTGTCCAACGCTGTTCGGTCAGGGCTGAGGCACTGGTTGCGGGAGCTGGAAACAACTCTCCCGGTCACAAAGCAAGTGATGGACTGTAAAGGGCGCTCTGATAGTCGGTCAGCTTGATTGACGCTTGCTCCCGTTCATGGCGCTCGTCGTGGTCTTGCGTCCGAGAGAAGACTTGTAAACCTTCTTGTCAGCCAAAAGGAAGCCAGTGCATCAACAGAGCAGTCTTAAATCATTGTCTTCACCCATTCTCATCTCTCATCTGACACAGCCGAGGCAAACCAACATCGGGTCTCAGCATAGACATGGATTGATGCAGACGAGGTAGCGTGGAGCTACGTGCAATGAGGTCGCGCCTCCTTGCGTACGGACATGTCGCGCCCATCGCTTTGTACATTAAAGATCGGTGGGCCTCGGTCAATCGATGTTTGAGATCCAATTTGTCCGCGTGCAGAAATGTGTAGCAACGTCTAGGACGATGATTGGCCGGCTATTTGTGCCTCAATCGGCTCAGAACTAGGCTCATTAATCTCAGGACCTGAGACAAAGTTTTTTAATGTTTACGTTTCAATTCTGCAAATCACACGTGTGTATGTCTGGTCAGAGTCAAAGTTGTAAGTCTCTCTAACATGGCGAGCCCTTTGTTCCCATGTCATCTCTGAGAAGCGTTGTCAGTCGCGCAACAATCCGAGAGGCAACCTGTCCTCTTTGCTGTCCCACGCCACTGACCAATATCTCGCCTGTCCAAGGATCCCCAATGCCGGTCGTATAAAAAGCTTTTCTTTCTGCCAATCGCTTCAAAATATCAACGATCGCCCTTAAGATACCTCCAGCGTTCTACAGCCTTTAGCATGTTAAAATGACAACTTCATCTAGAATTGTGCCCACAGTGTGCCAAGAAACGTTTCATAGCATTTGCTCTGCAGGACATGAACACGGTAAGCAGTTAAGTGGCGTGCGCGACGAATGCAAAAAGATCATCTGATTCTTCTCACCGTGCTACCCCTCGCAGTGAGCGTCTTGTCCATGCAATCAAGAACGCTCTAGCGTCACTCGGGGCCATTTTTCTTTTTCTTAGCCATTGAGTGTCTGTCTCAAATATCGAAACAACGTGGGCCATCTATTCCAGCACTCTGCACGCTCTCATTATGTGGTGAGCTCATCTTTAACCTTACACCCGACCGATGTCCTTGCCCGAGGATGCAAGGTGAGCTGATGCGTAGAGTCGGCTGCACATTAGATCGCGAACCTTCACTACGTGTCGCTGACTTTTCGCCGTCCTAGTGAACTTTATGTTCACGGGCTTGATCTTTTGATTGTGTTGCTGGCTCCAGAACACAGTATGAGTGCTCAGAGACTGAATCGTCTTGCCGAAATTAGATTCCACTCACCAAGAGGATCCTGTAAATTTCAATTAAAAGCTGGGGGAGCATCTGATTCGTGCTGAGAGCTAGCTTTTGATTTGTCTAGTTTCTGATTTGTCTCGTCTACCAACCAGGCGTCCTGCGTGTCGTCGACAGCTTTGACTTGCGTTTGGGTATGATGCGGCGTGACGTTACGCACTTGGCCCAACTTATGGTACAGCCTCTGTCAATTATTTCGCGTTCATGCTATCTGGAGACAAGGGGGCGGAATGAGGGAACAGGCTGCTTACACAAACTGTCGAACTAGGTGCAGAGGCCGTGATAGTGTTGCTGACAAAACTCGTGAGAGCTTCGCCAATGACTAAATTTTGCAGACCAAATTCCTTTTCCGCGCATGATGATGGTCTAGAAGCTAAGAAGACTCGCAACACGATTCATCAGGTGGGGCGCGCGTGAAATTCAGGATGAGATGCCTGAACGACTTCAAAATGAAGCTGGTGACCACGCGATTTAGTAAGCATTGACCTTCGGGGCGGGGCGAGGTTCGGCATGTGTAAAACTTCAAGCAAACAGTTCTAGCGAAAGCTCGCTATGCTTCGACACCAAGCCGTTGTAGCAGCTCGGAGCCACGCCTTTCGTTGTTCAAGTAGAAGCTCATATTAGACACTGCGTTCGACAATGCGCTTGTATCTCGGTTTTGATTGTGATCCAAATTCTCGCGTGCCTGGAAATCGTTGCTCTTCATTAGATGCATGCAAAATTTGGGATTGCAGAGTCATGCTTGTAGCATGTCTATCTTCGTGTTGCTCTGTTGCAGGAGCAGCTTGACTTTCTCGGCGCGTGTTTGCTTACTTGTGCCAGCTCTACAACAAATTTTTCAGCTTCTGAGCTCATGCAGCCTTCAAGAGCCCAGTACGTCTGCTACTACACAGCCACTGTATGCATTGCTAATCAAAGATGTTTCAAGCCTTTGCATCAAGAACAAGTTGCGCGGTCAATTTTTATGTGGCATTCATCCCCTGCCCGGAGAACAGTTCTCCATAGCAACCTGCCACTCACTCGTGTTGATAGGACGCGTCCGCACCCGGCCGACCGTTTTTGACAAACAGTGCGCATCTTTTTTGGGCTATCGACCGAAGCTGTTGATGCCGTCGCCTCATGAGAAACGCCTGCGCAGCTGGCAGCCGGCAAATTCATGCTCGTCTCTATACAATCTACCGCTCCTCATCAGCTGTCGCTGGACTTCTTTTGGCAGACCAAAAATTGAGATAAGCTTCAGCCTCTGTCTTGAAACTTGTACACTTTGCAGAAGCTCGAACACCCTCTTGTCGAGTGGCTCATTTGCGTCTACCGTTTGGTCACTTTCGAGAAGGATCATCGCTTGTGAATGAAAAATGATGTGCTCCCATTTACCTGCAAGCCAAAATTTTTTATTAGAGTGTGGTAGGACCTGGAGAAAGAAATATTTTATCTCGAGGAAGGATCGCCAAGTTTACAGCTGCATCCGTCATCAATGCGAAATTGAAATTGAGAGTGAAAAGCGGCCCACTAAGCTTGTGCAAAAATCGTGCTGCTCGCAGAGGACGTCTTGCCTTCAAAATACTGTTTGAGGAAAGCGTCGATGCACAAGCACATCCACCAAAATATCAATAGAAAGAAAGGCCTACCGGAGGCGAACAGACCAGATCTTCAACCACAAAACGTTAGAGCTGCGCCGAGGACAAGGTGTAAAGTGACACACTCGTAGAGAAGTGCGAGAAGAGTATTCTCTCCACGGTCCACAATTCCGGTCTCGCCGCCTAACATTGACACCACCTTCTTGCTAGCGGTGAAGCATGACCACTGATGACTCGGTAAGATTTGCTCTTCTCCTTTTTCTTTCCCGAGATCTCAAGTTTGTTGTGTCACAGCGCCAAAAATCCGAGACGGTGTCAAAACATTCGTGGGAAAGGCTCCTGAGTCCCTGGCCTACAATTCCTTTACACATCAGATCATTATCGCAGAGTGCATTGCTTATCGTCCACAGGAGCACGAGACGTTCACTTCTACGGAAGCAGGGCAAAATCTGCTAAGAGCAGAGCCAGATCGACAGCCCGCATACCAGATAACCGGCCGGCATTCTGCGAGCCAATCCGCCTTGCCAACCTGCCACGTCGACCGCCTTTCCTTGGCGTGCAATCAGGTCTACATTGACACTTTCAGCTCTCGTATGGTGGCCGACTTGTTTGCGGCACGATGTTTAACTTTACCCTTTGAGTCTTCGACTGGTGTCATGTTCTATGCCTTGAGCCGCCGCATTTGTGACAAAGCGCTTGCTTGAACTCGACTGCATCGCAATTGGAGACCCCACCTGCTCACTCAGTTGCGTCCTCGCTCGAACCTCCCAGGCGCTACTTGCTCTACTCCTGCCGGGAGCCGTTTGGTCCAGCGTCCATGTCGTTGCGCCTGTCTAGCGCCGCCCTGTATCCTCAAAGGGTTGCAAAGCAGTGAATCTGCTCCTCCCTTGGAGAGGCCCAAGTTGCGGTCTTTTCTGGCATCCTTAACGCAGACACCAGGATCAAAGCCGCATTCCCGACCAACGATCGAGAGAGGCACAAATGCGACGCGGCACGATGACTGCACTCTTTTGTTGGCAAGATCGACCCGAGACCGTGGTTGCGAGCAGAAGCGACCCATCGGGTGTCGAGTTCCAGTCCGAAACACGGAACGTGACTCCTTCGAGACCATGCGCGCTAGATCATAACAGAGGACACTACAAGGTCAAATTCTCGCCTCTGATTTGTGCAATACTGCTTCACGATTTTTCCAGGCTCGCAGAAAGGCAGCGTCAGCAAAGCCATCCACTGCCACAGTAACAGAGTGGTGCAGGCCAACTTTGGCCCAACCCTCGAAGAGCCCGCTTTCAGAAGAGGAGCAAGACGCTGCGGCGAGCGCTCGAGCACCATGCAGAGCTACAACTAGAGCTCATGCAGAGCAATCATCGGCATCATCACCTTTAAACATTCAGCAGCAGCAGCAGCGACGGCATCGTCCTCTGCATCAGGTCGAGCACCCAACAGCCGAAACGCAAGGCTATCCAACGCTCACGCCAGATCGTCCAACACCCACGCTAGAGCATCCGCAACCGCGCCTCCACAAGCATCTGCTCTCTCTGCAGGATAACACCAACGATGCGGCCATCGACGCCGATGCCACCCCCTACAGCCCCACCAGAGTTTTTGTTCCCTGGAGCCGCTTTCATGTCCAGCCGGCGACAGAACATCTCGCGTGACGAATTACCGGCGGCTCACATCGTCCGGCTACGATGTTTGCTATTTTGTGCACAACAATGCTGCCGCTAAGATGTTAACACCTCAACCCAGTCAAGCACAGACGTCCCGAAGCTAAGGGGTATGTAATTGCGAAAAGGGCGAGTAGTGTACAAGTAGAGGGTTCTTGACCCTCAGCATGCGTCGGTCAAATGCAGCGAGCTTGCAATGTCTCGCATCACGCCCCATCATCTTCATTTTCGTTTTCGTCTTCGTCTTCATCATCGTCCTCGTCCTCGTCTTCGTCATCGACATCGCTGTCGTTATCCAGTCCAAGCTCGCTTCCAGCTTCAGACGTCGCATCACCAGATTCTTCCCCATCATCTGTCGCCTCCTGCATATCCTCGTCCGACCCATCGCTAGCCTCGTCCTCCGAAACCGACGCTTCATCAGAAGTGGAATCCGGTTCATCCTCTTTCTGAATCAAAGGCGGACAAAACTCGACATTGTACCACCTGGCCCACTCCGCCTGCTCTTGTTTCTGCATAGCATGCCTGTCCTTCAAGTCCAACTCTTCCCAGGCTGCAACCTCGATCGCGTTGCGTCGTTGAAGCGCCATTTCTCTAGCTAATTTGCGCATTCCTCGCCCCGAGCCCTCATCAGCCCCGAGCGCTATGGCACCAGATCGATGACGCTGAAGCGCTCGTACCGCTTCCTCCTCGCTCTCATCTTCGTACAAAGAACTGTACTCCGACACATTGTCTGCCTCGTCTTCCCCATTTCGACCCTGAGCGTGACCCTCCGCTTCTGGTTCGACCGCATCGGCAAGCCTCGGTTGTCTGAATACGTCTTGAGCCGACAAGACACTTGCGGCCAGTGTAGTAGACCCGGTCGTGCTGCCCTGCAGGTCGATGCCGTTCATCAGCGCTTCAGTGTGTGGTGCGACGCAGTAGGGAACAGCACTGAACCAATCCACGGCTGGATCAGCTTCAAAGTTGTCGCGCGCAGCGTCGGCCAGCCTGGAGGCTGTGTGTTTCACCAGCTCTTCTCGACCAGGGATCTGGGTAGACATGGGTGGCTGTAGAGCCAACAACGCGTCATGGACGTGCTCGCGACGGATAAGGTCGTCGTCTTCCACGTGTGTGGAGGCAACGCGATGCACGATGCGCTGGACAAAGGCGTGAATGTGCGAGGTCAAATGCGGCAAGAGCAGTGCACTCATCCGAGCACCCATCGCTTCATCAGCAGTGCTGTTGGCCGACGTCTTTGGTTTCATGTGCTTTTGCCGGCTTGAGTTTCAAGAAAGTGCGGAATTCCATGTGGTCAGTTTCAGAACACTAAATGAGCATCGCAGCACAACTCACGACCAGAGCAGCGCCAGACCATCAGCGCGCAGCAATGTCGACTCGTTGACTTGTTGTAGCGCAGCTTCATTCTCGTCGAAGCCCAGCATCCAACCCCGAAGCACGTCGTCTCGTGAGACACCAATGTGCTCCCATCTCTGCGGAATGCTGGGAAGAGTAGGAGCCGATTCGTGGACCGTATTCTGAGGAACTGCAGGTTGGGTCATCGTTTGTCCCTCAGTCGGGGCAGACGGAAGGAGAGTACCCCCAAAAGGCACGTACGCTTCGTCTGCGGTCGGAGTCATGCCCGAAGCGCTTTGCGGATCAGGTGATGCCTGATCTGTCGCACTGGGAGGAGGTTGAACGCGAAGTAAGAGGTCCGCACCGAGCAGTGCCGGCATACCGGTCTTGACGCGATTGCGGATTCGGTCTTTCACTCTCTTGCGTTCGATCTGGTCCATGTGGGACAAGTCAGCCCCATGAAAGATGTAGCGACCCTCCGAATTGACGTATTCACCCCTAACGTGGCTCAGAGTCTTGTCAACCTTTGTCCTGGCGTCTCTTGCCGCTTTGAGCTTCTTCAGCCTTTGATTCTTCTGCACCGTCGCCCGCACCTGCTCTTGGAGCTCGGGTGGAAGTAGAGGAATGAGATCTTCGCCGAGATCATTGTCATAATTTCGATGGGGCATATGAAGCAGGCCGAGCTTCTGCGCAACCGCCGGACCGTACAGCTCTTCGCGCTTCTTGATACGTTTTCGCATTAGTTTCCTCTGTGGGCGAGGCAGGTGACCAATATCGATGCCGCACACGAGGTCAGGTTTGTGGGGCCTTTGAGGATTCTCAGGAAGTAGAGCCCTACTCTTGCGTGGACGTCCTCCCTTCCCTCGCTGAGCGGAAATGCCACTCTCATCATCTCCTGCATGGCGTATCGCAGAGAGTGTCTTTGCCGAGGGAAAACCCTGCAAGTGCGCGAGTTCCTCGACTGACAGATCCGAAATGACTCGCATCCGAGCTTGATCGCGGGTCGTTTGCATCGTCTCATTGCCTCGTTTGGCGCGCTCGCGAATGAAGCTGCTTGCTCTCAGCTCAGCGAGCGCAGTACTGACCGCGGCAGGTACGCTCGCGCTCTCGTCCACGCGCAAGACGTCTTCGCACCATACAAAGCTGCGTGAATCTTGAAAACGCACCTTGTACTTCCCTTGCCGACGACTCTGATCTCGCCTCGTTGCTACGCGAGCTTGATGCGCACTCAGCTTTCCGCGTCGTGATGGTGGGGCCACAGTCTGAGGAGCACCAGAGCTAGGCCGGTACGCTTCGACAGGCTCATCCGTCCAGAACAGCAGGCCAAGGTCTGTAGCGGTGGACCAAAAGCTCTCGTTCTGTTCGGGCACGGGTTGCAGGTATCGTGTGGTCGCCGCCTTTGTCTCCCATCGCGGCACGGGGTGCGTCTTGGCAAAGTCGAGGTAGCTGCCAATGGCACTAGATGTGGAGCAGAGTATCAGGATGGCTTCGCGTATCGAGTGGATGGCAGGTGGCTGCCGTGCTTGATGCACTGTCTGCTTCTCTTGCCTTTGCAATGCGTGCCGCAGAAAGAGGCAGCAATTGCGCACCTGCTCGTCCCAGCTGATGGGCAAATGCATGCCATCGGATAGCTCTCGCATCGTTGTCTGGGCATGGCCATGAGCTGGCACTGAAGCCTCGCTGCTGATCATTACCCCACCGCCTCCCATCATCATGGGCGCCAAGGAGATGTTGGAAGGTCCAGCGACGACTTGTGCGTCGGGATCGTGCTGCATTCCGCTCGAAGGGGCATCGTTTGCCTCTTCGCATGCCAATTTATTGAGCAGCCAAGCTTCGCGCATGTGCATCGCCTTTGCCTGAGCCTCTTCCACCTCGAGCCACTCGCGGCTCACTTCGACAGCTTGTGGCATCCTTCGATGCACCGTGCCAGCCCTTTGCCGCAAGCTGTGATTGTCCTGACCAGCCGTTCGTCGATGTTCCAGCAGACCTATGAGCACGCAGATCTGCTCGATTGGCTTTCCCACGTCGTCTGCTATCAGGTCTGGTCTCTGCTTGGAGTGACGAGCTAGAGAGGGCCACAATCTCTCCAACTCTTCCAAGGTCCAAGCAGACTCGTCGTTGGAAGAAGCGATGGACGAATCGGAGCGGGATGCATCCGAATCGCTGGATAGCTCAGACGAATTGCCGCGACGACGTGCTCGTTTGCGTTTGCAGCGATACTTGTGCAGGTCGGAGCCAAAGTACTCGTACTGCTCAACTTGGCGTGCAGAGACGATGCCTGGTCGTAGGTGCTGCATGAATTGGTCGCTCTCGTGCAACAGCAGACGGGCGTAACCATGCGTGAATCGCTGATCATCGCGCGATGCGATCGGTGCTTCCAGCTCAGCCTCTCTGGCTCGCTTGCTCGCAGTCTGCGGTGTAGTCCGCTCTGCATCGACCGCCGCCTCCGCCTCCGCCTCGATCTCACGCTCGACGACGGGTGAAGCCGAAGTGGAGGGCGTGGGAGCGTCGGAAAGGGATGCAGCTGAGCCGTTGGCGACGGATTGCGCCGGATTTGGTGCTGCGGCAGAATCTTGCTCTGTCGGGCTCGCAGCAGCCTGAGCTGGAGGGTGAGGAAGGTCAAGGAAGTGAATGTGTGAATCGTGCTGAATAGGATAGTGTGGTGGATTGTAGGGCGCATATATGCCAATGGAAGTGGAAGGGGAGTCGCCGCTGCCTGACGGAGCGGAAGGGTAGCTGGCGGGAAAGAAGACGGGAGCATGGATCATCTGCTCTGCCTCTGCCTCCGCACCTGCACCCGCACCTGCACCTGCACCTGCACCCGCACCTGCCTCTACCCCTTGACTCGGCTGATGACGGGAGTGGTCAGCCTCGCCCGCGCCGCCCTCCTGCAAGGCAGCGGCTGGAGCAGGTGAATGTGACTGGATGTGCTCATCGCCGGTGTCTCGCTGGCCCTGCATGATATGGTCGACTGCGTCATCGCGAGGTCAAGACCAGCGGGCGCGCACTCTCGACGTTGTGTGTGGACAAGGACGCGGGCGACCGGATGAGAATAAGTCACGAGTGAGAGAGCGTTGGAGTCTTGAGTCACGAGTAGTCGTGGGTGGGTGCGGGTCTTGAGTGTACATGATGCACAGCGGGCGGTGCGCTTGTGAGACCGCGGGTGTCCGTCACCAATCGTCTTGATTCGTTATTATTCACACCAGATTCTAAGATTCTGATTCGCTCCACCTTGCTTCGTGATTTACATTCGTGATTCAAATTCAATGTTGAAGTGACATTCACCATTCACGATTGCAGCAAAAACAAAAACAAAAACAAGAACAAAAACAAAAACCCAGACAAGAACACGTCTGATGAGTCGCACACTCAGACTCTTGACCTTTTTTGGTAGCCCGCGGGGAGGGCGCGTTCCTGCATGCCTATATGTGATCACGTGAATCACGAATGCCGTTCGCGCGGCGCGATCACTTTGAATTCTTGCGCGCTGTGCATGGATCTTGCATGCACGATGGGTGACGCTTGAGCGCAAAATCAGGAATGTTGAACCGTAGCCACGGTGCAAGCTAATCAGGAAGTCAAAAGTCGAGATCAAAAATACCTGCCACGTTTGATGCTGGGCCCACCTACCATCGTGGATCGTGTGACTGACTGCACGGCCACATCATCCGGCGGACTTTCGAAGCTGGCTAGCTGTTCACGATTCACCATTGACCTTTACAACTCACAATTCACGATTTTGCGATTGTATTGCACCGCATCTCTATCGCCAAAATGGCATCTAAACGTATCCTCTGATCAATGTGCTTGTCATCACACACCCACCCCACCATCGCCCACCGTTCCCTCTTCCGTCCTCTTGGCCTCGACGCCCAGCATGGCCAGCACAGCCCTTCCGATCCTCGCACCATCATGCTCCCTCTTTGCCCTCTCCAAACCCTCCCTTCTCAAGTCGCCCTGTATCAAACCCATCTCCGTTCTCGCATCGATCAAGGTCTCTACGATCTCTGCATCAAATTCCGGATGCCCTTGAAGGGTCAGGATGTGCAGGGATCGACTGGGCGCTGGACCTGATGAATCTTCGACGGAGGAAATGTCAAAGGCGATGTAGTCCGATGAGGAGACGGCCGAGGGTAAGGGCGGTGCATCGGTGGGGTATCGCAGTGCCAGGCCTTGCACCGAACAGCGAGATGTGCTGCCGAGATTCTCGAATGTTTGCCCTTGAAAGTCGGGCGGTGCGGAGGCGACGATATCCCGATGGACTTGATGGATGCGCTGGCGAGAGAGACAGTCACGAGTGCGGGAGGAGCAGTTGCAGGATGTGTATCAGAGCAGCGCCCAAGCAAAAGCAGATCGTCCTTGCTCTCATCTCACCATGATACCTTCGCCATGCTCGTAACCGAGGTACTCTTTGCCCTCATCGCTCAACTCCACCTCATACACGCCCAACTGAGAGGGGCAGTGAACACACACTGCGAGCATCAGCCGTTGGGTGGGTTGTGTGCGTGTGCGCACGCATGGATAATTGGCTAGGAGCAACGACTCACCTCGAATCCATGCTCATTGAGCTTGACGGGCGCATCCAACGCCCTTGCGATGATCTGATGACCATAGCAAATGCCGACTGGGTATGCTCGCGGGCATCAGCAAGTGGGCTTTCCAGACAGGCAGTTGGACAAACAGGCCATGGCATGCTGCCCACTACTCACTGATGCGTACAAGCGGATGCTCATACGCAGTGTGTTTGAGCCAGCAAGACAGCTTGTTTGTCCAAGGCACATCTGCGTATGCTGATGAGGCTGAAGATGGGCGAGGGCAAGCGGGCAAGCGGGCGAGCGGGCGAGCGGGCGAGCACGCGCATGAACGGGGGAGCATCAGTTACGGTGCGAGATGCGCTCCCTGCTGTGACCGCTAGGCAAAGCAACGCCGCACGTCTCGCTTCGCTTCGCTTCGCTTCGACTCACCGCTACCGGTGACGATGACTGCATCCCAAATACCATCCTTTAGCTGACCCTCTTCCGGATAGTGTTGCTGAACGACATCAAAGGGTATGATGTCCAACTCGACCGTATCTTGCCAGGCGTGACGCGGGATGGAGGAGAGTGCATGGTTGAGCCATTGCGGGTATATGCGCTTGTAGTCGCCCCTTTTGGCTACCACGGCTGCTGGTGGTGTGTCTGCTAGCAGCAGCGCGATGGACAGCGTCTTGTGTCCCATGATGATCGTCGCTGAGCGCTGGGTGGTGTGGTGTGGTGTGGTGTGGTGTGGTGTGGTGTGGTGTGAGCAATCACGCTCATGTTGGACATGAGCGAGACTCAAAATGCTGCTGCTCTCTCACTCAAGTCACGTATCGAGTACGCGCTGCATGCATGCACCTCACACTCAACATTCACGATTCAACATTCAGATTCGTGATTCAAGTTTACCTCCTTCATGATTTAATTCGGATCGCATCGGCCGGCTGTGGCCGAGCGCGCGTGTTTATTGTGCACGCCATCATCAAGTCCAATCACAATCAC